GCTGGCCGACTTGGAGAAAGAATATACCGAAGTAGGTCGGGAGACCGCGCGCGCCTTCTTGGCTCCGAAACGGCTGGTTGGGGGTTTGGAGGACACTCCCTCCCTCGATCAAAAGGTATAATTTTAGCACAAAGGATAATCTTTGGGGGAAATTGGGAGGCTAACTCTTTTCGCATAGACACCCCTTAACCCTGCCTTGTTCGCAGGCCAAGCTACCAACTCGCCCAGCAAAGTCAGCGCTCCCTCTCGCAAACAGCGCAATCAACCTTCCAACCGCGTGCACGATATCGAATTCGCCACGGAAATCTCGACATCTCTCCTGGCTCAAGTGCGCCAATTGCAATCGCTGCTCGCGGAACGGGAGGAGACGCTGAAGTCAGTCAATCTGGAAAAATCACGGCTGGAGATTGAGGCGGAAGGATATGCGCAGCGGATACGCGCCCTGGATGAGAGCGAGCAGCGCTACAAGGACGAGAATTGGGCTCTTGAGACACAAACCCATGAACTCCAGGCCCAGGTCAAAGATGCTACGGACCGTGAAAAGCGCTTGACCAGCACCCTGAGCGCTTCGAACTCGGAAAAGAACGCAGTGGAGCGCGAATTGGAGGAACTGCGACAAGCCAACGCAAAGCTACAGGAGGAGCAAACTGCAATGCAAAAGGCCACCGATACTGAGCACAATGTCTTGCGGCGCAACCTCAACGCCAGTGATGCGGAAAAGGGTGCTCTGCAGAAGAAGCTGGAGGAGTTGACTTCCCAGAACCAAGAGCTAGCAAAGGCAGTGGCTACGCGGCTCCGGCAGCACGACATACAGGGCGTCCGGGATCTGCCTCTCGACACCGAGGGCGACGAGCCTGAGCAAATTACTCCTGACAACTCTCCGCCTCCGTCACCCAACAAGTTCACTCCGCGCCATAATCATCTGGAGTCGGAAACACTGAAGAGCTCTCTTGGCCATGCTCACCGCATGATCCAGAATCTCAAGAGTACCATTCACCGTGAGAAGACCGAGAAAATTGAGCTGAAGCGCATGCTTCAAGAAGCCCGGGATGAAGTTGAGCAACGCCGTCGGGATCCTGGAACAAACGGTTCCACGGGCAAGCGTCAAAAGACGAAGCCGGATTCGTTCCGCAAGCCTCCCCGCCCTGACCTTTTGGGTGCAGGCCGGAAGGAGCAGTCCTTTGTTGAACTCCAAGAAACCGACTGGGAGGACAACGCCGGCCAGGCCAGTCCGACCCGCAAGTCCGCAAGCAGAAGCCGCTCTGTGGCAGAGTCCTCTGATGAGCCGAGTGATGTCTACCAGACTGCCACTGAGGCAGAGGATGGATTCGAAACGGCCAATGAGCGGGGCACCGCTACCGAGAGCGAAGCATTCCAGACCGGTGTGGAAAGCATGGCGGATGACAGCAGTGATGATTCGGCTGATCTGACGGAAACTGAGGCCACTCCTCGCAACTTGACAATGGGCAAACCTCGCGATCGAAACTCGTACTATAGCACGGCCTCCACAGATGAAGATGAGGAAGAGGTGGCAGGAAGTGTTTCACCAAGCCAGATTAACCTTCCTCGCGCCCGACTTCGGTCGAAGCGGAGCGTCCTCAGACGGATTCGCCCGTCCGGAGAAGCCCCGATGGCATCTACCAGCCGACCCAGCAGCGCCCGCAACTCGCCCGCTCCCAGTTCCGAGCTGGAGCAGGCGGCCCAGGGCGGCCAGAGCCTGTTCGCAGAACTTGCTGACCTGGAGGGTGGCGAAGAAGATTATGATGAGGGCTACGGCGCAGCCTCGCAGGTTTCGACGCCGCGCACGGCCAGGGGACTGGACTCCAGAAGATCTTCTGAAGCCGTTATTCAGCCGATGCGCAAACCCGCTATGGTCGACTCCGGTGTAATGACTGACCCTTGGGAAGGCTCAATGACTCCTGTTACTGTTGTCGATTCTACTCCCGCTACTCCGCAGGCAACGGAAACTCCGAAATTGGTCAGCTCAGGAACACAGTGGACGCCTCTGAAGCCCTCGGCCGCAGATGCGGATCACTTGACCAATGTGCCAACGCCGCCAAAGATGGCATGGGATGACCACTCAGTGCAAGAACAGCCGCGCGAAGCGACTCCTCTACCCGAACTTGGAATTGCAACTGTTCTTGCCGAAGAGACTGTGCCCGAAACACCTAGATGGCCGGAACTGAGCGTTTCCTACATGATGGGAGGCGTGACCACACCTGTGCAACATGAGCTTCCTGCGCCTGAAATCCCTCAGCTCGCCCTGTCTTCCGTCTTCACCCAAACTACCGAGCCGGTTGTGGCCACGATCCCCGAGCCGGTGCGCGAGATTCCTCAATTATCGTTCTCGTCTTTGTACAGCCAAGCCACAGAACCCGTTCTGGCACAGCTTCCCGTATCTGCGCCGGAAGTGACCACTGCAGACGCAGGAACCAGCCCTGAACTGGTCGTTTCATCAATCTCTTCTGCATACACCGAACCGGTTGCAGCCCGGATACCCGAGTCTGTCGTGGTTCCGGAGCCGAAGGTTGAACACCCAGCGCTATCGGTCTCCATGCTTGATGCTGTCTTCACCCAGCCACAAACACACCAGCCCGTTGCACCTCCAGTGACGCCACTCTCATTCTCTACTGTGAACTCGGTTGAAACCCTGCCGGTCAAGTCTGTGCCGCGCGCCATTCCAGTAGTGGCAGATCTGTCCACCCAAACCGAGTCTAGCCAAGCTGGTGGCGCGGCTGTGGTGGTTCATGAAGACTCGCCTACTCGTAGTCGCACTACCAGCACTTCCGACAACGCCGGATTGGCATTGAGTGACATTTCTGGTAACGCCCTCCGGCAACATTCCAGCTCGGTCAACATGGACCATGGGTCTCAGACAATCTTGTCTTCGAAGCAGATCGATCAAATCCTCATGGATCGGGAGTCCAACCGCCCGCTTTCTTCCCGCGAAGGCTTCCAAGCGACAGCTGTGGATTCCGCCGCCGCGTCCCCATTCGCAACACCCAAGGCTCGACCTCGTCTCCAATCGAGACAGTCATCAACGCCAAGTTCCAAGCGGCCGAGCAGTGCCAACAGCCAGGTCTCCGTCCACAATGCGCACCCACCACTACCTGTCGATCACCGCGAGGTGATTCTGGCCGCCGAGAAGAAGTCCATCGACCTGCCGCCACCCTCGCCTACCATCATGGGCCCACCACTGGCACCTGCATCCGCATATAGAATCAACGCGCAAACGCGCCCGCGAACCCCCAACGAACAGGCTGTGCAGACCGGCTCTGCCAGAACTGTGTCGTCGCGACCAAGACTGCGGGCAGGAAGTCAAAGCCAGATGTCCAGAAGGTCGTCCGTATCGTCATTTGCATCTGAACTGGAGGAGCGGTTCAACATGAACAACCCTCACGCGGGACCCATGCCCCATGGCTACGGCCCAGGCACAGATCCACGTATGATCCAGGCGATTACGCAGACGATGATTGGCGAGTTCCTCTGGAAATACACTCGCAAGACTGTTTCTGGGGACTTTTCGTCAACGCGGCATCGGCGTTACTTCTGGGTCCACCCGTACACCCGCACTTTGTATTGGAGTGACCAAGACCCGCAGACTGCTGGAAAGAACCAGCTGCGGACCAAGAGTGTGCCCATCGAAGCCGTCCGAGTGGTTGCAGACGACAACCCCTACCCACCGGGTCTTCACTGCAGGAGCTTAGAAGTGGTCAGCCCCGGTCGACGAGTCCGGTTCACTGCTACCACCAGCCAGCGACATGAGACATGGTTCAATGCCTTGTCTTACCTGCTGCTGAGGGAGACCAATGAGAACGGCGAGGATCAGGATAACGGCGTGACCCTGGATGATATCGATGAATTCAACCCGGGCTTCCGGTCCGCTTCTCGCCAGAAGACACGGATGTCGTTCTCGTCGCAGACCAGACAACAACGCACGACCTCTGCGATGTCCATGCGGTCAGCCACCGGCCGTGCCTCACCTGCACTCAGCTCCCCTGGCGTCCAATCGTTGCAAGTCCCCGGTCAAAGATCGGCGTCTCGACTCAGCACTATCTTCAACGGGTCCATCCGCGGATCGATCGCCAGTATAAAGGGCCGGCACGGCCAGGCAGCGAGTGTCCACGACGAGAGTCTGCATGACAATGATAGCGCGGACGACCTCCGACAGGATGACGACGAAGATCGACTTGAGAACGTCCGCGCGTGCTGCGATGGCAAGCACGATGTCAGCTCGCTTTCACGCAACAGTCGGTACAGCCCCAAGGTCGACCGCCACTCGCAGCACTACCACTAGGTAGTCTTGTCTGCAATACATGGTCGACCTGCGATCATTTCGATAGAGTTTCTGGGAGCTCAATCCGATTGCGCCGCCACCCCCTAATGTCACGATTCTCCTTGCTGTTTGTTCTTGGTTCAATTCGACAATTTGCCCACCCTTCGTTCAATCCAGTGTGCGCTAAAAGAATGTCTCTCTCTTACTGGATAAATTGGTATCTATTCAGTTCGACTATTTTTCATTTCTTTTTTCCCACTCTCTACCCTCCTCACTCCTGAGACCGTCCTTCCCTTGTTTATGTTCATTCCGAGTTTGTTTTCCGGAACCCAATTTGACCCGTTCGTGTCGTTTTCTTTACCCAACTATATCTTTTTCCTTCTGTTGATAATTCTCGTGTGACCTCATTCATCTACCTTACCTACGTCTCTCTCCATCTTTTGTCCACATCAAGAACCAGTCTTTCTTTATTTTTCCATTCGTGTCGAGTCACTATTCTTGCAATTAATTTGCGCCAGAAACGTAATCCACATTCTCCCTCTTGACCGTATGTAGTAGTAATGACTCCGCATCAGATCAAACGCCGAGTGCACGTGACATAAAATCAAATCCCGCGCGAGAAATGTATAAATGCCATTCTGCCTTCTTTCCGCATTATATTCCCTTCCCCATTACTACGTACATCTCCTTCTACGGGGATTGCTCCCTGTAAATTCCCGCCAGAATGTCATCCGACGCTCCCCCGCCGCTCGGAGAGCGTATCTCTGGACTGTTCGAGCCAGCCCAGCTAATGACCTGGGCCATGTCCCGTAAGTACTTGGTTGATGTGGTTGATAACCACACCACATCCTCTACATAAGCCGCCCTTATTCATCTCTCCAGTGCACATATATTCCCACCTCATTGTTAACACCGAATCTCTCTCCCTATTCTCCTGGAACAGAGAAGGCCCGCACTGATAAATTTTATGCAGACTACTTCCGCGTCTGCGCCGAAGCAGTCTTCCAGAAAGGACAGGTCCTCGCGCCTCTCTTCCAAACTGGCCGACTCCGCGATGAAGCTTTTGGGCGCTTTTGGGTTGAGTTCAGCTGTGAGTCCACCCCGTATCTACCCTTCATAGCACTGTCATTTCTTGTCTTCTTGGCGGATACGACTTGATATCTTTTTGTCTTTTTACATGTTCGTATGTTCGTTCATTGGTCATTCATCCCATCTAACGGACATCCCCCGCGGACTAGCAATGCCGCCACGCATAGCCGCCATAGCGCCCAACAACGAGGACGAGGCCAACAACGCACCCGTAGGCTCCTCAGCTCTAATCCCACCACTGCTCAAAACCTCCTCGGGCGTGGTACTAGACATCGGTCCCGGCACCGGCACGCAGATGCCCCTGCTGCGCTCACCAGCCATCAAAGCCATCTATGGCGCAGAGCCCTGCGCCGGGCTACACGCCGAGCTGCGCAAGAAAGCCGCGTCTGAGGGTCTAGCCGATAAATACACCATCCTCCCCTGCGGCGTCGCCGCCAAGGAACTTATTCCTGCATTGGAGGATGTTGGCGTCGACGTTAATTCAGAAGGAGTCTTTGACACGATCCTCTGCGTGCGAGTCCTTTGCTCCGTTCCCGGAATGGAACGCACCGTGCGCGAGCTATATAGTCTTCTCAAACCTGGCGGTCGACTCCTGATCACGGAGCATGTGGTAAATCCTTGGCGCACGGCGAAGGGGTCGCTTGCTGGGCGTCTCGCGCAGGCGGTCTATCAGTGTCTGGGGTGGAGTTGGTATATCGGGGATTGTCATTTAGATCGCGATACGGAGAAGGCGTTGCGTGTCGCGGCGGAGGGGGATGGTGGGTGGGAGAGTGTGCAGCTGGATAGGTCCTTTGAGTGGTCTGCTATGCCGTATATTTCGGGCACTTTGGTTAAGAAGAGAGGGTAGGTAGGGAAGGGAAGGGGTTGGTTCAGGGCCTTTGATGGAGACATGTTTATTCTTATGTACTAGGCTATGACCTATGGTTGAGGACATGGATATATATATACATTCATTGCAGATATGAATGTGAATTGGGTATCATGTGTCATCGCTAATCATAAAAAATCGTCGAAAAGGGTAAATGCATATCTGTACAAGCTGGCAGTGACGAGCCGGCTGATGATCTACAAAGCCGCATTACACCGAGCAATCACGGCCTCGACCCAACCGGTTTCGGCCGTCCCGGTGGCCAAAAGTCAAACAGGTCCAACGCCTCGGCTGACCAAGGCCCTTGATCTTGGGGTTCATCTTGCTCGGCCATCGTACTCAACGAACTTTTTGTGAGCGCGGGTTTGGGCTGCAGACTGGTTTGGCCGATAAGTGCTGTCGGGTCGGAGAGGGATTTGCGTAAAGGTGCTTTCAGGCGCCTCTGCGCAGGTAGGGTTGGATTTGCATTTTGTGGATTTTCACTGGAGCGGGTCGTTGACGGGGGACCGCTGTTGGGAGAGCGTGTTTGCCTCGGGACTGGTGGGGTTGAGGTTGTAGGTGAGTCTATCGGGAGCTGAGGAACGCCCGAGAGGGAAGGTGCTTCGGTCGCATTTGGTGGTCTGCTTGCAGCTCGTCTTGCCGCGGAGGGCAGCCGTTGCGGAAGGGGTGACAATGTTGCCTTGATATGAGGGGTTTGGGCAGGCTGCTCCGGCCTAGGGCCACTTATCATTTCCTCGAGGATAAACTGAGTTGATTCCGAAGGAGCAAACTCATTGGAATCAACGTCTAGACTGACGGCTGTTCTAGAAAAAAAAAGATTAGCACAGATGTTTGGAGACCCGGGTGGGCACGTACTAACTGCGTCTCTACAGAAGTCGAAGTCGGCCGACTGCTTGGTTTTTTAGGTGGAGGCATGGACGGCTCGTTCGACGACTTTTGGGATCTTTCGCTGGGTAGAAGTGCTTGATACATCAATTTCTTGCGCGGCTTCTCGACGGCCATGCGCAGGGTGTTCATTGGGATACCTGAAGCAGAGGTGCCTGCAAACGAGCGTGATTTGGCCAGCAAGCCATTTCTGGATGACTGGGGTCTTTCAGGTAGTTGAGCTGATGATGGCGGTGCATCTTTGGTTGAATCCCGCGAGGAAAATGTTGGAGCCGGGCGCCTTGCGGCCGGTGTCAACGCAGGCGGGCAAGTGTTGTTCCCGTTGGAGCTGGGCTTGGTGGGCGGTATTGTCTTTGACGTGTCCTTGGATATACTAGAACGCGCACTCTGTCTATCTGCGGCAGGCCTTGGCTTTTCTCGAGTTGATGTGACGCTTGGCGCGTTTCTCATATACTTCGAGTCCTTCATCGGTTGTGTCAAATCGGCCACCGCGCGTTGGGCACTGGAATCCACTGCAGATGTCTTCTGTCGCTTGGGCGGTGGCTGTGTAGGACGGACATTTTCAACAGGAGTGGGTGGATGCCGTTCCTCATACGGCGATACCAAATGCGCAATCGGGGTCCTCTTGATACCCAGCATATCATTAAGTGAGCGTGATTGCGTGGCCTGTGACCTGGCGGACAAGGAAGAAGGACGAGGCTGTGTTTCAGACTGCGGCGATCCCTGGCTGGGTTTCCTTTTCTCCAACAGACTCGACAAGTCTGTCTGCGCGGTGCCCATGCACTCGCCGACCTGGATCAGCGCCCCCTTATCCAGCTCCATTTCATCACCATCCTGCACTGGATCGCCCGATCGCCAGTGATGATCGCCGATGAAGTTGCCCTGCTCGTCGAAGACCATAATTCTCCTGTTGAAGGTGTGGAAGCGGAGATAGCCATCTTGCCAACGTTTGGATTTGCGACGCAGATCGTGGGTGAACAGACAACGAAACTTGACAACGTCTGCTGTGATCTGAGATGAGGGCCCGGGGCCCGCAGAAGAGGGGAGCGGCATGGATGGCGCAAGCAGAGTAGTGTGGGAGGGACGTGTTGTTGATCAGTTGCGGCAGTGCAGAAAGAGCAGTAGGGTGTGGTGCCTGAGGCAGCAACAGAATCATCCATGGATGGAATCCATCGTACCTGAACCATATCGACAACCACCACAAAATAAATAATGTTGCATAGAAGGTGGTAAAATACTGCCTACCGAACATCTTTCTCCTCGACACACTCCCCAACTAATCATCATCATCATACAGTAGTGCAGTGGCCAGAAACAAAAAGTGGAGCTGAAATGTAAAAATAGCGAAGGCGGGGAGCGAGTGGAAGGGGCCGAGCCGCATTGAAGTGAAACTAAATGCTGTTCTCTCTTTCTGCCTCTTCTTCCCCATCCCACCCCTTATTATTATCACCCACCATGCAGAGCATGCAGCGCCAGTTTGGTCGTATGACCACCAAGCGCTCGGCGGATGATAGCCAGGTCGCCGTGCTGCTGAAAGACATCAAAGACGCGGATCAGCTCTTGTCTCAAGTACGCTGGTCTCTCAACCATTGCCCCACGCCCCCATTGTTAACCTTCCCCTGCCTTTCCCAGATCATCGACTACACCAAAGCCTGGCGCGATGCCTGGACCTCCGTTGCGACACACCAACTCCGCATGGCCGAGGAATTCGACGGCATGTACGCTCCCATCGTCGGGTCCTCGACCGCGCCCACCGCACATCGACCCGTCGACACGGATCCCATGTTGCTGAGCCGGACAAACAAGCTGCGACGAGATTTTGACGAGCTGCGGACCGAATTGTCGCAGGAACTTATGGACATTGAGGCCCGCATGACGAACCCCGCCGAACAGGCAAAGCACTTCCTGTCGCCAATATGGAAGACAATCAAAAAGCGCGAAGAGCGAAAGGTGAGCCTTTTCTTCTTTATAAGAGATTGATCTAACACATCCACCGAACAGCTGGACTTCGAGCGCTATCAAAACAAGGTCGATGGCTACATGAAAAAGACCAAGCGCACCGACCGCGACAATATGGCTCTGGCCAAGGCCGAGACAGAGCTGGCCCAAGGCAAAGCAGTACGCATGCCCTTTAGTATACACTTAACCAACAAAAGCTCACTCATTTTAGAACTACCAAGCTGCAGACGAAGACCTCATCCGGCGCCTGCCAAAGCTGATCGCGCTCACGTTCTCCCTCATTCCTATCATTTTGAATGCGCAGATAGAGATCCAGAACCGTCTGCTGGGTCAGTACTACACGGTTCTGCATGCCTACTGCGAGGGGGTAGGGTTCCCATCGCCGCCACCGCCAATGGACCAAATCATCATGGACTGGGAGGACGCCCACTTCCCCGTCCGAAACCGCTTCGAGAGCTTTGACTGTCTGGCCCAGGGCAAATCCATCCAACAGGCATCAGCCGACCTGCCCGAAGAGAAATCCAGCCGGTTCAACATCCTCGGCAAGAGTCGCTCCAATGGCAACATTCCCCAAATCCCCTTCACCAAAAAACCCTCCGTCCCACCCCCATCCTTCCATGGCAGCAGGTCCCCATCCCAATCTGAGGACATGCCGCCCTCTCTGCCGAACAACAAACCCCCACCGCAAAGATACCCATCCCCTTCACCTCCCGCTTCACTCATGACGCGCCCCAGCACCATGTCCATCAACAGCTCCACCGCCACCTCCCCTCCCGCATCAGATTACCAACCGGCGACCCCCCAGCCGGGGTTGGTCCAGTACGCCCCCGCGGGGCCGAAAATGGACTACTTCAGCCGCGAGCGCAACGCCGCGCCGTCGCCCGCCCAGACAGATTATACGAGCGCCATCGCTAAAAAGAAGAAACCCCCACCACCGCCTCGCGCGCCATCGCAGAAATTCGTGCGCGCCCTATACGACTTCGACGGCCAGGGTCCCGGAGACCTGGCGTTCCGCGAAAACGATCGTATCCGCATCGTGCAGCGTACCGCCAGCACGGATGACTGGTGGGAGGGCGAGCTGGCGGGTGCGAAGGGTTCCTTTCCTGCAAATTACGTGGAAATTATTTAAGTGTGGTGGATCTAGGTTGTTAGATTGTCCTGTGATGATGAATCCATGATATGTAAGTAAGTAATTCGTGGAGGAAAAGCTGCCTTTCTTCCTCCGGATTGGACCGTTAGCGGAGCAAGCAAGGGCTTGCTGCATTTCTAGTATCTATTTCCTATTTCCTAAGTATACCTGGTCAATTGAAATTGCTTGAAGCGTCTTTGAGTATTTTGTAGTTTCCTCAGTGGAGCCGTATATCACCTTGGGTTTGAAGAATGCTCTGCAATACCCTGATTCCTAAGGACCCTTCTAGGTATTGACCACGTGTTTCAGAAGTACCTGGTGTACAACACAAATATAGATAGTACCTCATTGGTACCTTCTACACCCTAATACAGCCCAAGTCGGAAACAGATTCCCCTTCGTACACCCACGAATTGTATCTCGAACTTTAACTCGAAGCGCACTAATATGCATTTGGCTACTCTATAGATAAGCCTTGCTTAGTTGTATCGTGTTGAGTGGCTTCGCTAGATGAGTCATTGTTAAGTACTGTAAATCTCGTATTGAATAGTGCTGGCAAAAGTAGCGCCCAGACCTCCCTTCCCTAGTGCTGACTCTATTTATTATCCGACCTTACACACATACCTACCAAACCCCCGAAATAACCATTCTAGCCGCTAACTACTCCGGCTTAAACCTCTTTCTCTTCCTTATCTCTAAACCCCGAAGAAGCTTTTTTGCCCCCGATGACGTCTGCCGACTCTGAGACTCAACCTGGCCAGGAGCAGCACGTTCCGCTCTATCGAGGTTCCTGTCACTGCGGCTTTGTTACCTATGAAGCGCGCATCAACTTTAAAGAACCCACAGCTGAAGCTTCGGACGGCGTGCTCTGCAGGTGCAACTGCAGCTACTGTCTCAAAGCCGGATTATTGATTACGGAGCCGTTAAAAGACTCATTTCGGCTGCTGACGCCAGGGAACGGCGACGACGGGAAGCCAAAACTTCCCGTGTACAAATTCGGCTCCGGTGCTGTTTCACACCTCTTCTGTCCCCACTGCGGCGTGACCTGTCATTATTACGGTTCGTACCTGACAGATGAAGGCGAGACGGTTCCATTTACGCGGCTTAATGCACAAACTGTTGATGGGCGCGTGGATGGGATGCAGATGGAGAGCCTGAAACAAATTAAGCCTAAGTACTGGGATGGGAAGTCTAATGGCTGGCACAAGGGCACGAGTGAGGAGCCATGGGACGGAGGCGTATGGTAAAAGAAAGGATAGACATCACGCTTCGCGTGCTTTTTTACCTGGCAAAGGCTCCTGTAATAGGCACTTGCAAGCATGATATCAATCGTGCTAGAACTGGCTGAAGCTTAGTACTCTTTTTGGTGGCCTCTTGCTGGGCGGTATGTGTATCTAGGAGTCGGGGCGTATTGCTAGTCATATTCCTACGCTTCAGGCTCCTTAAGACTGAGAGAAAGTAGTTACTGTACCTCCTTCAGAATTTGATCCCGGAGGTTAGAAACCATTAGTGGAAATATTCCGCCAGCGAAACCAAGTGGCTGAGCAGTAACTCGGTCAATTTCTTCCTTGGTCTAGTGGTCATGATTTCCGCTTGTCATTAATACTGAGAAGCGCGGGAGACCGGGGTTCGATTCCCCGAGGGAGAGTCATTTTTTTGCCTTTTGAGGTTTTACTTTTTAGCTTTGGCATACGTGTATTTTTGAGCCATAGGGGAAAGGACTGATATTTTTTGTGAGGATAAAATAAATATATTTGTTCTGTTCCAACAATCTGCTGATATAACTAAAACGAAACCGGGCTGTCCTGGATATAACAAAGTCAATACCGCCCACCATCCAATCCAAGTCAAATCGTAAAGGAGTGAGCGGGGAAAAATATGAGAAGCCCCCAAAAAGAAAAGGAAAAAACCACCGTCATAGACAAAATTCACTACAGAAACGCCCCGCTGGCCTTGTTCTCCCCAGGCACCTCCGGCCCCGTCAGCTGGCGTCGACTGCTCAAAAACATCTCCACCATGCGTTTGCTGGAGATCGTCGAATGGCCATCCTGGAGCTTATGGTAGCTGTCCATCATCTCGTTGGGCCCGTCTTGCTGTCGCACATTCTCGTTTGTCAAGTCTCGGTTGTCAAACCGCGTGCCCAGGGATCGGAAAGGTACAGCAGATTTGCCGTCACCTACAATGGGCAAGCGTCGCACCGAATACCGTCGATACTGCTCCTCAGTGCGCATTCGTTTCCGACAGTCAGCCTTGTTCCTCTTGGGCGTCGGCGACTCGGGGGATGACAACAAGTTGCGGGCATTCAGTCGCATCGGCGACGGCGATTGATCCTCGGGAGCTGGAGGCGATGTCTGATCAACCAAGCCGGCAGCGGAATCCATTTTCAATACCTGTGACGGGCTGGTCACGCTGAATCCCGGCTCGATCTTTTGAGATGATCTGACTGTCCGTAGGCTCGAAGATCGACTGAATGGACGAGAGAAATTGCTTTGAGTCAATGAATTGTGCTCCGGCGCCATGTAGTCGCCGCCCTCGCCCTGGACAGGTGCAATGAGCGAGCTGTTGGCTGCAACGAGTCGTCGTTGGGTCATGTTCTTGAAGATCCCGTCATCATCGTCTTGGAATTGCGCAGTCTCCCTGATATGCTCCCTGGTCGGCGAGATCTTCTCGATTCGCTCAATCTGGGTATTCATCCATTGCTGCCAATCTGCGCTTGGCTGAACCCGGGGCTTTGAAGAGACGGAGGCGGACCCACGCTTTGGAGAAGTGTAGACTGTTCGTTCACTGGCAAATATTGTCGCCGTTCCTGGTTCTCCGCGCATCTCTGGGAGATCATCTCCATCGCTGTTCGGAGGAGTATCGGGGCCTGTAGTTCGAGAATACACGCTCGGGGAGTCTTTTTCGCCGGTTAAGGCTGGGGAGCGGTTGATGGTTACACTTCCACCATCGTTAAACACTTCCACTGTAGCATACGTCGAACGGACTGGTAGATTGGCCGAGATGGCACTGAGAGACCGATCATTCTCCTGACCCGAGATGTATCGAGGTACCTTGAGAGGCGGGATAAAAGCAATTGAACGTGGGGGCCGTCCTTGCGGAGTCCGCGAATCACCATGATGTGCCGTTATAAAGGACCTGGGAGACGTGAATGAGTCTTCGCTGGAAACATGACGAACGGTGCATCTGCTGCGCCGCGAATATATCGACGCGGTGCGCTCAGGGACAATGCGATGCTCTGCCACGGTGCCAAGGATTATCTCTTCATCCGCATCTTCATCAGCATCCTTGTTAATTTGCCGCATCAACGCCGCATACAAATCCTGGCTGTCAAAAGCCCCCGGTGGTCTGCCAACAGGACGCTGAGACGAGTTTTCCATGGTCTCCGTCCCGGTCATCGGTGCAAGTTGTTGGTTCAGATCATCATGCTCTTCAATCAAAGACAGCGACTTTCGATGCCTGGCATTTCGTGTTGCGATGGTGTTTGCCGTGGTTGAGTCGACCCAACTGGTTACACGAGAATTGGACGTGCAAATACTGTTGCGGCTGGGAGAGACTAAAAGATGTTGCGGCATATGGAAATCAAAAGGTTCGACCATGGCGTATCCGTAATGTTTGCTGTCGGAATTGATATCGGTAGTAACTCCAGCACGGCCAGGGTATTGTAGATCGCCTCGAGATCCAGTCATTTGCTGCGGCGGAGGCTGCTTTTCAGCTGTCTTCGAATAGCCGAATACGCGCTTGATACCCCTCGTGAATGATACAGAGAAGGTTCGGGGCCTGCCGTGACCGCGTCCAGATTTGGTTTGTTCAGAAAGAGGACCAACGCCAGCCTCGGTTTCACTTGTGGCGCGGAATGTCTTCCGGAACGGCTTGTGGTCCCTCCTGCTCCTGGAAGCAAACCAAGAAGATCGTCTGGGCTGAGCGAGGGTTCCACCTTGGTCCTGAAGGAACTGGTGACGGGCAAGTTGGATAGCCACGTCCTGACTTTTGGCCCGTCGAACCCCTCTCGAAGTGTCGCGGTTACCACTTCGAAGGAAAGACATGGAGTGCCTGAGAGTCCGTGGCATTGCAATTTCCGGGCTGCGCTCGAGATCAGTCGGACCTCCATTCGGGATTGACGCGACCTTTGACGTTCGCTGTCTGGTTGAGAACATGGACTTGGCTTTGCGCAAACGGCGGTATGACGATGGCAGCTCGCTGCTACGCCCATCAAACCCTGCAATCTCTGTGATGGGAGGGAGTGCTGCAACATCCTCGATATGGGTACGGTTGCGTGGCGCATTGTTCATCTCCAAGGACTGGCGCGGAGTCAAAGGAACTGTGACCGACGCAGACGCAATCGGACAGGCCTCCCCAAATCGCTGAAGACTCGAGCCTTGGTGTCTCCGGGGAAGAGGCATGCTTACAGGCCCGCGGTGGTTGTCGTAAGGGTCTCTGGAGTCGGTGGAGGACCGCTCACTCCGGCGCATGGCGTGCGACGCCGCGGCAGCAGCATGGTACTTGGCAATTTCTGGGCCCACAACTTCTGGATCGGGCATGCGACGGGGCTTGTGAATAGATCGGGCGGATTTAGACCGTCTCAGACGGTCCCTGCTGCTGAATGTAGAAGAAAACATACTGCAAAAAGACTATGCTCAAGTATGACTGGGGAGGTTGAAGATGTGGGTAACAGAGGAGAGAGGCAAGAAGCGCTGGACCGCGCCAAAGAGGGTTGGTGGCTGCCATGGTTGGGATGAGGCAAGTGCGAGTCGGATGTTTGTTGACCTGGGAACAATGAATAGGGCTGGAAGGAGCGACTCGTGATGCGTCATTCGCTTGACTCACCCACACCACACGAATTATATAAGCATGCCAAACCCGCGGGTCTGAAGGTTCACAAGAACAATTCCCTCGTGCGATGGCAGACCATGTCTATTTAGATGGTCGAACCCTCGAAGGTGGTGGCCAGCTGGTCCGCAATGCGCTGGCTCTGTCCGCCTTGACCGGGCGACCCGTGACCATCGATCACGTCCGCGGCAATCGGCATGGGAAGCGGGGATTGAAAGGATCTCACGCAGCAGCGGTTAAGCTCCTGGCCGAGATCAGCCGCAGCAAAGTTGTGGGCGGAGAAGTTGGCTCACAGTCCGTGACTTTCATCCCCCCGTCGGCGTCGCCCCCAGAGTCAGCACCGACTCGAAGGAGAGACGGACTCGCTTCCGTGGTCTCGTTATCGGATGTATCGGTCCAGCCTGAATACAATATTGACCTGCCCACCGCAGGATCCGTATTTCTTGTGTTCCAGGCGCTATATCCATATTTGCTCCACGTCGGACTCCGCGCGTCTGCAGATTGCATCAGAGTGAACATCACCGGCGGAACCAACTCGTCACTTTCTCCGTCCTATGACTATGCATCCCAGGTGATGGTGCCGAACTTTGCGAGACTGGGTCTTCCACATCTATCGATGAAGCTGAACAAACGCGGCTGGTCGAGCGGACCTGTCGATCTCGGCTCGGTCAGCTTTCGCATTCATCCTCTCCCGGCCTCAGGAACCATTGAACAGTCCCGAAAGAGTGAGCGGGATGATAGCTCCTTGAGTCGCTTCCGACCGATTGGTCTTTTGAGTCACGAGCGAGGCAAAATCACGCAGATTGATATCACGATCTTGGCACCGGATAGTTTGATTCCCGGCACCTCGGAAGAAGAGGGCGAGAGGGACCCTCATGAGAAGGCCAATCATGGCAAAAAATCGAACAATTTCAACAAGCGCAAATGGAAGGATCAGGATGATTCTCACCATCACGATGACGTTTCAAATTCAGTTACTGGAGATCTTCCGAGAACTATCCGCAACTATATCGAAGACATCACCGTCAGAGCATTGCGCAATGGAATAAAAACACTCGATCCGTCAATATTTGAATCCATTACAGATGGCACAAATCGAGATCGACCCGTCCCTATCACAATCCATACGTCGGAGGCGACCTCTCATCGCAGCCATAAGTATATTCTGCTCGTGGCTCACACATCCACGGGATTCCGAATCGGACATGACGCTATCTTCGGCTTCGACGGTAGTCGCGGCGGCGGACATGCAACAAAAACAAATAAAAATCGAGGAGGTAAAAGAAAACAGGACCACAGAGAAGTTTCCGCTGCCTTTGATCTTGTCAACCAGTGTGTGCGAGGCTTTCTAGATGAAATTTCAGAGAAAGACCACGGCTTCTTTGAAGAAGAGCCTGCGGGAAGGAGAAGTTGCCTAGACGTGCACATGAGAGATCAAGTTGTGGTTTTTGAAGCTCTGGGTGAACTCTCCAGGCAGGGATTGGTCGATGGACAAGAAAAAGGCCGGTCTGAAGAGCAGGAGGATGAGAGCCATTGGTCACTGCACACTAAAACTGCGCAGTGGGTGTGTCGGCAAATGATGGGAGAGGATGTTTTGAGATGATAATATGTTCGAAGTGTCTGTTGCTTGAGTTTCTTTAACTTACTTGCATATCTTGACTTATACACACTGGTTGACTAGCTATTGGTATGTGACAAGCGTTGGATACAGATTTGTACTTTTACATTACGCAGGATCAATAATGCTTGCCACTACCAGTCCTTAGTAACGTTCTAGAAGCAGGGTTCCTATCCCTCAGCTACATCACCCCTAGCAGACAGAGCGTGCTTTCTTCCACTGCTGATTCGATTCTGGGCCGTGCAGTGTCAATTTGCAATATTATAATACAAATTAAAATTCACATCCAGAAATGCAAATACTCAGCTCCCTCATCTCATCTCTAAATATAGATAGATCCTCCATTCCCTCCACACTTTCGAATCCCGAACAATACCCAAGTTAAGACGAAATGGATCACGTCTCGCTTCATAAACCAACATGTCTTTTTGTATAACGGGGGCCGGCCGTGATTCTATTCTTATAGTTAGTTAGCCTCCTCAAGCTTGACAGGATGCGCCCCCGGCATAGCACGGGCCGAAATCTTAGCGAGTCATGCCGGCCTTGTTAAGCACGGGGCTGTTGTGGCGGCGATATTCTATGGATTTGCCGGCGCGAGCCTCTTAGTTCTAGAACGCCGAAGAGCCGCCGTTTAAATTTAGACCCAATCGTGCCTGACGTTGGTTGGAGCCCTTTCTGCGTTATCATTCCATCCGAAGAATATCATAGTTACAACAAAACTTATGTAGTAAGCTGGCCTCCTGCTAAAACTAGCTGGCGGCCATTAGTGACTGCGGCCTGGCAAGCCACGAAGTCCTTTTTTCGGTTTCTTGTTGCATCTCATTGGACTGCGTTATACAATGGGTTATTAATTAGAGCCTTGTCGATAACTAATCCGGGTGTTGAGCATATCCAACAATACCCTTCTTTTTATCGCATTTCTTTCCCACTCGTCCCAGGTAAGCACTATTTTTTATCCACACTGTATGTTGGATCCTTCGCCCTATGAAAATAAAGGCTACTACATATCACCATACCATTGCCCCGGTAAATAAACCTTGACATTATTGTAGTGTCATGCATGATTCTTCGAAATCTGCCCCGTCTTCTGTAGGTAAGGTATATATCTACATATCACTCCATTATTATGTGATGTGTCACCCCCAGATCATAAGCTTGCCTCGGCCTGGATTAAACCCCGACAGTCAAACCGCGCCCTAGGTAACTCAAACCAGCTAAGCCACACCGCAGCACCACACCTCGACCGCCGATCACGGTGAAGAGGGTGGGTGGGGGTGGCATTCCCCACAATCCACTCTGAAACGGCGAACGATGGATCAGACTGTAGTTAGTACATCGCTGCGCCAGAAAAAGGGGGAAGGGGAGGGGTGGCGGAAGACCAAAAAGACCATAGCGCCGGCCGGCCCGGAAAAGAAGCGAAGACAGTGCGGAACCTCTAGAAGCATTCTTTGTGGCTGGCTTACTCCCCCTGCTGACGCAGGCAAGACATCCCCAAACACGCCAGTCCGTTTTTTTGTGGGGGAACAGGGGGACTGCTCAGCCTCGACGGTTATGTTTCAGACAGGCACGGCCACACGATTGATAATCCATAATTGACCCGGGCAGTGCGGTGGGGATGTGTGCTGTCTGTGTGCGATGAGACACAGCCGATCGCGATCAGTGCTCTCTCCTGGTTGGTTGTGCACCCACACGCTCGGCTCCATACGGTGGTGTAAAGGGGGGGGAGGGGGGTTAGAACGGGTTGACTCGAGAGCGCAACACCCCCCTGACTGACGCCTTTCAGAAAGAAGGAACTATACCAGACATCCCACCACTTCATACTACGAATGGCGAGTATGTAACTAGTACGTAGCATGTAGAAGAATAACCTAACCTCACACCGCCATATACGCCGATTCAGCCACGTCCAGCTGCAGGCGGATCCACTCGTCGACCGAGGATCGGACCCAGGAATTAGGTACAACCCGACTACACGTGGAGAGCGGCGAAGGATGCAAAGCAAGAATTTTGTTGGCCCCTAACGGATAGTTAGGAAGGAAATCGTTGCCGACGAGTGTGTTGTATGTTTAAAACAGAAAGAAATTAGTTGTTCGGGGGGTGTTCCAGAAAGGGGGGCCAAAGGAGCCCCGGTGATTCCGTAGGTGCCGACATTACGGATTCAATCATGCAGTCGGTCCGGGAGCGAAAACGAGAGCAAGTCACATGGACGGACAACACGTCGATTATTGATTAGTTCCAACCAGGTAGTGTTCTTCATAAGAGCAATTTCGATTCAGTCAATAAGCGCAGAAACAGTGGAGGGGGTATGCCATTGCGAAAAAGCCAAAAAACAGTATCTATCTGCAACAGAACACACACGACAACGTATGCGCGGCAGGAGAAAAATTAAAACAAAAGAGTGGTCGATCGCCGATCGACGAAGCTCCTCATTAAAGAACACATTTCAAACCCATGCCCATCTGCGCCACTGCCCACCAGTGGCAGATTCTTGTGTCCGTTGGTATCCATGCAATGTGCTCTATTTCCCGTGCACATGACCAGCCGTAGCCTTTGTCCCTCAGGATCAATAAAAAAACAAAAAAGAAAGAACCCACACACCAAGGAAAAAGGAAAAGGTAGACAACAAGCGAGCGGAGAAAAAAAAGTTTCCCCCAGGTGCCCCCACATGGCGCAAATCGTTAATAAAGGAGAGGCGCAACAGGACCAGGCGCCAGTCCAGGGAGAACCATAGGGAGCGAGCGGACGGAAGGAGGAGCTGGGGATGGGAGGAAGGTCAAGTGAAGGGAAGTTGAATCGAAGCTGAACAATCAAAACGCAAAAACAAATAGAGCCGCCGTGACGCTAGGCTGTGGCCAGATCATAAACTCCTAAGCGTATGCATCATATGTGAGGAGAAGAAACAAAGGAAATAGGCGTAAGGAGGCAGGCGGAGATGATGGGGGCATAGATCCCGCCGTCGCGCCGCCCCAGGGTGTAGTATCATTCGAGCCGGTCACAGGTGCTGGCAAGGGGTCTTGTTTGGGGACTCGCTCAGCGACTCCGAGGGTAGCTGGCGTCTGTAGTCTCGGGGCTGCGCCAACGGGGAAGCCGTAGTATGTGGACGGCGCAGGTTGAGCGACTGCCGGAGTTAGTTGAATTTCACACGGTGGAAAAAGGGCGAGCGCGAGCGTACAATGCAATCTTGGCATCTGGCTCCCTCCCGGTTGACCCGGCCTCGGCAGCCGCGAGGGTAATTAACGCATGAGTACATCATGTGGGTTGGTGAGGGTGGTTGTTCGTCGAGAGGCAGGATGCGGTGTGGTGTAGAAGGTCGGCGTGGGAGCAGCCTAGAGGAGGACTGGAGAAAGGTGGATTGGGAGAAGCACAAAAAAGACCGCGACGGAACTGTCGAACTTTAAAAAAGGTCGGACAGCCAAGGCGAATAGCGGTGATGACGTCGGAGGTGTCAGGTAGCGTCTTTTCGAGAACGCGGAGCGAAGCGCACTAGATAGCGGGAAGAAGGCGAGAGCAGATCAGAGGGAAGGCAGGCAGGCTGTTTATATTGGAAGACCGAGCAGCCTCCAAAATGAAAAAAACGAACCAGAAGGATTAACTAGAATTTTAGGGTTCCATTTTCTATTACATACGAAACGGCTGTGTTCATAATATTTAATTAATTGGATTTATTTCGCCCTTTTTTCCCCGTCAGTAGTTAGTGTGTATGGCGCCCTGAACATCCGGGACCCTGGGCTCGACTTGGCGGGAGAAAAAAAAAAAAAAAAAGGAAAAAAAAAGGAAAAACACCAGTGCCCACAATTAGCGGGTGTGTCAGTAGCTCCCGTGGCCCTCCTTTTCTGCCTTGTCATTTCGGCCCTACAGACTAACTCTACTGACCAAAAAGGCCCGGCAAAATGAGGGGCCGCCAGCAAATGTCAGATCGTCGATCGTACATGAATTTCTGATCTACTGCGCGATGCTGGTCGGCGATGCATGACGACGGAAAAGGGACGGACCAATGGTAGCTAGCCATGCATGGGCCCGGATTGCGCTGGAATGACTCGCAGTGCCTGGTGGAGCAGCTGACACGGTTGGGTGGTTTCCAACAGGACAGAGTTGGAACTCACTAACGGCCGTTGGGCCTCAGATTGAGTGTTTGTTTCGCTCGGGACCATTCCAAAGGCCCGAAAAGGCCGTTCAGACGTTGTTGTTTCGAGTTGACGAGCTTCACATGGATCGCAGTTGGGCTGGATGGATCGGGGCTCTGGACCGAACCATCCCACGGTCTCGTTCCACGGTTTCCACCCGGCGTGTGTTCTGGAACAAAAAGGAACCATCCAAACGGATCGGGGCTCTGGATTTCCCCCTTTCGGTCTGTTTGTAAGCGGGTAATCTGATCTATAGTTTTCGATATCGCGGAGAGTGAAATGAACTTCTTTTTTGAAACAATGCAATTCAAGTCCAGGACTGCCGGTCCAGCCACTCACGGGGTTGGAAATTTGTTCGGTTCGTTCGTATCTCTGTGGAGGCGGTGGAGACGGGAGACCCGGCGGTCGTTTTCCCATCTGCCGTTCCCGGGCACAAGGATAATCAAAGGGCGGACTTATTGGGAGCCTCGTCCGAGGAAGAGTCTGGAGTAGAGTGCCACCCGTACTAACCGGCAGATGAAGCAGGCCGATGCGCGTGTAAAGCTTGTCATCGACCGGGATGGTTGCTAGCACACCGCCCCATCCTCATCATCACGCCGAGCAGAGCAGCTAGCGAGCTTGGCATATTGCAGTTTCGTCAGCAACCGCGTGTCGTACAGTTTGGCTGGCAGTTGCGCGGTGAGCAGAATAATCCGTCAGTCCCGGTCACTTGACCGGCTCATGTGCGCGCGCTTGCCCTACTTTTGTTTTCTTTCGATACGACGGCAACACAGTCGTGGCCTGGTTCCTAATGGCCGGTTCGGTTACTCCCGGCGCTCCTGGGTGGACCACCAACGGCTGGGCCTGCAAACTGCTGAAAACCTCTGGATGTCGCGGCCCGGAATACAAAGCCATGGGCCAAACATGGACGGTTCAGTCCAGGCAACTATTGAACCAAATGATGGAAGTTGGATACGAGCTCCGTATTCACGGTGGAATTGTTGGCAAAGGGGCCGAATAGCCGTAAGCTAGAAGACCATGGAAGCTGGGTACGTACTGTACGAAGGCCTCGATTCGTCTAGATCGCTCCATCCCTGCTCCACCGCACCTGTGGCACTATTGATCCGTATGACAAAAGTCGAAAACCTTACTATGACAACAGGCCATAAGAGAATAACCAGTCTTGACTCCTGTCGGCAAGAGTTATTTCTTGCTTTCTGCACCGGCTGTGCTGTCAGCATGACGGACCTGGCCAAAAAGAAGGCTTGCTTTGGATCAGAGAGAGGCGCGGAGAAAACAACCAGATGGAGATGACCTCATCTGATTATTGTTATCCTGCCAAGGCAGCGGTCAGGTTCAGCCATGGCGTTTCTTACACGCGGCGCCATTTGCTCACCCTGCCTTCTGCGTCCAGGCCGTTCGGGACCGGGCTCGGCTCATGTGATCGACCGTTCGCCCTGGCTAGAAGCTGTCAAAGCCCGTCTGGATGAGGAGTAACAGCCACTGTAACTCTGTCGGGTCGCTCGGCGAGCGCACGGGGTGATTGGCAATCATCGCGACGGGCGACTATCGAAGCGTTGGTTACGAGATCGCCTCGTATTTGCTGATCGTACAGCGGCCAGTATAAAGTTGTCTTATTATGATTGGACCGTGTCATATTGTATGGGCACAAGGATATTTTGTGAAGGATTGATGACTCCCGAACCAGAACGATGCATCCCGAAAATGAAATAGAGAAGTAAAGACAAGCCACCACCATAAGAAAGAAACCACGATTCAACCTTTCACGAACGCCCGAAGAATATACCAGGCCCCGAAAAGACTAAGCGCAGATGCGAGGAGCATTCCGTTCCCTTCCCAAGTCAGCCCCAGATACGCAACCACGCCAACCACAATCTCCTTTCGTCGCGCAACATCTCGCCGATGTCGCCAGTTGGGGTCGATCGAGAACGGAGCTACGACCTTCGCATCAGATGGCATGTGATCGCTGTCCGGCCCGGGGTTGACAGGCACAGACAAAGCAAGTGCAACCGCGCGATGATCTGACTGTGGAAGTAGCGGCAGCGCATCGTATACATGTGTTTTGACTCGCCCTGCGGCTCCGGCCCAGGGCGGGCTGTCGAGGTAGAGGATGCGATCACACCAGCTGGGCCAACGATGGCTCGACCATTTCCATTCCTGGTCATCGCCGTCAACGCCGTCAACACCCTTGCGCGCGGCGTCGCGAGCTGCATCGGAATATTTGTACGTCGGAGGGAAGTCAATCGGCGCTTCACACATGCCATGGAAGCTCCTGCCTTGGCGCATCTCGCGCAAGAGCTGGTCGTGTTCCAGCAGGTGCGAATAGTGCGAAGGGCTGCTGGGGTCAACAGCGCGACGAGGGAACCGAATCGTGTCACCTTTCAACGGTCCGATGTTTGAGGTGCGATAGTTGAGATCTCCCGCAAGGAAGAGGTAGGCGTTGGGAGCGAAGATATCCTGCCGCCGGCTGTCCGAAGGACGTCTTTCGTGGCCACGGAGCAAGGCAGTGTTTTCGTCGGCTTCGTCGGACTGCGCGGCCTCATGTTGCTGTGAGAATACTAGGCGCTCGACAATGCTTTGCCAATCCAGGTTTCGCTGTTCCAGACCGTTCTCCATGGCTGCCAGATGCGCGGCCACGAACGTCAAATCCAGTGTCTCCGACGGGCGCCCCTCAGCGGCATAGCCCATGCGAGCCCCGACAGCTCCCTTGTTGCCCATATCCTGGACTCCAAATCCTACATGCGCCGTCTCGATCCAGGAGATCTTGTCGGATACGTCGCTGCGCGCGAAAACCATCAACCCTGTCATTCCCGTGTGGTCCCTCACCATGTTCACGTAGTTCTCGCCCCATTGTTTGGCACTTGCTTTCTTGACAGCCTGACAGAAGGCATCGAAGTAAGGGATCAGATATGAGCCGCCCAGGAACGCGTAGGCGATTGGCGCGACCTCTTGGAGTGAGAGCACGATCAGCTCCGGCGCGGGGAAGCTGTGGGCGCCAGTGAGAGTGTCGAAGAAGTGCTGGGCGAAGAGGTCAACGTCGATGAGGTTTCGAGCACAGTTGTAAGTGAGAATGTAGACCCTCAGGTCGTCCATTTTGAATAAGTTTCAGTCTTGTCTGGGGTTGTTCGGGGAACAGAAGAAGAAAAAGAAAAGTGAGGCTGGGGAGCAATGACGTATGCGGGGCCACGTGAGTTGGAGAGCCCCAACTCAAAGTGTAAATGGAGAAGTATGCAAATCACGACGAATCCTAGTGAACAATGCGGGATCAGATTTTCGTTTTCTGAATGAGATTACTTTTGATGGTGACATCGGGCAATGGGTGGAGGCACTTTCCTCCCTCTCAGTGGAGACTGAAGAGTCCTACTCCGTTTTCCAGAGGAGCTAAACCCCACACCTGATTGAGTGTTGACCAGGCTTAGCCAAGCCATGAAAGATCGAACACTTGAGAAAGCCGAATCATGATGTTGATAAAGAAAATATAACATGCTGAAATCCCAAGTGGACCGGCCTTCTGTTAACGTTTCGGATATTTTAGGATACTACTAAATGTATGTAGTGGGCGTTGACATATGAGTATAATCGTTACGATGGCAGGTCTCGCGTTCCTCTAAAAAGCCACCTATACTTCAGCAATGCTGAACAGAGGAGGTTAAAATATTATTTTGCCTAAAGGGGTTAGGCCTGGGAAGCTGGCAGCTTGATCGACTCAAATCGAAGGGCCCACACAGTTAGTGCGGCCCCGAATGGTGCCAATATTCCTTTTTGGGATTTTCTAGTTATCACCGTAGTCTTTAGGGAAGGGGGTTTAGAGCCACTGTGTTTTGTCTCCAGTATACGTCCTAAATTAGATTTATAAAGACTGCTTCACCATGCTCGGGTCTTGGATTGTCCAAGCTTTTTTTTTTTTTTTTTTTTTTTTTTGAAAAACCCCATCTGTCCATTTTTGTCTATTTGAATTGAATTTCTGCCCTTGCCTACGCACCCTTACTCGCGGAGCATCGCATCACGCAGACTGACTTCATACGCTTCGTCAATGATCATTGATACCAATTAGCCCATTGGCTGTTTTGCATCTTCCCGGACTATGGTGTGAGTGAAAGAGATTTAGCGTGTGGACAACCTGATCAACCCATTTTAGTCGGATTTCGGAATATTTGAGATCGCGTCTGTCGATGCAACAGAGTGTGATGCTCCATCCAAGCTGAATAGACTCCCGCAACACTACTTTGTTCTCTGCCCAACCACGCCGAGAGTGCTTGTGTGGTTTTCCGGTTGACGAGAGAAATGTCCAAACAACGATCAAACCACTCAAAGCGTACCGTTGCTTCGGTCCCATTGACCATCCTCCTTCAACCCGTTGTCCTCGAGTCTCACTTTTCCTTCCTTTTCTGTTTCTTCCCGACTCTTCAATTGCTGGCGAAAAGCCACGGTATACTCATCCGGGTCCCATGCCAGAGTCCTAGTATCCATCTCTTTCAGTTTCCGAATTACCAGTAGTTCCATCTCATCCTTTTCCTTCTCATCCAACAAGTCGAGTCTCTCTTTCCACGCGCCCTCGGGATTTTCGGTGGGTCCAAAAAATCGCGGGTCGATCTTCTGCCAGTAGATCAGATCCCATCAAAGGCAAAGCTGTGCAATGCTGCGTACATTATCCAAAAACTCCACTCTCCCAGCTCTCATGCATAGGACCGGAGAGTCGCTGGTCTTCTCCCAAGCTACCCCGTTGAATTGCTGTGTCTTCACAATCCTTCATCACCTTGAGGAACGTCTTAAGACGATAATCAAACACTGTTGTCCAATCCTCAATGCCTTTTGACCAGAGCTCGGGCTTCTCAATAAGCAGCCACCAAGGCGGCGCATGGGAAAACTCAACGGGAGCTGCGTATGTGAACACCCAATCTACCACGCCGGCAATTCGCATACTCTCATTGAGAAGCACATTAGCCGGCCGTAAGTCATCACACCAAATTTTGAAAGGCCCATTCTCCAACAATGGGTTTGTGAGACGCTTGTCCCTAGCGAGCTTACGAAAAAGCTGCCGCGCCACGAATTTTCGCCGACAGTCGTCTGCAGACTCCACGGCATCATTTCTTTGGTGGACCAAATGCTCAATTTTGAGATCTGCAAGCGCTTCGAGATATGACGAAGAGGTATTGAATGTAGCACATAGCTCAGGTAGTTTCGACCGCGGTAAGCCTCCTAGACGGACAAGTTCGTTCATATTCATTGACAAAGGCCGGCGTGCTACTTCCCAGGTGAAGTCATCGATCTGGCTGAGAGATCCTATGAGAGGTAAAGAGGGTGTAGAGAGCTGAAGTAGAATTCCCGCTAGCTGCCCGTATAGCATTTCAAGCCTGTCGTTGTCGATGCTCGGGTCTAAAACCCACGTTCCTCTTTTGGACATCCTGGTATGTTGAGAGCATCGTACATTTTCGTTTCATGTTCCATATAATCCATTATAATAAATGGACTGAGTTCGACCTCTAAGTCAAGCTACAGCCTAATTGGGTAAGGCATCTGCTGCGTATCTTATAAGCTGCATAGAAAAGATCTCTTGAAACTATTCTAGAATAAAATTCAAGGCTCCCGCCGCCTTCGGATCCAAACGATGTTGTGCCGGCAGAATGGTGTATAATCGCGGAGAAAATAGTGGTACCCGCCATTTCACCTTTACTATAGGGGCTGCTTTAGCCATTTTTTAACTCAAATGTTGGCACACTTTTCTTGAAACAGGGCTCTGTCCAAAAAAAGGTTCGCCTAGTGCAGTACCGGCGCAGAAAAAAAAAGGTATACCCTACGCGAGGATCGAACTCGCAACCGCTAGATGTCACACGAAGTAGAAGTCTAGCGCGCTACCATTGCGCCAGCAGGGCCAATCAGGCGAAAAAAGCAGACGTTAAGCTACTCTAGAATGATCTCAATACCTCGAAATAAACCCACCAAGGTTTTTGTTTTCTTTTTCTACAGAAACGCGTCACTCGGTTACTCAATTCGATTATTGTTCTTCTCACACAGAGAAAAGGAGGTCAGGATACCCCCGAGGGAGGTACAGGTCGCGGAAAACTGCCGCGTCCTTGATGCCGACCGTGACGCAGTATTATACATTTTTATCAGTCTGTTCTCTCTTAGAGTTTAGTAGACGAGTCTGGACAAATCGGCATGGGAATTGTGCACTACGGGGTCTGCTATGGAGTAAATAGTACGAGTCCCAACCCCATTTATTGGGACACGGGCTGATCCTTGTCTACACCGTACCTGTAGTAAATATCCCATATTCCGACACTCCGCGACTCCCGGGGTAATCGTCGGCGAAATCGGGCGCGGGGCTCTTGCCGATCTACCAAATGCTAGGAAGTGGGCAATTCTTGCCGGAGAGAGAAAAATTTAGCTCTCGTAGCACTACAGGGACGCAGTCGAATCACAGACGGCGCAAAAGCTGTTGAAACTCGGTATTCTGCCCTTGTAACCTCAATCAATCTCTTGCGTCGGGGCAGGTCTTAGTGGTATCAAACAAGAGTGGGGTAAATCATGGGAATGGGATAGAATATGGAGGAATTCGGAGTACACAGGGGAGTTTCCTTTTTCAGCCTGGCAACTTTGTCATAACTCGTCAGAGTGAATTGGCGATCACTACCCACCCGGAGGTCCCGCTAGGGCACTTGTAATAAATAATTTTGCTTATTTTTATCTCAAAGTCACAACTTCATGTCGCATTTCTTATAAGAAATGGAACCCATTTTCCGATTTGAGTTTTTATCCACGAATTTCACATCCTACATAATGAAAATGGTTTGCCAGACTCTATTTAGGTATTCATACATGTCCCAGTGGCGGAGGTAGACTAGCGAGGAGCGTGGCGTACGCTAAATAAGATTCGAATACTACCTGGTGGCCAGAATGTGTGGAATCAAGATGTCTTCGCCGATGTTTTCCCGCCTATTCCAGGGGTATAAAGGCTTCACGCACCCATGTACACACATCGTCTGTCCTGTGGGTTGTTCCTCTAAAGTTGGCTCATTAGAACTATCGATTGAGGCAGACTAAATGCCCACCATGCGTCTGTTCTCCCATTTTCTTTTACTATTCGTTTCAGTCACTCTCGACTCAAGGTCACTGGCGCAGCAGGTCCCTGCCGATCGACGTGCGGCACTGTATCCTGCTTATACCTATGTACCCTCCGTTGACGCCGACTACAAGCCGCATCCCCATGAGGTTCCAACTTCTTACCGTAACTTGACTATTAACCCTCTGGTTCCCGGACTAGTTCCGGTACCATCGACTCCGCTTCCCGACCTTCCTCCTCTGGGCTCTCCTCCATATCCTACGTCATATTGGTACGAAGAGATCGAACACAACGGTATCTCGCCATTCATAGTGAACGGTTCATCGTGGAAAGTCTTTCGCAATGTGAAAGATTATGGAGCGAAGGGAGACGGAGTCACGGACGATGCTCCGGCCATCCAGGCTGCGATTGATGATGGAGGCAGAGGAGCGAGTGGCAATAGTTTTGGGACTACAGGCCAACCAGCTGTAATATACTTCCCTGAAGGAATATATCTGATGGAAAACAATGTCCAGTCATACGTGGATACAATGTTTATCGGAAACCCCATCAAACGACCTACGTTGAAAGCCTCGTCGAGCTTTAGAAATTCGACGCTTCTCCACATGAAGGATCCGTCTTACGATGCAACCATCAATTTCTACATTGTCGTCAAGAATCTGGTGTTGGATTCAACTTCTTACCCTTCAAGGAAGACGTTCACTCTCATGGATTGGTCCGTATCTCAAGCCACCCAATTGACCAATGTCCTGTTCAATATGGCTCCTTCCTCGCAACACACTGGGGTTTCGACTCCAGAAGGCGGGTCAGGGACATATATGGGCAACCTAGATTTTGTGGGAGGCGCGATCGGCATCAACATGAACAACCAGCAGTACAGCATCAAGGACTGTACATTTACCGGCACGAGGACCGGAATATACATCACCCATGGCTTCGATATGGTCTTGCAGGGCATGGAATTTACCAACTGCGAAGTTGGAATCAACGCTACAAATGGTGGTGCAGGAAATGTCGGAAGCTTTGTTTTACTCGACTCGATCGCAAACTCCGTGAAGACGGTGATAGTCACGAAGAGCCAGAATGTCTCTCCAAATTCAACTACGGGTGATGATTCAGTTGTCATCCAGAACCTTCGAACAAGTCAGGTCGGCAGCACTGTTGTGGCTGGTAATATGGTCCTTCTGCAAGGGGATGTTCCAGAAACGTGGGTGTATGGCAACGCATATCTCGCGGGGGGTCCAACAGCCGGTATACATGACCCTGGTACCACCTATCAGACCCCTAGATCGCCAACCCTACTGGTATCTGATCGTTATTTCACGATGGCGCCCCCCACATACCAGGAGCATGACGTGCAGCAAGTGGTGAACATCAAGACGGTGAAGAACTTCCCCGTCTACGGCGATGGCCAAATGGTACGCTTCTCCCCATCCATGTCATACCGACATATTGAGTATTACGTTTAGGACGATACGCACAACATCAATGCAATTCTTGCCCGTAACGCAGGATGTGCAATCACGTTTTTCCCGGCAGGCACGTACCTGGTGTCAGATACCGTCTACATTCCCTCTGGATCTCGAATTGTGGGCGAGGCGTTTTCGGCTATAAGTGCGGTAGGCGCTGAGTTCGCCAGCGCCAAGTCACCGAAGCCCATGGTGCAAGTTGGCAAGCCAGGAGAGGTCGGAATGGCTCAGATCTCGGACATGCTTTTCACCGTGGCCGATGTCCTACCAGGATGTATCCTGATTGAGGTGAATATGGCGGGAATTTCTCAAGGAGACGTCGGTATTTGGAACAGCCACTTTCGTGTTGGAGGGGCGGCCGGATCGGCCGTTGAGACGAAATGTCAGGGCCCAAGCCCGTGCCAAGCGGCCTTCTTGCTCCTTCACCTGAGGCCAAGTGCATCGGTATATATCGAAGACATGTGGGGTTGGACAGCCGACCACGACCTGGATGGAAATTTCAATCAACTCATCAGTACAGGCCGAGGTGCACTGATCGAATCCACTCGCGGCGCATGGCTAGTCGGCACCGCCTTTGAGCACAATACGCTTTACCAATACAACGTTGTCTCTGCCTCGAATCTCTACATCGGGATGCAGCAGTCCGAGACCCCATATTGGCAAGGTACAGGCGGACCTGCCCAAGCTCCTGCGCCGTGGAGCCCCGATGCTGCCTACTCTGACCCTACCTTCTCAAATTGTGGCTCGAATGACCCAAACTGTCGGATGGCATGGTACCAACGTGTCGTCTCGGGGTCAGAACTGTATATTTATGGCTCAGGATTCTGGACCTTCTTTAATGATGTAGGAGATTGTCTCGGTGTCAACGGAACGTGCCAGAACAATGCGGCAGAGATCACGGGAACCCCAACCCAACTCTATTGGTGGAATTTAAATACGAGAGGATGCTTCAATCTGTTGATTGATGATGGAAAGGTTTTGGAGACACAGAACAATAATCCGGGCAGCTGGGGTGCAATCGTAGCTGCCACCCTCACTCATGCTTGGTTGCATTAGGATTGCCATTGTGAAGGGCTCTGAATCTCTCTGTCAGTCAAAAAGCATAAAACACATGTTTGTTTTAGATAGCATCCCATAACAGCACAAAAGATGCCTATGAATAGAGTAGAGGGGTGAATTGAATGCGTTCACCGTGAAGATTAGAGGCGGAGAATCGTAGACAGTCAGTCTATTGTGGTAAAGGAACCGGGAGGCAACACCCTGAGCGAGATGAACATAAGGATAATGTTTCCCCAGCGTGCAGCCGAATATGTTGCAAAGATTGCCAAAGAAAGAGGTGTTACGCGGTCGCTCAGTCCATCAGCGTTTGATATGAGCGTGTCTTTCTCACCTGACGCAGGATAGAGTTGCCAGTGTACCCAAAAGTTCACAAGGCAGATAGGCCAAGAGACGCAGAGCGCCACGAGTGAGAATACCCGCCAAGCTACCTGCTCAGGTTTGGTTGGGAATGTAAAGTTCCATCTATCTTAGACATTAGCTTTGCCAAGAAACGGTGGTTTTGCAAATATAACATACCGACAATATGTATTCCACAGAAAAGCAATGCAACGAGCAGGCCAAAATGATCACAGTTCAAGCTATCCCTGGTGAATATGGTTTGGCCTTTTTTATTCTTAAGCCTATCTCGGTCTGTTCTTCTACCCTTCAGTTAAACCTTTTCTCGACTCAGAATAATGATACCTGGAGCTGCCTGGCATTTATTACAAGCAACCGAAATTCTTTTATTTTGGAAAACCAGGATGAGGCCTTCCCTTCGCAATCCGTGCCGATCTGGGTAAAACCTCACCAATGATTTTGAAGGTATCAATATGCTGATTTTACCTAGGCAGGTACATATTTGGGCTGTGGTCACTTTGCAAACCGGGAGACTGCCCAAGACGGTAGATTAGTGCGCAGTAATTATAATAACTACCTATCCAGTGTCTATATTTTGTACCTATCTGACCTATCTATTATATTACATCTGTTATCCGCGTGAAGAGACCGATTATCAACAAGAAGAAGGACATGCCTCCATCCACAGCCGACAACCCCCTTCGTCGCACGCGACATCCACCCACGCGAAAGATCGCATCAGCTCCTGCATCTTTGCCCAAGATTGAACATTCAGTGTGTGACACAACTTCCGTAATTGTCCAGCATACCAGCACCGTCGCTCCACCTCCCCATCCTGCGCCGCAATGCCTCCGATCATCGAGCACCAAAGTAGAATCTCAATTTTACTTTTATCGTCATCCTCATTATCATTGGCCAAAGAATCACTGCTCCGGCGGATCGCATCTTGCAGCTGCGACACCAGATTCTCCCTCGTCGGCCGCGTGGCTGGGATCGGGAATGTGACGTGTGTACTGAACAGGAACGCTGTTAGCCAGCATGCGCGGTAGACTTCCACTGTCATTGCCATTGCCACTGCTGTCGTGTGGGACTTTTTTCCTTCTTGTTGTACCTCTTCAACTCGTTGATGACCGCTGTTGTTCTTCTCGAATATCCCCTCCTCCAGCAACAACAGCGAATCTGACGGCTTGGGCAAGCAAAGCAGCCGATGCTGCACCAGGTTCCGGATATCACCCAGTTGGTCCATCGCCATGGCGTCATCCTGTTTCGGCAGGTGCAGCTGCACCGCCTGTGCGAACTCGCTCAGATCGAGCAGCGTGCGAATGATTGATTTCTTGATTCGCAGCGTCTGCAGTTGTCGGAATCCACCATTGCATAGGGTCGTGTGCCACGGCCGGATCTTTTCTGAGGTGGAGGAGATTTGCAGGATTTGGAACGGCGAGTCGCTTCCGTACATGTTGCCTGTGGGGTCGATGATGGGGAATTCGGGTGTGGAGAGGGTGAACATGGCGTATTTCAGTGAGGTACTGTTTTCACAGTCATGAGTATTCCCGACTCAGAAGAAGACAGCTGCTGCTTAGTACAGTACTTACTAGGACAGAAACCATGGCGCCCCGTATAGTTTCACCGTATGCAAACCCCCGTTCCGCGTCACCAACTGCCGAATCGCATTCCAATGCACGCCGTGGAAGGAGCTGAATCCGTAGAAATCCAGACCCTGTAGGTCTTGCAGAGGCGGGTTGAACGGGTTATAATCCTTAGCCAGCGATTCTCGCATATCGTCGTGTACCGCCAGAAAACAGATAGAAAGGATGATTTCGTCGAGGGTGCGCGTGCCGATGATCGGCCCTGTAATGGCCGACTGGAGCGCTCGCAGCGCGGCGCCCTTGTGATAGAGCTGTTCTGTTGAGCGGCTGGGGTAGTTGATGGCTCCGTGTTTCTGGGCTGTGCGTTCAAGATGGACCGACGCTGCCATGCAGGTTGAGTGGAATAATAGGGGAGACCATGTCCCCTTTAGGTAGGCCTCGAAGCAGCCCTCGATCCATGCGTGAGAGCGACGGAGAGATGGGACGAGGGTTGTGAAGACTGAAATTGCCAGTCAGTTTCAAATACCTAGGTAATGACGAAGATGAGGTTGGGAAAGTCGCAGCCCTACAATGATCCAGCAACTGGTAATACCCCGGATCGCCGCGTCCGTTCGCGGGTCCTCCAAACGGATCAATCTGTCCATCTGCGAGACGGGTCAAGTGCAGATGCACGATGCGGTTGATATTGCGCTTGGTCTTGTGAAACACACTGTTGTGGCGTGTGTTGATGGCCATTTCCATTGCTTCGCCGCATTGGTTACAGACGGTGCTCGTGCTCGTCCCATGCCCTGCTTTGATGCTCACGCTGCAAAAGACACAGCAAGACCGGTCACCGTTGCTGCTGCTCGCTAGGCCGGACCTCGTTGAATTCAGCAGTCGTGCCTGTCTTGATCGCATGGTCGTTTTCGACCTGTGAGGCGACGCTAGCTGGTGGTGATACCCCCGCGTGCTGGGTGCGATTTCTTCGGTCGATTCGTCCACATGCGAATTCAGCAGCTCTGGAGATCGCTTCTCTAGTGACATTCTCTCTAGGTAGACGCGCCGCATCAGTTGGGACCGGATCTGACGACGGTCCTTGATGGTATCCATGGACACCAGGCCGGGGCCATTGATGATAACGAATCGATCTGACTTGTCCATATTTCTACAATAGGGATTGCGGTTGTAGTTGTAGCTCTTCTTTCATATGCAGAATAGGACATGGTATCAGGGCAGATTCTCTCTCCACTTGGTGCTTTACTAGGTGGTCCAAATGCCACAGCCTGATCACCTGATCTGCCCTATACGGAAACTGTGCCCCGATGCAATTCCCACAATGCAGAATTTTCTCCCTTCTCTGTACCTATAAATCCAGACAGAATAGATAGACAGAATACAATTGATCTCATTGTCTCTGAACACATGGTAAATTTCTCTGGGATACGCCTACATCATTATCTCCAAGATATGATATCCCATTCGGGACAGTGGTGGCATTCTCATCCCTACAGTAGCTGGCACAGAACACTAGGTAGTTACATATGGTACCTTAGTTACTACAGCATGTAGGTAAATCAGCTAGTAAGACACGGTATACCTGGTCTTTTCTGATAAATTGGTTTAAAAGACCATTTCCTACTATACATTATTTTTATGTAGCGTATGAGAATAAATACAGCAATCTGATAACTAGACTCCCTTCGCAACCTTAGCATCGTCAAAAATGATAGTATCGACATGGGAAACGGCACTTGCACTTGTACCCTCGCTTCTTTTAGTTAAAACAATCTTTTCCTCCTCACTCAATTGCTTTCCACCTCTCGCAAGCCTGAGAATAGTAGCCGTTGCGATCTCAGGGTTGCTCCCGTCCCCGAAGAGCCGATATTGCGCACTCGAACACATCCCGAAATACACCGCGTGGAGAATTGGAATCGCACGGATTGGGTTCGAGGAGAAGGTGAAGATCCGCGAGAGAAGGCGCCCGAAGGTCGGAGCTGCGCCGAGATCATTGGCCAGCGAGTCACAGTATGGGAGGAAGTGGGCGGAGACGGTGTGTCGGTCGGATTGGATCCACTGTTATGGTGAGTGATATGTTAGTGAACTTGGCCTTCTTGAACGCAAAGGAAAGAAAAGCTACCTGTCTGGCCCGTTCCTCCTCTTCAGATGCGATCAATTCGAACATCCGTTCAGCCGGTGGAAGCTGGATCCTCCCCGTTAATATCGCAGTGACCCATCGCGCCTGTAATTCCACGGCGGGCTGAATCGGCCCGGGTAGTTGAAACACGCCCATGATAAATAGATTGCGGATATGAGGAGGAACGGTCAATCGGTATAGATGCACCGAATTTGGAGAGTCCATGAACTTGCTGTGTTTGGAGCGATAGCAGTCTTCGGAGATAAATGGGTAGTCGATGTCGTATCCGGTACAGAGTATGATTGCGTCCAGATTGTTGAGTGTCAATCCGTTTGTCAGTGACAATCCCGTGGCGGTAATCTCTTCCACGCTGGCGCGGTGAGGGGTGATACGTCCCACTTTTATATTCTCGATCAGGCTGGAATGGATCGCAGGATTCGCTCCCAGAATATCGTGCTCCGGTTGCAGTTCCGGTGGAAGTTCCCCCGCAACAAGCTGGATGAGCGTTGTCAGGCCCCATTTTGAGATGGATGCCGGGAGCACCGATTGCGAGAACCGGCCTGTTTGGTTCAGTCGTTCAGCTCAGGTCGGATCAATGAAGTGAAGAAGAAATGAATGAACTCCACCAAACTGATATAGAAATGAGACTCACTATTCCATGCATGTATCGACTTGCCGAATATGTACCGTGGTAACACCCACCCTCCTCTTCTCGTCACCAGATGGCATTCCTCCGTCTGCCCGCATATTTCAGACGCAATGTCGGCGGCAGAGTTACTCAATCCGATAATCGCGACTCTCTTCCCACTGAACCCTTCTGGTCGGCGATAAATATGACTGTGGAAGAGCCAACCCTGAAAGCTTTCCATCCCCTTGAATGCAGGTATGTGTGGTTTTGTGCTCTTGCCGGAGCATACCAAAATAGCGTCGTACACTGTTTCCCTTGACTCTTTGTTTTTTGTTGTGTATTTGATATTCCATCGATTATCTTCCACCTGCTGACATGAAACGACCTTCGTGTTGAACAGGATGTGCTGCTTGAGCCCGAAGTAATCCGCATATTCATGGAGATACTGTAGGGAAGCCCGATGGCCGTAGAAATCCGGATATCGCGCTGGATCCATGGGAAAATCACTGAAACTCGACGTGTCGCGGCACGTGTTGGAAATGGTGCCCTCGTACATGGAGGACTGGGCCTGGCTGGTGGCAGGGTCGGGTTCTTCGTAGTACCATTGGCCACCGATGTTGTCGCGGGCTTCGAAGACAGTCACCAAAAATCCTTCCGCGAGGCATTGCTTAGCTGTAGCAAGGCCCGAAATGCCTGGAAACTCCGTGGTGTAATAAGTTTGCTGCTCATTGCGATCGGGTGAGAGATACGCACCGGCTCCGACAACTGCAACTTTTATTGCCATGTTAATCTCTGAGACAGAGTACCAAGTTATAGTTAAGGAGAAAGGAACACTGCGGGTATAAAGTTATTCGTGAGTATCAATTGTTCTTATACCTCCAGAGATGAGATCCGAGCTCCTGCCCAATTAGCCATGGTGGGCCCATTGGAACTATCCCGGCTCGGATCTACTAAGAAGGAATGCTTGAGTTTGACTAAATTCAAGTTTGGACGCGGTGGAGCCGATGATTAACTTATGGTCAATGCTTCTACCAAAATAGGTAACTAGGTGTCAAACACAACTGGTCCGCGCTAGCTCTTATAACTGCAACTTTTATTTGTCATGTTAGTCTCTGAGGCAGAATGCCAAGCTACAGTTAAGGAATGGAACACTGCGAGTATGAAGTTGATCGTGAAATTAGCATCATTTGATCTTGTACCTAGAGGAATGAGATCCGAGCTCCTGCCCAATTAGCCATGGTGGACCCTCTAGAACTGTTGCGGCTTGGATCCACTCCGAAGGAGTGCCCGAGTTTGACCAAATTCGAGATTGGACGCGGTGGAGCCGACGATAACTTACGGTCAATGCTTCTGCCAAAAACAGTTAAATAAGTATCAAACAACCAATCCCACTGAGCAAAAAGGAGATGTCATGACACCTAACTAGGCCCCTATTAGGTTAGTAGCTATGGTGGATTTTCTGGCTGACGTTAGGGCATCTCGCCGGGCTGCCAACGTATTGTACAGCCTCTTGACCCAGTACACACCGCACGTACAGAGGATACTCCCCGGTAGAAGGACTGTATTATCCGAGAGATGTTTCAGTCGTAAAAGAATGCCATACAACAGTATTCCGACCTGACACCATTTATCGCAATTCGAACCCCACGCGAGGGACTGATGGCTATGTTTCTTTTATCACCCCCGCCTTCTCTTCCCGGCGTCTATTCTGAAGATTAGTTTGAGAAACAATTCCCACCACCATGTCAGCAGTCGAAGATGAAATCACGCCCAAGCCCTACGACTACGTAATCGTCGGTGGCGGCACCGCCGGACTCACGCTGGCAGCACGGCTCTCCGAGAATCCCGGCGTGACAGTAGCTGTCCTTGAAGCTGGCGAAGCGCATCTGAATGATCCTCGGGTCATGACTCCCGCCCTGGCGGTCTCGTTGTACGATGATCCGCAGTATGACTGGGGCTTTAAAACCGTTCCACAGGTGAGCATAATCCTGAGACTACAACCTACATGCTCATGTTCAGTATTTCAAAAAGACTAAACAAACCAACAGAGACACTCCCTCGACCACGTCTTCGCATGGCCCCGCGGCAGAGGTCTAGGTGGCTGCAGCATGCTCAACTTTGGGGTCATGACCTATCCGTCGAAACGGGAGATCGACAGTTGGGGCGCCCTGGGCAGCCCAGGCTGGTCCTGGGACGAGCTGTTCCCTTATTTCCTGAAGTCGGAGAAGTACCACCCCCCGCCCGAGGGCACGACAGCCGCATTGAACAGCGCGTACGTGGAACGGGATGCGCATGGGCACGACGGTCCCATCCAGACGTGCTTCGCCCAGGTCTCGGGCCCGTTCAACGAAGTGTGGAGGCCGACGATGGAGAAATTGGGGTGCAAACTCAGCGGGGATCCGAAAAAGGGAATTGCCATGGGTGCATATACGCATCTGCATTCTGTCGATCCGACATCGCGGACGAGAAGTTATGCGGTCACCGCATATTATCTGCGCAATGCGCACCGGAAGAATCTCTCCGTTTTGACGGGGGCCGTCAGCACGAGGATTATTTTTGAGAAGGATGGTGTCAAGGAGACCGACCTGAAGGCCGTGAGTGTCGAATTCACACACAATGGCACATCGCATGTCGTTTCCGCAAACCACGAAGTTCTCCTCTGCGGAGGCACTCTGGGATCTCCCCAGCTTCTCGAACTCTCCGGAATCGGGTGTCGTTCCGTCCTCGAGTCGATTGGAGTCGAGGTCCTCGTTGAAAATGACAATGTCGGCGAGAACCTCCAGGACCATATCGGCGCCGCGCATATGTTCGAAGTTGAGCACCCAGTCCTCCTGGGTCCCGACCTGAGCGACCCTTCGAATTTCCAGGCCGCGATGGACGAATATAAAAAAGCAGGCACTGGTCCACTGTCCGTGGAGGGCATCTCCAACCTCGCCTATCTCAGCTGTGCCGATTACCTACCCTCTGACGAGAGGAACGGGCTTAGAACCCGAATCGAGCGCGTTCCGGAGCAAACACCTCCCCAAAAACCGGGTCTCGAGAGACAATACCAAATCCTTACGGACCTGCTCCTCAATCCTGAAGAAGCAGGAGGTCAGATTCGCATCGTCCCGGCGCAGGTCGACTTCAGCGAGACTGCTTACCCCGTGCAGAAGATGTCGAGTACCTTCATGGGAAGACACCCGGGAGCCTACATTACCTTGCTGAGTTCTATCACGCGGCCCTTCTCGCGGGGTTCGATCCACGTATCCTCTAAAGACCCCACTGTTGCTCCGACAATCGACCCAAACGTGCTGTCTCACCCGCTGGACATCGAGCTGTTGTCGAAGCACGTCACATTTATGGAGAAGGTGGGTCAGACGGAGCCTCTCGCCTCGCTGCTGAAGGATCAAGGGAGAGTATACTGCCCGGGACTAGAGGATAAGCCGGCCGAATACCGCGCCAAACGGTACAATTCGCTTGAGTGGCACCCCTGCGCAACATGCAGCATGCTCCCGCGCGAGCAGGGTGGGGTCGTGGATCCGAATCTGCGTGTATACGGCACGAAGAATGTGCGTGTCGTCGATGCAAGTATCTTCCCGCTGATTCCACGCGGGAACCCGCAGTCTCTGGTATACGCGGTTGCCGAAAAGGCGGCCGATATGATTAAAGGGGTGCGTTGATTGCGGAAAGGAGCGATATTATATATATATATTATGATGATGCAGCTCGCGTTATATACTTTTCCTGACCATATCTACACAACATTACAAAAGAATTACTTTTTTTAAAGAAAGAGAGAGAGAGAGAGAGAGAGAGAGAGAGAGAGATATCGTCAGACTGGCCTAATTCAGTCCACGTAAGAAACAACTTCACACACGTCGGCAGGAAAACACACACATACAAAAAGAGAAGAGGATAACCAGATGTAAGAAAGAAATAAGTGACAGTGAGTCTGATATTACAGACAGTACGCTGGATCAACAAACACGGCACTCCTTACTGAACCCTAAGCAGATCCCGAATCCATCTCGATGATCCTAATATCAGCGCCAAATACAATGCTACTTTTTTTTTTTAGCGTTATTCTGGAAGCATCTCTCTGATCCAAGGTCTGTGTTATGTATTGAGGAATTGGAATGTTAGGCAGGTTATTTTATTTGTGGAGTCGAGTCTGCGATCAGGGTTGTACATACATAGTACTGTATAATGTAATAAAGAACCAGGTACTGTACCATAATAGCATTTAGATTAGTGTTTTAGGTCTTGGGCTTGGTTGGACTGGCATATCAATTACCACAATTAGTAGAAGCATTGGCAGTACGGAGTAGAACTAGCTAATTTAAGTTTTCCCACAATTGGCATAGTGACCCTACGGAAGAACTCAAGCTCAGGAACCAGAATTGAACAGAGTACGTATTAGTTGGCTTTCGGTAATCAGTTATAAACCTAGGTACCTAACTGAAATAGTACCCAAATCGTAGATTGGGCGTGTACTAACTGCATATGTAACTCTTAAGGGACATCCGCCCCTGAGTTATTAAGTCAACTCCGGTTTTAAATTTGACTTTTCACTAATGATTTTTATTATTCAGTACCTCTTTAACCTTAATCCTTTATCTCCCCCCTTTATGTGTGGGCTAATAATAGTAAATAATCCACATGGCGAGGCTGCAAATCCACAAGACGAGGCTGCATTTTTAAGACTCTCGAATTCCACAGGAAGGCGGCAATAAAATGGCCTTCCAGTCTTTTGCTTTGTAAAACAACTAAAATAACTATGGCCAGTGGACTTAGGGACTTTGCCGCATCCAAAACGAATCGCTTCATCCTCCCGGAAAGACACAACTTAAAGTGATCCAAGTCTCTTACGTACAGGAAGACCACATCAAATTAGTGTACTGCATCCACCCTTGGCGCACATTTTATACTACGATAGGAATTCTAGGTTGCAGAAATCCGCAGAAAACCGTCTAACTTAATAACTATTATCTAGTTAACTAACTTAGTGTTAGTGCTGCCGACAAAAGAGATAATTGCCAGGCGGTCAATGCTTCTTCCTCAATCGCGTTAGCTGTGATCCTGGAAGGGTTCTAATTACATCGACTATCTAATTTAGACCACTTGAGGATATATTTAGACAGTTGCATCAATCAATGATAAATTTGATAAACTCGCATATTTCTGCGAGTGTTATTTCCAACCATTTCTCTCATGACGAATCTCCTGTATAAAAGAAAATTAAATCGAGACCATGGACGTGGTGACAATATTCTGTTGGTCGGTCCTCTTCGCCATCGCATCGAGATACGCAACCTGGTATGTGTCAACATTCCGAAAAGCACTGCACATCGAAGGATCGACTCCTCTGCCAAGTGTCCGGATCTACACCCCTCGTTATTCGCCCTTAGTTTATGTGATCTCGCCTTACATCGCACCGCTGTTCCGATACCTGCCCTTCGGCTGGGGAAAATGGATGCGATATGCCGTTCGTGACGGGACATGGCAGCACAAGGGGAGACTGCCGCGTGAGGAGCTCGGATCGGACGTGTACTGGATGTTGGGACCCGGCGGTCCTCAACTATGGGTTGCCGATGCCGATCTGATCAGCGAAATCACGCACCGATGGAAAGACTTCCCGAAGCCTGTCATGTACTACACGCAACTCCTTCTCTTTGGCGAGAACGTGCTCACGGCCGAAGGCCCCCTGTGGCAGTTCCATCGGAAGATTACAGTTCGGTCTTTCAATCCAAAAAACAACGGGTTCGATGCGTCCCTTATTCGAAATATTTTCTTCAAGCGCTGACCTCTAGTACAGCCTCGTTTTCACCGAATCCCAAGAGCAAACCAAAGCGATGGTCCTTTCATGGTCCAGGGAGAGCAAGGGAAAGCGAGAGTCAGCGTCATCCGCGATCGTCGTCGACGATTTAGAGAATTCGGTCACAAAATTGGCTCTACATATCATTTCCGCTGCGGGATTTGGCCATCAAATGCAATGGCATGGTCATGATTCCAATGCAGCAGAAACTTCGACGACACAAAATGTTACCTTCGCAGAGAGTCTGAAGACATTTGTGGATGAGATTTGGTTTCTCATGATATTTCCAGCGTGGTTTCTGAAGTTTTCACCCTCGGCTCATCTACGAAGTGTCCACAAAGCGCCCGACGTTTTTGCAAGACATGTTCAACGGGCAATTAACGAAGCAAGATCTGAGGATACTATGCAGCGAGAATACGAAAATCAGCAGTTACCACCACCACAACAACAACAACAACAACAACAACAACAACAACAACAAAAATCGGCCCGGAAAAATGATCTGCTCAGCAATATGATCAATAGCGACGGTATCTCCCATGGCTCTGACAAAAGCGGTCTTAGCGACCAAGAAATCACAGGAAATGTCTTCATATTCACTCTCGCTGGCCACGAGACCACTGCAACCACGATACAAACGGCTCTGGTCCTGTTGGCAGTGCATCCAGAGCTCCAGCAACAGATTCACGAGGAACTGGATGTGATTTACGGAGGAAAGTCGGAAGGCGAAGGACTCGTTTATGAAACAGATTATCCGAAGATGAGACGTGTTATGGCCTTGATGGTAAGTGAATAACCATCTGCATCGGCGTAAAGCGAGAAGAAAGAATATTTCTACTAAGATTTGCTTAGCTGGAAACCCTTCGCTTATTCCCGGCGATATCCGGTATTCCCAAATGGACCAGCGACAAACATCAGATTGCGCACTACAATGGCCAAACGTTCAATATACCCCCGGATACCAGTATTGTGCTGGACGTTGTGGCAGTCCACCGCAATCCTCGATACTGGGGGGAAGATGCAAATGTATTTCGCCCTTCACGTTGGCACATGGACGAGACGTACGAGCCTACGACAAACTCGGCTAGCCACTCAAAGCATCACTCGAATATGTTATGTCCCCGAAAGGGAGCTTTTGTCGTCTTCAGCGATGGTCATCGCGATTGTCTGGGCAAGGGGTTCTCACAGGCGGAATTCTGTGCGGTGATTGCGACATTACTGAAAGATTACTCGGTCGAGTTGGTACCGCCCAAGGGGTCTACACCATCCGATGTTGTATGGAGCACGATGTGTCAAAACGCATGGAAGGCTCTGGACGACAGAAGAAATATGACGAGCTTCAAAATGTATGGGAAAGTTCCTGTTCGATTTGTTCCTAGAGGAACGGAATGGCGTCATTGATCTCCGTGTATTAAACACATCGTACATTTCGCGGAAATTGCGTTATAGTTTGGCCTGTTTCTGGGGATATTCGTTTCGCGTACAGACGTCCAGATAGATCGTACATATATAATCATTAACTTCTGCGCGGAATGTAGCTCAAATGCGATTGTCTCTTTTTGGTTGACTTTTCAAAAACCTCACCCAGGAGTTCATCTAACATAGTAATTAACTCGGTTCACCTTGTTTCGTTCACCAATACACTTGTTCTATGCCGGTCTCCCAACCCCTCTCTGTCCCGTTCGGCTTCCACATCATCGTCACCGGCCATGGGTTGGGGGCAAGATAAAAGGGCTGGTTTCAATTTGTTTATCGAGAGTTCCAATAGTTCCAATTAAATCACCCTAAGAAATCATGGATGTGGTGGAATACGCAAAAATGGCTTGTTGAAACCTGTGAATTATTGCACTCGAAAGTCTACATGATGGGAATACATTGGCCCCTTTTTACAGCTTGCCTCTCAGTTCCACGCCGTTGGCTCGGCTTGGTCCATCCTCCAATTCAACAAGAAGCATGCCCTCGGCAACATCCTCCTCCTCGTCTTCCATCTCATATACCCACTTGACCTTCCCTGCATGAGGACTTCTTACTTCCAACTCCATCTTCATCTGCTTCACGAACGCAAGCACTTGGTTCTCCGCAACGTCTTCTCCCTCGGCAACTAAAATCTCAATGAGTTTTCCAGAGAGAGGAAGGACTACATGTCTTGGGTTCTTGGGATCACCACGTCGGTGTGATGAAGAAACCAGAGCTGACGCTGCAGTCGAAGTGGTCTCAAGATGCATGCGATATGGAACGGCAGTCTGTGACGACGGAGTAGTGTACTCAATTTCAGCCGCAAGGGAGGTGGGGAATTCGTTGCGAAGCACCCGAGAAAGACGAAGATGGTGGGCGATCTTATCTGTCTGCTTGGAGCCATCCTTTGACAGAGTTTCCAGCGTGATGGACCATGCATCGCCTTTGCGGAATAACAGACTCGACGCCGGCATACTTCCCTGCGCGAGTGGTTGCTGTGAAGAAGAACCGGTTGATCCTTCTTTATTGAGAATTGCTTTCGATACTTTCTCCCCAATCTCCACGACTTCATTAAATTTTGATCCCAGCCACTGCGTGTCAACTTTGCCGGCCATAAAATCTGCATGAGCCACAATACCACGCAAGAGGTTGATGTTCGTCTTTACTCCAGAAACCCTAGTGTCATGCAAGACACGTTGGGCTTTTCTGACTGTTCCTTCCCAGCTACATGCGGTGACGATAATCTTGGCGAGGAGATTGTCAAAACTCGAACCCACAACCAACGGGTTATTTCCGGCCACATTAGAGTCTACCCGAATCCCGTTTCCAGTAGGAACGTTAAATTCAGTAACCTTGCCAATGCTGAGAGCAAAATTATTGCTTGGATCCTCGGCACATAGCCGGAGTTGGATTGAGAAACAATTCGCTGGCGGCGATACTCTGGCGTTGACTGTGGCTCCAAGTCCAAGGTCACTTAGGGAGTAACCTTCGGATAGTAGCAGTTGTGTCTGCACCAGATCTATTCCACTGATCGATTCAGTAATGGTGTGCTCCACTTGAAGACGCGGATTGACCTCCAGGAAATAGAATTCGCCGCACTGCTCATTGACGAGAAATTCGAATGTACCTAGAGATCGGTAACGAATCTCACTCGCCATCTTCAAAGCCGAGTCGATCACTCGACTGATTAAATCTCGGTCCTGCATTAGAGCCGGGGCACACTCCACAACTTTCTGAAAGCGGCGTTGTACACTGCAATCTCGCTCCCATAGATGACGAACTTGGCCGGTACCATCACCGACGACTTGGATCTCGACATGATGGAACCCATGTACCGCCGCTTCCTCGACAAACACCGTACGGGATGGTGACTCGCCAATAGCACGCTGTACACTATTTTCCAGCTCCTGTTCCTCCTGTACAAGGCGAATACCGCGACCGCCACCTCCATCAACAGCTTTAATCATAACGGGGAAACCAACCTGCGTAGCGAAGGTGCGTGCCTCATCAACGCTCCCAGTAGGTTGGTCCATAGCTCTCAAGACCGGCACACCGCATTGCTCTGCTAAGCGTTTGGCTTGAAGCTTGTTCCCCGTGCGAGCGAGGTTCTCCCAGCCTGGTCCTATCACGATAGCGCCTGCATCATGCCACATTTGATACGAAAATTCGGCGCTTTCGCTAAGAAAGCCATAACCGGGGTGGATAGAATCGATAGAATGCTTCTGGGCAAGGTCTACAAGCAGAGGTATGTCCAGGTAAGATGAGGCAGATGGAATCTCAATTGCATGATCCGGTCGTCCTATTTCGCAGTGCGAACGGTCGTCCGATGTGTACAGACCAAATGTCTCAACTGGATGGGTCAACTCCCGGGCGGCATGCAAAATTCGCACCGCAATTTCACCTCTAATGCGCAAAACGTAAGTGCCTGCGAGGATCTCACCTTGGCGAATTCATACCTGTTGGCGACTAGGAGTCGCCGGATGGGCCGCGAGTGCGGGGAAGACGACATCGGGAATAGAAGAAGACAAAACGAGAGCCCTGAATATGATGAAAGTGTACGATCGAAAGATGTAAGTTTCCGCAGAGATTATTCGTCGCTAGATTGGTGTGACACTTGACTTGGATGTGGTGGTTTTACTTAACAACCTTCATGGGAGCGACCTCGGCCCTCGGACTTCCCCGCCCCCTCAGCGGGCTAGCCCCGACTTCTCCAGAAAAACAGAAATAACAACAGAACCATTTCAATAGAACAGCCAGGCAGTATGGCACAAGACGGCGACACACCACCTCCCGGCCGAAGTGGCAATGACCAGGCCGCAGAGCGGCTAAACCAGGTCTCATCGCATATATCTTCTCCGCCAGATACGCAGCAATCGACCAACTCCAAGCCTAGGCCCAAGGCAGCGAGCTCTCGTCTGCCAGCAGACCATTCCGATGTTCTCAGCCAGATTGCAGCGCTTCGCTCCATTGCCGCAAACCCCGATCCCAGCCACCGAGGTTACATGCGACAAAAGCAGGCCGGGAAACTATGGGTGCGCGAACGCATCGAGCAACTTTTGGATCCCGACTCGTTTCAGGAAATTGGATCCGTGTCGGGAACGGTGACATGGAAGAAAACTGCTCCTATGCGAGAAACGCCTGTGTCCTTTGTTCCAAGCAACAATGTCCAGGGCGCCGGATTGCTACGAGGTAGGAAAGTCTTGCTCACAGCGGACGATTTCAGTATTCGGTCTGGCCATGCCGACGGAGCAAGTGCCGGAAAAACAGTCTATGTTGAAAAGCTTGCAATTGCACTACGGCTACCAGTAGTGAAACTAGTGGATGGGAGCTCAGGCGGAGGCAGCGTGACAACCATTCGCAAAGAAGGGTGGAGCTATTTGCCCCATGTCGCTCCATTCAAGCACGTAATTCAGCAGTTGAATATGGGAATTCCAAACCTAGGTGCGGTTGTTGGACCGGCTGTGAGTTGATAATTACTAATTTTTTTCTACGAAATTCAAGCTGATATTTGATATAGATTGGCCTCGGAGCGGCCCGAGTAGTCTCCTGCCACTTCTCCGTTATGGCAGCAGACATTGGAGCGTTGTTTAATGCAGGACCAAAAGTGGTTGAAGGCGCAACTTTTGAAGAGGGTCTCGACTTTCAGGATCTAGGTGGGCCGATGGTCCATTGCATGAATGGTACTATTGACAATCTGGCCGCTAATGAAGGCGAGTGTTATGAACAATTGCGAACTGTATTAGGCTATCTTCCAAATTGCGGGAGCGAAGCTCCCCCAGTGGTTCCATGTACAGACCCTGAGGACCGTGAGGACGTGGCTCTACGTAGCATCATCCCACGACGACAAGCGCGTATGTATAATCCTCGGACTATCATCGTGTCTATCGTCGACAAAGACTCTTGGTTTGAAATTGGTGCACTCTGGGGCCGAACTGCTATTAGCGGTCTTGCACGCCTAGGCGGACGTCCGGTCGGCATCATTTCGCTCAACTGTGAAGTGAATAGCGGTGCTCTTGATGCGGCCGGCAGCCAGAAACTCACGCGACTCTTAAAAATGTGTGATGTGTTTAATCTGCCTGTTTTGCAGTTTATTGACGTCCGTAAGTCTTCTACTCCCTATCTCCAAATGGCATTCAATTTTCTAATGCCTTAAAGCCGGTTACGCCATCGGCACTGTCGCCGAGCGCACCGCTACTATGCGCTGGGGGGTAGAATTGGCAAAAGCATACTATAGCACTACGATGCCAGTATTCAATGTTGTCACTAGGCGGGTGTTTGGAGTGGCTGGTGGTGTCATGCTCAGCTGCCGCGACCCTGTCATGCAAGTGGCATGGCCGTCCGGACAATGGGGCTCGCTGCCGCTGGATGGAGGAATCGAGGTCGGACACCGACATGAGCTTCGAGAGGCGGAGAAAGTTGGAATGAAGGAAGAGAGATACAAAGAGCTGGAAGAAGAGTATCTACGGCTGATGAACCCGGTCCGGACAGCTAATGCATTTGGTGTAGAGGAGATAATTGACCCCAAGGATACAAGAAAGGTCTGCTGTGCATGGGCGTCGCATATGTATGAGGTCCTCATGAAGGAGAGGCTGGCGGAACGAGCGTCAGGGAAGATTCAGCCATCTTTTGCATGAATGCTGCAATATATCCTATGAAATACTAGATATCACTCTAGCTGTGCAATTATATGCGTAGATTCCCAATTTACATTCCAAATTACCAGGTTTCTGGTCCGAATGTCCCTCCCTTAGGGACAGTCTTTCGAATGGCAGTATACAAATAGTCCTATACATTTCGGTTCGTCAGTTCAACCTCCCAACTTCACCAAGGTCTAGACTAGACACTTACCATTGTCTCGAACGGAGCAGTATTGCCCCACCAATTCGGAACGCTCACGTCCGGGAAGCTGATCGCAAAAAATATAACAATGGTAGATAGAATGAGACCAGTGTCAAGACCTGCAGCTGTGATGTAGTTGTAGTTATGCCACCAGCCGCTCCACCTTTTACGAATATAGTAGTTGAAGAGAAGACCGAATATGACCCACGAAAAGTAGCTGATTGGCGTGGCTCTATCGAATATGTAGTTAGCGTCACTGCCATAATGTAAGGTACTCAAGTCTTCAAAACTTACGGGGGCAGCCATGCCATGGCTCCAAGCATCCTGTAATCAAATTAGCAGGACGTGACTGCGGATATTCGAATACGTTCACTCACACAGGTGCGTTCAAAAGCCTGAGTTTTGATCTCGGGAAGACCCGAATAAGAATGTAGAAGGCTACTGGGAGGAGAGCTCCGAGCAACCAGAACCATTGGACCTTGTTGTATATAGCGCCCGGACCAAACATGCGCTGTGGGCCAATGACTCCTATATATAGAGTTAGAGAATTGATGAGAATGGTCTACCATGTGCAAGGCCTACCCCATGTAATGCTGTTTGAGAAAAATGCTCTACCATTGGGACAGGTAAAATGAGCGGATTGGTCACTGGATTGTATTAACAATCTATGATTCAACCGTGTATCTTCACTGGGAATTCCACGTACGGGGTGCAGACTTGGTCAATATTACCCAAAGTCCAATTCATGACAGCAATCTGAACGAAACATGCCCAGATGGTCGGAATAACTTGACACCAGAAAGTAATGCGGGGCGGGACTTTCATATAATGGGCGAGCTGTTGGGTAAATCAGTGGATGATCCAAATCAATGTCATAATCAACCTTTACCTTGAGGTCTGAACAGTAAACTTGGCTGATAAAGAGGTTAGTCCTTGTCTTTGGCGGGAGCAGTGGATCTTACGCTTGTCCGAGTGTAATGGTGCTAAATACTTTGAATACCATAACAGCAATGGGCTTTCCTGGAATCATATATCCAGCCAGAAATGGAGAAATAACATTAAGCGCTGTAAATGTTAGTTGATATCGAGATAATCTGGATGCAGAAAGAACATACACAGTTGGACGTTGGTAATCCCAAGAATCATGCAAGTGGGGATCTATTCCTATCAGCGATAATTTTTCAATCGGCAAGGAACAACTTACAATAAATACTAGAGCAACAATAATGGACACAAAGAAGCCCCACCCTGTATCTTAAATTAGCGGCTTTTATCGTCAAGTCAAGGCAGAGTACTCACAAGGGAGCTGTGAATCATATCCTAGAACACCACCTAGTCCCAATGCAACGGAGACCAGAAACAGCGCCAAATACCACCATTCAGGTGCCTCCTTATACTCCTTCATCAGAGTTAGATGGATATCGGGCTCTTGGTTTCGAGCAGCAGTAAGACGATGCCAAATCTCCTTTCTATGAAAGAGGACTATATGAACAATAACCGCTGTGAGAGCGGCGAATGAGAGTCCGTAGTTCAACAAAAACGTCGGAGCGAGGAACATTGGCGAGTAAGCTTTGTATTTTGCTTCGTCAAAGCTAAAGTTAGGTCCTAGGATGCGGGAGACATTGTAAAGCTGTTGTGTGTTGTCGTAGGTCTCGGCGGTGTTGATAGGAAGATAAGCAGAGTAACTGTGATCTTGTTAGCGGTTTCCTTACTTTGCCTGGAGGTAAACTCATACAAGGCGCCAGTATAAGAGATTCCAATGGTTGTAATGATGACAAAAATCATAAGTCCAATGAAAGTGTTCACAATAGCATGGGCAGGTGCGAGTAGTGGGTCCAGAAGGTATGCTGAAACATAGCTGCTCGGGGTTAGATACATCCATGGAGCGTGCTTTTTTTTGCAATTGCTAGAACTCACGTCCAGTCAAAAGTTATGGGAATTAGCGAAAGTCCCGTGAAGCCCCCAAACAACTGGTTCACAACAACATTGTTCGGGCGAATCCCTGTATACAAATAGTTACTTTCCGTATGTTCAATATGAAAGATAAGGACCTACAGGTGACAAAAGCAAAAACAGACAACCCCTGCCATATGACTCCAGGTACCCTGGGTAATTTTTCAGCCATGGGTGTAAGAAGCCGCACTGGTGCCGTGAACTTACCAATACCAGGCAAATGCTCCTAGCATCACATACAGAAAGTATCGGTAGCGTGAAATACTCCAGCCATTGGTCTCGCTGGCATCCGATCGACTTTTATCGTGAAGAGCATAGAATAGAGAGGTGTTTGCAAATTGTCCGGGCCACATAATAGCAGCAGGCCTAGAAAGTGAAGCGTCAGAACGGGTGTTGTTCCAGGCGGACACACATTGCTTGATTTACCACACAAGGAAGCGACGGAAAATGCCAGCCAGCGAGATGCCGACTATCTGGCTGCTTAGCGCAAACAGAAGTTGAAACCCCCATCCAATATCCAGGTTGTACAGAGCTGGAAGACATGTTAGAACGAGTGTTATTGGATAATCGATAATACGTACGCTCGGCTTTGAGAGCCAAGAGGGCATCTGTGCAGTAGGCGTACCCAATTGAGACACTTTGTTCGGCTTAATACCAATTTCAGGGCTGTTGGATTCGTCCACTTACTTTGCCATGATCTAATAATGGTCAGCCTTCAAATGTATTTGAAATTAAGTGATGAAATCTTGCCGTGATGACTGTATGCTCCTTGATTGTGAAAGGACCTGTATTGAGTGTCCACTTCATTCCAAACGTGGTGAATGTCCTCGTAGGCATTACTTTAGCCCAGAAACAGCCAATTGGGTAAACAAGAAGCTGCACCACTATGGAGGGAAATGAGATAGCAGGGCTCCTGCAGACATCTTCATCAGTGACATACTTCGAGAGATCAAAACCATACCCACCGCATGCTCAGGAACATATTCAATCCACTCCCAAGAGTCGTGAAAAACATCCCAAGCACCCAGGCGCGCACTGTGTTCGCAACTTCACCTCCATCCGTATTGCGCACGGCCGCACGCACAGACTCGTATGGGGAGTCTTCCTGGAAAGATTTGTCCAACTCGGCAGCTTTCTCCTGGTCGTCAGTCTTGATGGCCTCATTGATTGCATCGATCTTTTCCTGGGGTAGGTTTGGATCCCACTGGTGCGACTCTTTGATCTTGTGTAACTCTTGGACCTTATCGCTGGCTTCTTTGTCATCGCTGGTCAAGATATCCGGTTCTGCACACGGCTCCACGCCGTCGATGGTAGGGGGATGAGAGGCCATTATTGCTCAAATTCATTTGCACGGAGGTAGCGGCTCAGGCAGGGATAGACTATAAGCAAAATGTATCGGCTTCTGTAGCTCTTCTTCGTCCATTCGCCGATAAGCTCTAATGTAACCCTTGAGCTCTTCCCCGCAACCGGGTGTAGCCGCGAAGCACTTAGCGATAACAAGACGCCTAATTTGGTAAGAATGCGGAGTCAGGCGACGCATAAGGAAGGCCGAGCACTTCGAAGTAATATTAAACCCACCACTCGGATCGCGCAGCGACATTATTTGACATTTTGTCGGCTTTGAGGCCCGACACGATAGTAATATCCTACCGTTGTATTCAATTATTGTTGATAGGGCTGTTGGTTGTCGCTTAGACATACCCGACCTCTTGCTGGTCGAAATTCCCTATCTCATCACTTATCCTTTTTCTGAGCCCGTTTGCAACAGGCCAGGGACAGTACAACAACTCCCCCGGAGATAACAGCATCCAAGGACGAAGACCTTCGTGCGAAGTTAACTACATCATGGTTTCTGCCACTTCAGATCGTGGCATTGCCCTCCGCCGCGCGCAAGGGGACACGATCCGTGACAGAATTGAACACTTCAATGAAGATCTCAAGGACATCAACAAGTTCTTTCCAATAAGAACATCCCCAAGGAGGGCTGACAAACTGCACCATTTTCTCATGTCTGAACTCGATGGTCTGCATGAGCAACCTTTTGAACTTTACAACCAACCAGAGAAAGTCGACTACCTCCTTGTGGAAAACTACATCGAAAGACAACTGCGGCAAATGCAACTTGATTTCAAACAGGATTATAAAATGGCTCCCTTGCTCCCGTTTGCAAGCACGCTGGTGGAGCTATGCGAGGCTCGAGCTCTGGTGCTTCCAATGGACCCAAAAGATGCCGCACAGAAACTCTTCGAGACGCAAGTACAAATTACAGGCTTGATTGAAAAGATCAACAAAGGCTCCGATGAAGTGACCACGAGTAAAGCAAGTGCATTTCGTGCATCGAGAACTATCGACTGTCTACGAGACCATCTGAAGGAGTGGTTTGGCTTCTATAAAGGTTATGACCCCTCGTTCGACTGGTGGATGGCACAACCATACAACGCGGTGGACAAGTGTCTCGAAAATGTTTCTGCCAATATTCGTGAGAAGCTGGTTGGAATTCAACCAGGCAATAAAGATGCAATTGTGGGCGATCCCATCGGGCGCGACGGATTGGTCTACGAACTGTTAGCCGAGATGATTCCGTACACGCCGGAGGAGATCATCGCGATTGGCGAACAGGAATTTGACTGGTGTATCAATGAAATGAAAAAGGCATCTCGCAGCATGGGTTACAAGGACGATTGGCAAGCGGCCCTGGAAGAGGTCAAGAATGAGTATGTTGAGCCTGGCAAGCAGACCCAGCTAGTCCGGGACCTCGCACAAGAAGCAGTCTCGTTTGTCGAAGATCACAAGCTCGTCACGGTCCCAGAAATTGCAAAAGAAACTTGGCAAATGTTCATGATGTCTCCAGAACGCCAGAAAGTGAACCCTTTTTTCCTTGGGGGAGAGTCAATCATTGTCTCGTATCCTACCGACTCAATGGACCATGAAGCCAAGATGATGAGTATGCGTGGGAACAACATCCATTTCTCGCGCGCCACGGTCTTCCATGAGATGATCCCTGGTCATCACTTGCAAATGCATATCAATGCGAGACATCGACCATACCGACGTCTCTTCGACACGCCATTCTGGATTGAAGGTTGGTCTTTGTACTGGGAGTTTATTCTGTGGGATGACGATCGGTTCCAAAAGACGCCCCAGAACCGGATCGGAATGCTGTTCTGGCGACTGCATCGATGCGCCCGGATCATCTTTTCTCTCAACTTCCATCTTGGCAAGATGACCCCACAGGAGTGTATTGATCTTCTCGTGGACAAGGTTGGGCACGAACGCGCTACAGCTGAAGGAGAGGTGAGGCGATCGTTGAACGGCGATTATTCGCCTTTGTACCAGGCTGGGTACATGCTGGGAGCGTTACAGATTTATGCCCTGCGGAAGGAGATTGTTGACACAGGTCGCATGGCAGAGATTGACTTCCACGATCGGTTTTTGAAGGAGAATCGCATGCCGATCGAGTTGATGCGGGCATTGATGCTGGATCGGCCACTGACCGCGGACTACACACCTTGCTGGAAATTTTACAACTTCCGCAATCATTAGCACCGAGATTTCCTGAGATTTCTAGGGGAAAAAAAAGGTCTGTGAGGTTTTAGCCTTGAGCAGTAGTCTATCGAGAGGACTGTTGCTGAGTAGAATGCCTTGTGTGGCGCGGTTTTTTGCTTTGTTTTAGGTGCAAACGCACTGCCCAATAACATCCAAATAAGATTCTATTTCTGACAGACTCATCGTCAAGCAGATCTGCCTTGAAGAGCCAAGGAAATCTGCCTCGAAAGGGACCCATATTATCCTCTCTTGGGTTTGGCTGAGGAGATGATCGACATAAACGTGTGGAGTCGTGGGGGCTACCTTCTCCTCTTCCCTGGCGCGCCTTACCTTTCTAGGGCGATGTTTCAGGGGTTCTTGGCTAGTTTCGGTAGCAACGCAGCATTGCAGCAATAGGAGCCGGAGTAATCCACATCAGTAAACACCGCGGGTCTGGTGAGTGTCAGATATATAAACACGGCTAACACCCTCGCATTCGGTACCCCCTGGCTGGTCGATACAAGCAAACATAACTAACTGAATGGGATACAATTCAACCATGGCACGCAGAGCACTGTTTCCAGTTTTATATACATTTCTTTTTAACAAATTGGCCTTGGCCGAACCCCTTCAAGTACTGGACACGAACTTTCCAGACCCTTGTCTGATTCAGACGGATGATGGATATTATGCTTTTGCTACCTCGGGTAATGGTGTGAATGTACAGATTGCCTCGTCATCAGACTTTTCCACTTGGGAGCTTCTGTCCGGTGTGGATGCATTGCCGGGCCCATTTCCGTCATGGGTAGCATCCTCCCCCGCAGTGTGGGCTCCTGATGTAAACCAAATGGTACGTTCATTGATCCAAGAAAGCGGTCACAAAATACTCATATTACCAACTCCAGGAGGACGGCACGTTTGTCATGTACTTCTCCGCTGCCTCCAGTGAAGATGACAGCAAGCACTGCGTCGGAGCTGCGACGTCCAGCAGCATTACAGGGCCATACACCCCGGAGAATAACTATCTAGCTTGTCCACTGGACCAAGGCGGCGCCATTGATGCAGATGGTTTCAACGACGGAGGCACATACTATGTTGTCTACAAGATAGACGGTAACAGTCTCGACGGCGACGGTACCACACATCCCACACCCATCATGCTGCAGGAAGTTGAGTCCGATGGCGTCACACTATCCGGGGATGCCACTGAACTTCTCGACCGTGATGATGCGGACGGACCGCTCATTGAGGCTCCCAGTTTGGTGAATGTGGATGGGACATACTATCTTTCCTTCTCGTCCAACATGTATGACACAACGCTGTACGATGTCAGCTATGCAACGGCCAGCTCTGTGACCGGCCCATACACCAAGGCTCAGGCTCCGGATGCGCCACTGCTTGTGAGTGGGGATGCAAGCAATGTTGGCAATCTAGCGGGGCCCGGCGGTTCAGACTTCTCTTCTGATGGCACCAATATTGTATTCCATGCTTTTCTGAACGGCGCGAATATCAGTGATGGACGGGCTATGTGGACCTCGGGAATCAGCTGTTCCGGAGGCGTGATCAGTTTGGCTTGAACATTGATTTTAGCCAGTTATGCTTTGAATTTAAGTTACTTTCAGTGAATGGAAGAGAAAGTGGTCGATACCGATTATGTAACCATGGTGTTACTCATCGCCTTTGATCCGCTCGCTCGTCTAACTATTCATTCTCCAAATATTTATCCACCAAAAATTAAAGGAACCCTTCGCAATATGGCCTCGGTGCAGATTTTGGACGGTGGCCTGGGAACATCCTTGCAAGACAAATATGGAGTCAAGTTCGACTCCTCCACCCCACTCTGGGCATCCCACTTGCTCGTCGCGGATCCAGCAACCCTACAATCCTGCCAGCAGGATTTCGTTGGTGCAGGCACAGATGTGCTTCTGACAGCAACCTACCAAGTATCGGCTGAGGGATTTGAACGAACAAAGACCCCTGATTTCCCAAATGGCGTCCCGAAAAGTGCAATCGGCCCTTTTCTTCGTACCGCGCTAGATGTTGCAGAGCAAGCAAAGGGCAGTGCAAACACCAAGATTGCTCTCAGCCTGGGCCCATATGGCGCATGCATGATCCCAGGGCAGGAGTACAGCGGCAAATATGACGTTGAGCATGATAATGAAGAGGCCCTCTTCCGCTGGCATCTCGATCGACTGCGTCTCTTTGCGGAGGCCGAGGTGAATCTAATTCGGCGTGTGCAGTATGTTGCCTTCGAAACACTGCCGCGGCTGGACGAGATTCGTGCTGTTAGAAGAGCAATTCGTGCTGCGGCGATTGAAGTTCCGTTCTGGATATCGTGTGTCTTCCCTGAAAAGGATGATGTCTTACCAGATGGGAGTTCAGTTGAACAGGTTGTCAGTGCTGCTGTGGATCTAAGAGAAGGCGCTAGTGCTCCATGGGGCATTGGAATCAACTGCACGAAAATAGACAAGCTTCCGAGCTTGGTGAGCAAGTTCGGAGACAGTGTGGCAGCCAGAGTCTCCGCTGGCAGTCTGGCAACTGCCCCTTCCCTTGTCTTGTATCCCGATGGAACCAATGGCGAGGTTTACAACACGACCACGCAAACATGGGAGAGGCCAACCGGCACCAGAGACGACGCGAAAAGCAGGGTAAGGACAGTGGTTGCGAGGCTGGTAGAAAGATACGCGATGGCTAATCTGATTGCAGTGCCCTTGGGAATCACAGCTTGCTGAAGTTGTCCAAGATACGACAGCAAGTGGTCATTTTCTCTCCTTCCTTGTTGGTGGCTGTTGCAAGGCTTCTCATGCGGATATCAAAAAGCTTCATGATCGACTCAAAAATCAGTGATGTATTCGAGCTTTACCCATAGACAACTACAGAACTATATTCATGACGAAGAATACCGGATAAACAGTCTCAATTAGGGACATATATATACAAAGGCCTAGATTCAAACAAGCCAGTCAAGAAAGCGCCTCCACAGCGTTTGTGGATATTCTTTTTCAATGATTTCACCCTCCTGGAGACGGCCAGACCATAAATCAATAGTGGCCGCGCGCTGAAACTTGGTTCGCTTAATGATTTTCCAGACAATGATCGGAACAACGAAGATCGGAATGCCAATGTACGAGGCGACAAAATTTGAGGTGGACCAGTTGCCTTTGAGGAAAACGGGAAAACCGGCAACGAGAGTAATAATGGTAGAACCGATGAAGCCCACCCACGCCGCATAAGGTTGCAGGGGTGCCTTCCAGGGCAGGGTGTCTCGGCTAATGCCCTGCGCCTTCATTGCAGCATAAAAGCGAATGTAGCAGAAGCTGAGGGTGGCCCAGGCGATTAACCCGGCAACTGTACTGAGGTTCAGAAGCCAACTAAAAGCTTGTGATGCGCCGCCTTTCCCGAGACTCAGATACGCCAACGGTCCGAAGAGCCAGGCGGTAAAAACAGCCACGTATGGCACGCCATTTTTGTTGACGCGGCCAAATATCTGGGGCAACTGATGATCGGTCGTCATGGCCACGATCATGCGTGAGCCAACCCAGCAGTAGGAGTTGCCCGCAGACCACGCAGCAACGAGAATGCAAGCGTTCACAATAGACGGCAGAACAGTGATCCCGGCCTGGGTAATCGCAATAACGAATGGCGAGCTTTTTGCGTTATCTGCGCCTGAGACAAGATCTTTGTTATTCGGGCTGACAATGATCCCAATAAGGAGAGCACCCAAAACGTAGAAGAAACCAATGCGGTATGTCACCCGACGTGCAGCCTTGGGGATCGCACGGTGCGGATCGACAGATTCGGCAGCCGTGATGACGACGGTCTCGACGCCAATGAAGCTGAACGAGGCGTTGACGAATGCCGACAAGAATCCAAGAAAGTGACCCGTTGGGCCGGTGATGCCGTTATAGTTCGTCCAGGCTCCGGGATCGTGCCAAAAGCGGAAGCCGATGGTCTCATGGTTCGGTCCACCACCGGCGGTTATGACAATGGAGACAATAACCAGGCCTAAGAAGCAGAGTACCTTAACGGCGCCACCGATCACCTCAGTTTCGCCATAGAACCGGACGCTCATCAGATTGATGGCCAAGATCAGTACGAGTCCAACAGTGATGACCACGGCTGGTGTCAGATCTGTCCAGTAGGAGACAATAACCGCAGCAGCCGATGTCTCCGACGCGATAGCGATGGTGTAACAGTAACCGTATGAGATAGCGAGCGAGAAGCCCACGGATGGGTCGATGAAGCGGGTAGCCCAGTGTGGAAACGATCCCGCAGTAGGGAGCAGCGTTGCCAGTTCGGCGATACTCTGCATCACGCACCACAGCACCATTCCAACGATGATGAACGCCAGCAGTAGTCCAGCTGGACCGGCTTTGGCGTACGCAGCGCCCGTCCCCACGAAGAGACCAGTCCCGATGCCGCTGCAGAAACCGATCATGGTGACCTGATAATTCCGCAGACGTCGCTGCGTGGCTCCACGGCCACCGACATTGAGGTGCATCTCATCCTTCAAGCCAGCCTCATAGTCGCCGAAGTTGGCCGTAACCGGCTCGATGGCGTCCTGAGCGAAAGTGGACTTGTCCATGGCGGGCGATATTGAGACGGTCATGGTCACCCCATGCAAGATCTCCCCAGATGAACTGTAGGAAACTAGAAAGTTGACAGCAGGTGAGAAGAACTGTATTTTTTTTTTTCTTTTGAGCTTCCGGAAATCTCCAATCACGACATTTTGGTTTGACTCTGCACCACATTGGGTTTCCCCACTTAGCCGAAGCTCATTGGGTTGAATCCTGCGTGGCTCCACTTATCTTTAAGACGATCAAATATCGAAGAGACGATGAAAGAGTGCGCCAGTCTAGAGACAGAGCACGTTATGGGGAAAGTGCAGAATAATAGGAATAAGCATGCGTCTGTGCTTCCTACACAGTCTAGTGACAGCTCAGGTTGTATTGGGTTCGCTCGGAGTTGGCCGTTATTCTTGCCTCTGTGGAACCTTGGATGTCGCCGGGAGTATGCTTGGCAGGGTTAAGATTATTCACGAATTAATGTGCTGCTGAGAAGTGTCCTTCTACAGCATCGTCTGTAGTTACGGTTGACCGCACTGGACAGCAATATGAATACAAATTGCCAATACCGACAGCGAGATACGGTGTAGTTAAACCAGAACATTTAATGCCTGCCCTTTCAGGCATCAATATTGTGATCTCTAAAATTATTGATTTATGTCGCGCATTATTATTGTTATGCACTTATTATTATTGTGTTCTGTTTAATCTGGGTAAGGCCAATTCCTCCTTTGAGATTAGTATTCGGACCACCTGCTCTCAGAAAGGGGCTGGATCTCTCTGGGCCCAACAAAAACAGCGGTAGATTTTCTGCTCCCGGACTCGCCACGCTGGATCGTACGAAGATCGGCTCCAAAAAGAGCAAGTTGTACGCTGATCCGGCTTAGGAAAAGCCTTTACTGGACGGCGCAGGCGTGGAGACCAACCTCCAAGCCCAGGGGATGACAATCAAAATCAATAGACGCAGATCGTCCCTCCCATAACTTAGGTTTCGGGCTCCTTAATCAGCCGAGGTTTAACCCCTCTCATTCTTTTCTGAGGCTGCGAGGAATGTTCCTTTCCTCTTCAATCGGCTTCATCGGGATCACCTGAGTTGTGGTTTCTCGCGAAGTTGATGAGCAGCGCCAATCGACCTCATGTCCGAAGCTTCGCGACAAGGTGCAGTCCCCCAGGGATCTTCGCCAGGGACTCCGGCCGACGAGACCATTCAACCAGCCCAAACATCAACACCGGTCGCCGACCAGAGGAAATTGCCGGGCTGGCTAGATCATTTCAACGCGCGCGACCTGAAAGTGTTGTTTCGCTGCTCGGTAGCAGCATGGGTCGCGTCACTGTTGATCTTCATCGGGCCTTCGCATGACCAGATTGGGACTGCGACTTTTTTCGCGACGTGAGTTGCCGCGCATCATCACGCCACAATAGTTTCTGATTGGCTTCTTAGCCTTGTGCTCTTCATAGTGCCTCCCAGCGGTATCGTGTTCATCTTCATCCTGGCAGCCCTGACGCTTCTCATCGGCATCGGTCTGGCCTGGGCATGGGGTACCATTGTCATGAAAGCTGCGCTGGCCGCGCGACCGTCGTCTGATACCGAGGCTACACTTCAAGCGCTCGGGAAACAGGCCTACAGTCAGGCCAATGCGACAGGACAACCCGTCGCAGCCGTTGAACAGAAGCTTATTTATGACGGCTGGATGCTGGATGCCCGTGTGTCTGCAGTCTATTTTTCCCTCATATGCCTGTTTATCTATGTGTTGGTCAGTAGTCTGTGCTCAGTGTCCGTTACAAGTGCGTTGACTGACTGTCTCTCCCAGGCACGCGTGCGGGCTAAGAACCCTAAATTCACGATTACACAGATCTTTGGCACCATCATCGCGGATCTTTTCTTGACCCTTGGCCCCCTGCTTCCCGCATTCAATGGAACTCTGCCTAAGCTCTTGATTGAACCCGCAGCCATTGGCATAGGGATTGGACTGGCTTGCTGCCTGATCTTTTTTCCCAAATCGACGTCCCACACGGTGCTGGCCGGCTTTGAGGGTCTGGTACGGCTCTTGAAAACACCATTGGACTTTACGCTAGCCAGTCTTGCAAAAGAAGGCGATCCGCTTATTCTCAAGAGCCTTCGTAAAAACAAGGCAAGGACGATTGGAGCGTACCGGAGCATAGAGCCAGCGCTAGGATTTTTGCCATTGGACTTCGGTCTGGGATGGTGGAACGCGGACGATATCCGAAGTCTCAGGGAGCCAATCCGGCAGGCTCTAGTTAACAGCGTGGCTCTTCTTGAGCTTCACATCGCCCGTTTGAGCGGGGCGACAAAGCTTGAGAAGCTGGACGAAATCATTGCCGGTCACCATCACGATTCGGACACTGAGCCCGGAAATTCCGAGCAAGACGAAAAGAAGAAGAAAAAGAATAAAAAGAAGCCGCATGAGGTCGGTATGCGCCAGCTCCTAGAGACCGGCAATCTTGTGAACGCCCTTCGCAGCCCCGAACATGAGTCTATTCGATTGGAGACCATTGAAGCTATTCGAGATTCCAGCAGAGATATACTTCCCGCTTGTCAGGAGGCTACTGAGACCGTGGCCTCAGTCATCCATGTGGTCAATTCAGCTCGATGGTTTGGTCGACCATCTAAACAAAACTTGAACGAGGCGCTGGAGCGCAGCCAAGCGACGCTTCAGGCTCTTCAGGCGGCACGGAACTCATTTGCCACAGAAGCTACTGAGAGACTGATTCAGACCTATGGAGACATGTTTGATGAATCTGGAAAGCTGAAAAGCCTTGAGCACTCCACGTCCCTCTCGGTAAGGGGCATCATGATAGGAATGGTTTATGAAGAGCATGTCCTTGGTGTCGCCGACTCCTGGGAGAAAGTTCTTTCTCAGATCACTGCTCTTCTGAAAGAACGCCAGAAGATTCAACTCTGGCTACCCAAAGGACTGCGTTATGCAGTCAACTGGGTCTCTCGAAGAAACGCTGTGGCCCCGGTCATCGTCGCGCAAGGGTCCGAAACCGATCCTGACATCGCAGAATCACAATCAAAAGCAGCCCAACAGCGTCTTCGCATCAGCAGAGGATACCGTGTGAAACGACGGAACGGTCTGGGACGAGCTATTCTCAGCACGTATCACTGGCTCATCAACCCAGATGGCATGTATGCCCTACGAATGGTGGCCGTGACAATTGCCCTCGGTATTCCTGCTGTCATCCCGTCAAGCGCAGGCTTCTACTTCCGGGAAAAGGGACTTTGGGGCCTCATCATGGGCCAAACAACCATGCTTATCTACATGGCCGACTTTACCTTCTCTGTTATCTCGCGGGCTATTGGCACTATTGTTGGTGGTATTCTAGGCTTGCTGGCATGGTACATCGGCTCGGGCAATGGACCCGGCAATCCTTACGGCCTTGCCGCCATCATGGCAGTCGTGATTGTTGTTCTGATGTGGGGACGTTTATTCGCACCTCCCGCTTTGCTCCAGGCCTGCATGATGGGTGGTGCTACCTGCATTCTCGTCGTGGGTTACAGTTACGACGATACGTAAGTTGTGAATGATGTCTTGTGGTATAGCGGCGCTGACCTAAATCTTAGACACATCCCACAGTACGGCAACCCTGGTATAGGTTACAACGTGTTTTGGCGACGACTCGTGCTCGTTGTCATAGGCTTTGCAGCTGCCATAATCGTGCAACTCTTCCCACGACCCCCCTCTGCCTCGCGGCATATCTGCAAGTCGCTCTCAAACGTCATCCGTTCACTCTCTGACCACTATGCCCTCCTCCTCTCGTCCTGGGGCCAGTCCGATGGCAATGCGGGACTGGTAGCTGAGAAAATTGCGCTCGATCTTGGTGAAAAACTCAATTCACTGAACGGTCCTATCGGAATGCTCCGCTTCGAGTTCTCTGGCTCGCCATTTGACAGCGACCGTCTAGCCCAGGTCAAAACCCTGTCCGAGGATATGAACCGGAGCGTCGCCCGGCTGTTGTATCTCTCTGCGTCGCTACCAGAGTACCTACAGGCACGTCTCTCACGTTATGTTGGTCTTCTCGATCACCGCAATATCGGTGATATTATGGCCGTGCTAGGAGTCGTGGAGCAGGCGCTTAAAACCGGAGACCCGTTGCCCGAGGTCCTGCCCACGCCACTGCTTAAACGCTGCTACGAGTTTTGGCAATCGCGTCATGTGGATATTGTGCTCAGTACGGAAACCATCCGTGATGAGAACTACCGGAAGTTCTGCGTTGCGCTTAACTCTTACCTCAAGTTCCTGGCTGCCATCGATGATCTGGTGCTTGTCATGAAGGGCACGCTGGGCGAGTCTCATATTGTTAGCCGAGAGTTGACGCACGACGAGTATGAGGTGTAAATATAACCTGTATATATCAAGATCCTCTATGACGGACGAATAGAGTGACTCGTGTTAATTAGCATAGCTGCCCACTGGAAATCGGGAGCGAGAGCGGTGAAGACCCGACTTCAATTTCACTCACGCGGTCCTGATCTCATTGTCTCCGTCTTGCCTTTCCCTCCAGATAGGACATACTTCAAGTCCGAAAAAGGAAAATGGCCCATACGAAAGCTGCCAACAAGATATTTCCAATCGCAACCTTTCTTTCAGACCTACCGACCAATCTTATTCCGCAGTTCCCCTTATCATCTTCCGAAAATGGCCCTGCCAGTGGACGCTTGGTCATTGTAGGCGACGTACATGGGATGAGAAAGTCCCTGGAGGCACTCCTAGACAAAGTTGGCTTCGACAAACGCAATGGAGATCATCTTATACTAGCTGGCGACCTAGTCAATAAAGGACCCGATAGCCCTGGTGTTGTTGATCTGGCTATTAAGCTAGGCGCCAGCGCAGTGAGAGGCAACCACGACAATGCAGTTCTTAATGCGGCCGCGGAGATCAACACCACAAGGGCTAGTCTCCTACATTCTGGAGGCTTGGATGGCAGTCCGGCCGTACCTGAGAACCCTGAAGCCGACCCGCCGGGGGATACTGTCCAAGAGATTCCTGACAAATGCGTCTCTGCTACAACTGGCAGTAGTATGGCACATAGCGCCACAACACATAGTACGGCACTAGCACTTTCGACGCGCCAGCTCGACTGGCTTGCCGCTTTGCCTTTGATCTTGCGCATCAAAATACCTGACAACCTAACATCCTCCTTCGGCGACACACTAGTTGTCGTACATGCGGGCCTCGTTCCTGGTACCCCACTCGAAGAGCAAGATCCATATGCTGTAATGCATATGCGGAGCCTCGCACGCAAACTGGGCGATGAGGAAGGCTACATACCGGCTGAAACTCCCGGAGAAGAAGGCTGGGTTATGGAATGGGACCGGTGGCAAGATTGGCTAGCATCCAAGACTACGGTGATATTCGGGCACGATGCAAAGCGTCGTTTGCAGTTGGGCAGGTATACAATTGGTCTGGATTCCGCGTGTTTATACGGCCATAGGTTAAGCGCGGTTGTGATTGCGGCTCCCCATGGGGAAATTGAGCATCAGGTTATTCAAGTCGAATGCAATGATGCGCCTATGGTCCCACCAATATCGGTGGAAGAAGGCGACAAGACAGTGGTTGTATAATTGGTATAAGATTCAATGGACACGAGTCCTTCAGTGATATAGGATAAAGGTGGAAGAATGCCGTATTCTGACCTGAAGCCGTGGGACCTGTGTAGCCATCATAGCCGAAAGGATTCTCATAGTAGTCGATGTTCAATCCTGAAGGTGGGCAGTGAGGCTAGACAGGACAAGATGTTGGAGTTGTTACAGGTGGTGTCGTCGTTGCTGGTATTATTTCCACTTTCTCTATTTTAATTGTTGGGGCGTTGTCATTGGCGACAGCTACAGTTGTGAAGCTGCCAGATTTCTCAAGACGCGGAGATCCTAGGCTGAGCCCACATTTTAGAGCAGTCTCTTCGAACAGCCTCGCACAAATTCAACATTGGACGTTGAATAAATCTAGTGATGTTCTCTGCAGAAACCAATATTGTTTGATTTAGCCGGGCTAGTTAAAACGTTGACTAAATTTTCTCCGCACGCTCTCAATTTTTCTCCTCAGTGGGTCGGTCCCCTCACGGCGACCGCCGAACCCTTAAATATGCACGGTTTTCCCTCGAAAATAAAACAACACGACCCTTGTTCGGCTTTGCATAATGCCTCCTTCCCGCCTCGCCCGCCTTCCCCCATGGATGAGCCACTGGCTGGGTTATCGCCCAGAGACGCCAGCGCCATTAAACAAGTACATTGTGGCAGGCTGGTCCTTCCTAGCCGCGTTCTGCGGTCTGTCCCTCGTGCAGGGCATCTTCAACTACTCAGACTATTTTAAAGAACGCCATGTGCCGGGCATCGTCGCATCCTTTGTGAGCTAGACCCATCTTCCCCGGGGTCCGCAGCGGTGTCAGCTAACAAGTTCATTACGGAAATAGGGCGCATCAGCAGTCCTAGTCTTTGGTGCCATCGAGGTACCCCTGGCGCAGCCGCGCTCCCTAGTTTTCGGCCACTTTTTCAGCGCTCTGGTCGGTATCTGTGTCATAAAACTGTTCAGCCTCATGCCTGATGCTGAGCGCTTCGAGTCACTGCGCTGGCTAGCCGCCTCCCTTTCTACTGCCCTTGCTATCGTCGTCATGCAGCTAACCGGCACTACACACCCACCCGCCGGTGCCACAGCCCTACTTCCGGCCATTGATGACGCGATCTATCAACTGTCTTGGTACTTTTTACCTGTGATCTTGCTGTCGTCGATGTTGCTTTTGGTGTGTGCCTTGCTCATCAACAACTTGCATCGTCGATACCCTGTTTTCTGGATTGCGCCTTCTGCCCCGGCGAAACCTGCGCCAGCGCCGGTGCCGGTGGAGAATCTTGTACAGGACTATGATAAGCCTACTAAGGCATCAGTTTAATAGTTTGCGATTAGAACTTGATCGCTAATTGTGGCATTGAGCATATATGCGGGGTTATAAAAGCGGGTTGTGATATATATAGTATCGGCTGAGAAGCCGACATTGCAATGAGCGGACAAATAATCAACACACTCTCTGACAAGGAGATTTCCTCTTTCTTTTATAGCTGCACCACGATCTTGAGGCAACTGACACCAGCGCGCAACTCATCCAAAGCCTTGTTGGCCGACTCCAAGCCCCCTTCCACCACCTTAATCTTCGGGCTTGGGACCAGATTGCCCGCCGCCAAATTCTCCTGCAGCCAGGCATTGAATATCCAACTGGACCACTTATACCGCTCTGCGGCATCCCCAGGCGGGAGGACAAACGTTGTCTCCACCGCCTCAGGCGGCTTCAACTCAGAGTCGACAAGGGGCGCAATAGCCAGTTTTGCTTTCGCCTCTTGACCTTTCAACTCATTCATCAGATCCACCACAAGCTGCTGATCGCCCTGCGCCAAATACCCCTTTGTGATGTTGACGCCATCTTCCTTCGCAGCACTCTTGATCTGCGATCTGACGTCCTCAGCCTTGTAGTCAAACATTCGCGTGGCACCAAGGCTCTTGATGTAGTCATGGTGCTGTGCACCAGCGGTGGCATACACTGTGTACCCCATCACCTTAGCGGCCTGAACGGCCATGGTTCCGACACTGGTCGATGCGCCCCAGACAAGAACAGCTTCTTTTTTAGCACCTGCTGGTGCCGAGAGAGGAGTGAGGGGAATGCCTGTGAAATTCCAACCATTCCAGGCTGTGAAAATCGCCAAGGGGAACACACTCGCCTCGACAAAGGACAAGGAGTCGGGCAAGACAGCCACACACTCGGCGCGCACGAGGACATAGCGCTGAAGCGCGCCATAGTTCGGGGATCCCTTGTAGTAGAACGAGCTAGCTAATGCCACCACTCGTACTCCGGGCTTCAGGCTGGTGGACTGAACCTCGCTGCCGATGCTGGCGACCACGCCTCCAACGTCAGAGCTCACGATCGACGGGTACTGCTCAATCATGGGAAAGCCCATGTCTCGTTGGTAATGGTCGACAGGGTTCAGCGCGACGGCATGCACTTCAATAAGCAGTTCGTGGGGACCGGGGTTTGGTGTGTTGCGCAGCCCAACGACCAGTGGTCCACCCTTTTGGGGGAGAATGGCGGCCTGGTGCTGTGTGGATGAAGCAGACATCGTTATAGGTAGTTTTCTTCCGCTTATTATTGCAATTTAGTCTTTGATACTTTTGTTTTCGAGTGCATATTCGTCCCTTTTATACTCTGTGATCTAGTTACTATACACGATGGACCAAGATTAGTAATGCCGGTCTTTACCTTATCTCCGTCGTATATGAGTCGGAACCAACGATTCTTTTGTCTAGTATTACTGCAGATGATGTTTTATGATCCCTTGGAAGACCGTGGCCGAGGAAATTGATCGGGAAGTCGGACACTTCCATACCCGTTCTCCACCCAATCGGAAGAGTCTTGATGCCCCGATCGGCTCAAAGTAGTTTCCGAACTCGCTACATCACACCTGAATGGGAAAAGCAAACATCACAAATCACTAAGCCAATGTGGAGCAGCTATATGCAAGTACAAAAATTAGAATTAATCTACATGAGCCCATCCACGGGGATGGAGGACCTGCATCTCATTCACGAGACAGAAAACACCAGGCTCGTGGTTCTGTTCGCTCTTTGCAGCCCATTTCTCCACCCGATTCCGGACGACCATCTCTTTCGGCAGAGGAGAAGTTGTCCAGCGGCGCAGACGGTTGCTCCATAACCCCCGTAGAATCTGCCATCGGGATAGCCACTTTCCAGTCGGATTCACGGCGTCATAGGCATCGCCATTGTACCCTACGCGGACGCGGGGGTTCAGATAGACGCCCAGGTATTTGGATAATCGGTTGTCTGCGTGGATAAGACAACACTCCGAGCCCTCGAGGTGAGCACTTGCGAGGGAGTCAGGGATACCCCGGAATCGGAGTGGTGAGTTGGCGTAAAAGGGACCTGCTGGCATGGCGACTAATTATGTGTTAGCTTTGAAAAACTGGGCGCTTTCTAGCAAACTTACCCATGCCGTTCCAACAACTAGTCACTGGGACAGGCGACATGTTCTTGATAGCGCGCCGAGACGACGCTGCACGGAAATACGGCCACTGCTGCATCACCGCCTCATGGCCATCAATATCTCGGAGCGCAAAGGTGTCGTAGTAGTCGGGTGGCTTTGAGAAATCCAGCGAACAGGCAGCGGCATAGTCGCCCTTGTTGGTTTTCAATAGTTCCACTATATCACTGGGCTGAATGGCAATAGTATGAATCAGTACAAGCATATATGAGACGACAGGAGCAAAACTAACCGTGAAGACAACGTCGTTCAAAAACAAGACCTTGTCAAATATGATCCCCTGCTCTGCCAGCTCTGCCAGCGGCTGCAGACTCAAATTCCGCATTCGAGAGAGATACGGAATTCGCCTCAGCTGTTTCTTCCCCGGAGAGGTCTCGACCCAGCCATCACCATCAGGTGGTCTGTTCATCTCATCCTCGTGCGTAACCGGCGAGGTAGTGATATTTCGAGGCACGCGAAGACGATCTAGTTCCTCGTCCAGCTCCGCCAGCGCACTCTTAGTCCCATCCCAGCTCCCACTCTCATAGATACTGATAAAGACGTTGTCGCGCCCCAGTTTCTGAGCGAGGTCAAGCACGGCCTGATTCCAGTGGCTCCGTAGAATGGATTCGCTGTTCCAATTCACACCCGCGATGTAGATCCGCTCCTGTCGCTGTGGTAGTTCGAACCGTCGCCGTGGCTGTTCATGGTGGATGACGTCTGCTTTGAGCAGCCGCCGATTGATCCAGTAGACTTCTATCCAGTTCCATAACACGAAGAGGATAACCAGCGCGCGGAATATCTGGCGTTTGCGCTGGCGGCGGCGGACTCGGAGGGGGAGGAGAAAGGCAGGAGGGTCATGTCATGGGTAAGATTGATTCCGGGAATGCATAGAGCCTAAATATCAGCGCATGCTAAAGTTGAGAGCGTCTGCGGAGCCGTCGACAACATTAAGATAAAGACAGGAGAGAAGAGGTGGTCATTAGTTATTGCTGGAGGGATTAGTCAAAAATTAGGGGGAACCCTTGTCCGAATCCAGAATAGGCGCCGCGGACCTGTTGCCTTGCCTAACTAATGGTTTCGCCATGAAATTTGTCTTAAACAGTTCCTATTGACAATTTACAATCGCTGGGAGTACGGTACAGGTCACAGCGAACAAGGGAGGGAATGTAACTTGAATTGACCAACACAGAAACTGTTGCCAAGCTACGCCAGCATATGGCCAAATATGGCTAGCGCGGTCACCGCAAACTTTAGTTTTGCCCCTGAATGAGAACGAATGCCCATGCCCGATTGAGTTGCTGATGCTCCAGAGCCAGTCGGAGTGCCACTCGTGATACTAGTACTAACCCCTTGTACCCATGGCTGGCCCGGGAGCGAGTCAGAGCTCTTTTCCACTTCTGCTACACTTAGCAATTTGTTCTCCAGCAAGGCACAATCCACCCTTGCCGAGTCCGCTGGAATACTGTTGGTGACCGAGATAGGAAGGTCAAACACGGTGTAGTAGTCGGTGCCATTCCAGCGAAAAGACTGGTGCATGGAGATATTATATGCTCCCCGATCAGAAGAGCTGCCGCCGTTGCCGACCATGCAATTGGGCCAAACCCAGTTCACATGCTTGACGGTGGAAGAGGGCTCAAGATCTAGTACTGGACCGACATAGCCTTGGGAGTCGTTTGATGGTACTGTGCCATTGGAGATGGTGAAGTTGTGCGAGAGAGATTCGGATGTCAAGAATAACGTGATGTTGTGGAAGAGAGTGGGAGAGTTGGCGGACTGTGTGGATGATGGCCATGGCAGCCGTCCGTCTCCGGAGACATCAATTGCGACCTGAAGGTATTCTGTATCGTGGGTCAGTTAAGATGTCAACGGAATTGAAGAATCTATGAACGCACGTCCACCCTCGGGGGTGTAGGGCTGTGGGGAGTCAACAATCGCCAGGCCTGGCGTGTAGATCTGGCCGTTCACGATAGTAAAGTTGCCCATGGTTGGACTTCGTAGAACTCCCAAGGGTTCCAAGATCGAGATGATAAGTTTGGGGGAGAGGTTTTTTCTGCCAAGGCCTCATTTCCGGGCTTCCGCCTCTTCCTTGACGGTTTGAGATTAATTAGTTTCGGTCGTTTTGTTATCGGGGGCCATACACCGTTGGGATAATCAAGCTTTCCAACTAAAACGTGACCTAGAATACTGGATATTTGTTTACGATGTGACGATGTACAAAGTAAGCTTTCTGAGAATGAACCGCTTCGGGTCCGTTCCTCCACATCTCGGTACTCCGAGGCCCCGAGACCCGGCTGATCATCTTCCCCGGCTTCATCCCCGCACAGTCGGTAACAACTCCCTCAACAACTAGCAAATATGGCCTCAGAATGGCACTGCACGGTCTGTCCCGCTACTTTTACTCGCGCAGAACATTTAAAACGGCATAATGCGTCTCGTTCGTCTACCTACCAGCCCTATGGTCCGACACTGCTGATTGATCCGATGTAGACCTTGACGACCGGTCGCACGCCTGTGCATCTTGTGGACGAAAGTTCAATCGAAGGTATTATATGAATGGACCCTGTATCTATGCATTTTGAATATGGGATCTGACGTTTCTTTCTAGGGATATACTCCGAAGGCATGAAAAAACCTGCAAATCTCGAGTCCACTCATCCTTCGAAAATGAGGGTCGCGTCCATTCGGATGAAGAGAGACAGTCAAAACGACGTTGCTCAATAGGGTTGAATGATCCGGCAACCTTGCCTTTGCCCGAGGCTGATCCTCTCGCGCTTGATTTTTCCTTTCCTGGTTGGGACTATGCCGAGCCAACACAGGTACTGGATTCACTTGCGACCAACTCCAGAAGCACATCCGAGCTTGCCAAGTTAGATAGTTCTTCCTATTTTACGGGGAACGATCTTTTAGCAGACATCCCGTCACCTCTGGATTTCTCCACCTTGGATCTTCTGTATTCTCCGCAACTGACCTCGGATATCATCCTTGCTGAGCGACTGGAATATCTTGCATATTTTACTAGCTCACGTGGAATGGCCACATTTGCGGACCGCCAATCGTTCCGGCGAAGTCAGAAGATCGTGATGGATGCCTACGAAGCCAAATTGCTGCAGCAGCCTACCCCACGAATCAATCATGCGGATGGCCACGAACTACGTCCCGATTTAGACCCATCTCCAACACACGAGTCTATCTCTGATCCACTAGACGCCAAATCTCACCAGCTTGTCGATAGTCTCAGAACTGTCATTTGCGGAAGGCGAAACGACGATGTCATCACCCTAGATTGGTCCCCATCTCGGAACAAACTATGTCAAGAGTTCTTCTCTCCACCCAACATACGCCGCTTTCTGGAATATTTTTGGTCATTATGGTACCCCCACTGTCCGATTGTGCACAGGCCGCTTTTCGATTCAGATGCAGCCACGCCGGCACTGCTATGCGTGATGGTGGTCATTGGGGCATGCCTTTCTTCGCGCGACAGTGACTACCAGACAGCCAGAATGTGGCTGGATAGTGTGGAGGAACTGACTTTTGGCCATGTTTGTTTTCGAAAGAGCCATTCGCAGGGGTATGATGATATTAGTTGGAAAAAGGAGATGCTGCAGTGTATTCAGGCGGCATATCTTGTTTGCTCGCTGCAGAAGAGAGAAGGATCTGCGGAAGCTCAGGCCCGCATCCGACGATATCGGCATGCTTCCATGGTCACAGTGAGTTGGAAAACAGTTTGACGTTTTCTATCCACCCATACTGAAACTATCTTCTTAGTTGGCAAGAAACATCGGACCTGGAAATGCTTCCCACCGAAATCTCCGCCTGGATGAAGCTTCGCTATCATGGTGGAAGCAGTTCGCCGAGGAAGAAGAGCTGATCAGGTAACAATTACTAGACTTGCGACAAGAAAAATTCCGCTGATTGCTCTAGAACTCTCATATTTGTCTTCTTGATTGACACAGCCCTCGTTATCTTGCACAATTCACCACCCCGGATGGTTATCCCCGAGATGAAGATGGATGTATCATGCCCCGAGGCGTGTTTCCAGGCCGAGTCTGCATCGGAATGTCTCGTCCTTCTTCGTGAATGGGCCCACACTCGGTTTTGGAAGGACAGATTATCTGTTGTGTCAGTGGTAAGGCGCATTTGCCAGAACCAAGTGCAGGATAACCTGATCAACGACTACGCGCGGTTGGGGACACTTAATCTTTTTACAGTGGTGCAAGGTATGCTTGACTTCTTTAAGACATTTCAATTCACTGACACCATCAAAGCAATCCATTCCCTCATGTTCCACCTGCAAAACTCCCTTGTTTTCGAATCGACACTAGCACCCGTGCAGACAGGGCTTGAGAACTGGAGACGGATCTGGAACGAAAGAATCCCCGAAGATCAAAATATTCCCGATACCGCGGAGAACATATGGAAAAAGGTTGGATTTCTGCGCCAGGCATCGGAGTTCTGGCACCTGGCTCGGATCTTCGCGGCCAAGATCGGGTCAACGAGTGACGGCTTTGATGACCCCGCAGAGACGGCCTCTCAGATGCATTCTAGCTACGATCATACGGATATGGGCGATGTGAATGGGCTTATTATGGAGTATCGAAGGTTGAATTTGGGTGTGAGCTAACTTTTTATCACTTTTCTTCTGAGGTTTGTGTTCTTCTTTGCACACGGACTTCGAAATCCATCGGTTTGACAAACCAGAAGTTCTCCGTGTGCCATGTCTTCCGTACAGGAGTGAGGTCGAAGTCACGCACCAGTCGAGGAATCAACTTGGACATCTCGAGGATTGATATGTGCTTTCCCAAGCATGTTCGAGAACCTAGGCCAAACTAGTTTATAGCGTTAGCAAGAGCCACCGTTTTATGAAGGAATTGTCACACTCACAGGCATATACATCTGGTTCATTTCCTTTAGTCGCTCCGGATCACTTTCGGCTTCCAACCATCTCTCCGGTCTGAAAGTCTTTGCGTCCGGGAATGTTTTCTCATCGTAGTGTGCCACCCAGGAATTGATACCGACGACAGTACCAGCAGGGAAATGGCGTCCACTGATTTCTGCCCCGCCATCAGGCACGACCCTCCACATAGGCAGTCCGGTAGCGCTGTGCATGCGCAGCGCTTCCTTCATAACAGCCTGGAGATACGGCATATCCTGGCTTTCCTTGAAGGTGACTTCCGTGCTGCATTTCCCCTGCGCGGTAAAATCATCAATCTCCCGTCGCAACTTCTTGAGCGTCTCGGGGTAGTGAAGCAGATTCCATGCAATGGCCGACAAACTGATGGCCGTAGTATCAGATCCAGCAGTGACATTTGACAGGCCCATGATGAAGAGGTGATAATCCGTCACTTTCTCCGGGTCCTTGTCGCGCGCAACCATCAGTTTCTCAACAAAATCCTGCGTCTTGGATCCATCACTCGCCGATTCGGGATCTTTTCTCTTCTCTTCGTGGAGTCGGATCTTCTCTCTCACGAAACTGGCGAGATACGCTCTTCCACCGGCGCCGGACCATTTGAATCGGCTTAATGGACCGAAGAGTCGCGGGTGCCATTCTGGATAGATCCCGACCATCGTGCTGTACTTCAATACGTTGCCCAGTGCAGCCATCGTTCCATCGATATCGCGTCCATCATCCAGAAAACCTGTGTTGCCTTGTTAAACAACTTCCACATTTCGTTCGCTTGAGAACTCACCAAACCGTTCCCCGAAGGTGATATTCCCAATGACATCAAACGCGTAACACTGGAACCAGTGTCCAAGATTGAGGGATTCTTTCCGGTCCGCAAACCCGGCCAGATTTTTCAAAAACAGGTCCGCACAGTCATCTGCAAAAGTCTCGTAATTCACCAACGAGGTCATCGAGTACAGGCCTGTAAATCTTTTTCTCGTATCGGCTGTTTTCCATCAGTATTAGCATCATTAGTGAATCTCGTTCTACACCAGAAAGGCAAGAGGACTAAGAGAACCAACCATGTCGTTTAATATCCCGATCCGCAAACACGGTCCACTGCGTCGGGTGTTTCCACCCATCGTACCACGCCGACTTGGCGAACCGCGACCCGGTACCGTAGACTGTACGGACGGCGGAGAGGTCGCTGATGCTATAGTGGTTTGGGCCAACACGCACAATTGGCCCGTATTCCTCGTGCAGGCGGATGTTGTCGTGTTCAAACTGGCCGCGGCGCACGCGGTTGAAGTACCATAGATTTGTGAACCTGGCGCTGAATGGGCCCGGAAAGGAGCGGAGAGGGCTGAATAGGACTTTTCCTATGCGGAGTAGGCATTGTAGGACCACCACCAGGATGGGGACGAGGATGAGAATGTGAGTATGCATGGTGAGTTGTCTCTATCCGATATTTCTCCTACTCTCCGTCTTTCGTCTTTATATGTTTCGGTGATTGTCAGGCCCTCCCCACGTCAGGCCCTCCACCCCCACCCCCGCCGCCACATTATTGGGGAACAACAATAAGTGGGTAAAGAGAAGCACGAAAACGGCGAGGGCACGTATGCCGGTTACTGTTTAACTATTCCGGAATTCGTGGTAGTGGTCATTGGTATCTAGTTTTATTCGTTTCAACATACATCATCCCGGTAAAAGGCAGGAAAAGAGTGGCGATACAGCATCATAACAAGGGAATGGTGACAGCCGTCCACAACAGATTAAGCAGATAATTCAAGGGAAACATCCAGTATTTCGCCATTCGCCAGAAAGAACACATAAAACAAAACACTTCATTTTGATGGAACAGGCCTATCATCCGGACAGATCAAGATCGGTCGCCCCAGAGCCCGACAATTCCCATCGACAGCGCAATACCAGACAACCAGGCCCGGACAGACTGCAAACGGCGCTCCGCGACCATCTCCCGCTGGATAGTCTCGCCATTGACGTCCTCCTCAGCCTCGACAACCACCAAGTCCTCCTCTTTCTTCGCAGAAGACTTGCGGCCCAGCGTCAGACAGGTTGTGTCCCGAAGAACGCTGAAGAGCCAATTCTGCAGGCCGATCTGGCGATTGAACCAGAAATCCACGCCGTAGGAGGCGAGTGTGGAGGTCGCGCACATCCACAGCAGATACGGGTGCTTGCGACGCGGCGGGGAGATACAGTAGGCGAAGAGCAGGCAGGCGTTGGCCAGGCTAGAGATGCGCAGGGCATGCTTGCGATTCAGGCGCTGGATTTCATGGAGACACCGGGACGCCGTGGTGGATGTGGGCAGCAGCTGCAGCGAGGGGACGGTGATGGCTGAGGTGGAGTAGGATAGACCCTGGAGGTTTACGGTTGTCGCGTCAGCGCCAGTGGGGGGAAGAGACGGAGATCCAACTGACCGTCAACAGACCGAGTGAGACTGTGCCCACAAACTTGGTAACGGTGATAGGGCACGCCATGGTATCGCGCGAGTTGAAGGTAATCGTCTATCGTTGTGTTGCAGAGACAAAGACGAGTGGAACAGGCGGAGGTGACATCAGCCATGCACGGGCCAACCAGCAACCGCCGATTTCTAAGATGGAAGTAGGAGCAGCTGCAGAGGATTGAGACACTATTATTAGTAGAGAGTGTATGCCTAGCTATAGTCGAAGGAAATACTGCTGAGGGAGTGAGGGTGTCTAGGTTGGTTTGGGGTTCCTCGATGACATGCCGACAGTGGTATACTTGACCAGCCTATTCAGATTTTATACATGCAAATAATGCAAGTATGAGATATAGTTTCTCCAGGATGTTAGCACGGGGCAAATGGAAACCCGACTATGAACCGACCTCAGTTCATGTGCTTGGTTTAATCATAAAGATTGTGAACAAACACCATTAACCTGTTGCATAATCAAGCCGAGGTCCACGGCTGCTGTGGGGAAAAGGCGACGGGGCGATCGTTGGTTGTGCTTATCCATAGTTAAAGGGAACGGACCCCTGCAACAACTTCTCTCTTCCACCTTCCCCAGCTTCACCACAATGCCGCTCCCCAAGTCAGATTACGTGAGTGACTCCTGGAAGGATGGCCTGTTTGGTACGTTCCGACTCCCGACGTTGTTACCCCGCTAGCTGACCCAGTCCTAGCGAACAAGGTCGTCTTCTGCACCGGCGGCGCAGGTACCATCTGCAGCGCCCAAGTCCGCGCTCTCGTCCATCTCGGAGCGAACGCATGCATCATCGGCCGCAATGCGGAGAAGACAGAGCGCGTGGCTCAGGACATTGCGACTGCCCGACGGGGTGCCAAGGTGATCGGGATTGGGGCTGTGGATGTGCGGAAATTCGAGAGCTTGAAGGCGGCAGTGGATCGCTGCGTTCAGGAATTCGGAGGCATTGATTTTGTCATGTAAGGCCCGGAGCGTCCCTTTTGTTTGCGATCAAAGATTGACGATGATGTCTACCAACAGTGCCGGCGCAGCAGGCAACTTCCTGGCCTCGATCGAGCAGCTCTCGGTCAATGCGTTCAAGTCCGTCATGGACATTGACATCCTGGGCTCGTACAATACCCTCAAAGCCACCCTCCCACACCTGGTCGAGTCGGCGAAAAAGCACAGAATGGACTCGGAGTCGCGTGAGTTCCACCTTCTCTTCCTCATGGTCCTGCTCGTCGCGCTGAACTTCTCTAGTCCAGCCATCTCCCCTCGGCACAGGCGGAAGAATCATCTTCGTCAGCGCCACCATCCACTACCGGGGCATGCCCTTCCAGACCCACGTGTCGGTCGCCAAAGCCGGCATCGACGCTTTGTCGAACAATGTTGCCATTGAATACGGTCCCCTCGGCGTGACCTCCAACATCATTTCCCCCGGCCCGATTGCTCAAACCGAGGTATGACATTCTCATAACGCTAAAAAAAAACACCAAACTGACTCGGTCTACTCCCAGGGTCTGGAGCGTCTCTTGCCATCCGATGCCAAGGCAGACTACACGCGATCCCAGCCCCTAGGCCGCTTCGGGCATGTTCGCGACATTGCCGATGCGACGGTGTATCTGTTTTCTGACACAGGGAGCTACGTGACTGGCCAGACGCTTGTCGGTAAGTTATTCTGTTTCCCTATGATACCTGCTAGATGCTGAGATGTATATGTCGTGTAGTGGACGGCGCGAGCTGGCGCATGTCAGGTGGCGGTATATCCGGTGCGGGCATGAGCTACCCGGACTTCCTGCTCTCGGGAATGGAAGTGCCTAATGTTACGGGCAAGAAGACGTCGAAGCTGTGAGATACGTAGGTTTAATGGGCAGTGTTGTATAGACGGGGACTAGCGTTTTCTTTGTTCTATATTGACGTTATAAGGCGGCTGTGCCCCAGGGATATTCCGGCATATTTGTATCGCATCTCTTTTTTAGTGCTTTGTAGCAGTGGTCGGGGTGTTAAGACAAGGACAAAGAACCCACAAGTCATGTCTTGACATCCTTGATCCAGATAGCGGTAAATATCATGAAATTGGACCAGGACAACGGACTCAGCATATTTCCTTCAACAGAACAAATTCCACTGGCCCTGCTCTAGAGATGAGCGAGCTCAATGTCACTCTACCACTCTATTGATGGCCATTCCTAGAATAATACAATAACTATATGCTCCAAGTGAATGAGAATGAGGGTTTAGGAAACAATAGAGCCAGCTTATATGTAGTGAATAATGAATGGCCGTCTCCCCCTTTTGTTCTCAATGGCTATTGTCCGAGAGACGCCCAGACATAAAAGACCCCCTGCACTACGGTTCAAAGCCGGAGTACTTCGATCTACAATGCCAGGTTTCAGCGGAGAAAACCACTCCGATTTTTTCCAAAGACAAAAACCCCTCGAGCGCCTGTTGGCAATTCTACTACCGTTCCAATCCTCCGAGGAAGACCCCCTCAACGGCCATGGCACCTCCACACCAGATGCCTGGTAGACCAACTCCACACCAGGTGGCGCCTGGTAGGTCACCAGCCAGCCGACTAACCCGCCCCAATGTTCCTGACACGGACAAGGGGGAAACCAACAACAACGCGGCGCAACGGATCCAGAAAGCGCAGCTGGAGAACGCAATCTCGAAAGAAGAAGCCACCAGCCAGGCAATCAAGGAAAAAGCCCACCAGCAGCAGCGGCAAATCCACCTGTTGGGAAACCAGATCAGCGAATATGAGGGTATCATCCACGACGGTGAAACGCGAGCTGATGCGAACAAAACAAAAGCCAAGGAGCTTCAAACGTCTCTGACGCGGGAGCGGAGACTGGCGCAGACCAATGAGAACTACACACAGCAAGTCGAGAAGCGGTGCGACGAACTGGAGAAGATGAATTCGAATCTGCGGCGGTCTTCGGCGGAACGGGAGAAGATCTGGAAGAGGCAGTTGGTTCAGACGGAGAAGAGAGTTCACGATCTGGAAGAGGCGCTTTCGATTTCGTCTTCCGGTCTGCAGGCGTACAGGCGGCAAGTGCTCAAAACAGTGGATGACTGGACTTTGTTGAAGACTGCGCTGAGGGAGCGCAATGAGCTGGAGAATCCGAAGAATGAACGGCTTGGGCTTCTTATGATGAGTGTCTTGCAGGTTATCAATGGCTCGGAGGCGTTGTGTCAGTCTGTCATGGACCAGTTACGTGTTCGACACAATGGCAAGAGTGGTGGGCAGCCGAGAAAACCTGAGCGCCTGTCTACGGCACTGGAAGATGTGGAAATGAGAGGCTCCACCGACACTTTGGGCCCGAAACATGAAACGACAATGCCGAGAGCAATGAGTATCTGCTCCGTGATTTCTGACAGCCCTCGCGATGGGGATATCAACATGGAGAACGCGGGTCCATCCACGGACTCCGCCATCTTTGACTCGACAGACACGGATTCGGTGATGCTGGAAGACGACGACCGAGATCAAGACACCAAGATGACAGGGGACTGGACTAGCATGAATTCGCCTTGCTCGCCGCCTCACTCTGTCTACTCGCAGAGCTCAAACAGCTTGGATTCCGACAGCGACTCTCGCTTCCCGAGTCGTCCGGGCAGTATTCGCTTTCCCTCCCGGAAGCGTGCTCGGTACATCGAGACCTCCGACGATCCAAGTTCATCGGAGTCCGAAGATGACTGTCTCGAGGCCAAGCGCATCAAGGTGTTTCCCCGATCCTTCGAACGTACCCCGAACAGCAAGGAAGTGGAGCAGATCAAGAGCTCTTCTGTCACGCCGACACAGTTAGGTACGACTTTGACTTCTCTCAGCCTCGACCTGCGGTTTGTCGGCCCAGTGACAGTGCACACGGTTAGCCCCAAACTCCCTCAGCTCCCCCACCTCCAGCCATCGCAGTCGCATGGAACGCAGACCGAAGAGCAGACTGGACAGCCGTCGTGTCTGGAAAAGTCTGTCGCTGTCTCTGTCCACTCCAAAGACCTTCCCCAACAATTTATGCAGACGCAGACCAATGCACCCGAGTTTGTGTCCCGAGTTCAGATGGACGAGTCCTTCGCCGAATACATCAAGACGAAGAAGCAAACCGGGTCTCCGAAAAAAATTCAGAAGCGCAGAACTCAGGCACTGCCCATCGACGAAAACGCCCGCAGCCTGATGCCAGGAACGTGGCCACGACAGACCATCGCTGAACCGGGAGATCTTACATCGATCATGATGATGGCCAGCCAGGGACATGTTCTAGCGAACCGGCAGAATAGAGTGCACGAGGCAGTCACCCGATGGGTCCTGCGTATGCTTCAGAAGCATCCCCGCGACCTGATCTTGGGCATGGTCAGTTTGGTCACGCTGTTGTATCTCTGGCACAGTCACCGAGTGCATCGGGAGTGGATGGCGGTGAACCAGATCCCGCGCAGTGTCATGGCCGAGTTGCGCCACCGGCGTGTTGGGGAGTTGCGATGGATGGAGTCGATGCGATATGGCCTGGCACAGTGGTTGAACGTGGATCGGGTGCCGTTGGGATAGTTCAAGTATGTGTACACAGTAACGTGAGCTCTAGATCTACAAGGTTAGGTAATCAGCTATTCTGAGAACGGAAAAACGTGATCCGGCAGGGTGTGTGACGCAACCAGCCCCAGACCCAATCAGCGTCTGGGCCGCGCAATGATCGCCCTCTCCTTGTCTCGCCCTTTCTTTCTCTGTGATCTATCCATCAGAGCAATCCACCAGCCCCAAATGCTCTGACTTCTCCTTCTTCCTCTTAACACTCCCACTCAATCCAACTTCGTTTCTTGACTGCACCTTTATCCCCTTCTATTGTCCTGGACGTCCGCTCTTTACCACCATGTTTCTTCGCTCCGTCCTGCTGGGCGCCACCGCCCTGAGTGCAAGCGTCAGCGCCATGCTGGTCATCCCCGAGATGGAATCCCAGGTAGAGCCTGTGGAAGACGGGTTCATGAATGTGCATCCCATGCTCATCCAGGAGACACAGCATGCGCTGATCGACCTGCCCTGCACCGAGTGCCCTTTCCGCCAGATGGCGGACAACGGCGAACTCAGCTGGACTGATGGCCACTCTTCATCTCTGGTATGGCCACCACCACCACCACCACCACCATCGCTGATGACGGCCTTGGCTAATCTACTCTCTTGTTTAGATTCTGGACTTTTCGATCGAAGACAACACTTTGCTGGCCAACGGTCGCCAGATCTTCCCGCCCGTTCCGCCCAGCCCCATCATCGCCGCCCAGGAGCGTGACGATGGCGAGTTGAGCGCCCCGGTCACGATTGGATACGCTCTAGAGGTGATGCCGGTGGCCAGCACATCCGACAAGGAGGCGTTCGAGCTTCTCGATGTCCGTTTCACCGTCCTCGATCTGGAAATGCTCCCCGTCCCCCTCGACACAGTGGCGATCGCTCTCATCGTGGGCCCCGATGGCAATCTGTACATCGCCCGAACTGAGACCGAAAGGACCACTACCGAGTCCAAGCAGTTGTCCTGGAAGCAGTGCAACGGCAAGCCCAAGTGCCTACAAGCACTCCTGGTTTCCCGCGTGCGGGGTCTGCTGGCAGCGGCCAGGGAGCGCGTCATGGGCCTGGCCGCTACCTCGAAGATGTCCAACCCCAAGGACTGCGCCAAGGCCAAGCACATGAAGGGCAAGCACCGTGGCCACCACAAGGGCGATAAGGTGGGCCGTCCTCACCGCCACCACATGCACCGCCCTCACCCCGGTGCCTTCTCTCGCACCTTCTCCCGGGTGGTTCACTTCATCGTTATCCCGGCCATCCTGGGTGTCTTGGCTGGCCTGACTGCCAGCGCCGTCGGCATGCTGGTCGGACAGGTCGTAGTCTTTGTCTGGCAGCGCTTCCGCGGAACCCAGCCACAAGAGCACAAGGCCGCATGGGAGCAGGGTGATGCGTGCGAGAAGCAGGGTCTCATGACCGAGTCCGCTGAGGATGAGCTCCCTGAGTATACTGAGGATGAGGCTCGGGGATCCATGGACAAGAACTAAAGAGGTTTACGCTATTGGTTAATTGGCATTGTCTTCCATATATGAGGTGAGAGGCAATGTCTATTGTGAGTGACTTACTACCGTATGAGATTGCTATCCGCCTGGCCCAGGCCCCCGTTATGTAACAGCTTGTACAGCAACTATTTCCTCAATTGATTCGTTCTCTTGGTCTGTTCTTGAAATGTAATAATGTATAGTTCCGATCTCAAAACTGTAGTAAGGCTGAGCATCACGTGAGGAGGCACCACCGACATTCCCCCTCATAAGAAGAGATCAACACCTCAACTCGCCCCCCCCCGTGGATGCCAGCTGTGGCCAAGGATGCTCTGTTTGACCCTACAATGACCTTTCCCCTGAATCAACTACACGACACCATACATTACATCCTTTCCTCCCCCGAGTCTGCTTCCCGGCTGAGCTAGCTCTCCGACGTCAGATAGCCGTGCCCGGGGCCACCTCTACAGCTGTTCCCCCAATCCGCATTGGGACCCCCTCAACCACCACCATGCTCCAGTCGTTCGTCCAGAAGGCGTCATCGTTGATCGATCCAGCCAACTTCAACATCCCCGCTCTCTCCTCTTCCGACAACAATCCCTCCAAAGCGTCGCTGTTCCGCCAACAATTCCGCCTCCCGGACTCGCAGAACCCGCTGCAGGAGATCACAGCGGACCTTGTTCTCCCGCTCCCCCATTCATCCGGCGGCTCGCCGAGTGATGGCTCTCGCCGTGTCGACCACGCAGGGAACCGCTACACCGGCCGTCTGCACATAAGCGAACGATTCATCTGCTTCTCTACTCAGCCGACTAGCTTCGTTCCCTCTGCTACACATAACGCTTCGACCAATTGGACCGGCCAGACACATGGCACCGGACCTTCGGGCAATGGCTTCACACTGCCACTCTCTTGCATCCGTCGTGTGGAACGACTACACAGCGCTAGCCATGTCTTCTCTTTGGCCCTGACTACTTGGAACGGCTTGTTGATCAAGTCCCAAGAGCTGAGCCCGGCACCTCAAAGACTGATCCTCCAGCTTGTTGGCAGTCGGCAAGCCTGTGAACGCTTCTGCGATTGTCTCAAGAAGGGCTTACGTGAGGCGATGAAGGAAGTGGAGAGCTTGCGCCTTGTTGTCTCGGACTGTTACTCGGAATACCTTTTGTCGAGCACCAAGTCAAAGCCTGTGGAAGGAACTGAATCGAATGCCCGTCAACCCCCTGATGCCGGGCTGGGTATGATTTTTCGCTATCCCGGTGATGCTCGCAAACTCCGTGATCGCAGTAAGATGAGGCTTTGGGGTGAATATTTTAGAGGTATGAATTTGAATAACTCTCTCTATCTGGACGTTCTAACACCGAATCTATAGAGAATGGCCGCAATGCAACCCTCGTGCGTCAGCCGACCTTCCACAAGCTGATCAGAGTCGGCCTTCCGAATCGATTGCGCGGTGAGATCTGGGAGCTGACAGCTGGGTCACTCTTCCTTCGCCTTGGGTCTCCTAAACTGTACCAGGAGACATTGGCGAAATTTGAGGGTCAAGAGTCTCTTGCCATTGATGAGATTGAGAAGGACCTCAACCGCAGTTTGCCTGAATATCCTGGATACCAAAGTGAAGAGGGCATCGGTCGACTGCGCCGAGTCCTCACAGCCTACAGCTGGACTAACGCCGAGATTGGTTATTGTCAGGCTATGAACATTGTCGTTGCAGCATTGTTGATGTACGCTTCCCTAAATCTCATATGTTTAACACCAAACTAACCCAAGCAGATACACATCCGAGGCCCAGGCATTTTTCCTTCTGTCCGTGCTATGTGACCGTATAGTGCCAGGCTACTACTCCACGACCATGTACGGCACATTACTCGACCAAAAGGTCTTCGAGTCACTTGTGGAGAAAACCATGCCGGTGCTCTGGGATCACCTTGCCAAATCCGATGTACAGCTCTCCGTGGTCTCCTTGCCATGGTTCCTCTCCCTGTATATCAATTCGATGCCCCTCGTCTTTGCGTTCCGAGTCCTGGACGTCTTCTTCCTGGAAGGACCCAAGGTGCTGTTCCAAGTTGGCTTGGCCATTCTTCGCATCAATGGCGAAGAGCTTTTGGATATCCAGGATGATGGATCGTTTATCTCCATTCTGAAATCATATTTCGCTCGCCTAGATGAATCTGCCCACCCTCGATCCGAGAACCCGAAGCTGCGGGCCATCACCAGGTTCCAGGAATTGATGGTGGTTGCTTTCAAGGAGTTCTCGGGTATCACCCACAACACAATTACCGAGCAGCGTGAAAAGCACAAGGATGCGGTTCTCGAGAACATCGAGAACTTTGCCAAACGCACCTCCATCCGCAACCTTGGACCAGAGAGCAAGCGTCTCAGTGTGGACGATCTGGGAACAATTTACGACCGCTTTTACGAGACCCTGTACCAGTGGCAGCAACATCAAAGATCTCTTGAAGAGGAGAGAAAACTCCAAGCGAAGAAGAAATCCGAGCGTCTCTCCGCGCGTGCGCATCGTGCAGACAACCAAGTCGGCCGCGTGGGTCTTGGTCCCAGCCCAACTCACATGGACTACGAAGCCTTCCGTGAATTCCTCGCCGCTACCGCAAAGTGGGCTGTGGCCGACTCACCCGCACCATCAAAGAAAGAGTCAGAGGCAGGCTACCACAGCCTCAAGGGCAATGGTAGATCGTTACTATGGGCCAATCGCCCACAGCCGGCTGACCATGAGTTCATGCAACGTCTGTACCGCAAATGGGCCACTGATTCTGAGGAAGGGTTGAGCCTTCAGAATGTGGTGAACGGTATGGCGCGCCTCAAGGGATCCCCCGACATCATGAACAACATCAACTACTTCTTCAATCTCTATGATGACAGTGGTTCCGGTCTTGTTGATCGTGAGGGAATACTCCGAATGTCCGAGGGCCTGCTTTTCCTTTCTCGTCGCGGATTCGAAGGGACCATCAACGTCACTCAACCGCTGGAAGATTTGAACGGACCCCGGGACCGCGATCATGCCGAGCAGAACAGGCTCTCCGCTGAAGAACGGTTCCTGGGTAGTGTCAGCGCATTTATCCGTCGGTGCTTCGAATACGCCGACCCCAGTAACCCTGAACATCAAAAGGCCGCCATTCAAAACTCCACCGCCGAAGCGACTGAAAAGTTGGACTCCTTTGCCATCGGCGACGAGGAAGACGAGGAGGAAGATCTGATCGACGTCGGAGAAAAATCCAAACCAGACACGCCCTCGCCCACACTCGAACCATCACCCAAACCAGCGGCCGTACGAACCAACCGCCAGGTCTCCGAGTCCGCCAACCAAGCCCTCGACCCTAACAACCCACTCCACATCACCCTCCCGACCTTCCGCATGGTCGTCCTAGCCGACGAACTCCTCGAACAATTCTTCGAGTCCTTCTTCCCCCAATCCTTCCACCTATCCGACCACCCGCACCCGGCCGCCCTGGCCGCCTCCTCCTCCCTCTCTTCAAACCTAACAACCTTCTCCAACATCGGCAGCGCCCGCCCCTCAGCCCTCACAGCCGCCGGAAACGTCTCCGTCGCAGGCGCGTCAGGCGGCATCGTCCCGCCGGGCAAAGGTCTCCGCGGCGTCCTCGACAACATCGCCACAGAGGGGATCCGCATGGCCGCCGAAGTCAAGAAGAGGATGGACGACGCACAGCGCGACATGGAGCGCAATGCTCTTGGCCGCGAAGAGGAGGATGATGAGGAAGAAGATGATGATGAGGATCTTCGTCGCGATCTTCTTGAAGGCGCCGAGGTTGTGAATGTTCGTGGGAAAGAAGGTACTGCTTCTCCTCGCGCTGCTGGTCAGGCAGGTGGAAACGGGGGACCTGATGGTGAGGTGATCAGCAAGGTTGTTGAGTTCGAATCATGATGATATCCCTAATCGTTTGGTCGTTTCGCCTTGCCTTGCCTTGCCTTGTTGTATGGAGGGAGGGAGGGGGTGGTTGTGTTCTGTCTGCCTCTTGTTGTGTGCTGTCCTGTCTTTTGTCTTTGCGTGTTAAGACGTGTTTTTCTTGCCATTATAAACTCCTTGTGTCCTTGGATTGGATTGGACTGGATTGGGCTGCGTGGATCGCATCGCATCACATTTCCGTCCTGCTCTACTCTACCTTGCCTCTGGTGTGTCGACTCGCATCCATTATATATCTTTCGCTAGAAGAAAGACTATTTGAGGTATTTGGAATCACAGATGTTTTTCTCTGGTCAGATTTCTCGCGGCGATGGCAAGCATTGAGTTTATTGTTGTTGGCCAGGGTGTAAATATTTATATATCTTGTGCAAATGGTGATTGCGAATCGGCTTGATAGAGCGACTACTCAAACTCAACGTCCTTTGAGGCTTAGACCTAGAGGAGTCCCTTCTAGAGAAATTAAATTGAAGAATCAATCTTCCGCGGTAAATAAATGCTATAGCTGAATCGCGAAGGTATGTACAGAAGGTATCGTCGAAAGCACTAAGTTAATTCGCTGACCTCGCCCCAACAATCGCAGAAGATGCATGCAAATGTGTTCGGTGTTGATTCCATTCGAACAACATGCCCTCCATTTCCACGCCCTAATTAAGGAAAAGAAAATAAGAAAAGGAAAGAACCAAAGGGTATAAAACAAGGTCCCAGGCGTAAATCAGAAAAGAAGAGTACACTCCCCCCCCCAACATAAAAGACATGGTGTCAAAGTGCACCACCGATTAATCCTTCTGTCCCTCATTCTCCACCAGCTCCAAAACAATCTGGCTGCGCTCATACTGCGGATGCTGCATGCAAATCTTGACCGTGTGACCGGGCAACCCGCCAAACACTCCATTCGCACTCAGCCCACTCGCCAGACTGATAGCACTGCCGGGGCTGGCAAGCGCCTGGCTAGCCTGGACATGATTCGCAAGGGAGCCGGGCAGTTTACTGCCATCGTCGAGACACGTGACGCTGTGGCCGGCGATAACCTGTCTCAGACGACCGTTCATGGCATTGCGGACCTCGACGAAGTCGTCATTGAACAGAATCAGGAATTTGCCGTACAAACACGCAGAGTGGGCGCTGCCGACGAACTCCATGACCACGCTGCGCGAGACGTCGCCGTGCTTGTTGACGTACACGGCGCATTCTTGGTAGGCGACTAGGAACTCGCTGTCGCTGAGGCGGAACATGCCCAGCGGGCGGAGGTCTTTGATGCGGTTGGCTATCCCGTGGAGGGTATCGTGGGCGTCGGGGGTTTCGGAGCGGAAGTCTGGGACGGACCATGACTGTTTCTTGTCGAGGGTGAGAACCTCGATGCCGCGGTGAGTGGAGATGGCGAGCGAGGAGTGGAACATGTTGATGTGGTAGCTTTCGGCGGGGATGTAGAACTCGTCGTACTCGCGGAAGAACTCGGTTTGGGAGCGGCGGGATTGGAAAAGTTTGGATTTGTTGCTGGATGATTTTTGGAGGATGGGTTCAAGGACCTGGTCTTCGCGTTAGGAAAGCCGGAGGAGGGCTTGGTCGAAACATACCTTGAAGGTGGACGAGAGTCCGTCTCGCTTCTTGTACAAGACCAAATACCGATCATTCATGCGTCCTGCTGCGAAGAAGCCCACTTCGCGGTTCCCAGATAACTTCTGCGGAGCTCGTCGAGCTGAGTCTTGCGACTGAGATGGAGTGCCGCTGACTGGACACACCACATCAAGGTGGTAGGCAATCAAAGACCGGTCTGCAATGAGCAGGAAGAGATTAAATTCCTCAAACACGGCAATTTGAGTGACCCGCATAATGGGAATAGCCTGGAGGATAGCATTAATATTATGCACCGACTGAAACAAAAGGACATAGCACTTACCCGATACCAACCGCGCGGGTTGTTATGCTCCGCCAGATAGACGCCATTGTCCGTCCCGACCCCATACATGATTCGACCAGGGGGCTGTTGGAAGACTGTTGCGCAGTTGACCGCGGTCCTACACACTGGAGGTGGACGCGATTTCGAGCTCTCATATCGCTTTTCAACCTCCTGGATCGCGCGGTACAGAGGTGTTCCCTTGATCGTGACGCTCTTAGAGCCAGCCGAGGCATCGGAATAGGCGAACGCAGTGTCTGCAAGCACACGAAGCCGGAATGGCTCTGCATTCTGAGAAAAGAGAGCAGCAGCATGTTTCGTCTTCGCTTCAATGATCCTCTCGCACCAGTCTTTGCGACTCTGCGCCGAAAAAGCGTAGAGGGTGTACGTTCCGTTCTTCCCCAGGTGCTTGATTTTGAATGGGTAGAGGATCTTGTCATCCTTGGAGCTTTCGAGCGATGTGGTAGGCACGAGGGTTTTGCCAGATGATGGAGCGCCCGGGGAAACTCCGTTGCCCGCTTGTCCCATGGGAGCCACGACGCCTTGGGAGGGTGTCACAGTTGAAACGCCCCGCACAGAGGATTTGACAACGGGATCATCGTTTGTACTTTCGAGAACCAACAGATCCATTGGAACAGGTAGCTTGGACACGTCGTATCGCTCGTACTTGGCCGTCCGTGCTGAATCGCGCGTGCTGAATGATTTGGCGAGCACCAAGTAATGGTCAAAGAGGATAGCGTGAGTGTCGACAAGGAACCTGGTGCGAGTACCTGGACGCTGCAGGTCACCACGGTAGATAATTTGGCGCCCCAGATGCTCCAGGTTAAGCTCGACTTCTTTCTGCATCTCCGGACGCAGCTGCAATTTGGCAGCGAGCTCCATCAGGTCGGCTTTCTTGTTCATCTCGCCCACTTTGTTGTCACACTCCAACGCAACGACTTTGATCTCCTCAATGGCCTGCGCCAGGTTGGTCTTTTCTTCAGAGTCTTTGGGCATATTCTTGTGGACCGTGGCAAGCAGAAGCGTATACCGTTGAATGCGGGTGATCGGAGCTTTGAGGAATGTGTCCCAGCTGAGACGGCCCGACAACTTGTGTTCGCGTACTTGATTCAAGAACTGCTTGAAATTGACGTTTCGTTCGGCCTCCTTGCGGACAAGGTAGTTTGCAGTTGGGAAAGTGGCGGCGTAGTCGATGTAGGCATTCTTAGCCTTGCGGATCCACTCTCTGAAGATATCGCTGAATCCGACAATGAAAGGACCCTGTTCCTTTTGACGGTATTTGAGCTGCGCCAGCAGGAAATCCTCGTTGACCTTCTTCACTGAGTCCACCTTGCCGAAGACATCATCCAGAAATTTGCTCAATCGTTTGGCCGGAATGATGGAAGGGCTCATGTTTCCTAATTGATCCCGATACAGCTCTCGCAGAACATCCAGCTGGCCAATATACGCATCTTCGGTGGTCACAATCTCATGCAAGTTGTTCTGTCGATCGATCTCTTTCTTCGAATGGGACTCTAATGCCTCCTTGGACACTTTGTAGAATGTCACCCAGTCTTCCACCTTCTTCTGCGGTGCCATCATCTGCGCTTTCAGATTGACTTTCTTCAAGGTCCTCATACAGTGATGAGCATAGCACCGTCCAAAGCTGTCCGTATCCTGGATGTGCATTTCCTGGTCGTGAAGCTTCGACGAGTAACACCCAGTTCCCGTGATTTGGAAGAGAACACCCGACAGACCACCGGAGCCGAACTTAACCCATTCTTCCTCTTTGACCAATGCTTCTTCTCGGAGCATAGTGCGGGTAACGCGAGCGGCAAGCGTCTCAGCATCAGCAATGTTCATAGTCGGAACCTTGTGGGTAAAAAGCGCCACAATTGCGTCGGTGATCGCCTGCTCCTTGAGATCGGTTTCGTCCTTGCTCAAATCTTGAATCCACGACAGGATAGAGCTGAGAGCCCACGGTTCAGTGCATTTCTTGAACTGCTCAGAGGACAGTTTCGCTGGGTTGAACCTCTTGCGCCGCACCGAAGGAATGGCAGGCAAATCGAGAGTGATAGCCGCAGCAGCCTCGGACGGACCGATTTTGGGGAGGTCTTTGTTTTGGAGATGTTGAAGGAAGGCCTGCTGTTGTTTGTATTTGATACGGTCGGCGTCGGTTTTTGACCTGATGGGTGCATCGGCACGAGGGCCAATGGGCGTGGACATAGACGACGACCGCGGCACTTGGGAGGGACTGGTGATGGTCTCCCCGCTGGAGCCTGCAGAGATCGGTGGGTCTCTATACTGTGTATAAATGTGCAAGTCACCCGTCTCCGGAGGTCGATATGTCCCCGCAGGCATGAGGTGTGAAACAAGGTCAGTATTGGACGGTTCAACGGGTGCCGGTGGCAGCGGCCGCATCCCGGGGTGGAAGAACAAGTCTTCGTGTGCGGGCCCGTAAGAGCCTTCGTCGCCGGAGAGATCCGCGTCATGGTGTTGCTCGTAAGGGCTGTCTCCCTCTTCGCCATAATCGAAACTCATCCGCCGGCTGAACGCATTAGGTGCTGACAGACCCCCTGTTCCTCCGGCATCAACCCTAGCATCCGGGGGAAGATGGTGTAGGCGCTGGGCATAGTCGTATGCGATTCGTGGATGCTCATAATCATCGAGGTATCCTGCCCGTTCGTCGGGAGAGAGATTGGTACTCCTGAGTGAGCCAGATCTGGCATTGAGCCTGTCGCCAAAAGCAGTGTCGATGTGTTCCTCCGGACTGAAGGTATTGTCCTCGCCGTAGTGCATGTTGCCCGCGTATCCTCCTTCGTAAAGTGCCAGGTCTTGGGCGACATAATCGCTATCTTCGTTCGGATCAGAATGCGGCGAAGGTCCTCTGTTTGACATGTAGGAACCGCCAGAGCTGAGTATGGAAGCATTTGTCGCCCGCCGTTGGAGGATGCGTTCTTCGCGAGCTTTATCCTCTTCCTCGGCCATTCGCAACATGGCCAGGCCTGCTTCCGCTTCGGCATCGCTCTCATCACTGTACGCACCGTAATTGATTTCATGGCCAGTCCCTGTAGCCACGCTGCCATTTGTGTGTGTATGCTGCTCATCAGGTGCGAGGCGTACATCTGAACCATGTGATGTTCTTGAACTGTGCCGCCTAGCAAAACTACCCTGGGGATCCATCACTGCTGCCTCCACCTCCTTCATCAATTCCTCATATCGGAACGAGGCAAAATCTTCGCCGTCGCTGTCCGCATCGGGTGGCGGTCCGGGCAGAGGTCGTGCCTGAGGGTGGCGAGTCAAAGTGTCTGTTCGTCGCGGTGGCACTGGTGACGGGCCCGACTGCACTGGCAGGTCTGGTAGAGTCCGTCCAGACACGCTGGGGCGGCTATAAAGACCATTCGTATGAGTCTGGTGCATAGGTGGCTCCGGAGGCCGATCGTCGTACGAAGCATTGAGTCCATGAGAGGCATATCCAGACCCCTGTGATGAGGAATGGTAAGGGCGTGACGAGGGCGCCGGCACGTCAACCCCCAACGGTGAGCTAGCGGGAAAGTACGTTGGGGCGTTCGGCGATGAGGCACTTTGGTATGTGACTGGGATTGTTGTCGCGGGTGGCTGACTTGAGGTGGACAATCCATACGTCGACGGACGGCTCCCGTATGGATGGTCTGCGCCTCGAGGAGGCACCGGTGGCGGCTGAGAGGAATATCCATAGGTCTGAGGAGTGGGAGGGGGTTGCCCATATGGCGAAGCTGCACTTGGCCGTCGTGCAATACTGGAAGCCCCCATGTCTGGCGCTGCAGTGGGCTGATATGCCGCGGGATTGTAGGGCTGATGGGTGGAAACCGGCGTAGAAATCGGGTTGGTATAAGCCATTGGATTATATCCCAGACTGTGTTGTGCTTGCGTTTGTGGAAGGGCATACTGCTGCGGATTGTAGGAAGGCTGGCCCGTGGGCGGGCCGGACGAGTATTGGTGCTGATAGTTGGACATGGTCGAGGTCTGGGACGTAGCGCGAGTGGGCGACATAAGAGAGGTGTTCTCGGAGGAGGTGCGCGAATAACGCGAGTCTATCTCATCGTCGTACACGCCGTGAGCATTGTAGCTCCCTTGCCCGACACTGCCAACATAACCAGGACCACTTTGTACCGCGTATTGCCCGTTCCCTTGGACCGCTGTCTCATTGTGGGAATTGAAGTACTGTTGTGAATCATCTCCGGCGCAATAACTGGGCACTCGGCGCGGCTGGCGTTGGCTCTGTGGCGGTTGGGTGGGGTTATGGTGAGATCTGTACTCGTCGTAGCGACCCGGCGCCGAGGGCGCGCTGGGGTGGCCGTTCGGATATTGCGACATGGTCTTGAGCGAGTGCGAGCTCGGTAGGAAAGAGGGAATCGACACGCTGTGTGTGCTAGTGCGAGGGGCCACGCGAGCAGATGTTAGGCTGCCGGGGAACTGCTGACATTCCCACGCTCTAGGGAGATGGAGGGAATCCGTCGGTATTTGGAGGACACCGGTCGTCACATACGAGGGAAGGAAATTTGAAAACGAAAGAAACCACAACAGCCCCTGGAGGTGGGAAGGGAGAAAGCGAGCGAGCGAGCGTCGGGTTGGGGCAAGGAGGGCAACGGATTGAAGGTGCTTACGGATGGAGGTACAGGGACTCGCGACACCGCCTGGCAGACAACAAACACCCGAATCTAGAGGCTCTTATGCTTACTGCCTTCTTGCTAAGTAACCCAGTTTGATCATTCTCCGGGGAAATATTGCCTGACAGCAGCGCCCGATAGACAGACAGGAATGGTTAGCTTGGTACTGGCCCCTCGCGGAGCCAGGGGCCCACTCATCGCTTCGATGGCCGGCACAGGGCTGAGCTGTGGCTGCGCCCCATGTGGGGAGCACTGGCAACGTTGGGACTTGAGAATGACGACACGGGATGGGATAAAAATAGTAATTAGATTGCATGCATCACAATAGCATCAGGAGCAAGTAGGAAAAGATATCGCAGAGCCAGAGCACTAAAAGAATGGGGCATCTAAAATAAAAGAAACATCATGGCTAATCGGAAAATGGCAAGCAGAAAAGATCAAACAAGACAGAGGAAAATCATCAAACAAGTGCTAATCATACATCGATAATAATATCAGTCATGGCAAAGAAGAATTGATAGGAGCAGTAGTAACACCGGGATCGAAAGGAAAAACTCATGTGTTGAGACGTTCATTCATGCATCTTCACTGCCCATTGTAGATCTGGTCAGGGCTGAGGGTGAATTGGCCTTTGTAAAGCTCATTTTCGTTAACGTGGTCAGGTTTGATGTATCTCGCCGTCAGCGCGAAGCGCATCTTATTCTCTGGGACAACAGCATGCTGAACGAGGTCAGAAGGCATGTCAGATTACCAAGTGTATCACGTTACCTCGAAGTAGCTCTGCAGATTTTCCCCGTGCATTACCACCAGGTCGCCATGGTGGAGCTCGAGTCTCATCCTTGGAGGTGCTTCTCCACCCGCGGTCGTGCCAACCTTCAGCAGGTCATAGAGGCGCTCCTTGTAATGAGACTGTGAGATCTTCCCAGCATCCAGTTGCTTTTTGAGATCCAGTCGACCCTCTTCATGTTTGCAACCCTCCAGAGTGGGATCATTGTCCACAAGATGCTTGGCTCTTGTAAGCCCGTGGTAGTATTTGTACTTCATACGGATGGACATGGTAGATGGTGCACCGAGCGAGAGAGTAGCAATCGTAGGGCCGAGAGAAGACTCGCCGTCGTCGTGGAACTATAGATCATGATTAGCCTTGTGTCTATGTTGTGCAGCGAGGAACATACTCCGATCTTCATGTCCTCGAAGTAACCCAGCACCAACAGTTCATTCGGGGGAAGGAAATGATCCCCGGCGCTACTGACAGCCTGCTCCGTGGCCCATGTCAAACGGCCCAGGGCTCGGAGGACGGGCTCGGGGGCTTCGTCAAACCCTTTGGAGGCCACCGACACGACGTACTTGTACGGCATGCCCTATTCACTGTCAGTCAGGTGCAGACTACACATCTCTGACTGGGCGCTTACAAAATTGACCGCAAAATGAGCGGTCAGGGTTCCGGCAACTTATTGTGCAGTTAGATCGCGTGTGAATGTTTAAAGTATGTGAAGCATATGCTTACCAACGCTCTGCTGAAGACGGTACCGTCTCAGCCCAAGATCTCCACACTGGAGAGCCGTGAACATGTCGTTTGGGCCGCCGTACTGAGAATTGATCGCTCGGTTGGCCACGAAATGAGTGATGGAACCAACACCCCGAATACGGTAAGTGAGCTTCCGATACGGGAACAAGGACTCATCATCAATTTCTGGGATCGCCCTTTTTGGGTTGAAATAGAGAGCCCGTTGGATTGGGCCTAGGTCGAAATCATCTACCACCGAGCGAATAGACACAGGGGGCATAGTGAAAAGCTTCTGGAAGGAGCAATGGTGCTGGGGACTGGCGATGGTATCGTCTGTGCATTTCCAGCCTCGCCAGAACATTCGAGGGATGCATTTTGAGCACAGAGGGCAAACAATAGCCTTCCATGCGATACGCATCGAGCTCACTTCGGGATCGTCCTCGCTGATGGTTCCTAGAAGATTAGGGACAAGACTATGGTGGGGCTGCATGGTTCTTTCTGAACGAGACCGAGTGTTCAAAAAGTCTGGGTGGAAAGTAAGAGCATCTGGACGATTTTGGTTGATACACCAGAAGTCGGTGCAGGTTGGTTTAAGACACATCCATCCTTCATTGTAGATGCGTGGACTCTTGAGGTGGCACGATGGGCACTGAACCGACTCTGGCTTTGTGTCAAAGTCCCGTTCTCCAAGGGGCTTCGGGTTAGGAGAGCCCCGAGCTGCCCACCAGCTCTTTTCCGAGAGATCAAGCTTCTCAAACCGGACTTTGACCCCAGTCTTCTCGCCCACCCTTTCATACCAGACATCGGTGACCTTGAAATAGGCCATGACATTGTACCGATGTGGGAGCTTGCGCTTAAGCTCCTTGTTCCTGCTGCCTGCAAATTCTGTTAGCAAAATTGGACATAGATGTGATTATCCAGGCTTACCGATCACAACACCGACAGGATTTCTGAACTGCTGGTTATTAAGGAGACTTTTGACAGTGACATTGGTGAAGTCCTGGTCTCTGATAAGAGTCAAATTCCCGTCCTTGTCCTTCGTGCAACCTCCGCCACTGAACATGTCAGAAAATTGGTTTTAGGCCGGACGATGGTACTCACACTCGAGTGATGATAATCTCCTCGTCAATATATGCGCGTTCACCACTGTCAGAATCCACGAGAAAGCCCCAGCAAAAACCATTGAGGTGGTAGAGGCCTCCTTGGGTGGCGCGAAACCACGGGATGGCATCACAGAGATCTGGACGCTTCTGTGATAGGAATCAGCATCGGCCTTGCAGGATATAGAAGGCGTGTCCCAAACCTCTGACCAAGCTGGCGGGTTCCCAGAGACTGGCCCTAATTCCAGGCTCGGTTTCTTGATCCGCAAGCGAAGGGCTTTAGCAAGTGGCTCGATTGGACCTGTCGGGCATTAGTGATCTATAGCATGAGACTGAAGAGTGGTGCCATCGTTACCTTTCTTGTTCGGTGTCTTCCTGGCCCTAGTGATGCGTCCCGATCGAACGGTGTCTGATTGAACAGGTCCCGCTACCGTGGACCTGGTCGTGGGAGTCATCCTGCTCAGACTCGGCCGGTGCTTTTTGGAAGGAAAAGCTCTCTTCTCTAAACTTGGGAGAGCAGACAAAGGGTGTAGGTTGATGGAGATGGTCAAATATCTAGAGATCATTATTAGTGAGCCAGATCCACGGTGGCAGAGTTGATCATGCAATATCAATAGCCCATATAGTATATGCCTCCAAAGAAATCTGATGAACTTGGGAGTTAATGAAGGCTCACTGGGTAGTTCTGCAAGCGAAAGTCTTGACAGCAGATCCTCGAGTGAGATTGAGATGGGGGAATGGTTTGAATTGACGAGGAAAGGTGGTGCACGACCCGAATGCAGCGGTGTAGACGCGAGGGAGTTCGGGGTACCGATCGGGATGCAAGGTCGTGCGCGATGATGAACGGTCTCAAAACCTCGCGGGATGAACGAAACTGATGAAAGAAAGATGGCGAGGATGAAAGAAGCAATGGGATGGATGGGTGGAAGACAAGGATGAAGAAAACATATCGGCTGGTCTTGGTGCGCTCTGGTCACGGGGACCATGGTCACAGGCCTACCAAATCAGGCGCCAGCGAGGTATAGAACAGACACCCAACAAGGAGATTTACACCACGGATATGGGTGACTTAATGGAAAAGGAATATAACAACATCGACTTCATACCAATGAATTGATCCTGGCCAGATCTTGCCAACTCATGATGATGGTCACGCAGATGACTATTAAAATGCTAGCAACAAGGACACAAAATGACAATGAAGAATGGATGATCGCAATGTAAGGACAAGGAAATGAGTGATGGCATCTGCCATACACTTCAACGAGCGGTACCTTGGTAGCAGGCGATGTAGTGAACGCAGTGATGTAATCAGGGTACTCAATCTAGTGAATCCTCAAAAAGGTGAATAAATGCACCTTCAGTGGAATTTATAGCGCCACTTCAATGCCTTTCTTCTGAGAATTGAGACTTATAGCGATTAGTGGTGATTCATGAGCAGGTGTTTCCATCGGTATTGTCTACTTGAGTGAGGTCAAGGCCTGAGCTTAAAGAGATAATCTGTGGCGATGGAGTATAGCTGAATAGCACTCTCTTTTGGATAAATTGGACTTCTAGTATGTTAGTGGAATATAACGTGGCCTGACAGTGAAGAGAGGAGATCGGTCCTCACATTAAGTCATGCCGAGGGAAGAACCCCGGTCACACGGAAGTATACGTCCATCCTGCAACTGCCCGACCGGTGTGCACAGACTCGGTAATATTTTAAGCACTCACTAATGCCGGCGATTAAAACCCGTGCCATTAGAAACCCGGGCAGACCAACCCCATGCACACTTTTAGGTTCATGCCTAGGTCATGATCGGCAATCCACAAGAGGAGTTACCGAGCTTCCCCGCACATAATCCAGGCACCTTTCCCCGACTTTTCTTTTGGTTTCTTCCACATCATCATACGTACAAACAGTTCATTGTATACAAAGGACAGTCAACATGGTCTTCTTGCCTCCAAAGCATCTCAGCCCGTTAGGGCATGTTCCTGACAACATCCCCATCAGCGAGTTCATGCTCAATGAACAGCATGGGCGTGTGCCACATGCCGCGTCCAGGGACCCCTATACCTGCGGTCTCAGCGGCAAGACATACTCATCGCGCGATGTCGTTAACCGGGTGGACTTCATTGCGCGTGGCCTAGCGAAGGAGTTTGGCTGGACACCGAATCAGGGGTCCGAATGGGATAAGACCGTGGCGATCTTCGCCGTGAACACGGTACGTCGTGGCACCTTAGGAAGTTATGTCAAAAGCTAATGACCATTTTTTGCATTAATCAGATCGATTCAGTGCCATTTTTCTGGGCGGTCCATCGGCTTGGTGGGATTGTCACGCCCGCCAACGCAGCATACTCGGCGGATGAGCTGCGGCACCAGCTGGTCGACTCTGGGGCAAAGGCCCTATTCACATGTGTTCCATTGCTGTCGGCCGCATTGGAGGCTGCGGCCAAGGTCGGACTTCCCAAGAATAAGATCTACTTGCTGGATGTGCCAGGACAGATCTTGGGAGGTGTCAAACCCCCTACAGAGTACAAATCTGTCGCCCAGATTGAGCAGGCGGGAAGATCTCTCCCGGCGTTGGAGCCACTGAACTGGGGCCCCGGCGAAGGTGCCCGGCGGACTGCTTTCTTGTGCTATTCGAGTGGAACGTCTGGATTGCCCGTAAGTAAATTGCAATCTTTGGATCTGGTCCATCTTGCTGAACACGGAGATAGAAAGGAGTTATGATTTCGCACCGAAATGTTATCGCCAACACGCTACAGATCGCCGCCTTTGAGAAGACCTGGCGCGAGTCAAAGACTCCTCCCGGAGCCAAGACTCCGTACACTGATGTCTCCCTCGGCCTCCTGCCTCAGAGCCACATCTATGCTCTGGTGGTGATCTGCCATGCCGGCGCTTACCGGGGCGATCAAACCATTGTTCTCCCCAAATTCGAGCTGAAGTCGTACCTGGCCTCTATTCAACACTTCAAGATCACCTCGCTGTTCCTGGTTGGTTTTCTTCTTTGGGTTTACGGCTGCAGGTTGCTGATACCATTCGCCAGGTTCCTCCAATCATCATCAATATGCTGCGCAGTCAGGACGTCTGCTCCAAGTACGATTTGAGCTCCGTTCAGACACTCTTCACTGGTGCAGCCCCACTGGGCATGGAAACGGCTGTCGATTTCCAGAAATTGTACCCCAACGTGTACATCCGGCAAGGCTATGGTGAGAACATTCCCACAAAACTCAAAGATTCCGGAACTAACTGTAACACAGGTCTAACGGAAACATGCACTGTGGTCAGCTCATCTCATCCCAAAGATATCTGGCTCGGTTCATCCGGCACACTCATCCCTGGCTTCGAGGCCAAGATTGTGACGCCGGAAGGCAAAGAGATCACTGCATACGATACGCCCGGGGAGCTTGTCACCCGCAGCCCGAGCGTGGTGATCGGCTACCTGAACAACGAGAAGGCAACCAAGGAGACCTTCGAAGACGGATGGATGCGCACGGGAGACGAAGCGGTGGTTCGCGTCAGCCCCAACGGCACCGAACACATCTTCATCGTCGACCGCATTAAGGAACTGATCAAGGTCAAGGTTCGTGATACCTCTTCATCTATCAAATCTTGAAGCAGCGACTAATATTTCTACAGGGCATGCAAGTCGCACCCGCCGAACTGGAATCCCACCTCCTCACGCACCCGGCCGTCGCAGACTGCGCTGTTATCGCCGTGCCGGACGAGGCTGCAGGCGAAGTGCCCAAGGCCATCGTGGTCAAATCAGCCTCGGGCGGCGATGACGAGGCTGCGATTCAGGCGATAAAGAAACACGTCGAGGACCATAAAGCGCGACACAAGTGGCTCAAGGGTGGTGTGAAATTTGTCGATGCCGTTCCTAAGAGCCCAAGCGGTAAGATCTTGCGCCGATTGCTGCGGGACCAGGAAAAGGAGGAGCGGAGAAAGGCCGGGGTCAAGCTCTGATTCTATGCTTGTTGTTTCTTTAGCCTAGTATATACACAAGACATTTGTACAAGCCGAATAATGTCCGGCAACTCTCAGCCTCAGATCAATGACATAAGCCCTATAGAGTTGCTTGAGAGCTTTCGTAGTAAAAGTGTTGATCAAATGGGTGCAAACTATAACGTACCTGCCGGGGGTTGTTGCTTTCCTGCTTTCTAACCACTGCCGTAGATAGGTTACACTCCCCTACCCTCTTCTCTTCTTGCAACACACCAAGCTGCAACTGGCCAGCTCTTATCCTACAGAAGCTTTACGGTGGCTAGACCTGCTACTTGATCCTACACGTTTAACGCGTGTTCTTGCTATATGCATCACACTTACAATTTATAGCGAAAATGAGTAATGCCAAGGATATTCTACAACCTCGGGTGGCGATGCGATGAGCGAAAACGATCAATACCAAAGACGCTGTAATTGTCCTCGCCGATCTACATCAACCGTGTGGACGGCAGCCTCGTCCACAGTCTCGGATGGGACGTTATGGCAATGTATGCCACGTACTGGCTGATCGACGCTGTCGAACGCTTCCTGAACAACACGACGGACAGGCTGTTTGGGGAGGATCCCATGACTATCTCACAACACTTCGCGGAGGATTTCTTAGTCTTGACTTGGGCTCCTTGTTTTCGTTTCCCTACTCGTGTATAGATAGCCTCAAATGGGATTTTTCGACTGGTTTGCTTCCTTCTGTAGTTCAATAAAATACACACAGCACGCGCCTGCTGGCACATTCAAGTCCAAACACGCCTCTACAGGTACAATCCCTCCACGGGGCCGCCGTCCTGCTTCGTCTTCATGATGCGCTCTCGGGCGGCACGGAAATCTTCCATCTGCACTCTCATCCGACGCTCGCGCAGCGCCATCAGACCGGCTTCCGTGCAGATCGCTCGAATATCGGCTCCGGAAAGATCATCCTTCTGGTTGACGAACTCGTCCAGATCAACGTCGTCACTAAGGGACATCTTCGACGTGTGAAGAGTGAAGATCTTCTTCTTGGTATTTTCTGGGAACGGTTAGTATGTATGTCCAGCATTGATGGTATGGGGGATTGCTTACGATCTGGGGTCTCGAAGAGAATCTTGCGGTCGATACGCCCCGGTCGAATCAGGGCTGGATCCAGTGTCTCAATCTTGTTGGTGGCCATGATGACCTTCACATCACCACGGTCGTCAAATCCATCCAGCTGATTCAGAAGCTCCAGCATGGTCCGCTGGATTTCACGCTCGCCACCGGATGTTGACTCGTACCGCTTGGTACCAATGGCATCGATCTCATCAATGAACACGATGGACGGGGAGTGCTCAGCAGCGACCTGGAAGATCTGCCGGACCAAACGAGGGCCATCACCCAGGTATTTCTGGATCAGTTCACTACCGACGATGCGAAGGAAGGTTGCGCTTGTCTGGTTGGCGACGGCCTTGGCAAGCAGTGTCTTTCCAGTTCCCGGAGCACCGTAGAGAATCACACCCTTCGGTGGTTTGATGCCCATCTCCTCGTAGAGCTCTGGGTGTAGCAACGGCAGCTCCACAGCCTCTCGCACTTCCTGGATCTGAGACTCCAGACCACCAATATCTGCGTAGGACTCGGTGGGTGCCTTGTCCAGCTTCATGACGGATACCAGAGGATCGGATTCCTCGGTCAGGACACCAACGACGGAAACTGACTTGTGATGCAAAAGGATACTGGCACCTGGCTCCAGGAGGTCTTTGTCGACGAACGACATGATGGACACGTAGTACTCGGGGCCAGTGGCACTCGACACGATCGCATGGTCATCATCGATCAGCTCCTCCAGGTTACCGACTCCCATCGGGCTGCCTCGCATGTCATCAACACGGCTCCTCTCGTCGGCATTCCGATCCATCACATCCAGATCGCCTCCGCTGACCGGGTCTTGCGTCGCTTGAGCCTTGGCCTTTCGCATGCGCTCCATGTTCTCCACGTATTCCTCCTCGAGCAGCAGGTGGTCATGGACGCGCTGCATTCGGAGGTACCGTAGCTTACATCGCGACGTGGGATAGATGTCTGGAAGCTTGGAGGCTGTGCTTGGGCCAGCGGCCTTGCGCTTCTTGCGACCGATGCGGGTGGTGGGTGGTGGAGGGGGTTCGTATTTGGGCTTGTCCTTCTGCGCAATCGTGAGCGAGGGCCGCTCTGGCCGAGAGCGAACCAAGTCATACCTTTTTGTCTTTGTCATCCCGTCCATCACCGCCGGGGCCTCCGCCCATGTTAGACTGCTGGTTACCCTGTTTTGGAACACGTCAGCACACACAGCGACGAGTTAGGGGACGGCGGATGAAGCAGGGTCACGAACCATGTTTTGCAGGTCAGGGACTTGGCGCAGTCACAGTCCCGAGGGTGAAAATGAATCAAAGATAGGAAATAAAGTTAACACCGAGCTTTGGGGATACCGTAGACGATGGAAACCAAGGGGTGGAAGGGATGGGGTGGCAGGTGGTGATGCTCGGAGATGAGATGATGCTAAGCTGGGAGCTGTTGTCAGTGCACGTGACTGAAACCTCAGGCCATCAATGACGTTGGAGCCTCGATGCCTTAACGGGTCCTGCCTCTCTCGCTTCCTGACTTGATGTATGCTCCATTCCTATTGCAATTCTGACTGGACTGGTGCGCTGTATATTTGAGACAATCATCCACTATTGTGCAGCTCACCAAATTTCTTCGATCAGAACAATAGCTCATCCAGCTTCCTCAAACCTGGTCATTCATACTTGCCCCGCCATAGGTGAGCTTGCTGCTTCGGTCCTACGCCCTCGGAGGAGCACATACAACCGTGGTACTGCCCTATCTTTCAAGTCATATTCTAACTATATTGCTCTTCTAATAGTATTCTCTACCGATCTCTCCCCTGCCGTCGGCCTGAGTGGACACGAGACCTTACCCGATGCCGGAATAGCTATCCTACTGTACACATACACACCTTTTGATCGAGTACCAATCCATTAGCCATGGCCAGCAACCGAATTCGGCGGATGAGGAAAGAAATTGCCGACATCCACGCCGACACACACTCGCAGATCAACGCGGAGCCCGTCGGCGGCGAGGACGATGTGACGCACCTCCGAGGTTCGTTTCCCGGACCACCGGGGACGCCCTATGAGGGAGGTACATACAACATCGACATCAAAATTCCCGAGATGTATCCATTCCGTCCACCCACCATGAAATTTGAAACCAAGGTGTGGCATCCGAATGTCAGCAGCCAGACGGTGAGTGTTCTTCCACTAGTTCCGGTATACCAAAACTCATGCACATTGGAATGAAAGGGTGCCATCTGTCTCGACACATTGTCCAGTGCCTGGACTCCCGTCCTGACGGTCAAGTCTGCCCTTCTTTCATTGCAATCTTTGCTCTGTACACCGGAGCCCAAGGACCCTCAGGACGCCGAGGTGGCCAACATGTTCCTGCGGAGGCCCAAGGAGTTTGAGCGGGTTGCTCGCGAATGGGCAGTTCTTTATGCTGGTGCTCCCCGTGGAGAAACCAGTGAGGGCAGCAGGAGCGCAGCAGAGGAGACTCAGGAAGCAGTACAAGATAATGTGGCCCAGTATGTCCCCCACACTTTTAAGGTCTTTGAGCTCACATTATCGCACAGATATGATGGATACAACAAAGAATTGGTCGACCGCTTCTGTAGCATGGGTTTCGACGTGGAACGAGTCGTCGGTGCCTTTCAACGTGTGGGGGTCGACCGGCGAGGAGGGCAGGACTACGAGCTGAACGAGGGTCAGATGGGTGATGTTACTTCACAACTTCTGGGGGAGTGAGATGTTGCTATATCTTTTTTTAGATACGACGAAACGTACAAATAATGTAGCTCTGTATCTTGTGTTCTTTCTTTCCTTATTTCGACTTTTGTACTGCGCATAGTTTTGAGTCCTTATCGATAAGCCACACATCATCTTCCCTCCGACTGCCAGGCAAGGATCATTCATTCCCTCACTCACCTCTCCACGATGATCGAAGACGACATCTACCGCACATCCTCCCAGTTCCGCTTATGGTCCTACACCGAAACCTCTTTACAGTCTCTACGCGCCAATACCAATGCAGCTGCCAGCGAGCGCGTACGAACGGCCTTACGCCGGGCCCGTGAGGCGCAACAATCGACCGCATCCTCTGCTGTGGGAACGCCGATGACGAGCCAGCCGGGGAGCGAAAGTGAAGGCAGGGGAAATGAGGAAAAGGAGATTGACTGTTTAACACCAGATGAAGAGCTGGTGTTTGTGCGGTATTACTGTGAGCAGCTGCTGGAGCTCGGGGAGACCTACAAACCGCCACTGCCGACACTGGTCCGGGTAAGTCTTCCAACCCCGTTAATCAAACATGGAATCGATAAATTGACAAGTATCGTGTATGCGACAGGCCACCGCAATCCAGTACCTCCGCCGCTTCTATTTGTCCAACTCGCCCATGACCTACAACCCCAAACAAATCATGGCGTGCGCGCTCTTCGTGGCGACCAAGACCGAGAACTATTACATGTCCCTACGGCAATTCGCCGATGGCATCCCAGGAAACACGACCACGGAGGATGTCCTTGCCCCCGAATTCCTGCTCATGCAGGGACTGCGCTTCACATTTGACGTTCGACACCCATTCCGCGGCCTCGAAGGAGGCGCCATGGAGCTCACGGCCATCGCTCAAGGCAGTGGCCAGCCAGCACCTCACATGGTGCACCAAACACCAGAAGACCTTCGTCAGGGCCTGATGTCCATCGCTCCTCCTCCCGTTCCCTCATCCTCGATTACAGACCGCATCGGACGCGCGCACGGCACCACGCGCGAGATGCTCAAGTCCGCCGCGCAGATGACAGACGCGTACTTCCTCTATACACCCTCCCAAATCTGGCTATCAGCGTTTCTCCTCGCAGACCGCCCCCTCGCCGAATTCTACCTCGACACCAAACTCGGCGGACCGCTCACAAACACCACCGCCTCCACAGAGAACCCCAACAACCTCCAAAACCCTCTCTACGATCTCCGCACAAAAGTCCTCGCCATCTTAAACGACTGCGCTGCCCTCCTCGAATCTTACACGCCTCTCTCATCTGACCCAGCACAGATGAAAAATCTCAAGCGCATCGCAAAGAAGCTTTATCACTGCCAGAACCCAGAAAAGGTCAATTTAGCCGCGATCCAAAAGCGCGGATCTCAGCCTCCTCCATCCCGGGCCGCGTCTAGTGCTGCTGCTGACTCTGGGGCCGTAACCTCTGAGAGCGAATCGGATCGTCTAGCGAAGAAGCGGAAGCTGGAGCGAGAGCAGAAGAATCACATGGCCGATCCGTTTGGACCGCCACTGGTGACAGAGCGGACTAAGGGGCACTGATTGTGATGCGAGTCGTCACTGCACTTTTTGCGGGTTTGTGGACATCTCAACACGAAAACTGAAATCCCCCATATTCCCTTCTCTGCGGGTACCCCCGATACAGAGTCTCACATCCGTCGTTGTAGAGGTGGCGTGTTTCCCTGATAAGTCGCCAGCGCACGGCACGGATGAGACACGATTCGAACCCTCTGGAGGCATCAGAACTCGACATCCTGGGCTCGTTTGCCAGAACAACCTAGACCATGACTCCGCTTTGAGTGTGCTATATTGTATTTGATTGATTGACAATCAACCACTTGATCCCGACAGCTTCCACATCTTAGCCATATACTGCAATCGAGTACCTAGCGACTAGCTCTCAATCTACTAAGCACCTTCAATGTATGAGCCAATTAACAGATATAGAACTGGCATCCATCGCTCATATTGACATCAGGAAAGACTAGATACTGCAAACCACCATGCGTGGCGTCTATCGGAGATGCATAGGAACAAAAACAAAAACAGCAATTGGTTGCCACCATCGGGGTAATGTAGTGGATGGGGTTTCATGACAACAAAAAAATGCCGGCAAGAGAGAAAAGGCCAGCCCCCTCCAAAGCGCACAAAATCTAGTCTTGAAGGAAAGGACCCCCGACGAAGTCTAAGTAAAAACAAAAGAAAAAAGAAAATTTTGGTGACCTCTCCTTCCTCTTTTCCTGCTTCCTCCTTCCAATCCTCAAGACTGGGCTGGGCGCGTTTTCTTCGCGCCCGCATTCCATTTCCATTCCTTCAGTTTCTCGTCTAGCATTTCGTCGTCATCAGAGGGAATCAAAGGAGAAAAAAACAAAAACAAATCAAACCAAAAGAAATTGAAAAACCCAATTTGGTGATATCGCTCTAGACAGCGCCGGCGTCCAGCATCTTCTTGCGCAGGTGCTTCTTGTACGCGCCGATGGTGCCGTCCCAGCGGCGGACGGTCTTGTGCTCGCAGACCATGATGTCCTTGGCGATCTTGTCCAGCAGACGGAAGTCGTGGGAGACGACGACGACACCGCCGCTGAAGGCGTTGATGGCGTCAGCCAGAGAGTCAATGGTCGGGATATCGAGACCGTTGGTCGGCTCGTCCAGCAGGATCATGTTGGGGGACTCGATGGCAAGCAGGGCGAAGACGATACGGCTCTTCTGGCCCTCGGACAGGGTGCCCATGAGCGCAGTCTGGCCCTCGCCACTGAGGCCGTAGCGGCCCAGCTGCTGGCGCCAGTACTGGTAGTCCTGGGAGACGGACGAGAACTTGTCACGCACGAAGTCCAGAGAGGACTTGGTCAGGTCGAGCTGCTCAGCGGAGTGCTGGCTGTACACGCCCAGCTTCAGGTGAGTGTGACGGCTGACGGCGCCGCCAATCGGGGACAGCTTGCCGGTCATCAGGCGCAGGAGGGTGGACTTGCCGACACCGTTGGGGCCGACCAGGGCCGTTCGGGAGTCCATGTCGACACCGAAGTCGAGGTGCTCGTACAGAGTGTCATCCCACGAGCCGGAGTAGGAAAAGCTGACGTCGTCAAAGGACAGGACGGGAGGAGGCAACTTCTCGACATCGGCGAAGCGGAAAGTGAACACCCGGTCGGGGATGACGGGCTGGATGAAACCATCGGCTTCCATCTTGTCGAGAATCTTCTGGCGCGACTTGGCCTGGCGCACCAGGTTGGCGTAGGTACCGGCCGAGGCAATGAACTTTTTGATGTGTTGGATTTCCTCTTGCTGCTTGTTGTATGCCTTCATCTGGTTCGTCTCCTGCTCCTCGCGGGTCTTGCTGTACGAGTCGTAGTTACCACCATAGTAGAGCAGCTGCTTCATGCGCATGTCCAACATGTTAGTGCAGACACCGTTCAGGAAATCCATCGAGTGCGAAACCAGCACCAGCGTACGCTCCCACTTCTTCAGGTACTCTTCCAGCCACACGCAGGCTTCCAGGTCCAAATGCGCGGTGGGATCGTCCAGCAGAAGCAGCGAGGGCTTCACGAACAGGGCCTTGGCGAGGGCGACACGCATCCGCCATCCACCGGACATGTCCTTGGTCTTCTTGTGGATGGTGGTCTTGTTGAAACCGAGACCGGTCAGAATGAGCGAAGCACGGGTGTGGAAAGTGGACGGGTCCATCTTGTCCATGCGCTGTACAGTGTATTAGTCTCCAAAATTTTCGACCAAAAAAGGTTCATGAACACCTACGTCGTAAAGATCCTCGAGGATCGGGCTGTCAGGGCCGTCGTGCTCCAAAATCTCTTCGGCCTTCTTCTCCATCGAGTCGAGCTGGTTCTGTGCCTCCCGAACCACCCACTCCAAAGCACCGAGATCAGAAGGGGGGGCACCCTCGTTCAGCAGATAAATATCGATATGCTCGGGGATAGGGAATTCCCGCGAAGCAATAGACTTGAGCAGCGTGGACTTGCCGCAGCCGTTCTCACCCAGCAGGCCGTAGCGACGACCGAAGTTCAGTTCGAGGGTCGAGTCGGTGATGAGGACCTTGCCGTGGAACACAAGCGAGACCGAGGTGATTTTGACGTCACGAGAAGAAGGGAGAGACGACAGCACACCGGTGGTGACGCGGTCGGACAGGCCGTGCTTGTCCATCTGGGCTGTAAGCTTCTCGACCTCCTTCATTTTAGCGTCGGTGGTGGCGGGCTGGTCCTCGGCGGGCAGAGCGTTGCCATTGGCATCGAGCATGGGAGGCGTTTCAGTGCCTTTGCCAGCCTTGCCGCCCTTCTTCTTGGGATCATCGGCACGCTTGGCCATCCGGGCAGCCTTGGACGCAGAGACCATGGTTGCGGTGGTGAGATTAAGGTGGGGTGAGAAAAAGGGAGGGTGGATGGATTGAGGAGGAAGAGAGAGAAAGACAAGAGAGGACTCGGACAATCTCTTTCGATGTGAGAAATCTAAAAAGGCTGAGTGGATCGAGTTTTGGCGGGGCGGAAGATAGAGGGGCCACTTGGGTCAACAGCCTCTACTGATCTGGAGGATGTCAGTGGAAGAAAACCGGGTGGCAAGTCTCACAGGGAGAGAAGCAGCACCTACTGGATATGGTTGTGGTGTCTACTGTTGCACACCAGACTGGAGGGTTGAAAGGGAAAAGAGAACAAAAATTGTGTTCGGTGGGGCTGAATTCTTCGGGCGGGAGACGTCATGGTGGCCTGAGGCATCCATTGCCACTCAGGGCTAGAGGCTATGGGCTTAGTAGGGGACCTGAAAAGAATGCTACACATGTAGGCCTCGGTCTATTGTAACTCGAATTATTTACAACGTAGCCACTATCTAACTAACGATCGTAAACTCCAGCGGATTCGACGCGGGCATCACTATGGGCGGCCCATCAATCCACTCACCGGCATCACGACCACTCGGCAGCATCAACTCAGTCTGCGCATGATCCTCCCTGCTGCCCCAGTTCCACATCTCAATAATTCCTCCCTCCAACTGGTACCGGATCTTGTCCCCAGGAGCCTGGTCGGACAACCGTTGGTCGTCAATCCCCAGGTTCTGGCTCCAGGATTCCCCAGGAGCTAGGCTGATCCAGCGACGATCCTCGCTGATATTTACAGCAGCCTCGAAATCGTATATCAAGTCGGACATGGCACATCCGACGCTTGGATCCTCGCAGTACTCCCATTCGCTGTTCCCACGGGACCGAAAAATCCGTTCAGAGGGTATTAGAAGCTGGAAAGCATCGAACATAATCGGCTGGGTCGCCGGCTCCGAATCAGCGTCCGGGTCCTTTGAGACAAGACCTTGATATGTGACTGTCTGTACCAGTTGAAAGCGCTCATCTGTCATTGCTTTGCTTTCGGCGCCAGTCAGGGTAACAATCAGCATCGGTGTCCCCGGACTACACAATGATCCGGTTAGCCATGTTCCTTGCGGAGGGTAGAGTTATAATAACGTACGCTGGGGCTCTGGGCCATTTTGGCTCCGGGGTCTCATATCCGGGAGCCGGTGGCTTCTCAACCACAGTGAACGACACACGAGGCGTCCCCGAAAGAACGGCAAGAGGGAGACCATCACGCGATCTGCTCTCATTCTTTTCGACACTCCCCCATCGCCACCAGTAAATCTCACCAGGCCATAACAGCTCATACTTCTCGCCCGCCACCATAGTATCGAGCCAACTTTCTGGGATGCCTGCAAAAAACCACGTACTTTCACCAGGCTTTAGCTCAAACAGACCTTGGGTATGTCGCGAAATCCGGGGCTCTGTCGAATCACGCGCACGCCACGGCTCAGACGGGACTTCCAATTGGCTGTCGACATTGTGTCGGAGAAGCACCAAGCCTCCGGAGCCCCAGGCGTCTACGGTAGCAGACCAGTAGAACGAGCAAGGCTGGTCGTGGCCGTCATTGCCTCGATGAATGCGAAAGACAAGGCGACTGTTGGAATTCCGTTTGGCGATTTCGGAGCCACTAAGTCCTTGCAGCTCTAGCGAGAGCATGAGGTTTGGGGTGTCGGGCCTAGGATGCGTTAACGGCAGCCTGTTGCTCGGTTTGGCAGAGGACCTACGCTGCATCGGCGGGTGAGTATTTCAAGAAGGGAGCGAACTGTGTATCGTCCATGGTGGTTTGTTTTTTGTTTGGTTTGGTTGTAGGAATACATGGATGTGAGTGATAGGCAACAATGAGATACTCGCCCCCAAGTCGGACCCACACCAGCGGTTGGGGGTCCAGCATCGTGTCAACAACTCTGCCCTGAATCCGAGTCTGATGACTACCGTTGATCTGAACTGGAGGGTAGGCAATAGAAAGCAAGCTAAACTAATTGACTTGGCTCTAAAATAAGCGATGAAACACGGTTGGGCCCATGTCAAACCTCACTAGGGCGGTGATATTATTAGTACGAAGCTAATTTCGATGAGCTAGTTGCAAGTTATCTATAGTAGTCAGATCTTCGTTATCACATTTCAATTCAACGTATGCAGTCCGTTGTGGCAATACGCCCATGGGAGCGTGCTGACCTCCAGCTTTTTGCTGCTACCAAGAAGAGCTATAGTCTCGTCACGGACAGCCAAGTCAAGCATGTCCATTTCTGCGATGAGCCAGTAGGTCAACGATTAAGTGAAGTTTGGAAAGGAGGCCCAAATCATTGGGTCCGGAGTTGTCGGTGATTGATATCATGACTATATCTACTATTGGCACTGCATTATACACGCTCGCTAATCTTCATCAGCACCCGCCTCTCCTCCTCCGTCAGGTACACTCCATCGGGCACGAGAACATCTCCCCGCGCAACGACCAATCTCCTCGGCACATCCGTCAAACTCTCCTCATAGTGACTAGGAATACTAGTCCCTCCCTCTTTGTGGCGAGTCGCTTCCTCATCCTGTCTCAGCGGAGCCAATGGATGCGACGTCCACCAGTACAGCGGGTAGCGGCGCTGGATGTTATTGATCAACAACGCAGCGGCCTGCATGAGCGCAATTCCCAGCAGCATCACCGGAAATAGGAACCAGCCCAGCTTCGCGGTCTGCGAGTTGGTCACCGCCAGAAGCGAGGTTGCGCCTGCTGGCGGGTGCACTGTGCTCGTGAGCACCATGACACCCACCGTCAGGGCGCAGGCTAGTGCGCCGCCGAGCTCGATGTAGGCCTCTGCGTGCGGATTTAGGGCGAAAAGCTTGGAGATGCCCACGCCGATGGTGCAGGCGAAGATCTGGCTCATGATTGCGTTGCGGGGTTGTGAGAAGGGCGAGTCGATGGCGCAGAATTCGAGGACGGCAGCAGCACCCTGTTAGATATGTTGTGTCAGTTGTTGTTCGACATTGCTGTGTTTCATTGTCCGGGCCAATGATACAGGGACGAGTCTTACAAAACTACCGATAATTATCGGTGCATCTCTCGATTCAAACGACGGCACTCGCTTCGACACCTCCGCCACTAGAGCCAGGCCGCAGAAGACGCCGATAACCGACCAAAAGGCAATGACGATATTGCCCAGGCTCTTCGGGGTGTTCTCCCGGTGCCCAAGCATATGGGCCAGCGGCTTAGGGATCAAATGCCATCTTGGCGCCGGAAGAAACGGGTTGATGAAGCGATCAATATCAAAGTGCCATGTCGACGGCCGAGACAAGGACACGGCGGGACCATGCGGTGAGAACTGAGCCATATTCCCAAGAACTCGGATACGATACCCGCAACGCCAGATCAGTCCAGGGGGAGATCTCAGCCCTATAAAACATTATTTAGTGTGCAGCCAAGTGTCGACTCTAAGGCCCGTGCTGGTGGAACTGGCGGACATCGTCATCTGGTGAAGATGCACATCGTTTACATATCTCCGCGGACACGGCTGGGCAATTAGTTCGGGCCAGGAACAATGGCGAAATGACAAGCGCTGAGGATCCAGACGGCCTTCCACTCACGCCATTTGTATGTGGTAATAGAAAGCCGAATGCGGTTTAGCGGGTAGGCTTGGGCGTCATTGACTCAGCATTGCTTATACTTTCGAAAATTCGTTGAAGTCAGGTTTGAGTAATAATTATTGAAGCCAAACATGGAAAATAGGAGAATACGTTGTGTTATATAGATGTAGAAGAGAGATCCAAAAGTGTGTGGTGGTTGAAGTGCCGTAACAGGGGTTCCACAGCGACGCAAGGCTGAAGAGGCGCCTGCCAGCTAGGAACCCGAATATAGATATTCTGGAATTCTACTCGGCATCAAGGAGTATGTATATAGAGATGACGTGTGATAATTGATCAGACAATTTGCATTGAGATCGTTAAAGCGGATGGTAGAGATTGACATGGTTGTACACATCCGTGATATATCTCCAGCCCTAACTACCCAACCCAACACACCAAGCTCTTGGAAACTCCATCCCCCACCTCCGCATCAACGCCACCAATTCATCATCCCTCCCAGGAACAACATTAACAAAGATCCGATCCCCACTCGCCACCGGCTCAGAATGCACCGCACCGTGCTCTTCGCCAATCCTCAAAAAGACACATTCACCCGGCCACGCCTGTACGATAGCATGGTCTTCCAATTCCAGTGCTAGACGGCGCCGCACCGACTCCGCGGCCATGGCGCACCCTACGCACCGCACAGAGTGGCAGATTTGTTCTTGGTGAGCGGCGCGGGCAGCGGCTTTGGCGGTGGCTTGGGCAGCGCGGGCTTTGGGGCTCGTATGGGTGGGGATGAAGAGTGTGCCTGGGCCCAGGAGAGTTGTTGTTAGTTTCCAGTCTGTGGGAACGGTGTCCTTGGTTTTGCTGGGGATTGTCGTTATGCCGTTGGTGCGGGTGCTGATGCTGCTTTTTTTTTCTTTCTTGGCGGCGGTGGTGGTGGTGTTGGTGGGATGTCGATGCCGTCTCAATCGTAGAGTCCGCGGTACTACAACCCTCGACAACAAACCAGGCATGAACCTCGACCTAGGATCTTCCGACTCTGGCTGTGCAAAGAAGGAGTCGTCCGTATGCCAACGCGGAACATCAAAGTCACTTGACGCTTGACTAGTCCGGACCGTAACCCAATAGTGGGACAAGCCGTTTGTCTCGAGGAACTCGTGGACGAAGGCCAGGAACGAGAGGAGCGGGTCGAGTACACACCCGTTAATCGTGGCTTGGGCCCAGGTGTGGAAAGAGGGGGGGAGATCGCGCGCGTCGAGGGGTAATAGGGGTCCGCAGTATGTCCATGATGATGAGGTGTTGAGGGTCAATTCAGTTGTCGGCTCTGCTTCTGGTTGTGGTGGAGTGGTTCTAGGGTAGGGTAGGATCTTGAAATCGGGGAGTGACTTGACGTCCATGTTGTTAGATATAAATTGATACAGATGTGGGGGGATGGAGGACTGGGCATGTAAAAGGCAAAGGGTGCAGGGGCAGAAATAAAGCTCAGACCCCCTGCCTTCTCTCACCGACACCATGAACTGGCTGACTCGCCGTATCTTGTTTGATTCAAGAAAAGACAAAACAAGCGAGTATGCTTGCGTGTTTCACACGAACCCAAATCTGAGACGCTCAGAAACAAATCGACTGTTGACCCGCCACGACGATCTCTGGCCCAGCTTGGGCGGCAAGCTGGCTAGCTGCTGACTGCATTAGTTGTTACTGATGGTGAATCTTAAATGTAGGTGCCTGTTGTTGTTGGTGTGGTTGTTTCCTTCCCCGAATTGTCGGGTCGCTATGCCTTATGCTTATGCCACATGGCCCCCATGTGCTGAGCTGTCACATTTCAGTGCTTACTTATTCTCCCTTGTCACACCGTCTGAGAGGCGACAAGGAGGAACAAAATTCAAAAAAAAAAAGGCCTTCGTATTTTCATCTAGTCATACTACTCCTGCTACCGGCGTATCCCATTATTTTGCAGATCATGATCATTCAACCCCTACATCTTCACTAAACATCCAGGGTCCGGCCAGTCGCCGAGCTCTCCCGCGCCAACTCGATCAGGCGAATGACCTCGCGCGCCTCCGCGCCGCTAGCCGGTAGCGCGCCCTCGCCACCCAGGGCGCGTGCGAGCTTCCGGTAGTACTCCGTGTACGTGGGCGGCTCCACGGTGGGGACGATCTCCTTGACGGGTGAGCCCTTTTGGATGGTCGTTAGGGTGCCTGATGCGGGGGAGGCGAGTTAGTTAACATGTCAGACAGATTCCCAACAGTCCTCCATAAAGGAAAGGAAAGGGCTTACCGTATCTCTCGCTGGGCTCCCGGCCGTATCCGTTATCGGCGGGCATGATACCAGCCTTGAGTTGGTCTTCTTGGATGTCGAGGTGGAACTATATACATCGATGGTTAGTGACTGAGTGTCCAGACTGGCAGGACAAGAATTTACTGCGCACCTTCTTAAAGCTCCCCTTCTCACCGCGCACCCAGAAACGCAGCTGCTCCTCCTCAGGACTAACAACGGTCGCCTTAGCGGTAACCATCGTACCGGTAGCATAGTGCAGCAGCACGGTAAACGAGTCCTCAAAGCCAGAGGTATTGACACCGCGGGCCGTACCAATGAAGGCCGTGATCCGCTTAGGCAGACCGAGCAGATGCACCGCCTGGTCGAGGAGATGGGTGCCCAGATCATAGATCGCCCCACCGCCGGGCATAACCTTGTTCTTCCATTTCGAGGCGTCGGCTGGGGGCTCCTCCGGACGGTGCCGGTCGAAGTGGGTTTCGAACTCGGAGATGCGGCCCAGAGAGCCGTTCTTGACTAGTTTGGAGAGGGTGACGAAGTCGGCATCCCAGCGGCGGTCTGTTCGATATCAACCGTTTGTTCTCTTCTTCTCTGCGGGGAAATGACGTACTCTGGAACACCGCCAGCAGCTTGTTCTGCTTGTTGGCGAGCGCGACGAGCTCATCGGCCTCCTTGCTAGTCGGGGTGAACGGCTTTTCGCAGACGACTGGCGGGGGTTAGTACGGTTACCTTCCCGGTAAAAGAAAAGACATACCGTGCTTGCCCGCATTAAGGGCGAGCTGGCCCAGGGCAAAGTGAGAGTCCGGAGCTGTGGTGATGACCACCACATCGACGGCGGGATCCTTCACCAGGTCCTCGGTGGTGCGGTAGGACTTGATGCCCGGGTGGTCCTTCTCGGCATCGTCGTCGGGCTTGGGGGTGCGCTGGACGACGGCATGGAGCTTGAACTCGGGGACTTGGGTGATGAAGGGGATGTGGAAGATCTTGGCGCTGAAGCCGTAGCCGATGACACCGACGTTGTAGGTCTTGGAGGCCATTTTAGGTGGTGTGTGGTGTATCTGTAGTTGAAAGTGACAAAATGGGACGGGAGGAAAGAGCGCAGAATATATAAAGAGGCAGTGCGGGGGGACGGAAGGTCCTGGCGACGGCAAGGAATGGTTCCGGTGGGGCAGATGCCGGGTCGGGATTGATTCGGGTTCCCGATGACATACTATAGGTGGTGGTAGAGAATTTCAGTACTCCGTAGTGTAGTTAGGTATGCACTATAGTGTATTTCTAAGCATTGAGGGATCTAGAGCCGGCCCTGTGTCATCCTCTGCACGCTACGACCTTCTTCAGGGTCAGTCGGAGTATCGCCGACTCCACAGTCTCCCAAATTTCCCAATTTACCCCCATTTAGCCACTTACGCGTCCTGCACTCCGACACACCGCGACACTTCAATTGCATCCTACCAAGAATCAACATGAGTCACTGGGTTTGATTTGAAATCAAGAAAGAAGAAACTCACCCGCGACCCCTCCGGCTGCCGGAGCTGACTCTCATACACCAGATCCGGGTTCCCGACGGTCTCAAAGCTGGGCACGTCATTCGCCGGCATGAACGACTGGGCCGTGTTACTGGGAATCCCCGTAATGTCGTATCCCTTAGCCGGCCCTTTCTTAGCTGCCTCGCGTTTCTGCTCGACCGTGCTGCGCACGTACTCCAGGTACGGCGGGTTCCCCGGGTAGAGCACGTTGTCGGCCGCGAGCACCGAGCCCGGCGCGATCATGCCGAGGTGTTCGCACAGTTTGACATCCGTCGTGTAGGCCGGTTTGTAATGATCAATAAACATCAGCTCGATCTTGGTCAGATCGCCGGATGTATATAGCTTGTGCAGGGATAGGTCGCTGCGGCCGACGAGGATGCGCACGAAGTCACGAAGGCCCGCTAGCTCGACGAGCATGTTGGCGATGGCGGCAAATTCGGGGTTCAACTCTAGGCTGAGGTACCGCTCTCCGCCGTTGCGGCGCACTCGCTCCCCGAAGAGAATGGCCGAGTAGCCCACGTAGCAGCCTAGTTCGATCATGGTCTTTGGCTTGAGCTCGTCGATCAGGTCAGTCACGATCTGACCCTTGGCGGGGCCGACGTTCATGAAGTGGTACTCCTTCTCGAATTCATGGATCAGGTCGATTACTTTCTCGGGGTGGCCGCGGATGTCGTCGAGATTGGGTTGGCCGTAGATGAAGTGGAGAAGCATTAGCTCACGGCCGGGTTCACGCTATTTTTGAATTAGATTTGTTCTTTTTGATAGTTATATAGCTATGTAGGCAGGTGCGTCGACTATTTACCGACTTCTCGCCAGGGCGCGGATGCTGACGTGTGGGACGGTCTTGAGTGGACATTGTGGTTGTGTAGAAGGACAGACGGGTTGAATGGAGAAAAAGAGAACGAGAAGAGAAGAGAGGGGGGAGGAAGAAGTAGAAGAAGAAGATAGAGCTGAGCAATAGACTGATCGGCCTCGGGGTACTCGGGGATAACTGAATGATAGTTCCTTCAGGCAACTCAGCCCGATAAGCAATGTCCCCTCCTCGCTTTGCATCATCAACGCCACTCCGGGGACGGGATCCCTTTCACCATTGACATGACTCTCCCCAGGCAGCAGACCATGTCCCCACACACTCTGTACTCCCTTAGCGCCCGCATCTTCTGGCATCTACTCCGCATTTTCCTGTCTTTCTCACTGATACTGCTGGACAACACCATCCTCCTCTTCACCAGCAGTATAGCTCACCTGCTACCAGCCCAGCCACACAAGAGCTCACAAGATGTACACTTCTACCCAAAAACCATACTAATCACCGGTGTCGGCACAGCGCCGGGCCTGGCGCTGGCCCGCGCCTGGCACGCAGCGGGCCACCGCGTTGTGGGGGCCGACGTCGCGGACCTGGACCTGCCCGTGCGCTCGGGCGGCGGCATGTCGCGCACCCTGCTTGTGTTCTACCGTATCCCCAAGGGCCATTATATCTCGCGCCTGCTGGATATCATCCATCGCGAGAAAGTAGATGTGTGGATCCCTTGTTCTCCCAAGGTGACCCCCATTGAGGATGCGACCGCCCGCCAGGTCGTGGAGAGTCGGACGAGCTGCAAGTGCATTGCTTTCGGTACGGAGCTGACGGCTTGCCTCTTGCACCCGGACTCGTTCCGGCATTATCTCATGGACAAGGGCTTGCCCGTACTCGAGCGGCATCAGGTCCAGTCGCGGGATTCCATCCACAAGATCCTGAACCGATCGCCGACGAAGTCCTACCAGATGCGACGCCTCAACTCAACAGCTGACGAGGGCGCGGTGAACCTGCCGAAACGCACGATGAGTATGACGTACTCGGATGTGAGCGAGATCGAAGTCACCAAGGACCGGCCGTGGGTCCTGCAGCAGCAGACTCGCCTCGGCGAGTTCTTTGCCGACATCCTGGTCGTGCGTGGCCATGTCCACGCCATCAAAGTCCGACTGGTGGATAGTCGCGCATCTCAGTGGGGTGCGTCGCGTCTGGACGAGGCGCTGGCAGTTGCCATCCACAAGCTGATGCAGAGCTTTGCGGCAAAAGCTGGCGCCCGCATGACGGGCCATGTATCGGTGAGACTCCTGGTGGACCAAGAGTTCGACGCACACTCCATCCGGCACTCCATCCACATTGCAGGATGCACTCCCGGCGCCGAGGCAGTTGCGAACCTGCTGCGCGATGCTCCCTGTCCGATCGCCGGCTATCTGGCCGCGATATCTCCAGACGCGGTACCTGCGCAAGTTTCAGCAGCATTGTCGCCGCCTACTCCGCAGTTTGTCTCGAGAATTGCTCCGTATATCCCGGCGCACAAGCATCTCCGGTTTCTTCGTCCTCTTATACCACTCTTGGAAAAGCTGTACACCGAGGTCTCCCCGTTCATCTTCTGGGAGAATCCTCTCTTCGCACGCCAGGACCCTCTGCCCTGGTGGTGGCATGTCCATGTCTACCAGCCCATGCGAGAGATATGGCTGCTCATGAAGCAGACCCGGGAGGCTGGCCTAACCGAATGATTTTCCTTGTTGTTAAAAGTTTCGCCCAGTTTCATCAGCGTCATGTACCTAACGAGATAACGAGACACGATCTAAACCAGAGCAATGGGTTCCACGTATTGAACATCTCCTTTATAATGCCTGCTCTATGAGAATCCATCTAACTATAGACTAGCCCTCTCGCTGATATACAACGACTTCGCCTCCGCCCTAACCGCACCATCCTGATCCAACATCTTCGCCTCGAGAAACCACTTCCTCCCCTCTCTCCTCCTCACCCACGTCTGAATCTGCATCGCGCTCGGCGTGAGCACGGGAGCCCGATACGAAACGTCCAAAGTAGCCGTATACAGCGTGCCCGTCTCATTCGAGTCTTTGTTAAAAACCCGATACGCCTCCGCACAAAGACCGAGCGACTCATCGAACAAAGCCGCGAGAACGCCGCCGTGCGCGGTGTCTTCCCACCCGTTTATCCCGGATTCGAGCTGGGCGAAGACAACGTAATCCGGCTCGGGCGAGTGGTCTTCATTACTGGATGTAATGTCGGGTTTGCGCATGAATGTCAGCACGCGCGGGACTGTGTCGTGCGTGTTGATGATTTTCTTGAAGAATTGATCGTGTTTCTGTCCTCTCTCGTACCGAGATATGAAGGGAATAACTTGGTAGTGGCTTGTCTTGCTCAGATAGGGTTGGACAGAGGGGAGGCGGGAAAAGAAGGCCAGGTCTTCTTGCGCGACAGGGAGGGTATGGAGTAGGTCTCGTAAGTCGGTCATGATTAAGGATGACAATTGTAATTATGTAGGTCTAATTATTGGGGAACGTTTTCAGGATAGTTATAAGTTCGATGTTCGGAGAAAAAGTTGGGGGTTAGTCGCACCCCCGCAATGATCCTTTGACCTCGGCAGCGTAGCCGGACTAGTGCGAAGGCAAAGCTAAGCTGCCTGCTCAGGGTTGCCGGTTCTGCGATATCGGGATACTTATTATTTCAGTTGGAGTTCTTGACTTATACTTCGCGGGCGATGGAAAGGACTCTTCCGTTGAAGTGGAGCGAACTGATGGTTCCTGAGACAATAATAACATCTCCATCTCACCACTAGGTTGAGATACTCTCCACCATGGCCTCCAATTCATTCAGCTCCGGTCGCTGTGCAGGGTCAGTACGCATGCACACCTCAACAATCCGATCAAAAGGCGGAGGAACAGGCCATTCAACTTCCGCAGTCATTGGAATATTTGCGTAGATGATGCATTTGATGACAACACCAATATCATATATATCGGATTTTTCAGTCCAGTGGGAATCCAACGTATCTTCGAGCACTATCTCGGGTGCACTACGCTGTCCCCAGCGGCTTTCGAGATCAGCGAGAACCAGTGTTTGGCCATACGTTGAAAACAACAGGTTTTCGATGTGAAGATCACGATGGACAATTCCCAATGAATGAAGAACCTTCAGTGCGGCAATAATATGTAAAATCCACTGCTTGTAAATGGCTATCGAGCAAAAGCGACCAAGGGCGAAATACCGTGGATCGAGCTTCTCGAAAACAAGTTCACCGGCAGGAGATTTTCCAAGCAGCTTGATAGTGTGTGGTGAGAGAGGTGTGCCTGGGCAACTGCCTCCTTGGCATTTGAGGAGATTTTCGACTTCGCTCAGGTATTTTCCTTTCTTCCTAAAATGACGCGAAGGATCGATCTCTATCTCAGGCAGGCGAGCAAGAATAGGTGTAAGATCCTCTGAATCATCTTCGCGGTTCGGAGGCTTTGGTGGATTGGCAATTTGACGGATAATGTCCCCGTCGATTTCGAAATGACCCTCGATCGATGGCAAATCTTTTAGCAAGCGAAGGATATCTCCAGAAAGAGTGCCTGGAATATCAACTAGTCGAACAAACGTGCCAAACACTGCTTCGTCTTGTTCATCTTCATACCAAAAGCTCTCTACCTTCCGGCCCCCTACCCTTTCGGAAAGAACCTCATAAGCAAATTTGCCCCAAGGGGGGCATAAGTTAGAACGATTTCGTAGGGCGAGATAGTTTGTCCTGAGATTTTCAACCATTTCGGGGAAAGAGTGCTCTTGACGCATGTTTTATGCAAGATAGATGCAATAATCTCAGGAGGGTGCGAGATTCATAAGGTTATAGGGCGTCCACACCGGATACAGAGCCTGATTTAAGTACTGCTTGACATGTGTGCTACTCCCAGGGAGCCGCTGCAGCCCCACTCACACCGCTCCTCCTCACTCCGTACATGAGATACTAAGGACCCAGGTCCTTTCAAAGATACGAAAAGTTCTTAATCTTGCGTGTCGTACACACTTCATTCATTAATCGACCATAGAGGTTTTGCAGGATCTCGGTGAATTTGCATGCAAGTCAAGGCGCCGAAGGCTGACGGGGGAAGATCTTGGAAAAGTCATGCTCATTCCAATACATTTCCGGGCGCACTCCAGCAAGCTTCCAATTGTTGCCAACCCTCTTATACCAGTGCTTCACGCTACCATAGCCGTGGCCTCGGTAAGCCACGTTGACGAGACTCGGGTCCGAGTAGCGCTGGTGTGCAGCGCGAATCTGATGAACTGCAGTAACCTCATTTGCAGTCACACACTCGTATATGACAGCCCCAAGGAGGTGTTGAGTGTGGATGAGTGGGTCTCCCACGAAATCTGGGGAGCTCAATGTCGAAATAAATTCCTCGGGTTCCATATCTGGAACGCACGATTGCCCAATCATGCTATAGTCCACCTTTTGCAGGGGTTAGCTCTCACGATATCCTCTACGGCCCCGATAGCAGATCGACGATACCATGATCTTAGGCGCTAGAATATTGCGCAGACGATTCCAGTCCTGTCTTAGATCACTATGATGGTCATACGCTGTTAGGAAGTAGGTGGACTACCTTTTTGTCAATACTATCGGCCCACTCGAAAGCAAGTCCTTTGAATGCAAAATAATCTGAAGCCAGGAAATGCGGCACGTCAGATAATAGGCAAGAAGACCAATTCGCACGAGATTCACCTTGCAATTGGATGCTTTCCATACTTTCAAATATCCGATTGGAGTAGGCACGAGCAAGTGACTTTCTGTGGTAAAGCGATTTTCAATTCAGCTCCGAGCGTAGAGAATAAACAAGACAGGAGACGATGGAAGACTAATAAGCTTCCATTAGCATCACGTGGTGATAAACCAATAGTGCAACGGGAGGCCTAATCGACCCGAGGCTGGCCGCTTAACCACTTGGAGAATCAACCAGATCTATTCTTCTGTGCTTGGGATGGAAATTCAAGGATCACTTAGATCAATTGTTTGCCACCTAGAACCAGGAACCAAGACCAGAGGCTGGGTACTCCGCAGTTAATTAAAATCCTGCCGCCTTGACATAATGCGGTGGACTCCAGCCCACGTAGATGGGTGAGTGCCGGCTCCACCGTGGCTGAGGCTTCCCAGAATAGCACCGCCTGGTCGCCCCGGTGATCACCAACGTCCTCAACATTGCTCTTTTCCTGGGGGAGAAAGGGGGCAATTGAATGTGACGGTAGACTGTAGAAGCAAATTGGTTGAGATCGGAAAACTTTCACGATTCTTTTATTACCAAATGACTATGTTGCACCGCAGTTTGAAGTATACCAGGCGAGCCACAGTACGAGGCTGAGCCAAGAAAAGCGGGCGGCGCGCGTCCATCCTCTGCATCATTCCCCGAGCCTCTCTCTCTCCTCCTGGACACTACTTACTTCCACTTGTCAACCACCGACACAATATTACGGCTCCCCTGTATTATTTATTCCTGGGACATCTTCTCGTTCTTCCTTCCCCCTTCCACACTGGGCTGAACCCTCCCTTCTACTCCAACCGACACAAAAAAACACACCATGCGCCTCCCACAACCCTCCGGCGGTATGGGCCGCACGAAAAACATCATTCACTTCGTCCAGGCCTTCGTCATCTTCATAGCATGGGCGATGACCATTGCTATCTGGACGAAGGGCGGCTCGGGCATCGACGGCCGGACAGCCTGGTACTGGGTTTTGGTGAGTCTCACTTCTGTCTCGTCTCTCCTCGCAGAACAGACCGACGAAGGGAGTGAAGGAACCTTGCTTTTACTAATTCTTCGACAGTGCTGGTTCAGTATCCCCGGTCTGATCTACCTCGTCGCCGTGCCCATGTGGCCGCGCGCCCGCCGCTTCGGCAATGTTTACGCCTTTGCGACCGTCGATATCCTCTATGCCGTCCTCTGGTTTTCCGCCTGGGCTGCTGTGGCTGACTACGTTGCTGAGGGCAAGAGCAAGGGTGCTTCCTCGTCCTCGGATAGCAGCAATAGCAGCAGTGGTAGCAGCAGCAACAGCAAGTCCACTCGCGCGGACAAGAGCAGCTCCGGTGGCAGCAGCGGCAAGTCCGGCTGCGATAACTGGGCCTATGGTAGTGCCAGCAAGTGTGAGCTGAGCACGGCGACCACCATTATCGGCGTCGTGATCTTGTAAGTTGAACCCCCTGCCAAAAAAAACCCTCTCAATGCTAACATTCTTTCTTTCTCCCTTTAGCCTCCTCTTCGCCGTCACAGCCTACCTATCCTTCCGCAACGTGATGCACTTCCGCCGCACGGGCACTCTTCCAGACGCTGTCTCAGACCCGACCTTCGCTGCACAGAGCAAAGCCGCCTTTTCATCGAACCCGGCCCACGACTTCGAGGAAGAGGACGACTTCCGTTCCGGCCGCGCCGGCGGAATGGACAACCATCCCGGCAGTGACCGCGACGAGGACTATGCCCTGCTGCAGCAGAGCGAAATCGACGACATGGGCAACCCGAACGGCCGGAATGCCCTGCACGGCGCCTACGATCCCACCGCCCCGGCTCCGGCCGGTATCCTGCATGACTATAACAGCTCCGGCTATAACCCGTATGGAGGCCCGCCGCCTGCCCAGCACTATGCTCCGCCGTCGGAATATGGGTCGTCGATGAGTGGGTATGGACGTTGAAATTAGGGGGTGATGTGTGATGACTGACTGTAGACGGGAATATCGAACCATCAATACCCAAAATTTAATCTGTCTTGGTTTGACATGGCCATGGAGCGGTGTTGGCAGGCGCATGTTTTTTGATCTTCTTGTTTCTTTCTGGAGGGCTTCGGCCCTGGTAACAATGTTTACTTGTTGGTTTCTGATACGATGAATAATTGCTGGCGAATCTATTATAAACATGACCCGTTTCTGTACTTGGTGATATGGGCCAATCGAATCAGATGTTTATCTATCCAAAAATCTATCCAAAAGAAGATTGAATAACTGTGAACCTTCGCCTCTCTACGTGTTCGCTGTTCAATGTTGGTCTCCCAACCCTGGCGGTACGGAGATAGTTGGCAGATTCTCACCGCCCAAATCATTATGGCCAGCTTGCCCGACGGAGCACTTGGACAAACAACACACCAGACAGACAAGCATACCCTTGCGTATGTCAGTAATGATACCCCATTTCCCCGGAACTTCCATGCTAACCTACCTGTGAATAACAGATAACCCCCACCTCCCACAAACCACCTGAGCCAAAACCCCAGCCACGAGCTACCATCCATCATGGCCAGCGAAGTCGACCTCTTCAACGAATACCCTCTACACCTAGACCCAACCTCCAAAGCAATCAGCCTCGCCTCTTCCTCCTCCTACAGCAGCGCACAACAAACAGCCCTGAACGCCGAACTACAAGACCTAAACCAGCTGCACCGCGCCCTTCTCGCACTCGAGCCGCCCAACGTCCCACCTCCCCCACTGCCCATCAACCCGAAGCGCAGCGCCCAGATCACCAAACTCCGCGACAGCGCCAACACCGCCTACCGCAAGAACAACTACGCCGAAGCAGTCCGGCTGTACACGTACGCCATCGAGATGGCGCTCGCCCGGCCCGGGTGGGAGCCTGTCACGCTGGCCCGCGACGAGATGGCGGGTTTGTATGCGAACCGCGCGCAGGCGCAGATGGCGCAGCAGGCTTGGCCTGAAGGGCTGGTTGATGCTAAGTCTAGTGTTGATTCTAAGGCGGTGGGCAATGTTAAGGCTTGGTGGCGTGTTGCGAAGTGTTTGGCCGAGATGAGTCGGTTGGAAGAGGCGAAGCAGTTTTTAGTGAAGGGGTTGGAGATCGAGGGGAAGGATAGTGAGGGGGGAAGGAATTGCTTAGTTTGTTGGAGGATGTTGAGAAGGATTTGCAGTCCAAGTCTGGTTTGGCTTAGATGTGTTTTCTTCTTTTTTTTACATATTCCATGTTAGGCGTTTGGGGTGAATGAATGGGACTATTACTGTAAGCTGAACTTTTTTATCTTGTAACTATGGAGTTTGTTTTTGTCTTATGAGTTACATGGGATCATAGAAGCTAGAAGACTCGAGCTTTGAATGACGATCCTATGTGTTACAATGTAGAGGCTTGGTTCAAAAAAGATAGGAGATTCGATATAAATAATACACAGCACCCAATCAATCCTTAGCTGTGGTTGAGCCCAGAGAAAACCAGGAATATAACTTCAATCCCACGCAAGCTAAATAACGACAAAACACAACAATGAAATTGCTTGATTCCAATGATAAGATCTGCGAGAAAAGCGACTCCCAGACTCTCGCGTAACAAAACATCAAGTGAAGATCGCTTCATTATTCTCGAAACTATGTGGCAAACATAAATCGCCCTAAGTAGTAGCACACAGTACATAACCCTTCCCCCCATCACACGGATTTAACAGATTAAACCTGAACACTCGACCCATCATTCTTCTTACAAGCACACGCATTAGCCCCGGCAACTACCTGAGACGGAGAACGCGAATAGCTAGGCGGAACATCGAGAACGGGATTACGGTCGAAGAAATTCCGCGGCCGCAAAAGGAGTGTCATGGGTTCAGCGGGCATGATGGGGTAATCTTCTGGCGAGGGAAAATGGGTTAGGCCGAAAGTATGCCACAGAACGATGTCGGTGTTGTCAATCGAGCAGTCTTTGCCGGCGGCTTCGATCCAGGCGGGTAGGCCTTGCGAGGGCTCGCCTGAGGTTTGGGGGACGTGTCGGCCGGCCGGGTGGATTTGGTCGTCCGAGTCTGGGGGTTTGGTTTTGTCAGATGCATTTTTCTTCCCATTATCAAGGGTACATTGGCAGGTGGGAAGGAGTGAAACTTACACTTTGTTACATGGACGGCGTGTCGTGCGAAGCCGGCACGCTTCCAGACCAATCCTCCCGCCTTTGGGAGCAATGGAGGCACATCACGGCTGACCAGCTTATAGGTGACGGGCTTCTTGCTATGTGGGTTCAGCTTGGACGTATTGGCAATCTCCCAAGTACGACCCGTCTGGCCATCGTAGTCCGACATGGCTTCCAGAGGGGTGGAGTACTTTGTCTTTTTGGCGTAGAAGGCATTTCCATACTTATTCTCTGCACTTCCCACCTCTCCAGGCCCTTGGACGGCGTCGACTTGGAAGACGGTGTTATTCGGTCCGTCGATGTTGGGATCAACCCGTAGACAAAACAGATGCTGGTGGTTATGCGCGTTGACACCGGGGTACACTTCCGTGCCCCAGCCCTTTGTATCCTCGCCGGGATTCATGGCGTACGTGTTCAGGATACCAGTCAGCTTGATCTCGAGCTGGACCGTTCCATCCTGGTGGAAAATCCAGTACACGCAGTACTCGTAGTTGGCCGCTGTGAAGATGTGGGAGATGATGAGCTTGCGGCCGCGGGTTACTACCACGGAGTCGTCGCGGAAGTCTGTGTGTTTAAACAAAATTCCCGCGTCTTCCTCATGGATACAGATGGCGTTCTTGATGCTCGTGCTCGCGCCCGCGCGGTTGACAAACGCCGCGTCCATGTAGTGGATAGCTCCCTTGCAGTCGCAGCCCAGGGACAAGCTGTTCGTCATGTATCCACCGCCATACTCGCCCAGGTCAAAGGCATGCTTGCGCTGATGCGGATGTTCCGGGTTGCCGTAGGGAACGACCATCTCCGCCAGCGAAAGCCGATAGAAGACGGGCCGAACATTGCCCTTATCGTTGAATGTGATGTTGTTCAGAACAATTCCCTCCCGGTAGTTGAACCCGACGTGAATGCCCCAGTTCTGCCACTCGATGGTACGGCCCTTGACCTCGAACGAGACGCCCTCGGGCTGGGTGATGTGTATGGGCTTGATGTCAGTACGGAAACCGCCTTCTTTCTCAATTGAAGCAGGGAAATAATTGTTGGGCGGGACCTTGTTGATGGGTCTGCGCACGGGAGGCACGTCGATGTGAATGATCTGCTTCGTCTCGGCGTTGTAGATAGGGCAGAAGTCCAGCGGGTAGGTGTACTGGGAGTCATCGATATGGGGCCGGTAGTACATTAGGGCTTGCTGCAGGCGGACCCCGGCTCCAAATCGCTCATCATATCCGATGGTCCATGCTGGATTTAGGGTTAGCACTTGGTCATCGCAAGAGCAGCTCGCGTCAACTTACGGTCGCAGTATACTTTGTGCATATCCTCCTTGGGGATACCAATAATACCGCACTGCTCAATAACCTTCGGGTCTTTGCGCACAACATGTTCAACCTCTTGTAGATCCTCCATTGTGATAAGAGGCTGCACGTCCGGCGTGTGCTGCCATTGAACAATCTTCTTCTGGTCGAGGTCCACCATCCCGTCGTACACCTTGCCGCCTGGAGCGATGGCAACAATATCTGCTGCTCTTGCTGGCCGGGGTGTATGCTCCGGGTCTGCCAGCCAGGCCATCATCTCGGCCTTGCGAGGCTCGTACAATGTGACCGCATTGAAGTTGAGCTGCCCATGCTCCTTGCGAACGATAGCGACGGCTGCATCGATCTCGGTCGTTGACAGAGGGTCGAAGGGGTGTGCGGGCGGCGCCGTCGCGCTGACCTGGTAGGTCAACTGCTGGAGCCGGTCATGAACCATTGCGTCCTTTGGTGTGCTGGTCTCTTATCGGAAATATATATCGATGTTGGAGTGTTGTGTTTCAGATATTTGAAAACAGGTAATCACCAACCCAAATGCACAACGGAAGTCAATCAATCACTTAATTGTCTGAATGTTTTCTGCAGGGCTCCCCGCCGGGTATTTATGCTCCAGTCGCATCACCGTTGTTATCTCGAAGCGCAGCGATTAGATCAAGCATTGCGGAGGCCGGATCTGTTGTCTCGATCGGGCATAGCGTGGAATCCCAAAGGAGCAACTGGATGCTCCCGTGCGGCAATTGTTGTTGAAGCTATTCCATTTGTCATAAGGAACTACGTACTCGGACTACAGTTCCCAATATAGGTTATTTTGCGAGTGTGACACAAATGGAAGAGATGATGGTATAAAGCACATCGAACTGTACATTATTAACTAAAGAAACAAGACGCTCCCACCAATCTACCTGCAACCCCAAAGAGAGCAAACGCAGTAGCCAAGATGACCATGTTAGAAGAACGACACCTGGTAGAGAGCCGAAGTGAAAACGCCCCAGACATGGATTCAGATACCAGCCAGATCAGAAGAAAAGATACAGAAAAGAACGCCGTACACCCTTCCGACGCGACATATGCGCCGGCGAAGAGAATAAGAAAAGAAGCACATGCAACGCGACGAGAAGAAAAGCAATGCCGAAGATCGAAGAAAACCAGCACCAGATTTCCACTGGGCTTATGTACATGCAATCATATCGTATCAATCCCCAATTCGGTTGTCTTTAGACTCAGATCTTGCCCATCTGAAAGGACCCCATTGATCCGCCGGGGGTCACAGCCCCGAAGCCTGTTCCATGGTGCTGGGGGGTGTGAGCTCCACCGGTATGGTGGCCTGTGTTCGGGGTGCCGGGAGTGCCAGCGGCAGAGTAGATGGTGGCCCCATTAAGATTCGGGGTTTGGTGAGGCATGTGGTGGGTCATCGCGGGCATCTGGCCATTCAGCCCCCAGATCTGGCCGGAGTATTTGCTTTCGTCGATGGACCCATTGAAAACCAGCTGCCGCATCTTCCAGTAGATCTCGCCCGTGACCAGCGAGTCTGATCCGGCCTGGTGAGCAATCCCGACGCGTTTCACGCCGAGCTCGTCTGCAACATCTTGCAGACCAGATTTTTGCCCCAGGTTGGTAAGGATCTGGGTAGCTGCCGGGGTCAAAGGAGAGTCGTTGACTGCTTGGTTGCGGCCAGCGTGTTTCATGAGGTACTTGATGTCATATAGTGATGGGAAGAAGATGTTAAGGAGCTTATGGAACTCCTCTTCGTTTTCGGGTAAGGGGGAGCACAGCATGATCTTCATCAAATAGCCAAAGTCGTATCCGGAGTGGAAGGAGACCCAGTTGACGTCGTCCACCAGGACCAGACCCGAGCTGATCAGGAGGGAACCGAACTCGAAGGGGTCGATGCCGTTCTTCTCATGCATGGAAAAGTCAATACCGGATTTGGCGAGCATTGCCGTTGACTCCTGCGCATACATATCCCCTTCCAGCGAGAATCGGAAATTGAACTGCCAGGTGCACGGCGCGGGGACCATGGCATTGCTAAAAGGTTGTCCGTTAGAGTCTGCACCGGTAGCTGGCGGCACCTCCCCTTCGGAGTTGAAGAGAGTAATTCCCAGTTGGATCATTTTGAGGAGGTCAACGTTGCATCGGAGAGTCTGGTAGTGGTAGTCTGCTTTGTTCGTGAATGACCCAATCGGTCGCGCAACGATCCCTGGGAACTCGGTATCCTAAAACCGCAATCAGTATCACTGTCGTGAATGTTTGGAAAAGGTGTTGGCTGCTTACCATGCTGATATAGGGATACTTATCCACCAACTGCCGCAACACCGCCATCTCATGAGCCAAGTTGTGCTTCCACACATCCCGTATCCGCGTCTTGACCGCGCCCGCTTTCGTCTCTAATGCCAGCCGGCCATCTTGAGCCTGGTGCAGCTGCTGTTGTTGCATCTGCGCCCCTCGCGCAAACCCCATCTGCGCCGCATGGCTCGCTAGGCCAGTTCCACCACCATCAGATGCGCCGGCAGCGAACCCGGCAACGGACATTCCGTTCGCAAGGCCCGCGCCGGACAAGGTGAAGGGATTGATGTTGGTATTTGGGTTTCCTGCAAAACCAGGGTGGCCACCGAGCGAAGGGGGAGGAAGCGCCGAGTTGGCGGATTGGGCGTGGGCGGGGTGGTGTTGGGACTGGACATGCTGTTGTAGAGCATAGGGGCCACCTAGAGCCGAGGGCCCGTATCTGCCGACAGGAGGAGGCATTTGTGGTGAGCGACGGAAGTAAGTGGGTGTTTGAGGTTAGGGAGAAGATGGAATTAATGGTCAGTTTTCGGTCTTCGAAAGGCGGGCAGCTCTGACTCGCCGAGTTGGGTTTAGCGCCTCCGTTCTGCCCCAGCACAGATCTCGCTCTCTCTTCCTCTCTCTTCCGCTCCCTCCAGCTAACTACAACCTCAGTCCCCCCAATTGCACCCGTCCGAGGGCTTTGATCTCGTTTGGTTTTCCTTTCATCTCTCCTCACACAGGCAGTCTATCCACAATGCCTGCCCGAAACCCCACCGGCTTCGACATGGCCCAATTCAAGGCCGCGGCCTCCCCATCCTCCGCCTTCGCCAAGCGTGATCCCTGGGCTCGCAAGTACGATTGTTTCTCCTATAGGTGTTATGTCCGGATGCTAACAAGTTCCCAGTGAGGCATGGAGATATTACGGCCCCTTCAGCCGCTTCAACCGCTTCAAGGGCCTGTTCCCCGGCTTCGGCATCGCTACTGTCGCTTTCGCGGCCTACTGCACATATGAACACTTTTTCCTGAAGGACGCTCATCATCACGGTGACAACCACGGCGAGGGCCACCACTAGAGAAATTCGAAAAGAGGAAATTTGCAAGGACCTGCTGGTCGACGGACGAACGACGGAGTGGAATGCGGGATACTCGGGATACCCTATAAGACGAGAAACGGGACGTCTGTTATCTCATCAGTCGGAGGACTGTCTGTCGGAGCAGGTCAGAGATCTGCTCTCATATTCAAATGAGAAGCTGTCGGCGCTTTGGGTTGGCTGATTCGGGTGTACATAGTCCATGTTCAATTACCACAACATGTTTTCCTTTTCTTTCACACTAACGGACCTTTCCTAAGCTCCTCGATATATTTTCTTGACAAAAGATGATCTTCCCTCTATGAGTAAGTATAGCATGATATCATCAGACACATTAATGCAGAGAGAGGAGCGTTACTCCTCAAAAACCAAGGCGATGCCATCATCGCCGGCAGTGACAATGCGCTTTCCATCGAGGCTCTGCACAAATCCCATAATGCCACCAGCCTGTTCGCCATCCTCGTTTTCTGTCGCAGGCAGATGCCCCTTCCATTCCTGCAACAGCCCCTGCGCAGCGGCAGCAGTACCACCGCGTGCATCCCAGCGTCGGACAACACCATCCAATCCAGCTGATGTGAGCACATATGACCGCCCTGGTTGGGCTGCATTGGCAGAGGCAAGAGGACCCGGACGCGGAGCAGCGGTGGGAGCACGGCTCTGCAGGAATTCTACCTTGACGACGGCACTACCTTCGTGCGCCTCCTTGATATGCCGGCGGACGGCGAACCGGTGAGCGGCATCGTAGAGAGCAATGGAACCATCCACGGACCCGGCAGCGAGAAGAGTCAATGGTGGTTGGGAGAAGGAAAGAGTCTCAATGCCGTCGGTCTGGGCCTGGAGGGCAGCTACGATCGTGCCCGACGCAGAGGTACTCGTAGTAGCCTGCGAAGCCGGGGCAGCTTTGCCCTTGGCCTTTTGTACCGGTGCCGCAGCAGCAGCCAGACGAGGTAGACCGACGACCTTGATGTGTCCGTCGGCACCACCCACGGCGGCAATGCCGCCACCTGGTGAAACGGCGATAGAGTACAATCCGCCATCCACGGCAAACCGCTGATCCTCCGCAGTCAATCCAATAATAGCGTTCGTACCCTGGGATCCGGAAATACCTGCAGCGGCAGCTGCGCCAAATACATCATAGACATAAAAGCTGCCGTCCTCGGAGACCGTCGCAAGCAAGTTTCCGTCGGGCGTCCATGCGCCAGCGGTACAGGATGCGGTGTGCTGGAAGAAACTCTGAATGATGGTAATGGGCTGCGAGGCATCCGTATGATCAATGCGGAATACCCACGCGCTGCCATCATTGGCACCAATAGCAACGACATTGCGTTTCTCATCTGCGCCCTGAGCGTAGGGACACACAGCCACCCAGTTGATCTCCTCCACCTCCTGTGCCTCGGCGACAAAGTCCCATGCGAGTCCGGTCGTCTGGGGTGAGGTGTCCCGCCACGCCCGCAACTTGCCGTCCAACCCCGCTGTCACGACATATTCTCCCGCTGGCTCGGTAAAAGCGACTGCATTGACCGTGTCGGTATGTCCGTGTAGCTTAGCCAATGGATTCAGTGACTCTCGCTCTCGCGGTTGTGGGTTCGACTCATAGCTCTGCGGAAGGACCGGGCGAGGGCCTGGGGTCGAGTCGAATATGTAGGCGGTGTCGTCGCCGGCACCAGTGATGACGATGTTGTTGTGGATCGGATGCTGGGCCACGCAGAAGACAGAGTCATTGTGCGAGTCGAAATGTGCAGCGGAGTCATTTTGGAAAGTCTGCTCCTCGTAGGTCATGGGTTGGTCCTCGTCGTCGTCCGGGTCGGAGTCCATGGGCTGATCCTCGTCGCGCTGGAAAATCTCCTCGGCCTCGTCGGCGTCGACGTAGGCATCCTCCTCATCGTGAGGGTTGGAAGAAGACATGTTTAAGGGGTGGTATGAATATTAATGGAGTATGAATGAATGGAAGAATATCTTTTTCTTTCGTCGATTAGAAATCCACATCCCACGAAGACAAACAGTGCAAACAAGCTTGTTCTTATCGGCCGGACTTTCTTCGTTCTTGATTTCATCTTCGCAACCAACCATGGACGGCTTCGACGAGGAAGCATTTAAACAATTCTTTCCTTCCGGCTTCGGCAAGCAGGAGAAGACGGTTGACGTCGACTCTCAGATCAACCGCTCGAAGCGCGCCGAGGTGTCCGCGCAGCCGAAACCGCGAGCGGACGAGGATGAAAGGAAAGAATTGGCCGCCACTGATCCCGCCCTCGAGGCAGAAGAGCGCCGCGATGAGCGTAAACCAAGCGCTGATGATGACGATGATGACTCTGACGATTCCGACGATGATGACGAGGACGAATTCCCTGTGTCTCATGAGCTTGTTCTCAAAACCCATGAGCGCGCGGTGACCACTATGACTGTAGATCCTTCCGGGGCGCGATTAATCACTGGCTCAATCGACTGCACCTTGAAGCTTCACGATTTTGCTTCAATGACCCCTTCCACAATCCGCGCATTCAAATCTGTCGACCCTTCGGAAAAGAAGACAGCTGCTGTACAGGATACCCATGCTGTCCACTACGTTGCATTCAACCCAATCTCGCCAGCCTACGTTTTAGCGGTGCCCGCGACAGCTCAGCCACGTGTTCTCAGTCGTGATGGTGAGACTCTGGTGGAATTCGCGAAAGGGGACATGTACTTGCGGGACATGCACCATACGAAAGGACACATCTCGGAAGTAACCGCCGGTGCCTGGTGCCCCACGGATGAGAATCTGTGCGCTACTGCCGGGACCGATAGTACGGTGCGCATCTGGGACGCCAACGTGGGCCGCTCGCAGAGGGAGGTCATTGTGCACAAGTCCCGGGCTGCTGGGTCCGCTGGACGCACCAAGATGACTGCCGTCGCATGGGGCTCGCCAAAGCAGGGCGGATTGAATGTTCTTGTTGGTGCCGCTCTTGATGGCAGTTTGGCTATGTGGAGTGGCGACGGGCCGTTTACGCGGCCGAGCGCTGAAGTGCGGGATGCGCATACGCGTGATACTTGGACCAGCGGTTTGGATATCAGCTCCGATGGACGACTTGTTGTCAGCAGGGGCGGAGATGACACGATCAAGCTCTGGGATACTCGGAAGTTCAAGACTCCAATCACCACAGTCACACATCCCTCAACCTCCTCCCGCTACCCTTCGTCCAACATCCAGTTCTCCCCTACATCTGCGAATGTCATCACGGGCTCAGAAACCGGCCATCTACACATCCTGAACCCGGCCACATTGAAGGCAGAGCTGATTACTCCCGTCACGCCTGGATCGCCGGTAATCTCGGTGTTATGGCACGAGAAGCTCAACCAAATCTTAACCGGCTCCGCCAATGCCGAGACCCATGTGCTCTACAACCCGACCATGTCCACCAAGGGCGCGGCTCTCGTGATGTCCAAGGCGCCCAAGCGCCGTCATGTGGATGACAGCGCGACCTTCACCACTGATATATCCCAGGGTCTTTCCGGCGACTCGGTGGTGGTCGGCACCAATGGCGTGCCTCATTACAGCTCGGCAACATGGTCCGCACGACATCCCACTGTTGGTCTGACAGCCTCGGGACGTTCTCGCGACCCCCGTCGGCCACATGTTCCGCAGCAGACACCGTTTGGCAAGTCTACGCCCGATGAAAAGCACATTCGCGAAAATATCCCTCTCAGCTCCATGCGTGACGAAGATCCGCGCGAGGCGCTGCTGAAGTACGCGGAAAAGGCTCAGAAAGATCCTATCTTCACCAAGGCATATCAGGAAACACAGCCAAAAGCGATCTATGCCGAGCTCAGCGATGAGGAGGAACCTGGGCCGGAGAAGAAGAAAGCGCGACGATGATTTAATAATAACAACTTGGAATTGTATACTACACAGTGCATTTATCTGATAACAAAGGACATGATACCCACGCATCCCATCCCTTGCGTCCGATCTAATCATCTGTACACCTGCTTTTTTCCCCTCCTTGCGATCTACATATTCCATGACGTTCATCCGCGACCCGGTCGAGGCGAGCGTGCCGGCACACCAATTAAGCCACACAAGGATTCGCACGGGCATTCGGATTCTAGTGTTTCAGTGGCGCATTATGAGTCTAGTTAACAAGCCTAGTTTAGTTCACTTGAGTCACTAGTTAACTAGCGCAGCCTGGTTAGGCAACAAATGATGACTGATGCGCCTCCCGCCCAGCTCCGCCCATCTTCATTTCGGCATCGACTTCTTGGTTCTCCCCGACAAGCTCTTTTTCGAGCTGAACCACCATGCTAAGTGTCGCATTGTGACCAGATGCTTACCGCCAACATCCGGACCTATTTCCATCATCGACTGTAACTGTCGGACCTCCCCCAAACCGTGCGGGGTGAGGCTCCAGGGGGATTGATTATCTGTCTGCGTGTTTGGCGACCGTGGACACCACCCGGTAAATGCCAGCGGATACTTTGATCCTGGGAGTCAGTTATTTGGCGCGCTCTGTTTGATTCGCCCAAATGGACTCTTCACAGGGGCCTCTGGTAGCTGGCTTGCTCACGACCCTGATTTCCGCGACTGTCGCGCCATCCTCCTCAACCCCCACAACTCTTCCGATAGACTCGCCTAACCATGACGATCAACCTGAAGGGATGCACCACTGGTCATCGCTGATCGGTATCGTGACTGCCTTGATCGGGAATGTCCTGATCTCCTTGGCTCTCAATATCCAGCGCTACGCCCATATCCGCATTACGAGGGAGTGGGAACGCGATAATACGCAGAAGGAGGCTGCCGGGAGACAGTCACATACGGGCCTAGGGTCGGCGGGTCCCTATGGGGCTGTGGGGATACAGAGGGGAAGATCGAGGGAGCATTTCGAGTACCGTGACGAGGAGGAAGAGACTTCCGAAGACACTGATGGGACCTCGCGCCCTCGGGATCGTCAACGCGAGTCGTTCACGTCAGATGGAACTGCTCGCCCGGGAGACAAAAAGACCGCGCGCGCAGATAGCAAGAAGAACTACCTACGGTCGCCTTACTGGTGGGCGGGACTAGTGCTGATGTGTTTGGGCGAGACGGGCAACTTCCTGGCGTACGGCTTTGCGCCCGCATCGATCGTGTCGCCTCTCGGGGTTGTGGCCCTGATCTCCAACTGCATCATCGCGCCGTGTTTGCTCAAGGAAAAGTTTCGTCAGCGTGACTTCTGGGGCGTTCTTGTCGCCATTGCTGGAGCAGTGGTGGTAGTGCTTAGCGCCAAATCGTCCGAGGAGAAAATCGGGCCTCATGAGATTTGGGTCATGATCACTCGCTGGGAATTTCTGCTCTATCTCGCAATATCGATCATTTTGATCATCGTTCTGATGTGGGCGAGTGGCACGTACGGTCCGCGGTCGATTCTGATTGATATTGGGCTTGTTGGCTTGTTCGGTAAGTGTTTATGTCTTTCTTCTTTTTGCCCCAAGTACTGACTTGCAATAGGTGGATATACGGCGTTGTCTACTAAAGGCGTTGCCTCGTTATTGTCCTTTACCTTGTGGCACGTCATCACCTTCCCGATCACCTACCTGCTCGTGTTCGTCCTCGTCTTTAGTGCCTTGATGCAGATTCGGTACATCAATCGTGCTCTGCAGCGCTTCGATTCTACTCAAGTGATCCCGACCCAATTCGTGCTCTTTACGCTCTCGGTAATCATCGGTAGTGCAGTGCTCTATCGTGATTTCGAGTCGATTCCAGCTGCACGTGCAGTGAAGTTTGTCGGGGGCTGTCTGTTGACCTTCTTGGGGGTGTATTTCATTACAAGTGGCCGAGTCCGGAGCGATGATGCGTCATCCTATTCATCAGAAGATGAGGAAGAAGCTATCGGCCTGCTGCATGGTGAAAGATACCAGGACAGAGTCGATTTGTCTCCTCCAGGTCAACAGCTGCGCGTCCAAAGAGAATTACGGACAGCGCCCGAAACGCAGCGTGGTCGGTCACCTTCAGGTTCTTTGTTGAGCCAAGGCATTGACGGAATCGATGACGGGCAGTCCACTCCGAAAGGGGCCCTTTCCGTTGTCACGTCTTCTCCTGGTGGCTCTCTCTCCGCCGATTCACCTTTATCTGCTCCATTCTCTGATCACCCGTCACCATTGCGGCCTCCATCTCATATGTCCAATCCTTGGGCTGACCGCAATGAACGGGCCGTGGGTACCGAACGGCCAACTACTCCTCAAGGCCAGTCCAACGAAGCTACGCCGAGATCAACGGTCCAGCTTCGTTACCCGCCGGCCCCGGGCGTGGAAGACACCCCGCCGCTGAACGAGGGCCGACGCGCCTCTACTCCAACCACCGCAGATCAGCCTCATTTTCCTGGTCGGAGTCGTACAAGTGCTGAGACACCTCCACGACGCGCACTACGTAACTCCATCTCAAATCGTTTCTCGCCCGGACCCCTTTTCCCCACACTCTCTGCTGGTTTCAGTGCCGTGGTTGCGGAATCTCTTCGGCGAGGGGAAGGAAATTCATCAGTCAAGGATCGCACCAAACGGAAACTAGAACGCCGGAGACCACTTGACGGTGCATTCAGAGATGGGATCGCTCGCTATCACGATGGGGATGATGGCCCTGCTGGTGTCGGCGGCGATGGCCACGACACCCCGGCTACGATTGCCACCGCGCGGCTTCAGTCCGCCACGAGTCTGGCTGCTGCCCCTGCAGAGGTCGGACGATCTTCTACGCCGGCCCTCGCAACCGAGATCTATGCCTTGCCAACGCAAAGCGCACAAGAGGGGGCCACTCGTGTTCGCAGCCTCAGTGAATCTATGAGTGGTGGGCTTGCATGGTTGGGTGGTGTTCTACGCAAGACTCATGCCGACAAATACACCGAGAGTGCTGCTGTATCGCAAGGAACACCTACTCCGCCAAATGGCGATAATGGACCCGGTGATACGGGCGCCCAGGCGGAGACACGGCAATAATTGCACCGGAATTTGTACTATGGCAACGACGGGAGAGTGGCTGGGTCACTCGAGCTATACATACTCACGTTTTCATACTCTTTTACATCCCCCTCTAATTCCTTCTTGCGCGGGACATTTGTTTCTTTCTGTTCAGAAGTATCTATTTGACTGATGATTGGCATATTGACTGTTTATAATTGGCATCATCATTGCATTCTGCGGGTATATGTTATGTCACTATGTCTTTTAATACATATGGTTTCGATAGTTTAATGACTTAGTGCTACGTCGTTAACAATGTCCAGCCGTTTGGGCTGACTGAATTAACTTCGTTTACCTTTGTCCCAGTCGTGGGAATTCCGGCGGGGAAGCTATGAACGAAGCCCTAATAGGTGGAAAAAGGACCAAAAAGCATGCCTCCCCATGTCTGCAGGAGCCTCCACTGGCTGAACCTTGAATTTACCCGTCGGATTGCCCCCTCCAATCCGGGGTATCGGATCATTACCCTTGCAAAAACAACAGAGACTAATCCATGCAACAGACGGGGCGGAGAGTTGCTCCGTCTCATTATAGTGCTAGTCCCGGAAGCCAAAGCTAAGCTCAACACCCACGCAGTCTCTCATTAGACACGAATGCCGTGTACTACTGCGGCCTCATCTCCGAGGCATAAGTTAATTGCGAGACTAATACAGATCGAAACTTGCCCCGCATTCCGTGGAGATCACGGTGTGTCTCCGACAAGCTTCGCTTGCATTAAATTACCCGCAGGCGCAGGCCGAGGAATCAACGAGATGAGCTGGCGGGAATCTTGCATATTTAATATGCAGGACCACGCTCGCTTGTCCTCCGGTTCCTTTTTCTATGCTCATGGCTACTTAGCTAGTCGCATAGACTTAGCACTAGGAACACGAGAACATTTTGTCTGCGATGATAGTCAATCTATTTGCCAACGGGCTATTGCTTGGGCAGCTTTTTGCTGCGCTGGTCGCTGGTCATGGCGGTTCTAGCACCCCCCTCTACAAGAACGCGAAGGCGCCTGTAGATGAGAGAGTGAAGGACCTGCTAGGCCGGATGACCATCGAGGATAAGATGGCTCAATTGATGCAGGGTGCGCTGTCTTTTCTTTTATCTGTCACTGTCTCGAATACTGAGCATTTCTTTCTTGCAGGAGATATAACCAATTGGATGAATCAAGACACCGGGGCGTTTAACTACTCCGGCCTCGAAGCGAATATGGCCGAGAAAGCGGGCATGTTCTACGGTATGAATCAGTCTCAGGCTCGACGTACGAGAGGTGTTTATTTCTGACTTGATCGACAGTCGGATACCCTGTGTCCTGGCAATTGCTTGCCGAGAATATCAAGAGAGGTCAGGATTATCTCCTGCATAACACCACACTGGGTATTCCTGCGCTGGTCCAGACTGAAGGTAAGTGTTTGTCTAGAAATGAATAATTTGCCTTTTATAAACAAACTGATCAATTCGTCGCGGATAGGTATCCACGGCTTCCTGATTGGCAATGCGACGATCTTCAACTCGCCTATTGCATACGGCTCCTCTTGGAACAGGAAAGTGAGTGTTTGGTCTGCTGATAGCATGCAATTGTGGCGTAGAAAATCTAACAATTCTCTATCTGTAGCTCGTCCAAAAGATGGGAGAGACCATCGGCCAACAAGCCCGCGCGCTGGGTGCCAACCAGCTCTTTGCTCCTATCGTTGACTTGGCTCGCGAGCCTCGTTATGGTCGGGTATGATAACTATACCACAGATTTTCTGACGCTGAGCACAGCTAAGGAAGCGTTACAGGTCGAAGAAACCTTCTCGGAGGATGCCTACCTCGCCGGAGAAATAGGGTATAGTTACGTGAAAGGCATCCAGAGCAAGAAGGTTTCCGCAATGGTCAAGCATTTTGCTGCATTCAGTAATCCCGAACAAGGCATCAATACCGGACCGGTACATGGCGGCGAGAGAGAACTGCGGACGACGTACGTTGATCGGCCTTTGCCGGATATTTGGGTACTAATGTTTTCTCAGATGGTTGCCGTCGTTTAAGAGAGCTATTATCGACGGTGGTGCTTGGGGTGTTATGGCTGCCTATTCATCGTACGTATTTTGAGAAGGACTGGCTGGGCCTTATTCTGACCTTTTCTAGCTACGATGGAATCCCGGCTGTTGCTAACCACCTCACCATCACGGAAATCCTGAGAAACGAATGGGGTTACGACTACTTTGTCATGACTGACGCCGGTGGAAGTGACAGGCTATGCAGTTACTTCAAACTCTGCCAGAGCAATCCCCTTGACATGGAAGCCGTTACTACGCAGCTTTTGGACGCGGGAACCGATGTTGAGATGGGCGGTGGTTCATTGTAAGCGCGGCAGAAAACGACAGTGCAGGATGATCTAACAGCCACCTAGCAACTTTCAGAAGATTCCAGAGATGGTCAAGTCTGGGAAACTCAGCGTTGACCTCGTAAATACCGCCGTGTCCAGACTCCTCCGGGCCAAGTTCGAGATGGGCCTGTTTGAAGATCCGTATACTATCGCACCACAGAGCGAGTGGGCCAACATTCTGAACGGCCCCGAGGCTAAGCAGCTTGCAAGGGACTTGGATAAGGAGTCTATCATCCTGCTGGAGAATCATGATGAAACGCTTCCGTTGAAAAAGTCAGGCAACATTGCCGTCATTGGACCTATGGCGCATGGATACATGAATGTAAGTCGATTACTTCACATCCCACCTCTCTTTTCGGGATTTTGTCTCACATATTATTCGCTAGTATGGTGACTATGTGGTGTATGAGAGTCAATGGCACGGCGTCACTCCTCTGGATGGTATCAGAAACGCCGTCGGCGACAATGCCCAGATCCACTACGCACAAGGGTGTGAGCGGTGGAGCAATGACCAGTCCGGTTTCCCTGAGGCAATCGAAGCCGCGAAGAAGTCAGACGTGGCCGTCGTCGTGGTTGGAACGTGGTCGCGAGACCAAGTCCAACTGTGGCAGGGACTCAATGCAACGTGAGTTGAGCTGAACTTTATGGAAATACCGTAGGCTGACGGACATCTCAAACCAGGACTGGTGAGCACGTTGACGAAGATGACCTGTCCTTAGTCGGTGCTCAGGCCCCCTTGATTAAAGCCATTGTCGACACCGGCGTCCCGACCGTCGTTGTTCTCTCCAGCGGCAAGCCCATCACAGAAGTATGGCTTTCCAACACAACCCAGGCCCTGGTGCAACAGTTCTACCCATCTGAAGAAGGCGGCAATGCGCTCGCGGATGTTCTGTTTGGCGACTACAACCCTTCCGGCAAGCTATCTATGGGCTTCCCGCGATATGTCGGCGACATTCCGGTCTTTTATGACTACCTGAACTCAGGTCGTTCGATATCCGACTCAGGCGTCCAATATCCCAATGGGACTCTCGTCTTCGGTCACCAATATGTCTTCGGAAGCCCGATCCCCTGGTATGAGTTTGGTTACGGCAAGAGTTACGTGAACTTTGAGTACGGCAATGTTAGAGTGGACCGTAGCACTGTCTCTGCGTCTGATACCGTTACTGTCAGTGTTGAAGTTACTAACACTGATCCGTATCGCGATGGTACCGAGGTTGTGCAAGTGTACATCTCTGATGACATTGCTACTGTGGTTGTTCCAAATCGCCAGCTCAAGGGCTTTGAGAAGGTGGTCATTCCAGCTGGGAAGACCGTGAATGTGAAGATTCCTATTCCGGTTGAGGATCTGGGGCTTTGGAATACTCGCATGAAATATGTTGTTGAGCCTGGTTCCTTTACGGTTTTGGTTGGGAGCAGTTCTGCGGATATTCGAGGCAATGCCACGTTTACTGTGCGGTGATTGGGCTTGGAGTGGTGTGGTCACTGCATCTGGTTGGTCCTGTTGATATTGAAAACTTGAGAGAAATGCAGATAGTAAATAAAAGATGGAGTACGCATTCCACTGTCGATTGCTATCAAAAACACGATAGTTGTTAAGCCACGGACTCATACACTTCATAAGTGATTGTCCCACGATATTTACAGCTTCGGCTTCTCAGCCCTAGGCCTATTTCCGGTGTCCACTTCAGACCACCACGGAAAAATTGGTGGCGCATCCTCTTCCAGCGTAGCCTTAAAATCAGGCTTTCTCTTTTCAAAGAAAGCGCCCACTCCTTCTTTCTGGTCCCTACTCAATGTCAGCGCTATAATGCCAATGTAGAGAGGCGAATGGCAACATACTTTCCGCTGAACATATGGTAAAGCACCGCCGAATCAACCAAGTGCGACTCTTCCGCCGAGGCAGGTCCCCTCCACATCAACGAATGATTTAGATACGACGCCAGTGGGCTCACGTTCTCCGCAACCTCAGTCGCCAGTTCCAGTGCCCGCGGCAGCACTTTCTCTGCATGGGGTAGTGTCTCAGCGAAAAGCGGCCCAAAATGCTTGGAGTTTGGAGGGAAAAGACCACCCGTGGTTAGCAGGTACATTGCGCGCGAGAAGCCAATCAAGCGAGGGAGAAAGAACGAAGAGCTTGACTCCATGGTGATGCCGCGGCGGGCAAAAACGAAGCCGTACTTGCCTCTTTCGTACGCGATTCTTGATAATAATGTTAGTTTCTATGAATACAGAAAGATGAAGAAATAAATGAGTATACCTAATGGCCGCAGGCAAAGTCATAGTCATTCCCAACCCAACAGCAGACCCCTGCATCGCCACAATCGTCGGTTTGCGACATCGGTAGATCGCCAACGCCAAACGGCCGCCACTATAAAGATGGACATGAAGAATATCAGAACATAGATAATCATGAATTCAATAAAAAAGATATACCTATCTCGGTGGTCCACTGGTCTCTCTTTCTGTGTCTGGGGAAATCCAATTTCCAGATCGGCGCCGGCACAGAACGTCTTGCCCGCGCCGGTTAGGACAACGACTTTGACGCGCTCATCCACATCAAACATTGGATAGACTTTCTCGAAATCGCGCATCATGTCTAGGGTGAAGGCATTGTGTTTTTCCGGTCGGTTTAGAGTCACCACCACAACTGGTGTGGCCTCTTTGGCACCGGCTGGCTGGTGGTTTAGTTTGATGTGTGTTGTTGGAAGACTTTCATAGGAGAAGGGGATGGTTATGGGGTCAGGAGTGGGAATCATAATGAATAGGTTTCCTGAATGACTACTGTGTTTTTCGTGTTGTGAAGGGTTTACTGAGTTGGATTCTCCGGGTCATTATATACTTCGCTGCCCCGGTACGCTACCTCGGCCCCGCGTCGATCATTGATATGATCAATAATCGATCTGCCCACCGGTCGCTTACAGCTCGGGCCCTCGCCGCTCTCTCAGCACAATTAACAATCAGCATAATTAACATTCTGATTTTTGCATGGAATTTCCGGCGAAATGATTTCCTAATAACGACTAGTGCGCTGAGGTGGGGGCTTGGGAAATAAAGAGAGAGATTGGAGGTAAAGTCAATTTCGAATATCATTGTACACCATGAACGACACAAATTAATGTTGACATTACACTGTCACCAATGTGTGCCATCAGTCCTGAACGGAGATCATTTTTATTCGGTGGAACGCAATGAACAGGGGTAATGGATCTGTCTCAGACCGGAACTTGCAGTCAAGACACTATAAGAGCATGTATTACCGAGGTAACTCATTGTTGATATCTTAGCCTCGAAAGGTATTATTCTAGATGCCTATACATATTTTGGATCGATCGTAGATCAATCACTATCAACATCCGCTCCAATCATCGTCCAACCTTTCCCTTTAGCATGCGAACGACTCCCCAGATTGCCAGGTCCGACCCTTTCCAGTGCATAATCCCTTTCGCCTGTCCCTTCCAGCACACCCTCAGCGTTGGTGGATTTCGCCACACCAGCACGCCCTGGCTTATTTCCTCCAGTGGCAGACTGGGTATTATTGAACTTGGATGAGGAGCGGACAGTCGAGACAAATGTACTGGTGCAAGACTTTATGAGTGGCGCCGTGGTAGGCAGACAGGCCGAGATAATTCCCGCGGCTGTTTCGACTACGCACCAGGTTTGTGCGTCGGCGAGAGTCCAGGAGAGATCGGTGATATTGAAGATGAAGATGAGGCTGAAGCGGTAGATACTCGCAAATACGACACTGTATTCGTGTTAGCAATAATCCATTAATATCTAACAACTCCGTAGCCTGGAAGCCGGATCCAAACGAGAAAGGAGAGTGAGGAAACGGGGAACCGCATACAAACTTCCACTCAAAAATACTAAAATAATAGAAATGCGCTGCAACGTGCTCGCCTGCAACCGCCAAATAAGCCGTGCCGGTAACGCGAGGATACAGATATCCGTTACAAAATTCGGCACTCCGTTGCCGATCAGCGCAGCTTTGAGGTCAATGCAGTGACCCGGAAGCATGGGGTTATACACCCTAGCTATGGGCGTACACTGAAAGATAGCGACGAGATCAACGGATACTACCCAGGCGATAGTGATGCCGCCGAGAATATAACCACCGATTTTGATGAGGCGGACAGGGAAGATGCGATGGTACATAAGGAGGACAGAGAGTTTGATAATTCCGACGGTGGTGATATAGATCGGTTCGAAGGCGTAAACGAGCTATCCAAAGATGTCAGTGAGCTCATCGCTTCTCGCCGATCAGACTCTACCTTAAGGAAGATTGGCTGGTCAGTCGGGAGTATAGCGTCCATGTGTCGGCCCAAACCATAGTGGATGCCTTGATATTTGTCAGTTTACTTCCTGAAGTCAAGCTAATTTGTGAGACAGACAAACGATATTGACTGCTGCAAGTGCTACCACAAAAACCTGTAGCTAGTTTAGTCTGTGGTATTCAAGTAATCGAAGCGGCGAAAACCTCACCAATCCCATAATTAAAGTCCAATCATCCATTCCCAACGGCGCCCTCTTCATCTGGCGCGCCGCCAACCTGAGAAACATGAAAAATATGGCCAGCACGGCGAGTACGATGGTCGTAATGCGCTGTTTTGGCTGCGTCGTTTCGCCATCGTCGTTAGGCACCATTTTTGGCGACTCGGCCCTCTTAGAGAGGTAGGTAGAATTGTTAATACCCAAGACAGTTGAGAAGTTAAGAAAAGAGGAAACTAAAGGAGATACATGCGATAAGCCATTGGCCCTCGTGGGCGCCCATCGGTCAGGAAAAAAACAGACGCTATGAACTCAATTTCTTGAATTAAAAACACGTATAATGCATCAACTGTAAAGGTTTTGCTTGGAGATGATTGGAAGATTAATTCTCGAAAGGGAAAATTCTGTTCACCAGTACTGAATAGTTAGTTATACACCTTGGTTATGGTTTAGTCTTCGTCGGCATCGTCGTTGCCCGTGTCATATCTTGGCACTAAGGTGGAACGGCACTTGAACACGATCTTGAAGCCGCGAGGCTGCAGACAGGGAGTCCTAATAGGGGGCTCGGGAAAACTAGACGCCCTGCACAGCGGGTCGGCCCACTTGACTTCCCATCGCTCTGATATTTCCGAACGGTCCCATTTCTTCGGATTCACATCAGGCTGCCATACCGTAGAGCTCTCAAACTGCACGCCTCTCTTTTTATTGTCTTTAGAAGGATGGGGACTCTTTAACACACTTGACAAAGTTAATGGGAAAGATAGGGGCCGAAATCCTTCGCCGTTTCAAATGCTTTCATAGCCAAGCCACTAGAGTGTATTATCTCTAACACTAGCCTTATTCTCACATAACGATTATGTTGCACCTAGTTTACCCCTCCCCTTTATAATCATTTCAATTACCACTCGAAGTTATTCAGATGTTGATTGAACGCATTCCAAGTATATGCAGGAGGTTATTGAAATAGAGAGGGGTAATGAACATGAGGACGACGACAATGGTACTGATTAAACTTCATCCAGTCTCGGTTAGGACTAGGTATTCGCCCCCAAGTTCGACCCCCAACAGCTAGCGCGGTTGTAGCGGGGCAAGTAGTTGATTAGAAGAAAACCCGACTGTTCCTGGCTGTTCCATTATCATAAAATCGCGGAACCCTAAGCGAATTAATTCCACCCCTGGGTTCCGAATCCAACAGAATGAATCACCCACCTCCCCTATCTCCAATACTATATTAATCTTCTATGCAATTTTACGTATGAGTTCCCTTACATTTGTCTTCGCCCTCGGCGCCTGGGTAACCCCAAAAGTCTTTGGCCCCCTCCGAGCCCGTCTGGATGCCCTCGGTGTTTCGTCGGAATGTCCCCCGCACCCCTCAATTGGCGCTGAACCTCCCTCTAAGACTTTGGCGGATGATGTCGCTTCCCTACGTGATGTTTTGACTACGCTCGTGGATGAGGGAAAAGATGTTGTCGTTGTGGCGCACTCCTATGGTGGCGTTGTGGCCTCTGCTGCTGTCGAGGGACTGGATAAGATAGCTCGTGGAGCTGCAAATAAACCTGGCGGGGTTTCGAAGGTTGTTTTCTTGTCTGCATTCGCCCTAGACAAGGGACAGAGCTTGTTGGGTATGTTGGGAGGGAACTTTTTGCCTTGGATGAGGGTCGAGGTATGTATAATTGCCCCTCATACCGAACTAGATCTTTACACAGCTATTACCCTACTATGTACTTTCAAGATCTTCACACAATTTATCTTTATTTAACAAAGCTAACCATCATGTAGGGCGACTACGTCTATGCCGATGCTGCCGGCGCTGTCGGCTGGCAAGATCTCCCTCCTGGAGAACAAGAACAATGGAATGCTGCTATGGTACACACCTCGCGCTCTGTCTTCTCTGGAGAAGCTACCTATGAGCCCTGGCACGAAATACCCTGTGCCTATATCATCTGCGAGCAGGATCATGCTCTGCCGCCGCCATTCCAGGAGCAGTTTGCTTCTAAGGTCGGTGGGCCGGAGGACACCTATCGATTGCCGAGCTCGCACTCGCCGTTTTTGAGCATGCCGGATAAAGTTGCCGCTCTTTTGCAGGACATTGTGAGTGCATAAGTCAGTACTGTTGGATATTCTCTGTAAGCATGAAGCTATCACGATATGCAACAATCAAATAGAAATACATGCGTATAGAATTATTTTCCCACCGCCTTAGGCCGCTGCACATTTGGGTCTCTCTCATAATAGTGACGTTTATCTCGAACCCTACATGACTGTATCTGATGGACTATGTGGTGAAATCAACTTCAACATTGTCCCTTCACTTCTTAGCAGGAGCACCTAGTTGATCCAAGCTTTGTCCATTGCTAATCAAGCAAAAAGTGGCAAGGATGGCGCAGATGAGATTATAGCGTGGAGAGTTCTGACGTACTTGACACCACAGTCGATATCAAGGTCATTCTGATTCCATATCGCCTCAACCATGCGTTGAATCAAGGGGACATGATTAGATCGGCTGAGAGACTCTCGCCTCATTGCCGACAAAATTTGCAATATTTGGAGGCGTTGCTCATCCTGATTAGCCTCGCAAGATAGAACGAACAACGGCCAAGCACTCTCGCAAGAGCCAAGATTTTTGTTTAGAGCAGAAGGCCTTCCCTCACTAGTCTGTCGTGTTGAAAGGATGCCATGTTTACCCCCGCTACTGCGCGATTCAAGTATATCAACGCAGCGCAACGGTAGAGGTAGGTCAGCATTCCTTGCCTGCTTAATGATACTCCTATTCTATCGTAGAAAGTACCATGTTCTCCAACAGCTCCTGGCAGGTTTTGTTGAAGTTTCCGCATTATTGCAATATCAATAGAGCTGTACGGTGCGTCGTCGTGGTCATTCGTTGAAGGCCGCTTGCACATAGCCCCTAGAGGGCTCTGCCGCTTCAATTGCTTTTTGTACCCTATTTAGGACGTGGGTGATTTTGTAAGCGCAATAGTCATCAACTTTATCAATAGTCATTGAACTAAATTAGGATATTATAAATCCTTTTTATTCAATAAATAGCGAAATTTGCAAAATATCGGCTATAATAGACACCTGGGCCCGATTCAATGCAGTACTCAACGAAAACAATTAAGAAAAGTAACTGTCAGTAGTTTAATTGGAATAGAACCAACCAACGCAAAGAAATAAAACAAAAAGAAAATGGATACATGCAACAGTCAGGATTCGCTGGTGGTCACCCACCCAACTACTAACTGACCGGCGTGTGGCTTAAGTACGGCTGAGCGGACGGGAAGCCCTGTTCTCCACACCCTGTGGTCGCATGTACCAGTTCCGGGTTTAATTATAATGATATCCTAACAACAGAACTAGTCTACATACATAAGTGAGGAGGGTGAGAATCAGGTGAGAATTACCCTTCGTCGCGCCGCTGCCGCACAGACCCTCCCAGCTGAAATGGGGAATAGTATGATTAGACCACCCCTGATGGCCTTTATAACGAAGATCGGCGGGGGGCGCTGCTCGGGGGCGAGGCTACTCCAGTCTCCAAAGAATTGGGGGCCGTTCTCGAGACCAAATGATAAGAAACATATCGCTTTACACACCAGTTGAATCTGACCAGCTTCTGACCCCTCTTTTCAGTCGATGCTGGTCAACCTAGTGAGATCCTTCAGCAGCTCGTGGTCTCTACGGTCTCTACCCCGCCCTCACCGCCTCAGCCCTTCACATTTCCCCAGTGCGAAGATGGCTGGCAGTTCCAGCTCAAGGCGAGTCCTGCATGGTGCCTCCTATAAACTTCCTCACCGTCTCGCTAACATCTGTAAAGTCCCGTGACTTCACTACCCTCTGATTGCTGGCTGAATGTTCTGCAACACCTATCTTCAGAGGATTATTTGTCGCTTCTTTTAGTGTCCAAGAGCAGCAATGCTCTCGTCGAGCCTTTTGTTTTCAAGAAAATCGTTTGGGAATGGCGTCCGATTCCTCTCCGCAGAATATTCCTATTGTTTCGTGCCATCCTAGAGAAGCCAGAGCGCGCATCCGATATACAACACTTGAGTCTTTTGTCCCATCAAAGGGTCAAGTCAACCGATTTCTGGGAACCCCCAAGCTGCGGGACAGACTGCAAAGAAGAGATTACAGGATTCACAGATGTCTTACGGCACGCTCAAGCTATTGTTAGGACTGGTGGGTTTCCAAATGCTGATACCTGGATCCATGCTCTTGAAAATGGGGACCCCTATGCCTTTGTGTCCGTTCTCCTTTCCCAACTTCATAACCTGCGGTCTCTGTGCCTTGACTATTCTTTCGTGTGGCAGTCGGGGTTTCCGGGGCTGATGCTACGGCACGCTCTCTTTTCGTCCACAAAGTCATCATTATCACAGTTCACGTCCCTCACAGACGTGGACTATGGCGGGAATGTTCGCCGTGATACAATATCTGGTGGCCCTCCCGAGATTCACGAAGAGCCCGGCTATCCTCAGTGCAATTCGGATCAATTTCCTGCTTGGTTCTACTTGCCGTCGATCAAGTCTCTTACAATCTGGCTTCGGACTAAGCAGGGCATCGAACTGCCTGAAAAACGTCCGGAACTTTCAGGGCTGCAATCTCTCATCCTAGCTCGAACAACCATTCAGGAGGATCAGGTTCCCAATATTCTCTCTCTAGCCCCAGATTTGAAGACTCTGCATCTGGGAATGACATATAGATGGGGCAAAGAAGTAGCCTTGCAAGATGGGCCTGCCATTATTCAAGGTTTGAAGTCTATCAGAGAGTCTCTCACAAACTTGTCTTTTGGTATAGAGTACTTCCCACCTACTATGTGTGAGGTCTGGCTGGAAGATGGGGAGGAGGAGCTTAGTAACCCATTCTATGGTTTACTAACGCAATTTCCAAGCCTTCGTTCCGTTGAGATGCCAGTAAATTTACTTGCAGGATGGTCTACAGAGCCATCAACTGATCTAGTATCGGGCTTACCCGATACCGTCGAGCAACTCTGCTTGCGGGCGGATTATCAGACGGTCGATGAGGAAGGCTGGCAGGAGAAACATATACTAGATCTTATCGGGAACAATGCAGCGAGGTTACGAAAACACATACCTAGTCTGAGGCGAGTCTGTGTGCGAAAGTGGTCGCAGTTCTGGAGCACACCTGCTATTAACGAAAAACGAGATGCCGCGCGGGCGGCTTGTTCTCAGGAAGGAATTTGCTTGGAGGTTGTATCTGATCATGTTTCTAACGGGATCTGGACCGAGACTAGACTATGTCCTGAGCGGAAGGTTCTTTAAAAGTTCGCAATGTTAGACTTGGAAGGCTTCACCCTGGCATGATATATTCATAGTATTTATCTTATGCGAATGTAGCTCTTGGCTTCTCCGATACTAATCGCTGTTCATAGCTTTTCGCCTATATCTAGGTTTATTCGCGCAGCGAAAGAAGCCTTACCGAAGTGAAGAGCTACTCCGTTTATTTTCTACTGTAGCTTTCAAGACCTGAGCTGATGACTACTTTGACCTTACTATAAACGAGACTTCGAAAACCTGAATCCTTGCGACTTCTATATCTCACACGACACGGCATTTATATGACTATTGGGATTGTTCACACATATTATCCTCATCAGGGCCATGCTCAAGATCCTGAAAATCCTCACATATCTTTCTCTTCTCAACTGGGTCGTCGTTGTGCACCCGTCTCGTATCCAGGAAATATAGGCTGGAAAGAAATCCCCACGGGCTGATTGTTGGCGTAGCTCTGGCGACCCGTATTAACGACCTGGATACTGGACGCAAGGGCGCGCAGAGTATCTCTGCATCCAAAGTTCCCTTCTGACCAGCAAGGTGCCTTAATACGGCCTCTCTCGTAAACTCCTTCGTCGTCATAGTAGCCCTGCCAGGTCACAATCCTGGAACTAGCCGCTATATCCCGTGGATCTTGTCCAGTTTTTGAAGCTATCTCCAAGAGGGCAGTCATCTCACCGCACTTGGCGTCGAACTGGTGTTGTCCCACCCCGGTTTCCCGGCTGCACGTATCAAGCGCGTTCTTCAACGATACAGGAACTGTCTCCCACACGACACCGCATCGCTGCTTTCCGCGAGATGACTTCGTGACTTGGTATACCAAAGACTCTTTGCCTTTGGTTGACGAGGCGAGGTAAACGTCCCATTGCTTATTTTCATTTTCGTGTACAATCGCTGTCATGACCAGTGGAATCCGGTTTGGGTCCACGCTGCCCCATGCGTTCAAGAGCATGGATTTGAAGCCATCTTCGGCTATTTGCACCAGTTGGCCGTTTGTGACGTATTGGTTGAACGTAGCGACCGCGCTCCAGAGGTAGACGGAGTCCGCGCTGCCTGCAAGGTTTGGTGCCGAGGTGTCCCGGTATACTTGTATTAATGCCGCAAAGGAAAGGTCGAGGATCAGAAAGAGAAGAAAGCAGATCTTTCTGAGCAACAACATGTTGGTGGCTCAATCGAGACTGACTGCAGCAGGTCTCGCTGACCGGACGATGGAGGAGAGAGCTTTTTATAGCTCAGGTGGCTATCAAGGGAGTGTCCGGGCCAAGGAGGAAGAAAAAGAGCTAAAAAAGAAAAAGGGGGAGCTTATTTGGGGAGAAAGACCAGATACCATATCGGAGATGAGCTGAACAAGGCCATTATTAAAGATTTTCCAATTCCTGTTTGCAAATTGGCCCGAAGCCAATAACTATACAGTGTACCTAGCGATGCGTCTCAGCCTCGTGGGGGCAAAGGGCTAGACAGGAGTGAGTATCCGGTCACGGACCTTTCATTCGCAGCAGTTTTGGAATATCTATAGAGATTTTTGATGTCGTATGTTTTTTTTTTTTTTTTTTTTTTTTTTTTTGTAGAAATGATCTTCCTGTTACTAGCTTTACGCCCCGAACTTACTGGGATCAAGTGCCAATGGATAAGCACGAACCCCAGAGGAACAACTGCTGGAAGCCATATTGGGTATACATAAAAATAAGGAGTGCAGCATTTGTGCCAATGTTTTCTTTCATAGAAAAGATCGCCGTGAAATTAGCTTTCGGCCCCTTTGCCCCCAAGGTGGCGCAGGGTTATGTGTTTGATGTTCCTTTGACAGGACCAACGAGAAGAACCAGGAAAGCACAGGCCGAAGGTCAGACCAGTTTAGTAATGTGCACTTTACTGATGAATAGTTCATTGGCTTTTTCGATACAAAGCAATCTCTATTTTAGGCCCGCCGGAGTGTGGCGGAGCGGGGGGCTGTCAGCAGAGAAATAAGAAGACGATCTTCACTAACTTGTCAGGTCCACTCCTAATGTTCTTTCCTCCCCGGGGAAAGGGCTATGTTCAATACCGATCTAGAGGATCTTCAGGATCTTCATCGTATTCTGCATCTTCGGACCCACTGTCCGCATAAGCATACTACCTGCTGCTACCGGAAGCAGGCAAGTACTGTATGCCTTCTTGGCATAGAGGGAAAATCTGGCCTTCATTGGTTGGGTCATAGAGCCTTGTTTCTATTCCGCGATCCATCTTCAGACCCATTATCAGCTCATCAGGGGCAATTTCCTAATCTAGAAACCCAGTCTTCATTAGCCTCGTTTTAATTCTGCGTTTCATCTTCAGACCCGTTATCAGCTCATCAGGGGCGTTTTTACAATCCGATATTCCTCTCGCCACCAGAGCCTTGTCCCTATTCTCCGATGCCGTTCTCCACCTTGCTGGATCCAGGATGGTATACTTCACACCCCATGAATTGGCCCCAATACGGGGTTGTTGTATAAATGATTCCTCCCACTGCTGCTCTTCAATTCACCAATTCATAGCGGCAAATTGACTCTCGTTAGTATGGCTGTCAAGGGTGCTGCACTGCTGCTGCTGCTTCCCCTGCTGCAGGAAGCCAGCGCAAACTGGACCACAACTATCACAGCCAATCTCATTGTGCCTAATAGCGTCGCTCCTGTGGTCGACTTTGTCCCAACACCGCCGCCAGGTTCGACGCCTACGGTGACGCCTCGAACTTCTACCCCGTCGTCGTTCAATCATGCACGCAGTCACAGAGAGCAATTTACCTCTGTTGTCACCGTTCCGGATGGGAAGGTGCCCACAATTCACTTCAGTCCTATTCTCTCTACTAGCACCCCGAGGCCCAGTACTCCTTCAGTCGTTCCACCGAGCTCCAAATCTAGCAAGAATCCGGGGACTCCTTCCAAGTCGCCATCTGGCAGCGTGCCCGTTGTGCCGCCGAGATCATCTACTGGGGCCCGTTCGTCACCGGGTCAGCCTAGTTCCATGCCTACTACTCCAGGCTCAATCGGGACTACTCCTCCGAGCTCTTCTCCAAATGGACTTTCTAGTTCTATCCCGAACAACCCCTCGAGTGGCCCAGCATCGGGAACATCAAAATCTCTTCCAGGTGGCACATCAAGCGGCACCGGGCCCTCCTTTCCTTCGAGCTCGCCGGGTCAGTCGTTAACCACTCCTAGTAGACCGCCAGGTTCTCATACAAATTCTGCTGGAGGCTCAGTACCGACTGTGGCCCCATCGAATCAGCTTACATCGGCCGATCTGTCTTCCGCCCCTGACCTCGACTCCTTTACTGCAGGTGCAACTGGCAGTGATTCTGCAATCGGTAATTACGCGCCTACGGGCTCACCATCATCGGAACCCTGGGGTACATTGACTGCCTTGCCCTCTGGTACTATCACTGGGACCCCAGCCAACCACGATGCCTCTATTATCGCAGTCCTCTTGGGGAACATCTATAACAACATCGATGACCTTAAGAAGGACCCGAAGAGTTACAAGCAACATATCGAAGATATTGAGGACCTGTCTGAAGATTATCTTTCCAAAATAAACTTCGATTCGAGCAAGTCTCCTTGCTCAAGCCCGAAGAAGAGAGCCCTTGAAAAGAGAGGTCTCTTTGGTGCCATTGGAAACCTCGCCTCAGAAGCAGTTGGGGCCACTGTGGATACTGCTAAGGACATCGCTGATGCCGCGATTAGCTGTGTGAAGTCAGTTGCGGATGATATCACCAGCGAGATCCCCGATGACCCTGACGAGGTGACCGACGATATTGAGAACCTGGTCAGGAAGGGAACTGAGTATCTGGATGAAATCAGTAAAATTGTGGACGACATGGAGGAAAAGCTCAAAGATGACGATAACCACAGCTCTCAGTCCCAGTCTGAGTCCCATTCTGAGACCCAGTCTTCTGAAACGTCATCATCTACATATTCACCGTCGTCTTCACCGTCGTCTTCATCTTCGCCTTCATCTTCTTGCACGGCAAGCACTACCTTCTCGGACTGCACCTGGTCCACGATTATCTCCGCGATGCCTGGCTCAGCCTCTGCATCGATGAGTACGACCAGTACCGAGATATGTAAGACTCGGACCGGTTGTGATGCCTCCCCCAGCACGATGCACACAGTTACGACGATTGGCGGTGTATGCTCGCGGCCGGCGCTTCAAGTTTCGGCACCTGGCCCGGTTGCAATCACGCCCTCCGACTACTCTGGAACCGCAGCCCCTGGTTCTAGTGGTTCTATGCCCTTGACATCTTCGGTTCCTTCTACAATTCCGCCTACCCCAGTATCAGGTCCTACAACGACACGAAGCTCATCTCCGACTTCCAGAGGTTCCACAACCACATCGGGTCCTGCATCGACACGGAGCCCAAGCAAAGCTGGCTCCTTTACCTCGTCTGATTCGTCCGCCGCATCTGCATCTAGGGCTAGTGTTTCAGCATCGGAAGCAAGCGCGTCGAGCGCATCAGCTGCAGCAGCCACTCCCACCGATCAGCTCTATATCGCCTATGAGGACCCTACGGGGGCATTTGACGTCTACTGGCAAATCTTCCACATCGATATGGGCACCCAGACTATCGACTGGTGTAATTCGGATGCGCTTGGGGAGAGCGAAGCTTCCGGCGATATCTCACTCAATGATGTCCCTAACCCGCCTACAATCAGCTTCGGCGATGATGCGGACGTCAGTGATGATACTTTCAAAGATTGCACGTACAACGGCGATACCGCAACTCTCGAATGCCCTGATTTCAGTGTGGTCTGCGAAACGGACATGGAGTCAATGGGTACGGAGACATGCTACGATGTCTTGTATCCCACAGATTATGTGCCGAAGGTTTGGTGCGCGTGGGGTCCAGATGACACCACTTCGTGACCTTGAAGGATATTACCATAGATATTGTATTGGAGTTTTGTGATTTGAGTTTTTTTGTCGTATGTATTTAGTGGTAGAGGATTGGCACAGAAAATTTAACGTTTCGAGCACACTCAAGTAAACACTCCCCTCACTGTTGGTCATCTCACCCAGATGTGCCTTCCCTTAGTACAAAGAACCACAGTCGTCAAGGATATCGATGTCAAGTCTGCATCACCGCATGCGCCTCTAGAAATTGGAAATCACGAGCTAAGAGCGACTGAGCGGATACGAAGGCCTGTTTTCCGCAACCTATGGTCGCATGCACCAGTTTTGGAGTTAATTATAGTCATACGCTAACTATTGCTAGCCTTCTGCCAATGTTCTAGGCACATTGCTGATTGTCTTGGCATTGCCTCGTTGTTATGCCTTGATTAGAGATAGATCGACATCTTTTAGGCCTTCAGTGTCCACAGTAGTATATATGTTCCGCTGTCAGCCGCCATATAAACGTCTTGATACAGCTCTCTGCCAAACACGAGCCGCGCAAAAATGGACTTCATCCCAGACTGGCTACTGCACACCATGTATGGCCTCCCTGCACCAGCAGGCAAACGCCAAAAGCCCATGCAAGTGCTAGCAGTAGGAATCTCTAGATCAGGCACCGAATCGCTACGAGAAGCACTACACATCCTCGGCTTCGATCATACATACCATGGCTTCGACACGATCCTGCCACCCTGCTCACTAGAAGCGACATACCGCCTTCTCCAAAAAAAATACTGCACGGCGCCGAGTCCAGGCCCGCAATCCCCCAAGCTTACCGCAGAAGATTTCGATACAATCCTGGGCGACAGCGTCGGCGTGAGTGACCTGCTAGCAGCAGAGTTCGCACCCGAGCTCATCGCGGCATATCCAGACGCCAAAGTAATTCTGAACCTGCGGCGCGATCTGGACGGCTGGTACCGCAGCATGCAACAGACAATGGGCTATTTCGACTCGAACCCCATGGACTGGGACTGGTGCAAGTCGTGGTTTAGCGCGGAGTTGTTCTGGGTCCGGCAGGCGATGTGTCGGACGATGATGCCGCGGTTTTTTCGGGGGAGTTTTCATTCTAATGGCAAGTGGGTATATGACCAGCATGTTGCTTCTATCAAGGGTTTGGGTTTACCGGGTCACCAACTCCTGGAGTGGTCTGTTGATGATGGCTGGGAGCCACTGTGCAGGGTTTTTGGACAAGGAGGTGCCGCAGATGGATTTTCCAAATGGGAATCCGCCCAAGGCGTGGGCGGAACGCATTGCTATGACCATGGAGATGCATCATCGGCGGGCTGTGTGGAATATGTTGGTCTTCGGAGGTGTGATGGTTGTATGGCTAGCCTTGCTTGTTTCCTACTTTTGGTGAGTGATGTTGAGGGGCAACTTTCGGATGGTAAAATGCAAGTCGTTGAGTCATATGTATACTTCTATCTATCATAAACTCATAGGATAGTTGGATCGAATCCACGGGTGGCAAAAACATGAATGACAAGAGTGGGATTCGAACCCACGCCCCTTTCGAGACACGGAGATTGATGGTTACCAATCGGATTCGGGTGGACCTGAACCGTGCGCCATAGACCAACTCGGCCATCTTGCCGGGATGCTTAGGACTCTCAAATCGTCCGGGTCACGATCCCGAAGTGTCTTGCGATATTCCCCACGAGGCAGTGTAAAGAACGGAACGAGTGAGAACTTGCCTGGTGCAGAAGGCTAAGTGTCCCCAATGTCCATGTGGAGCCCAGCCTCCACGGCAGGGCTATCCTCCACGCGAGGTGCCGTTTTGGGACTCGCTCCTGAACTGACGGTCGGAGAGACCGGGCCTTCTGATTTCTTGGGCGTGTTAGGGCTGGCCGCTGGAGGATTGCTTTGGGCATCACCACCTGCCCGGCCCTCTGCTCGCCGGGTCTTGGCTCCCTCCTTTAGTTTTTCCCAGCGGTCTCGGTACCGCCCAAGCACATTCGTCAACTTTTCGTTCTCGCGGCCAACGCGCTCTAGCTCCTGCTCACCGCGGCGAACGATCTCTTCCAGTTCTTTGACCCGCGGGTCTGATTCCGACATGGCTGGAGCGCTAGAAAGTTGAGCTGTCGGAGATGTAGCGGTGGACAAAGCATGTTCTGGAGATGGGACATTGTGGTGGTGCATCGCCCTTAACGATTGCTGCAATGCCATCGATGACGACTGGGCGTTGACCTCCCACATATGTAGTCGTTTAGAAAGTGTGTCGGACAGATGCTTTAGGGCTTGGTTTTCCATCTGCAGTTCTTCCAGAGTCTTGGGGTTTTGGAGATTGGTGATCTTCTCAGTAGCTCCCCTCCGCAAGGTCCGTGAATTGGAACCCTGGCGTACTTCCGGGGAAGAAGGGGTCTCGCGTGCATCCACAAAGTCATCATCGGCATCCTCCAGACTGTTTCTGCGTGCTTCCTTCTCCGCCCGTGTCAAGATTCCCGCATAGGACATTGTGCCACCCGTAGTGGGGACAACGTAGAACGACTCATTCGGATTTCCTGGACTCGTTCCAGGAGTGTCCTGAATCGAACGCAGCGCAGCTCGCGAGAAGAGCCGACTCACATCTGGTTCAGCGGAAGAAGTCGATCGATCCGAAGTCGCGTGATGTCGGTCCAGTTTCGCCTCAGCAGCAGACTTCCGACTCGGTGGGGTGGTTTTTTTGGCTCCTCAGACCCAAGAGGGAGCCCTGCAAAGGCCAGTGGCGCAGAAATCCTCGAAATAAGACCCTCAAATGTTGAATAGAAACGCTGGAATGGTTCATCGGCCATTGAAGTCGTGTCCTTCGGGGAGACCGACCCCATGATACTCGGAGGCACCGCTTGTTGGGAGGTAAGTTCCGCAGCACTGGGCAAGGGAGGAGACCACGGTTGTCGAGGCGTAGATGCACGGCCTCGTCGCCCCTTCATCGGAACCTCTTGCCATTTCGAGTCCCCCGCTTTGATTCTCGGTGGCGCTTCTGCCATCTTCGCTCCGGCCTGCTGAGAGGAGAGCGTTGGCGATACAGGCGATGCACGTCGCGGATGAGCCGGGATACCCCGCGCAGAGGCGAGGTCACTGGCGATCGAGGAAGTCTCCCGACTTGACACGCGAGCATTCCCCGGCAGCCTTGGAGGCTGGTTCTGGGCATCTGGGGTGATATGTGGGGTCTTCAGGGCCCCGACATCTGTTGAGGATGGTTGAGACGCGGGATTCGGCGATACAACATTAGCCGTGGGCTCTGAATTTGCGCTAACTGGATGTTCATGCTGGAATCTTAGGATCTCCGCGAGCTTCTTGTGGTGGCTTTCGAGTAACTGGAGGGTACGCAGTGCCTTTGGGACATCCACCGGTCAGAGCTGGAAATGACAGAGGAGACGAAACGCCAAACTCACTTCGTGATCGACGCTACTCTGAGCTGCAGCCGCAAACTCACCGGCCGCCAGATCGTGTTCCTCGCTGGCGGCCACCGGGTTGGACTTGCGTGTCTCGAGCACCGCATTTCGGGCGTGGGTATGCGCCTAGATGGATCCAGTCAGCGGCAAGAGGCAGGCAGACAGTCAGTTTAGCATACCAAGGTGAGTGGTGCAGCCTCCATGACGCAGGGCGCGCAAGAGCGAAGTCAGTCGGAGGGAAGTGACTCCATGCGCTGGCGGTATTGGTATGTATCTGTGTAGGTCACATGCTCCTCTCATACTAGGAACAACAATCGCTAATAAATCCTCCAATAAACAAATAGGTTATTGATTGAATATAGTGATTAGAGGATCCACTAACAGCCGAATCTAGCCCTTGCCATTAAAGCAACCTGAGACGATAGTTGGTGAAGGTAGTTACTGCTTTCAGGTTATGGACACCCACGCCCGCCCCGATGTGACATCCACATTCCTGCAAAGACTGGCAGTGCTACACAAGGGAACTACACCTGGGTTGTTCACCAATGAAACAAAATATCAATTAATTCCTGCCCATAGAGTAGTAACTAATTAGAAGAAACTGTTTCCCTTTAATACGATTGGAGTAGTTATTTACCAACGAAGTGACTGTAGCTGACTAAGGTGCGGAGACCACTCCCCTCTTGCGTCGCCAATTGCTTCCTACCTACCTCTGTCGCTGCTGCGGTCGTTCCCTCCATCATCATGCCCATGTCCACCTAGACACAGCCCATGCTGTGGTCGTCGTCATTTGTCTCTGATCTCGTCCGTCGCTAGTGTCCTGGACGGGTATCAACCAGAGCATTGCTCCCCCCACACCCCTGTGTCCTTCCGATCGGAACCATGGAGGATTCCACCTCCCAGGGCTCCCCATCCTCCAGCGTCAGGAGCACCAGCAGGGCCCGTCGCTCGTGGACGGTTTCGGCGGACACGGAGGCGATTCTGAGCTCCGGCCGGAGCAACGGGCAGTCATCAGTCGGTTCCAGCATCGAAAGACCGAAAACCCAGGATGGAGAGGCAGGAGATTCCGTAAAGGCTGGCTCCAGCAGTTTCTCCAAATTGTTGAACGCACGGCGGAGGCGCAAGGAGAGGAAGAACAGTCAAAAACCATTGGAGGACCTGCCACCAGTGCCGAGCGGAGTGGTGGAACGAGCCCTACAGGCAAGTCGGTCGAATGAGTCTCGAGGTAGCACCTCGGCTACTTCCTCATCATCCGTAACGGTCGATTCGGTACCGCCTGAAGGTGATGTGGTCAATCTACTGACAGATGATTCCGAACCTGACAAGTGAGTCGTTCCTTTGATATCCCAAGTCTCCTTCTGACTGGCTCTGCCAACTTGCCTAGGACTCCCCCTCTTACCTCTCACAACTCGCATACTGGCTTCTACACCCTCTCTTCTCCGCTCATCAAGACCGCCTCTGTCGACCCTACTGACACCGATCGAGCTCACGCCGATGTGGACTCTGTAGTGAGCGGCCCGAGTGGAACTGGCTCGGAGTCAAATACAGGCGAGAGTCTCCCTAGATCTGCGACACAAGCAACCTTGGAGGTTCCGACAGATTCTAATGGGAAGAGGCGTGCTTCAACAACGAAACGTTTCAAAGAAGCTATATCGGCAACACAAGACAAGAAAAGTGCCAATGAGGACTCAGAACGTGCATCATCCAAGTCAGGGGGCGCCCGAAGTGGGCGGAGTCTGTTCAGCAGTCGGCGAAGCAGCCTGTCGTCAAAACGAGCTCAACCGAGCCCAGAACCTGTCCCGCCTATACCGGCGCCCATCCGGACCGATATCACGGAGGAAAAACCAGTCGCAGAAGAAAAGCCTCCGTCTCCTGGAAAGGCCCCTAGCAAAAGCCCGTTGCCGACTACTCCACGCCAGCCAAGTCTTCCAGCACCGGAAACAACAGTGACCCCACCAACGCCTACCGAGAATCGCCTGCTCGGTTCCCCAACGATGCCCAATGTGTCAGAATCCCCCGAATCAATCAAACCCAGAAACTCCTTTTCCTCGGCTGGAATTACTGTGAGCCCCTCTGGGAACATGATCTCACATCGACGAGTGAGATCTGCGTCTGCAGCTCATGCCCCAAGTAAACTGTCTACTTCGACGTCATTGAGTCCTCTCGAGGAGGCAAAGCCCCTTGCACATCAACAGAGTGGCTTCTTTTCGTCTGTGTTCTCCGTTGCCCAGAACGCAGCATCTTCATTAAGCAACACCCTCAGCACCCAACAAAAGAATCGGGCCGTCTCTCAAACCGCCAATGCTTCTGCGAATAACCCGTTTGTCGACTCTGCTAGTGATGAGGCCGATAAAACCTCCAGCAAGAGCGAGGAGGGGAAATCAACGACTGTGGAGACCCTTGGGGCCGGTGATCTAAGTTTCAGCCATTTGGATATTGATGCACCGCCCGGCGAGGTGATCTCTACCACTGACGGGGTTGTGATTACCAAGCCCGACTCGCCTATTGAGAAGCGGAGAAATACTGCAGTGTATCAGCGGGACGCGGAGGCTGCCAAACTCGAAGACAAGCGTGCAGCACGCGCGGTTCACATGGCCTACGAGAAGCCTTCAGAGCCCGCGTTTACCGGTCCGACAATTGAAGACGCTCTTGATCTTCAATCTACAGTCTCTTTTCCAGGAGACGGCACGATTACTGGTGATCATACCCCTCCGACAGGCAGTATCATCGACGGCGACCTTGGCGGTATCAAACGCACCGGTAGTGTCCGCAGCCGGCAGGCTCGGAGGCATCGGGGCTCTTCTGGGGCGACAGGGTCGACGATCGCTGCCGCTGCCGCTGGTGCCAGTACACTTGCATTGGGTGTATCTGGCGCCAACTCCAGTGTTCCTCGCCTGACCGGCTTTGCTGTCGCGAGCAAAAAGCGCAATAGAGACTTCCACCAGCTTTTCCGAAGTGTTCCGGAGGATGATTACTTGATCGAGGATTACAGCTGTGCATTGCAGCGAGAAATCATCCTGGCTGGTCGCATCTATGTCTCCGAAGGCCACATCTGTTTCTCTAGCAACATTCTCGGCTGGGTTACCACTCTTGTGATCAGTTTTGATGAAGTTGTGGCGGTGGAAAAAGAAAACACCGCAATGGTTTTCCCGAATGCAATTGCCATCCAGACCCTACACGCGCGACATACCTTCCGCAGTTTACTTAGCCGTGAGTCCACTTATGATCTAATGGTCAATATTTGGAAAATCAACCATCCTTCTCTCAAAAGCTCTGTAAACGGAACCCGCGTTGCGGGCACCGGTGACAAGACAGAGAAGGTTGGAGATGGGGACAGTGACTCGGAGACCGAGGTGTCGGACGAAGACGACATCTACGACGAGGATGAAGAAGACGACAACGCCGATAGCCTTTTTGGCGCTGGAGACGCGAGCATGAATGGTAGCTCAGTATCTTTGCCAGCAAAAGGCAGATTGAGCCGCCAGACTTCTGGCTTATTGCTGACTGCGAACGGATCGCCTCCTGCTGCTGGGTCGAATGGCGAAGGCAAGAATGGTACCAAATCATCGCCGGCCAAGGATGCTGAGAATGATTTTCCCGGTCCGCCTACACATCCACCTACCGAATATACGGAGTCCGATGGACAGTACGAGAAGATTATCAAAGATGAAGTTATTCCGGCACCACTTGGGAAGGTCTACTCCCTGGTTTTCGGCCCCGCATCTGGAGGTTTCATGACCAAGTTCCTGGTCGAGAACCAAAAGTCCGGCGAGCTGCAATTCGAGGGAGGGTTGAAGGGCCTTACCAATGAAAGCCGGATCCGGAAGTACTCATACATCAAGCCTCTCCCCGGCTCCATCGGGCCCAGGCAGACGAAATGTATCAGTACAGAAAATCTGGACTTCTTGGATCTGGAAAAAGCTGTCCTTGTCACGTTGACTACTCAGACCCCCGATGTGCCTAGTGGAAATGTTTTTTCCACCAAGACTAAATATCTCTTCACCTGGGCTGGTGGTAACCAAATGCGCTTTCTCATGACCTGTACGATCGAGTGGACGGGCAAAAGTTGGTTGAAGGGTAAGTCAATTTCCGACGGAATATCCAGGCGTTGGATACTGATTAGTTATAGGTCCAATTGAGAAAGGTGCAATCGATGGCCAGACTACATTTGGCAACGAGCTGGTCAAGGCCCTTAAGATGGGTGTTGTTCCTCGCGGGCGTGCAGCTACTGGGCGAACCAAGGGCCGGCGCAAGAAGGGCGATGGGGCGGCTCGTGAAGCGTCTGGGGCAGCATCATTGAAGGCAGCAGCGGATGCCAATGCGGCCCAGGCGCAATCTTGGGGCTTATTTGAGCCGGTTCGTTCAATCCTCGAGCCCTTCGCAAGCTTATTCAAGCCACTATGGAGTGGCAATATTGCAATCTTGGTCATCGGTATTCTGCTGTATATGGTGTTTTTCCGGTCCCCGTCGGGGTCATCTATGCTCTCGCATGATGTTGGCTGTCCAGGCCACAATTTACCTCAACGCCTGGCTGCATACGAGGAAATGTGGCGACGCGAAGAAAGCGAGCTCTGGACTTGGCTGGAAGATCGCGTGGGCATGGACGGAATGGTTTTCCCGAATGTCGTTACCCATCGATCATCTGGGTCACCCTCTGGCCGCAGGTCCTCCCGATTCAACGGCGCAGATGAGCGCGAGCTAAATGCTCGACTGCGCGAGGAGCGGGTTTCCGATCGAGAGATGGACCATGCAATTCGCACCACTCGCCAACGGCTCGATGTCCTTGAGGAGATGATAAGCAAGAACAAGGAACGATTGGTCGTTGACGAGGAGGCGTTCCGGTCCGAATTGTGAAGGCTCGACTCAACGCTTTTGGCCCATGTCAAGGCTTTCCCCCGTACACTCTACTGGATATTTCTTTTCTTTTCTCTGTATTGTTTATGTTTTCTTTTTTTTTTTGGTTTTGAGAGCGATTTAAGCGTTTTCACCATGTGCAGCTTGCATCACTAACACTGTCTCTCCCATTCCTTGCCTCTTCCAGGTTTCTTTTCATATTTGTTCATGTTCCGGATGATGGCTTGTTGCACCACAAACACTCAAGTCACATGGGACTCTTCGACTTCAGGACTCAAGCAGATCCTTGTCATCCAATTGTTGACATTGTTTTCGCTGCTTTTAGCCTGACTCAGTCACCCACAGTCATTTTGATCGCCACTCGATCCTGCCCTGATCGCGGAGAGGGCGAGCTTCTCATTACCTGTATATAAGTCCCAACTGTCTTGTCTATACAGATATTCACCAGAGCGGGTCCGATTCCAACCTGCTTGTGATGTTTTTCATTTCTTTGGTAATTCAGTCTACCTTTTAAAATATCGTCTCAAGTGAAATAGTTCCTTTTTTGCAATCCCTATGAGTTTTGATGGATTCTTGGATTTCTAGATGGTATATCCGAACCCTTCATGGTCCTCTAGAACAATCTCCCCTCTGTCTGCCCGCTTATTTTGTACGTGGAGTAGACAGTGAGGGCAGCGACAAGTACTACTACCAGCAGCATCAGACCAATGCTTGCCCAAATGCCACGAATATAGCGTGGTGCGTCCTGGGTACGAAATATATGTCCACCCATAATTCCACCAATACCACCGAAGCTAACAATTGAGGCGCGGGAGAAAGCCCGGCGCCACTGGCCTCTTATGTTGTTTTCCTGGTAAGTAAGAATGGATGGATACTCGAATTACCTCCAGCCGTGAGCAAGAAGCAACTGACGAACTGCACCATGGCCGACTGGCTATAGATCATCAATGCAAGTCCACTGATGGACAAGAGGCAGTTGGCCATGATGAAATAAGCTATAAGCTACAAAAAAATACTAGTTTTGATTATCATTGGCCGAAGTATCGACAGACAGTACGGAACTAATAAAGTCCTCTCAATTTGGCTTTTTTAATACTGGTCACAAAAAAAGGGTCTTTGAAGGCTTCGGCTGGTCTGCCGCCACCACAGAAGGTGTGCGGTGCCGGGCTTCCCCGCAAAAAGGTACTATATAGCGCCTGCATTGGCCGATGTTCGGCCAATTCCCTATAGTACGATTTGAAGCCCAATGTCGATAATACCACTGAAAATTCAACGTTGCCGAAGGACAAAATGAATGTGGATTCCTAATCGGTCCCCAATTTTCCTATGGCGTGGTCCCGGACTGGGAATGGGCTACGTGCATTTGCTATAACTCGCATATTGAGAAATACGTACATTTGTACAGATATTCAGAAACAAAAAGAAAAGCAATTTGGTCACCTGAGACCTGCAGCCTTCTCATCATCGGCCTTTTGCTCAACTCTTTTGGCCATCCTCTCTGGGGCTTTTCCTCCAGTGCGATTCAATGTTTTATTTTGAGCAGTTGAAGTTTTCCATGCCTTGATTCCGGAATTGAAGCAGTCGTCAATCTGTTCAAGGGTAAGACGAGCTGTCTCTGGGACGAGCAGGTAGACCAAGGCCACTATGACCATAGTCACTCCAGCATAAAAATAGCCAACATTGGGGCCCATGTTACCGTATTTTGGATCAAGCATATAAGGTGTCCAGAAGGTGGCTGCAAAGGAGAATATCCCGAATAGCATCATCGTGTTTGCTTGTCCATAGGTGCGCAGAGAAACGCTGTGCATTTCCACCGCAGCCAGCGAGGCACCAGGAGCGACAGTTCCGCCAAAGATAAATGCCCACAGGCAGAGAAAGACAACTACCACCATCCGGGCAACCATATCAGCCATCCCCAAGGCTGTACTCACTGACGAGAGTACTAGCATGCAAACACCCATGGTGGCGTACCCGAACAGAAGCGCAAATCTCCTCCCGCCATATTCAATAACAAAAGGTCCAAAACAGGCTCCACCCAAAATGCAAAGCCCAATAATGACGTTGATCAGATATGGGTTGCTTATTCCCACCCCGCGGAGAAATATCGTTGCGTATGGTTGCACAAATTGAATTCCCGTAATTCCTAATCCAATCATAATAACCGCAGAAGCAGCTGTACGACGAATATAGTTTGGTCGATAAATCGCCAGCCAGGATTCAATTGCAGTGCCAGGACCACGCTCAGATTCAATGTGGCTTTTGATATCGTTAATTTGTGCGGTCACCTCCGGCGAGTAGGGATCCCTCTGATATAATTTGCCAAACGACTTTCGTGCTTCGTCTTCTCGATTCTTATTCAAGAGCCAGCGCGGCGACTCGGGAAACATCAAGATCCCAGCACCAAGAAGGATTCCCAAAGGAATTTGGCAAATGATTGGCGTTTTCCATTGCCAATTGTTGTCAGGCGCTAGCTTTGCAGACCCAATGCACACTGCAAATGAAGCAAAATTACCCATTGCCAAACCAATGTTGTAGATCCCAAGCCCAAAACCACGTCTCTGAGCAGCAATGCACTCTGAACCGTAGGTGACACTCGCAGATAAGAGCTGTCCAATTCCTACAGCACTGATGCACTTGCAAACCATATAGTTGCGGAAGCTACCTGCTGTCCCAAGCATACTCCCAGCGCCAACAATTGCCATCGCACTTCCAACCTGGATTGACCACCGACGGCCCATATATCTGCCAGCTATGCCGGAGAGACAGCCTCCAAGTGATAGAAAGAGATAGCTCAAACTAATCAGAGACTGTTGTATTGCCGTAATATAGCACTCCTGTATCACAGACCCGGTCGCTGGATTTTGGATCTCGTGGCAGGTTCCAAATGCCTTTCGAAAAGCCGGCATTATTAACACGGTACCGGAATAGCCATTGTCGAAATTCGCAATCCACGCAGCAAAAGATATCCATATTGAAAATCGTATCATGGATGCTGATGAGCCTTTGGGGCTTTCCTGCCTTGCTGCAACACGAACTAGAGGAGGAAATTGAGGTACCAAGTCATCTTTGCAAGTAGAAGCTTCGCAACGCATTGTAGAGTGGCTCTGGGAATGCCCAGAGAAAATAAGAATTCGTGAGTTGATCTTTGGGCTTGGCAGTTATCCCTTGACCGATGCTCCAGTTTATATGCTGCTCGTTGGAGATCTTGCACGGCCGTTCAAGGACCACGCACTCCACATACCAGAACCCACGCCGTGCATACCTACCTGAATCGCAAAACATGCCGGAGCCTTGCAATGCCCGACTTGAGAAATTGGTTGATATAGAGAATTGACGCATAATATAGCATTGTCCACTGTTCTTGCAAGACAATTGCAAGAACTATTCCTAAAAACATACGAGATCAGAACATGAGTCAGCGATTAAGGCTGGTGCCATGAAACTTTAATATTTGGATACTTATTCCAAGGGGTCCTCAAAATTACCGCTGTATTGGCTTTAACAGACAATCCCCGGTTGCTTTATTATTCGACGAAATCAGACCTTTTATCGCACGCATTGCCCGATACTCAATAAAGAGTTATCTCGTGGTTTGTCGTTGCTGTCCCCGCTTTATCCCGGAATGAATGCCACGTACACCTTGGCCTCTGCTATGCACTACTACTTAGTCAATGCTGACTTAATTTTTCAATCAGCGCGTTAGACCTCACACCAATATGTATTTGTAACCAACGCAGTATGTACTCTTACCGCGCCATGTGGGGCGCTTCCAATTGTCATGACCAGAGACACTTCATGATCGATCGAGTGATGTTACTCGCAACTTGAGACCAATTTGTTTGAAGTACTATCTAGACTACATGCATAGCATACCACTTCTACGTGCATCTTATATGGTAGCGGAAGAGTATATGTACCGAGTGGTCCCGCACAAGCATGTAGGTCCCACACAGTCAAGCGGGGAAATATTTAGGGCTCCTTTATCCTCCAAGACTCGTCTTTTGCCCCAACTTGAGAGCGTTTTCTAATCTCAATTCTTGCAAGCATGGAGAAGGAACTGGAGAAACAGTTGACGGAACAACAAATCAAGTCACTCCTTGTTCGGGAGAGATATTACCGAGACACGGCGCAGTGGGAAAACCTGCGGGATTCCTACCACCCAGATGTCTCAAAGACAGCAATCAAGATCACTTGGTATGACACCCCGCCTACATTAGCTTGATTCCACAGTCCACGCTGTCTAATATATACTCCCACGTTTCCAGGTTCGAAGGAGATGCAGACGGATTCGTTGCTGGGTCCCAAAAGATGGCCGGCGGCGGCACCAATGCCACGCACACTATCTGCCCAGTGGTTGTCCATGTGAATGGTGATAAGGCCGTGACCGAATCTACCGGCAGCATCAACGCCCGGTTCAATCTCGAAGGTCACGATTATGACTGCGCATCTTATGCACGATTCATCTCGCGCCTTCAGAAGGTCAATGGAGAATGGAAATTGTTAACTCTGCATGCTATCTATGACCGGGATACCATTACGCCGGCTGTTCCCATGTCGTCGCCTCCGGCCAATTTTGACTTGACGGGTTATCGTCCAAGCTATAACTGTATTGGTTGGCTACTGGCCCGTAAAGGGTTCCAGATCAATCAGGACTTGCCGGGATCGGACCGTCCCGAACTGATTGCACAGCTGATGGATGAGGCATGGAATTGGTTAAAATAAATGAGCAGGATTGTTCCGAAGCAATATATACCTTTGGTCATACGATCTCATCCCCAGCACTGAGCAATGGGTTTGATTAAATATCTAGATCACCCATATATGAGCAGACTGGATTAAATTTATCTAGAGTGTTCAGTCGATTGTTTACTGCTGGACTTGTATAGATGGAAGTCACATGACCGCGAACCGAATCAAACCCGCGGCCGAACTGGCAACTTCACATAACACAAACTCGCCCACCATGGAGTTCAAGAACATTGTGATCCTCACACTTCTCTATATCGGTAAGAATAGGACCAAGTGATCGAACGCATGAGCTGACACTATCGCAAGCATTCCGCATCTACATGTCGCGGAACTCAGGTTCCTCCACGAGCACGGAACCCCACGGGAAGGTGACCAACGTTGACAAGTAAGAGAGCACCACAGATCCGATCCTTAGATTTGATCTTTGAAATCTCACGTCTATGCAAATAACAGCGAGGCTGTCTTCAAAGCCCTCACCTCCTCCGGCCCCGTCGTTGTCGACTTCTTTGCTACCTGGTGCGGCCCTTGCAAAGCCGCGGCACCCAAAGTCGGCGAATTGAGCGAAAAGTACGCGAATGTCCGTTTTATTCAAGTCGATGTCGATAAAGTGCGCTCGGTGGCTCAGCAAATGGTTGTGACTGCGATGCCGACCTTTGTATTCATGATGGATGGAAAGGAAATCCAGCGGGTTCGTGGTGCTGATCTCAAGGCTATGGAGAAAGCAATTATCGATCTGGAGCGTAAACGTTCCTTGGATATCCCCAGCGAAGGGAAGGCAGTTTAGTGGCCAATGATCAGCTAAGTTTGCCTAATTAGGTAGCAATGCAAAGGACCTGATGTTGTTGTTTCTATGTTGCACGAGCCCTACATTCCGCGCGACGCAGGTGGCATCTGCCGTGGCTACCCTGCACTGCAATTTATATTGCCCACAGGATGTCTCAGTACCAGCGTCACATTTTTCTAAACAGGAAGATCCCAAACACACGATAAAGTGACTTGTTGAAAATTGTTTTCTTTTTTTTTTTTTTTTTTTTTTTTTTAAAAACAATCAGCCCGAGAATCTTTCCATTAGAACACAGATACTTAACTGGGCATCTTCGACATCATTAGCCACGACATAGAGCGAGGTTTTTTGGGATAAACGACCAGATATTTCAATATATTCCGACCAATCTACAGAGACATCATGCATATCGAGTGAAGGATTGCGGTAATACAAGTCGGCCCGATGTTCTGGCTCCTCCGGACTGATACTGTGTCGAGCCGGTTTGCATGGCCGATTGTCGGTCCTATACTAGATAATCGCTGACTATGGTTATATTGAGAACAAAAATAAGAGAACAAACACACATTATAGATAGCAGTTGAAAAAAAGGGGGAAGAAAAAGAAAATTATACATGCAACAGTCAGGATTCGCTGGTGGTCACCCACCCAACTACTAACTGACCGGCGTGTGGCTTGTCTACGGCCAGTAGTCGGGTGGGTGCCGTCCGGGTGAGTTTAGGGTGAGAAGTGGGTGAGCGGTGAGCGTCGCGCGACCGGGGGTGAGAAGGGTGAGTGCGCAATAAACAGGGTGAGAAATCACCCTGGGTCGCGCGACCCTCTCAGCTGAACCTTGGCTCGTTATCATTGGACTGCATTAACTCCCTTGAAACGTTCGGCTCCTTGGCATCTGCACACAGCCACCATGCAAGATAGAGGAGTGACGAAAGCAGAAAGTGCTCGACCTGCGGAAAAGTTGGCTGGCTGTGGGTGGCGGGTCGGCCCATCACAATCTCCTACCATGGTGGTGATGGTTGATCGTCCCCGTTTTCCTGCTTCTGCTGTAAGGGACTAGGCTAACCTTCCAGCTCCACATACTTCGCTCGATCCTGTATGTATAGTCGATTCCGTCAGATGAAGATATCTGAGCGAGAGAAGTTTGTCTTTGATGTTCAACTGAACTGCTAATAAAAGGTACTACTGCTCTTCTATGGCTACCCCAACGTGTCGAAAATGTCCTCTAGCACTCTCCTCTTTTGCACCAACGTTATAAATACACCATTCGAGAAAAGGACCAAATCCTCTGTTGGGGTCTTCTTCACAGTAGTTCCAGTTACGTTTAATGAAGACCTTGAGTTCGGCGAAAATTTCTTCAATGGGGTTCAGGTCCGGTGAGTAAGGTGACAGATAAAGCAGCTTTACACCTGCATCCTCACACATCTGCCCAATCCGCTCGGTATGGTAAAACGACGCATTGTCCATGACCAGTACGGATTTCGGCTTCGGCCATCTTCCACAGTGCTGAAGAAGCTAATCGATAAAGTCTTCGATCCAAGCGGCATCCGTAGAGCCGCGGAAGACGCGCGAGAGAACAATTCCATCTTGGGCATATGCAGGCAATATCTGATACCGCTCGTCGCGGTGGAACTGAGACACCTAGACAGGGGACACGCCAAGTAGTGACCAACCTGTCCGTCTGAACCCGATCCTTTTATCATATCCAGATTCGTCAATGTAAACAAGGTGACATAATTGAAATTCGGACAAATTATGAAGATAGAACTCTCGCAAATCCGCGTTTTGCTCTCTGGCCCTTTGCCGAGCTGTCTTCTTGGACCAGCCTTTGAGAGCGAGGGCCCTCCTAATGCTGGATGTTATTGCTGCCGGTATCGCTTTTCTGGTTTGGGTGGACACGATACATGTCCTGCACGGCTTAAAGTCAAATGAAGCCCGGGCCATTCAATGCGTTTAAAAGCCCCATCAACAAATACAAATTACCTGGCCGTAATTGAATTGAGATGAAGATTAAGGACTAGTGGTCACCTGCTGTTCAATAGGCCTCGTGAAGTCTGTTTGTGTAGTTTTTAGGTAAGTTGATTGTTGAAAACGACGGACTCGACTTTAAATTTCTACCCAATTATAAAAGATAATAACCGCCTATACCCGCCTCCAAATGTCAGGCCCTCACCAGCGGAAAACAAGCGTAAGTCGGTGTCCATTTGCGCTTATTTTCAACCAGGAAAAGCGAACGTGTAGCCGGAAATAGCCTGTCAACGCGTCGCCATTTACAGCACCGTGGAGATAATTTAACCTTTCAGCCATGCTTCAACTCTTCAAGCCAAGACCAGATCTCCCGGTTGACCTTTTCCGCCTGCTCTTGAAATGGCCAGTGCCCCGTTGCTGGGAACGTGACGAGTCGGATAGGTGCAAGGAAATGCTGGAGGAGTTGGTCAAGGAACCTGGGGGAGAAGTATTCGTCTTCGACGCCCCAGATTATGAGTGTCGGAACTTGGAAACGCATGTACGAAGTATCGACCTTCTGACCATAAGGAGGACCGGGATAGTTCTTTTTGTAGTAGGCGAACATGCCATGCATCGGAGAAGAGTGCATGTACTCCCATACTGCTTGCCGACGTGCAGGATCCCTTATAAACTTCACAACATCTCCCTCATTCTTTTCATCGCCAGGTTGGTACTGCATGAACTTTATTGTGTACTCGGACATTCTCTGCTGTCCTTCATTAAAATTCACCAGATCATAGAACCTTGGCAAAATAGGTGTGTTGATGAGGATCAGTCCCGCAACACGCTCCGGTCCCATTAGTGCCAGCATCTGGATTGCTGCTCCGCCAAAATCATGACCTCCAATAATGGCCTTTTCAGCCTTGAAATGGGCGAGGATCGTGCTCATATCACCCACGACGTTCGACAAGTCGTATGCGTCCACGTCATCTGGCACATCACTAGGGGGAAATCCGCGCAAGGTTGGGCATACGACTGTATATTTCTTTGAAAATTCCGCCACCTGCGCCTTAAACGTTTCTCCATTGTCGGGAAAGCCGTGGAGGAGAAGCAGTAGAGGTCCATTGCCAACTGCGCGAAAATGGATTCGGACACCGTTATTTTTCACAAATCCTTCATAGAGTTGAGCGCCAGCGTCAAGGCTATTCATGGTCAAAAGATAGAACGATTTGACAAGAACAGTAAAAAGAGGATAACGATGTGTCCTCTACCTGCCCAGTAGGAAGGGTTCACCTCAGTGTTTATGCTCAAGTGGGAGACCAATATTAACCACTTTCTCCGGGTTGGAAAATGGCGTGTTCCACCAAGCTTAGGCCTTGGTTGAAGAATATTCTTTCCGGAAGACATGAGAATCTAGATGGTAATCAAAGTTAGTGAAAAGTTTAGTTACGTTAACGCGGGTAGGATTACTAACTCATCCGTCGGTCTTTCCAAGTCAACGTCATAGTTAATTAACTTCGTAACTCTCCGTATTGTCAGCTTGATTATTAAACCATTTTGGTGTGGGGCCACGGTCGGGCACGGATAGCTAACTTAGTTAATTGCTTATATTAACTAGTTAGTTAAGTGTCAGAGAAGAAGAATTCCCATGGAAGAAAGCCGAGTGCTTACATCATTTAACCTCAAGGGTCATGCGGATATCGAAATGACGCATCGAACTAATTTAGTTGGGCGGGATCAAAAATAATCAAGCCGACAAAACTTTATTTCGCGGCTGTAGACACGGCATTCCTTTCGCCTCTGGTAATACCGCGGTCCATCCTCGTTAACCAGTTAGTAATAATGGGCTGAAAATCAACGGAATATAAAGTGCTTACTTTTCCAGGTTTTCGAGTAACTATACATTCTTGCAATTACGACCTATCCATCACCCAGAATAGGCCAGAAGTTATCCACACAAGACCCCGAAAGATGCGAGCAGTTCTAGTTATCGGCGGTACTGGCGCCCAAGGCCTGCCGGTCGTTAAATGTGCGTGTTAACTCAGCTTCCCTTCCTGCTGGTCTTCCCAAATACCTAACTTATCACATAGCTCTCTCCTCGAGCAAACATTTTGCCGTCCGAGTCCTGACTCGAGATGCACAATCCGCTCGTGCGCAAGAAATTGCAAGACTTCCTAACGTGACCCTGGTTGAAGGCGAACAGGATAACCAGGAAGATTTACATAGAGCATTTCATGGCGTTTACGGGGCGTGGGTCAACACCGATGGCTTTACCCTTGGGGAGAAAAACGAACTATTCTATGGCTGTCGAGCTTATGAAATTGCAAGGCATCAAGGGGTGCAGCATTACGTCTATGCCTGTGCGGACTTCGCTCTTAAGCATGCTAACTGGGATGAGAAATACCACTGGGGACACAATGATGCCAAGGGTAGAGTGGCAGAGTATATTTTAGCTCAAGGACAGGAAGGGATGAAAAGCTCAGTGCTTACTACTGGTCCTTATATGAATATGCTTTGGGATGGCATGTTTGTGCCTACCCAGCGACCTGATGGGTCATTTGTCTGGGCCAATCCAGCAAGTATGTCTCTTTAGCTCTCCTAATATGTTAACTGGGCTCGATAGGTGACTAATAAATTTTTCTGGCACAGAATCCGGCAAAATACCGATGATAGCCCTAGAGGATATTGGACATTATTCTCTTTGGTTGTTTGACAATCTTCAGGAGTCTGCGGGAATGAACCTCAAAGTCGCAACAGATGAAGTTAGTTTCGTGGATATAGCGGCGGTCTTCACAGAGGTGACGGGAAAGAAAGGCGTACACAAGTATGTACCTCTTGAGGAGTACCTACCTTCTGTTGAGCCTTTTCCAAACGCTCCGGCGAATTTTGCCGCCGGACCAAACGCCGTCAGGGACGAATCGACTATGACATGGCGCGAAAATTTCTCGGCTTGGTGGAGGTACTGGGGCGAGGGTCGCGCCGAACGCAGAGATATGCCACTTCTGGATAGAATTCATCCTGGCCGAATCAAGTCTTTGGGCGAATGGATGGCAAAGGTCCACTATGACGGGCAGCCCAAGAGTGTGCTAAAGGGAGTTGAAGACTTGAAGAGAGCGGCAGCATTGATGCAACAACAACAAGCCTCTGCGTCGGCTTAATGTGAAAGCTGGCAGCACGTCGTCTAAATATTCATTCTCACGCCTTCCGTGTACTTCTCCAAGTATATCAAGATGTATGCTAATGCAATAGCGTAATTAAAGCCAATTTCCGTCAGACTTATTGAAGTATGTAATCTAATTATGGTCTCAGGGTTCGAGCCAATGGCTGTGATTGATGCGCTTAGAGGACCTATCCTGGCAGGCCCTTTGATGGCACACCCGTTGTGTCTCTGAGGTCTCCTCTACCTCCAGGTTTTGCTATCTCTCTTAGTACCCAGTATTAGCATCCATAAACACTGTTGACTCTGCTTCTGGGTGTTTCTCCTGTGCTAAAAGACCAGTGCTCTCCCAGCTATGCGTCAAACTTGTAACATGCTTTAGACTTAGTTTTAGCCACTAAAGGCCTTTTGGTTGATATACTGGAGCATTAATAAGTGCCCTCTTATATGAAATACAGAACTTAACGGCTTGCTTCGAAATTACTTTAACTACTTAACCAATAAGTTAATTAGGCTTCGATGGAAGGGGGTTATAGCGGTATATTATAAGGTCAACATTAAAATAAATTGGATCCACCAAGGGCTAAAATTGACACTCCTTAACTAGTCAAATAGTGTTGGAAGGGCAACGGACAGGCTAAAGCATGCCCTCTGCTTACTGCCCCTACTCTAAAAGGTGACCTTGCAGGAACTTGGCCTGGGCCGGCACAATTTCCTCGGAAAGGGGCCCGTCGTACGGATCAAAATGTCCACCTAGTAGTATATGTAGTCGCTTCAGCTCTTTTGCCCGAGCGAAGGCATCCAGGGCAAGGTCAGTAGGTATGACGACGTCATTGTCCATGACAACCATTAACAGAGGAGTAGGCGAAATGCGATGGATATAGGTCCCCAGGTTCATATGCCCGGAATGCTTCTAGGCTACCTGATAGCCAGTCTCGACATCCACGTAACAATTTATACAGAGTACAGAGAATAAGGACAGTACCTCTTCAGTGTCAGGTCGTTTTTCCATCCCAACGCTTCTGCTTGAATGTGGCCGTTATAGCTGTCTTGTGAAGGAAGAACGGAAAATTCGGGAGGTACTTGTCCACAACGGGTAACCGACCTCGCTGTTCTCCCTTAGCACGAGCATGGCGATCTAATCAGATCTGAGCTCGTTGGCAGAGTGCAACCTCAAGATATACTCTATGCATTGGAGGAATAGAACCGCAAGACCCGCGTACGCACCACCTCCGGCGGTTTTAGGATGAGTAGATTCGACATAGCCAGTCTACAAACATATCAAACATCCATTGCACTAGAAGTGCACTACAAGTGTAGAGTAGAAATACCAGCAGAGAGTAGTATCGTCACGGCAAGATAGAGTTACGAGGACCGACCCCTTAGGCTTCACAAAACCTTTCTAGTGGGCTATACCCGGTAGGAATAGAAGGAAATCATCGTCGCTTCTCGGCCTAGGAAGATACGGTACTATGGAGTACACTTCCGCGCTTCTTGCATGTCGTTGAGGAGGCCCCAGAATTAGCTAGAGCCATCTATTTAATCTCCTATGAGAGAGTGTCACGGAAGCTAGCACGTAGGACGCAAAAGTGGACAAAGCACAAAATAATTAGACAGAGGGAGCGGGAGGAACGTAGGGTATTAAACAATCTACATAGCAAGAAGGTTAAGGATCAACCTAGCAGATTAAGTCTACATGATCACGGATTGCGGCCACATATAAACCGACCAATCCCAGCAATGGTATTAACAAGGGACACTGAGATACGACGAAATTGGTATTGATGTTAAATTTGAAGAAACAAAGACAGAAGTCAGAGAGAGGGGTTGAAATACCTCTTGCATCACGAGACTCGGAGGTTGAAAATCCGAAGTGGCAAAGACTAAGGAAAGTACATCAAACGAAGACCACTATATAATTCGGTAGAGACAGGACTCCACGTTGTTGTACGTGGCACGACATGCAGTTCCTTATCTGCATTGCTCTGTCACAATCTGTTTGTGTAGGGAGCGGCGGAGGGGAAGATCTAGCAAATAGAAAGAGGCCTAAAAAATGCCTCCGCAAATAAAACTAACTCAGCGTAAGCAGGCGGCAATAGAAAGAGGACCCGACACGACCACCCGTCCTATTACTGTATAATAACTTGGGTAGTGGCAATCAACTTCCAATCCCGTAGCGCAGCATCGCGATGCTCAGCTGCGGTTGCTGCATAATCATCACTGCCAAGGGTCCTACGGAAGGTCTGAATACTCGGATACTTGACCAACACGACCGCGTTCCAGTTTTCACTGTCTTCTCCAACAATTTTCGATGCCGGTAAACCAAGGTAGACCAGCTCGAAGCCACCAGCGTCGGTTGCTAGTCTGCGGAAGTCTGTGATGTATCTCACAACCCAGGCTTCCTGGCCGCTGCAGGGAGAGTGTTTGCTTTCTTCGGGATACTGCGCTTTGTCGTAGAATTGGAGAAGGTTGAGCATAAAGACAGGCTTGTCTTCAGGAAAATCCGCAGGGATGTTATCAATAAGATGCTTCCATTTTGCCATCGTAAATCGGTCAATAAAAGAGTAATTGTGTTGTTGTATTTGATTATGATGGCAAAGTAAAGACCCCTAATATGTGAGGTCGATTATACTCCCTACTGCGATGCGAAAGTGTCTTAAATAGGATGATAGAGGGCCGTAGGTGGTCCAGCGGATGCTGAATCAGACGATGTTTCTCGAGGTTTGGTATTTAGTGATTACTAGTTCCATCGGATCAGATATTGGATCTTTCCGTCGGGATGTTTATTCATACCTCCGGGTGGAGCCAGCATTAAAGATGAGGCAAAAACCTTATCTTCTAACGGTCCAGAGTCTGCCTATCGGGTTGCTATCCTGCGCCGTACATTAGTAGTTAAAAGGGCGCATTCTGCGGTGAACTTCGCCCACTCTACCCTTACAAAATTTTCAGATCGCTCACTGACCAGTTCTTCTATTACACTTGCCTCTGAACTACCATGGCAGTTCAACAACTTTCCAAGATTTTCGTTGTTGGCGGGACTGGCGCCCAGGGCATACCAGTCATCTCGAGTCTAGTGCGCGACAAGAAGTACCAGGTCAGAGTGCTCACTCGCTCTCAAAATTCCGCTCGTGCTACATACCTGGCATCTCTTGGAAACGTCGAATTCATTGAAGGCACTTTTGCTAGTGAATCCGATCTTCGTCAAGGCTACCAAGGCTGCGACGGCGCATTCATCAACATCGATGGGTTCAATTCCGGCGAGAAAACGGAGATGTACTGGGCAATCCGCGCTTATGAGCTCGCCCTTGAAGCAGGCATAAAGTTCTTTGTCTACGGAAATCTGGACTACGGATATAAGAAGAGTGGATACGATCCAAAATTCCGCTGCGGTCATTACGACGGAAAAGGACGGATCGCCGAGTGGGTACTTTACCAAACCGAATTCAACCAGGACCGGATGAAGGCCTCTGTTCTAACATCTGGTCCTTATATCGACATGACCATTGCAAATGGGACACCGATGACTCCGACAGTGGAAGATGGAATTGTTACTTGGCGGGCACCGCTTGGTTCAGGCGCTGTACCCCATGTCTCGCTCGAGGATTGTGGGTACTATGCCCGATGGCTGTTCGACAACATCGACAAAGCAAATGGACTTAACCTTGAAGTTGCAATTGAGCATGTTCATTATGAGGATCTCGCTCGCGCCTTTGAAGCCGTCACAGGCCATCCGGCGCGCTTCATCGATGTGGACTTGGACTCATACTGGAGGACAGGGCCGATGAGCATGGCCGCCAACTTGGGAAGTGGTTACAACTCTGATCCTAGTGACCCCGCTTTCATGACGATCCGACAGAACTTTACTGGCTTTTGGAATCTGTGGAAACATTCTGGCCGTAACCAGGGGATAATCAAAAGAGACTACAAGCTGCTTGACGAAATTCATCCTAATAGGGTCAGAACTGCCGAGCAGTGGTTTCGCGAGACGAATGGCCGGGGAATCGAGGACGGTAATGGTTCTCTTTGGGAAAAGATACAGCCGGAGAATTTGAAGCCTATATTGAAGATGGGTGAGGATGGGATGCAGGGGCGACTTTGAATTTGTACGCCGCACCGGGCTCTACTACTGCAGGATACCCACTATTTCAGGACAGACTGCATAAAACTTAGTGTCAGGATGGCACCCATGGCTCCACCATGGGTAAAAAGTATTTTGCAGCACTAAACTGCTTTTGTTTATTGACATTCTTGGCATTGTGCGTTTATTTCGCTTATTATGCGTTCTGTACTATTAAAGGGATAGCCAGTTGGAGCCTCTTGTGTCCTATGTTATTACTTTTGTTAGGTTTTCGTATACAATAGTTTTCGAATTCAGCTTTACTTCACTCTTACGACATAATTCCAGGAAAATATATCCTAGATACGTAAACCTCTTCCAGTTTACTGCTCTATTATTGCGGCAGAACCGTAATGGTAGTAGTTATGTTCGACTACGGCGATGAGAACGGTATCCAACCTGAGGATATCTACAATTTTGATGAAACTGGCTTCGCAATGGGAATTATATCTACTGCTAATGTAGTTACAAGAGCTGAATACTATGGTCGGAGATCAATTCTATAGCCAGGCCATCGCAAATGGGTTACATCGATTGAATGTGTAAATTCGACTAGATTTGTGCTTCCTACGACCATTATAAAGGGAAAACCTACCACTATAAGGCTTGGTATGATGACCTACTTGACGATTAGAGAATCGAAATCATGATGGCTAGAAAAGCAATTTATCCCTATGACTGCTAGTCGTACTAGGAGTAAACATCGGCTACTAGTCCTTGATGGCCATAGTAGACATTTAACGCCTGGTTTTGATCGATTATGCTCCGAAAACGATATTATTACAACTTGTATGCCTCCGCATTCAACGCATCTATTACAGCCATTGGATGTAGGCTGTTTTACCCCCCCTCCCCCCAACCCTAAAGTGCATATATAAGGGGATGATTGAGGCTAAAGTGCGATGCAATACCAACCACATCGATAAGCTTGATGTTCAACTTCGGACGCCTACCCCCCTAGGTTGTCGACCAGGCAGTCAATCGAGCGCATGGAGCCCTAAAACGCCAGTAAATGCTAAACAATTGGATCGACAAGCTTCATCAATCAAAGCCCTAATCAGTCATCAAGTACAAAGCGACCTAAGCCCTATACAGAGGCAAATCGACCAGGTTTTCAAAGCGACCCAGCTTTCGATGCACAATACAGCAATTTTTCGCCAACAAGTCAATGATTTAAGTGCTGCAAATGAGAAACAAAGAGATCTACAAGGCGTATTACCAAATAAACGGATTTAGGGTTCATGAGGGTAGGGAGGCATTTAATAGTCTAAACCAGGCTAATGAAGGCCAAAAACCTCCCCCCCCCACCGGGGGGGGGGGCAATGCAGCGATTGTAACCAGGTTGGGCATAAAAGAACGCATTGCCCTAATAGGTCTAATATTTAAAAAATTGAAATTCATGGCATTGGTGGTCTAATAAATCGATTTAAAATAGTTGCAGTTTGTTGGGTGCCGCGCTCGCTTGGATGGCGCACTCGCTTGTGGATTACGTTAAGTTAACTATTCCAAACCTCCTTCTGCCAAGCACTCGCACCCCACATGATCGACCGCTGTGTGCGAGCGAAGGGTATAGGTACTGGTAAATCTGTATGAGCTCTGTATAAGGTTGTACATCTGGTCTGGTTCCACTATCTGCTGAACCCTGGTATTGTGCACAAGGCTAAAGACTCATCTGAGTAGGTGCTGAAATCAATACGTTGCCTGAATTGCTCTGGGATACTATCTCTTTTCCAAAGGCCTGCCCGCATAAACTGTGGCTTCGCTTTATCCAGCTCGCCTTGACTATAGTATAGTTCCCCGAGGTTCTTGACTGTGTCGAGTGAACGTGATCCGGTCCCAGTGTTTTCTCAAACCCAGCTAGAGCCCGCATCCGATTCTGTTCCGCCTCCTTTAGCTTGCCCTAGCTAGCATATAGAGCCCCAATATTGTTGACTGTGCTCAGTGTTGTGGTGTGGACCGGCCCCAGCGCCTTCCCAAGCCCAGGTAAAGCCCGCATGTACATTATCTCCGTCTCGTGCAGCTTTCCTTGACTGAAAATATAGTGCCCCAAGATTGTTGACGGTGTTCAGTGGTGCAACGTGGTTCGGTCCTAGTGCTTTCTCAAACCCGGCCGCCGCCCGCACGTAAATCAGAAGAAACCCTTCACCTCAGAGCTAGGCTGAGCTTTATAGTCTGCTTGCGGATTTAAAAGGCTGATGGAGCTATTATATTATCGTAAAGTTCAATATAACAATAACTTAACACAAACAGTACCTCTGCATTTGCATAACAATATAGGAAAAACCTTCTCCCTTGAGAGGGAAAAAACCTATATTGAGGCACCACTAACACAAAAACAAACTGTGAGAAAATTCCGTCTCAAGAAAGTGACGGCCAGCTGCAGAAGTCAATGTTGAGACTGGCAAGATAAGTCCAGGAGCCACCATTCTTAGTACCATAGCATTCACTTATAATGTTCGCGTACGCAGCTTGGCAGTCCGCTGAGCTCTCGAAATTGCCAATCTTCCCGAGCAAGGCTGTATTTCCCTGAGAATCATGGAACTCGTCCCAGTTTCCATCAATCAGACTATAGTGGACGTCACACCACCGCCTAGCGTGGTTCTGGAGTTCGGCCTTGTTCACACAGTTGGTGCCGCCCGATTGGTAGTAGCACTCGGCGGCGAAGGCGGGGGAGATCACGGCCGCGAGGGTAATAACAGTGGAGATAAAAAGCATTATGAATAGATAATACGCTGCTAAGTGTTAGACTTGGTTGCGGAAGGGTAGGTAAAAGAAGAGAAACGTAGTTACCGGTGTTAGACTCGGTGGAGTTAAATGATAGCACGTAGTGGTGTAAAAGGCTTAGAATAACTTGTTCGAGGCTGTTAGCATATACTCAGCTTCTGTGCTGGGTTTTCGGGCCCCTTTTTATATCTGGTTATTGCTTGGATGGAGGCGACTGGCATGGTCGTATGAGGGTTGAAGGTGGCATTCCGGGGGTTATAGGCTGGAATACAAGCGTTATTTTTTTTATTTTTTATTTTATTTTATTTTTTTTTTTCATGTCTCACAAGATGATTTGACAGTATATAGCGCAGGATTCCTGTATTCTCAAGGCCATTGTATCCAGCATACTCAGGGATATTGTGGTATGGCGTTGATAATAGGATATCTACGTCCTACATACTACAGGCAGTATGTTATTCTGACCAGTCAGAGCCCTGACCGAATACTGGATTATCTCTGAGACAATATCGGTTGACTACATGCGTATTTTGCTGTCAAAGTTGCTTTTGAGTTCAATGATGAATGGAAATACTTTTCTCTGCTCCTAGCACACGGGAAAAAGAAGGCATACGCCACATTGTCAAAATACCTCCATAACCAATGCAAGCGAACAAAGCAAAAGTGGCGCATTAATATGATCAATTTAGGACAATAATTACCCCCTGTGAGCATCCATCAAAGCATTCTAGCATACTTGACAGACACCACAAGAATTCCCACGAGGTGTCATGTACCGAGCGGGAGCTAACCCCGGACTGACAGCGGACGTACCCGAGGGGGCTCCCGAGCCCCCTCTCACAAACACCTAGGAAAGCAGCGCCAGCTTCTTAGTTGAAGTCTTCCAGCCGTGGGTTCCGACCGCGCCGTACCCTGAGTCCCGCAAAAGAACACGGAGCGGAGATGCCTTCACACTATCGGAAAGCACGGGCCGGTTCACCACTAGGGAAGTATAGAGGCTTATTAACGACCACCAGCAGAATCGCACTTGGAGTCGGACTCGGCGTTGGGGTACCGATTTTATGTGCTCTTGGTGTTATATCTGGCTCAAATTAAGGAATTCCAGCAACAATACGAACAAGGAGCAAACGGCGGGGTCGAGAGGAACAATGCCTCCTTGGCCGATGATGCAGCAACGGTATACCAGTCCGCCATTCCAACCGCAAGATCTGCAGCCGAATGAGTTACACAACCACTCAAGCACTCATTTTGAGCTGCCAAATTCGCCATACAAATAGGATAAATAGTTCATCGACTGCCAGAGTTAGTCACCTTTTATACGAAAGGGGGTTGGATTTGTACGTAAAAGCAATTAGTGAGACCGTAGGATTGGTTTGACCGTTGATTCGCATCTTATGTTATTGTAGTGAACCCGTTAACCCATCATGAATATTCGAATAATTTCTAAGAAATCCTTGACATGTTAGATTAACCGACCTTGAGACAGACGAAGGAAACAATGAATCTTTCCAATATCCAGCAAGAGGAAAAGGTGCGAGAAATACCGCATATCAATATTGAGGCACCGGGGGGAAGAAGATATATCTGACAAAAAGATTGTTTCTTAACGAGATTATTGTCTCCGAGGGTTGAGTCTTATAAAACACAATTACTCCACTACCAAAGAAGCAGCAAGCATAACAAGGCCTCCAAACCCATCCATCCCAGAACACCATTCCTCCCAACCTACACTTGTTCTTGCCGGGCTTTCGGAAGTGATGGCCGTATGGACCAGCACTGCATCCTGAACACCATCACCTAATCGAACAAGCCCTCCGCTCTTCGCCAGTCCAAAGTCAAATATTGCCCCAGGATCTTTTTCGCACTCCAAGTTCCAAGCCTGCTCATCACCTGCCTCCCAAAGCTCTTTCTTGGCTGGAAGCGGTGCCAAGACTAGGTCTGATGGTAGGTTGCACATCTTTGCAGCATCGAAATAGACCAGCATATTCACGATTCGATAGATGACCCCTAGTCTTCGCCTTGATTCCTCATAAAGCCAATCCTTCCAGCTTCGTTCGAGGCTGTAGTTGCTTGCGATATCCTTTCGGATGAGTTGTTGGGCTAAGATCTGTAGAATATCATTAGGCATCCAGGGTAATAAGACAATAGAACTAAAATGGATCATAGACTTACTGTGACTGTTGCAAGCAGCAATGAATCGAAATCATTTTGTTCTGTCTCGCCTTCGTCCAACCTAAACAGGATATAAATAGACACAGCTTGCATGGAAGCAAGTAAGTCCCAATTTGTAAACCGCCCACACTAAACGTCAAAATCGAATAATTAGTTATTTGCAAGTTTCATCGACCCATGATAGGTTCGACTTACCTCGCTGCACAACCGCTCACACTCCATCCGCACATTCCTCCAAAACAGCTTGCGGCTTCCTCTGGTTCCGCTGCTGATCATATGCACCAGACTGATGCAGTTGCTTAGAGGCTCCATTTCGGATGTTGTTGATGCTAGGCCTGAGTGGACAAAGGGTGGGAGGGAGTTATGACGCAGCATCGTCAGAAGATAGGATTTCAGAGTATGCTGAATGAGAGTTATGGTTCTTTGTGTACCAGGTCTTGTCCTGGGTCGCTGATTAAGGGATCGAGGATTCGAAGTCGGTTGTGGGGGTATGGAGAAATTGATAGATTGTACTTGATCAATCATAGAGGTTGTCGTTGGGTAATCAGTCAGTCCCCACAGGTATGATGGTTCCTGCATACTCTCGTTGAATTCCGCGTTCAGAAAGTTGCTGAAATCAATATGAGAGTTATCCCAGTTGAGAGCATCCCATTCAAAGCCCACAAATTGATTTCCCGATGTGACAAGCGAACTATCGCGAGTTGTGTCATCATCATTATTTGTGCCAGGATGACTTTGAAAGCTCATGCGAGTTAAGAGTGTTGGGCTCGCATTGCTCGTCTTTGCATTTGACAACTTATGATTAGTTTGAGGGTTTCCCCTTGTAGGTTTGGCCGGCCTTGTAACATAGTGACACTCGACGCCTTTGGCTTTGCACCTAGAGCATTGAGGTTGCGTCTTGTCGCAGCGTATCTTTCGTCTGGCACAAGAGACACATGATCGGGGCTTGAGAGTACTACTGGTTCGTCGAGACCGACAGTAGTATCCGTGCCTCTTCAGTGTAGATTCTAAAACGCGTTCCGTCAGCAAGAACCTGATGTTGCGGAGAACCACGTAGAAGCTCAGCTCACTTTTGTTGAAAGGTTTGTTGCAATCTCCGCACCGCAAAACGTATACGGTATCTTTTTCGGACATTTTAAATTAGACAGATGTATTGAGAACAGCTATACCACCAGGCATGTCGATGTCCCGGGATTCTACGCAGGGCTTGGTCGGTTTCGATCTGCATTTGTCAGCTCGGGCGGGACAATTTGTAAATGCCGAGAGTAGACCGCCAGTTCCCTTGACCTCGCAGGAGTCTTCTTTCTGACCAACTTAGCTAAGAACAACCAGTCTCCAAGTCTTCAGTAACTAAACCAATACGGGAACTTCCTATCGAGATGATCATACCTGCCCTTCAAATTGTACAACTCCGTCCCCGAGTTGCAGAGTCTATACTTAAATATGGCCGTCTTTCGTTCGAATGGGCGCTTTCAATTCAATAGCCAATCTTTCATGTAGAGTCGTTCTTTGACTTAAATTGAAACCAAAATGGCGCCTTTCCCATCCCCAACTTCGACATGGCACACGGAGAGCTACCCATCCATTTCTCCCACCCGACCAGAGCTTTCCGCCAAAGGCAAGACAGTACTAGTGACTGGAGGCGGCACTGGGATTGGTGCAGAGACAGCCCTGTCCTTCGCAGTGGCAGGTGCTTCTCGAATTGCTCTTCTTGGCCGCCGAGAACCGCCTCTCATCGCCACCAAAGCATCGATCGAAGAGAAGTTCGCCCATGTCGAGGTATTCGTTGCCTCCACTGATGTCACAGACAAGAGACAAGTCAACAGCGCATTTGCAGAGTTCGCTAGTGGCGGAAAGATTGACATTCTGGTCAGCGGTGCGGCCACGATTGGCCCTCAGGATCCTGTCCGGGACGTAGACAGTGAGAAGTTCCTTGACGCTATCCAACAAAACCTCCGAGGATCTTTGCACGTCGCGCAGGCCTTCCTCCTCCATGCATCTCCGCATGCCGTCGCAATTGACATCAATTCATCTGCTGCCCACGTGAATTTCGGTATTGGATTTTCTGCATACAACGTCGCCAAACTAGCGGTATTCCGACTTTGGGATTCTCTGGCTGCCGGGAACCCAAATCTTAGCATCTTCCATATTCAGCCTGGCATAGTGGACACGGATATGAACAAGGAAGCGGGAGGTGTCAAAGCTACCGGTATTGAAGACCATGGTAAGTGTGATCACGACTGAGGGAATTGTCCACAGACTAACATTAGCTTAGTTTCTCTACCCGCGAACTTTAATGTTTGGCTTGCTAGCCAGGAGGCTCAGTTCTTGAAAGGCAAATTCCTGTGGGCCAACTGGGATGTTGATGAGCTTAAGGCAAAGGCAGAGGAGATCGAAAGCAGTGGGCTCCTTAGCATTGGGCTTGGCGGTTGGCCGTTTCAAGACGCCAACTGGAGTGCTACTTGGAAGACTTGATCTATGAGAGTTATGGTAGTTCTTAATATAGCTTAGAGGCAATCGAGGAGAATTCCAACTTTTATCTTCTTGTTTTTCTTTTCTTACATGATTATTACGCTTCCTTCGTGACCAGCCGCGTTCATTCTTTTGAACCTTTCCTCTTTAGATTCTGTCCTACTAGGCCGTTTATACGGTGATGGGTGTTGATAGTCCTAATCAATAGCTTGAACTTCTTCGTCTTTTCGAGGGCTTTGCTGTGGAAAAGTCTACCATCTACCACACTTTTGGAATATAGAAGCCCTGGCTAATCGGTTATTTGACAATTCTACTCACCAACATTTCTTTTCATCCTTCCTAATAATGACTTCTGTAGTTTGAAGCAATTATCCCGCGCTAGCTAAGCCCCCAATACCTCTCAACTCGCAACCTGAACCAGCAGCACGCTCACAACCTTAAAGGAGGAGCAACGATAACTCTCACAGTAACGATTTGGGCCCACGCGATATTTGAAAAATGGTTCCATAATCGGCGATTACATCATTGATCGCATCAGAGAGATGGGTTCGATTATTTGCTTTGCTGTACAAGCACGAGATACGGGCATGCGCATGTTGAGTAATGTAATTGCCACGCTGTGCCAGTACACAAGACGGACCGATCAAAACATAAGCATCTCATCTTTTTATCCACCTCAGTTTCAAACATATCCTATACTCCGTTTATCTCACAACTCAACCTTTCCCGAGGGGTCATCATTGCCCTTGTCTTCGCCCTTTCCATCATGCTCGAAAATTTTTAGTGTATTTATGTCAACGCCTGCCAGAGTTCGAGCCTAGAAGCCAGTGAGCCAGGTACACTCATAAGCGATCGAGAAGTTCAGAATTGTACGTTGACAGCCATGATGTGTCGTTGCTCTGGGGCCTCAGCTCGAGCGTACACACTAGTTCCGCAGTTGGTGCAAAAGTAATGTGGGAATTTGTTCGACGCAAAGCGATACTCCTTCCACCCATTATCAGCTCGAAGCACAACTTCGTTCATGGCCTCTAGCTAACCTTGACTGCATCGTCGCTGTGTTGGATGCTCACATCCGCTGTGTTCGGATAGATCATCAGGTAGCCGTTGATTGCGCAAATAGAGCCTATCAATCAATCTTTCTGTTAGCACGCAGATAACTGCACGCAATTGAATACGTTTCCAAAGGCGTATCTTTACAATTGCATTGCATCACACTTTGTTCAGACATGGGAGGTGATATCCGCATAGTAAACTTCACCTGTCCACAGTGGCAGCCGCCATCGTAAGTTTCAAAGTTCTCCATATGAGCGAAATTTAACGGAAAAGAGTTTGTAAGAGGGGGAAATGCAAAGTGACAGACATACCGCAAGACCTGTGAAGAAATACCATTGCTTTTAATATCCTCCAGTCGCCCGACGATGACGCTAGTCCGTTCCTGTGGTCTCGTATTCGGGCTCACACCTGTCAAACAAGCGGTCGATCAGCATGGACAGGGCAAGTGGACGGGAGGAATCGAGACCACCCCGTATTCGGTGACTCACCCGAACCCTGATCCAAGCCACAGTAAGACAGCATCTTTCAACATGAACGCCATCTTTCAACGGATCCTACCAAGCTTTTAGAAGCGGGAGTCCGGGGAACTGGGTCCAGATGGAGTGGGGAAAAACTGTGCGAGAGGGGCCCGCGCAAATCAAAAAGCTTCGTAGGTTCTGTTCGCAGATCCTGGATTTACTTGGTTTGGGAGGACGAGGACATGTGTGACCGACTGCTCATGTCAGCCTCGGCTGAGCTGACCAGTAACTCCGCCCGGCGTCAACGTCAAAAACAAGGTCGCTATCCTCTGCCTACGACGACGCCTGTCACCCCTGTTCTTGTTCTTCGTATCCACAGCCTAGACAGACGACCGGCCGGCTCTTTCCCTCGCATACGTTTTGCTGCACTTCCCGAACAACCTCCGCCATGGATTACACGTCGGGTATGATGCCTCTGAACTGGGTGCACAAGCCCCCCTTCACTGTCGAGGCTCCCGGCTACGAGAAACTCCCCGGCGAGACCATCCCTCGCCGCCATTTCAGGTTCAAGGACCAACTGCGCAACTCCCCCGCCGAGGGTGTCCACACCGTCTGGGATATCGTCCAGCGCAGCGCCCGAGTCTACCCAAATCACCACGCAGTCGGCTACCGCAAGCTGGTCAAGCTCCACAAGGAGACCAGGAAGGTCCAGAAGAATGTGGATGGCGAGATCCACGAGGTCGACAAGGAGTGGCAGTTCTTCGAGCTCAGTCCCTTCAACTTCTACACCTACAGAGAGTACGAGACTCTTGTCAAACAGATCGGCTCTGGCCTGCGGAAGATTGGCTTAACTTCCGAGCACAAGCTGCATTTGTTTGGAACCACTAGGCACGTCTTCTGCTGCTCGCAGGGATCTGACACTTCTGTTGATCCTCGCCGAAAGCACCCATCGTCTTATCATGTCGTACGGCACTAACCATGACCAAATAGTGTCAGTTGGATCTCTATGTCCCATGCTTGTGCATCTCAGTCTATCCCCATAGTCACGGCCTATGATAACCTCGGCGAGGAAGGCGTCGCCCATTCCCTTGTCCAGACTAACGCTGAAGCCATGTACGTCGACCCCCACCTGCTCAAGACGGCGACGGGTCCCATTTGCAAATCAAAAGTCAAGACCGTCATTGTCAACGCCAAGTGCATCTTCGCCGAGGGCGGCGAGGTCGACGAGTTTAAGAAGAACAACCCCGACATCATCGTCTACACGTACGAGGAACTCCGCAAACTGGGAGAAGAGAACCCTGTCGACCCTACCCCGGCCAAGGGCGCCGATCTCTACTGTATCATGTACACTTCTGGCTCCACTGGTCTCCCCAAGGGCGCTTGCATCAAACATGAGTCCCTTGTCGCTGGTGGCAAGTACTTTCATTCAATTCATGTTGCTGTCTTGCTTAATTATAGTCGCTTTGCTAACCGTCGCTCCTGTAGTGACGGGTCTCTGGACCAACGTCGAGGAATGCGTTAGTGACAAGGAGTCAGTCCTTGCCTATCTTCCCCTTGCCCACATCTTTGAAATGGCGCTTGAGAACCTGGTGCTATTTATTGGCGGCACTCTCGGATACGGCAATCCTCGGACGCTCTCCGACATTTCCGTCAAGAACTGTGGTGGTGACATGCGCGAGCTGAGGCCTACTGTCATGGTCGGTGTGCCCCAAGTGTGGGAGACGATTAAGAAGGGCGTGATGTCCAAGTTGAATACTTCGAGCTTCCTCCTCCAGGTACTCTTCTGGGGAGCTTTCAACTACAAGACCTTTATGTCTAGGAACAAGCTGCCCGGAGCGAACATCCTCGACAAAGTTGTTTTCTCCAAGGTCCGGGACCTGAGCGGCGGTCGTCTGCGCTTCATTATGAACGGAGCCAGCAGCATTGCCGACGACACGAAGCACTTCCTGTCAATTGTTCTTGCACCTATGCTGACTGGCTACGGACTAACCGAGACCTGCGCCAACGGTGCCCTCGGCTGCCCTCTCGAGTTCTCACCCAACGCTATTGGCCCGGTCCCGGCTTCTATCGAAGTCAAATTGGTCGCTATCCCTGACATGGGCTACGAAACGGATTCTGGAACACCGCAAGGCGAGATCTTAATTAGGGGGATGCCGGTTCTGAGCGAGTACTATGACAATCCCGAGGAGACCTCAAAGGCTGTGACGCCAGATGGCTGGTTCAAGACTGGTGACATTGGCGAGTTCGACGCTAATGGGCATCTTAAAGTCATTGATCGGATCAAGAATCTCGTCAAGATGCAGGGTGGGGAGTACATTGCCCTCGAGAAGCTCGAGGCCGTCTACCGCGGTGCCCGCACCGTCACGAATGTCATGGTTGTCGCCGACGTGAACAAATCTCGCCCCATTGCCATAATTATGCCTAATGAGAAGGCCCTGGTTGAGGAAGCCGAGAAGCTTAATGTCGACAAGCATAAAATGTACCAGGACAAGAAGGTCAACAGCGTTGTTCTCAATGACCTGCAAACCACTGGTCGCCGCGCCGGTCTCAGGGGCATGGAGATCGTTGCCGGCGTTGTCATCACCGAGAAGGAGTGGACTCCCTTTAATGTAAATTTTCCCTAACCTTCATCATGGTATACTATGAAGCTAATTGTGGCTTAGGGTCTTGTTACTGCTACCCAAAAGCTGATCAGGAAAGCTATTCGCGACACATTTAGGAAGAATATTGATGAGTGTCTCAAGGATCTCTGATATTCAAGCTGGACTGACGAATACATGACTGAAAATATATCCGGTGACTCGCGATAACTGGGCACGATGATGGCCCTAACAGTCCCAGCTTCAAGAGTAGCAGTAGTAGTCAAAGGACAGCTGTGAAAGACTCAATGCAATCTCTAAAGTTTGAGCCTTTTTTGTGGAAAGAATCTCTCATGCGTCCCGTTTGGATCATAAGTGGTGGTACATACTACAGCCCTCAACTAGTGAGCGATGAGAAATGACAACATCAGAAATGGTCCAATATCATTCTGGATTCAAGAGTCAAAGGATCCAAGTACTAGTTAAAGGAAAATATGCTGGTACACATGAAACAAGAAAGCTGAGAGTTTATATGGATACATTGATTTCATCATTGTCACACTTGACTACATGGTAAATTTACTAATGATACGCCTAATTCCTACTTCAACAAAAACCAAACCACGTGAAGTGCAGTCCCTCATCTCGTCTCTTGTACGGTTTGCCCCTGACCCCAAGGCACCCCCCGGCTGTATATTGTTTTCAATAATTTTTTGCATATACGAAGAAGAGTTCAGCTCAAAACCACATCTTTCATAGGTACCACAGCTGTGAGCTTTGGAGCCACTTTGCCTACATGTCACGCCTCACGGAACACTGAGAAATTCTTTTCTTTTTTCTATTAATACACTGGTAATGTTTATCGCGGAGGCGAATACACCTAGAATATAGGGTCGAGATCAGATCCACCACCTATCTCATATCAGAAATCAGTGATTTCTAGTCTGCGCGTAGTTGAATCAGCAGTTGCCTGTAGATTTTACTAATCCCCCATGATCTCAGGGATTGCATCGCAGAGATCGACTCATCTAGAAGTCGTTTCCGGCCCAGCGGACAGAAGATGTTACCAATCCCATGTAGTTTAACACGGCCAATTCCGTGTTCCACCCACTGCTCTTGATTCATGTCACTCGTATTTGGGGCGCCGAGAACTACCAACGGCGTCTCACTTGCGGGTTGCGAGTCCAGAGGCAGGTCGTTGAAAACAGTATGGAGCCACAAGGTTAAAGTAGCGCGAAATAACAGCACCGGGGTTGAGAAATGAGCGCAATACTGGCTGCGGACCGATTCGAATACTCGTGCAGCATATAAAGCGGCCCGTCGACGCTCCTGTGGTGCCCTATTCCATTCCACTGCTAGCTTTCCGAGTTCCTCATCGCTATAACGCCGATATCTTACGCGCATGACCGTTGTAAGCAGTGGGAGGCGAGGGGTATTGCGCAACATGAGGGCTGAGAGAATTACTAGGCGATGTGAGACGCATGCCTTGAGCTCCAATGCCGAGACGTTCGACTCTTCGTCTTCTGCTCTTGCAAGTAGCTCCTTAAGAACTACCTCAGCTTCACTTTGACTAGGACCGTTGTGAACCTGTGGGGATAGAAGACGACCTTGATCATTGGTAACGGCATTTAACAGAAGCTGAAGGATGGCCTGCTTCCCAAGGACGCCGGTCTTCGTCCACGACGCCATCCAGGTGCCGTCTCTGACAATTTGCTCCACGGTATGAGGGTTATGTGATTCTGGGAACTCATAAGGACGTTGAAGCTAAGTGGAAGCATGGAATGGGCTGACAAACCTAATTGGCTGGAAAAGCTGGCCCACCCTTGCGCGCTCGAAGCGGCCCATTGATCTTCACCCCGGGGTAGCGAGTTCTGTAATTCCCTGACCGATAGGACCGGTGTTAGATCAAAATGGCTTTGAAAAGCCGAATCAACGAGCTAATCCGTAAGTTAGACGTTTATCCATAGGTAGCTCGAATGACGCCTACTTACCCATATAGCGAACCCAGTCCGCCTCCGCTCCTCGTCTAGAGCCCAAACTTGCCATCTTTGGCTGAGGGATAGATCTAGCTCTGATATCTTCTGCGTGGACAATATGTTCCTGAAAAGTTGTTTCCGCCGGGCGAGAGTAACTGGGAGTGCCTGCAGGAGTTCTGCAATCTCTAGTGCTCTCCGTTCTCCAGAGTACCTCAAACCAATATGGTTAAGAAGAATCACCTGTGTTAACCAGAGTTCCCGACCGTTCTTGTTTTGATTTTCACACTAGCCGATAAGGGATTCTGTAAATATCCAAACCGCTGACCCGTGCGGACGCGGGCATATCAATAGAAAAGGGGACTTACCAGATACATAGACTGTCGACGGATCATCTCGTGCATGGCCCTCGCACAAGTTCGGGCTTGCGGCATCTGGGAAAATTGGGCTCCGATAGCACTGACAGCAAACACTAGTAGCCAATGCGTACTAGGGTATCCAAATGTAGGCTTGTTAAGCACGGGAAAGACAGGATGGAAATGTTCAAAATAAAGTTGTGTCCAAGCGTTGATGATAGGTGCAGGCGGAATATTTAGCTTCACGAACGGTGGGAAGAGGGATTTCGATTCTAGGACTGTGGCCAGTTTAACCACCTCATCCACAACATCCTGCTGAATTTCATGGACATGGGCTAGGTCTTCTTGGTCCACGTCCTTCATACTGATCTGCTGCATGTCTGGAAACGTCAGCTGCGCATCGATCTCGATCGCAGTTGGGTGGTATTGTCGTGGCTCAACGGCTTCATCGCTGGGATCTGGTGAACAAGCTCGATTATAGATCTCAGCCATAGTGGCGGGTGTCAAAGGAGTAGGCATTTGGGAGGTTTCTGGAATAGGATTTGGACCTATGTTTGGCTCGGTAGAAGCTAGCCAAATGTTGTCGAAATAGTCCATGGACGATCGTGAATCTAAAAGGTTTGGCCAGACGGAGGAATCTAGACCAGCCCCTATATCCAGATCTAGGTCGAGCAGATTCTCCCATTTTAGGAATCTGAGGTTGGAAGGCCGTTCATCGTTCAGGGCTGTGCCCTGAGTCGGCACTTGCTCTGCCCCGCCCACCACATAACCATCGAGGTTAGGCACGTTCGTCGGAACTTCGGACGGCGGCAAATCTTCGACCCTCAAGGCAGCTACCTGATCGACCGTCGTGAGGGGTGGAGAGGGATTCCCGGTTGACTGGAGGCAGCCCTCTGGATAGGAGTGCGATGGCCTAGAATCCTCAAAGCCTGGAGCTTGTGGCTGGTGCCGTTTGGAAGCGGGGGTGCGGCCAGTCGTCCGACGTTTCTGGCGGTCCTCATAGTAGCATTCATCCCCATATCGACGACACCGGTCGCATGGTCGCTGTCCATCACATCGAAGCTTAGATGTATTGCATGGTTTGCACGCCTGAGCTACCCGTCGTCGTTCTCCCGAAGGTTCAGAAGGCGCGCGTCGATGCATGGTGCCACAATGCCGGGTAAGCGAGTCTCTATATGATGCCAGTCAACAACCGAGAGAGCTGGTGCGGGAACCAATTGCATTCCAACATGGCAGCGACAAACGTACACTCTGGCGAAACTTTGGCCGCATTCGGAACACGACTGTGGATAGTTAGGCATTGTATGAGAAGAGATTAAACACCATGAGTACACTTTAAGACATACATATGGTCTTTCTTTGGTGTGGGTGCGAATGTGCCGTTGATAGTGTTCCCGTCGGTGGAAGGAAGCGGTGCACTGCTCGCAGTAGTATACATCCACAGCTTCCATGGCGATCCAAACATGCAGAGTTGAGAGAAGGGCTATGAAATGTGAAGACAGCGTTCAAGGCGCGGAACAATCAAGACTTGGGAGTGGGCGAGTTCGTGCAGCGGTAGGTTCCGCATCCCCAATTGGAAATGATCCGCGAGTCACGAGATCCAGTACGGGGAATACGGGTGATTGGTCAGCTGTCAACATTGAGTTGCGCATATGGTTTAGGCGCATACCCTCGTCGGCTCTCCACATCTCTCGGGTACCACACGCCGCACAGCTCGCCTCAGTCGACCCACCTTGTCGGTGGATCCGGGGCAGGCATCTCCACATACTATGACGGAAATAACCGCCCTGCTTCAAAGGTTCTTTTCGAGTGCCACAATTGACGCGAGTCCGGGTCTTTGTTGATTCGACCCTTTGAGTGTAGCACTGCTGCACACCAGAGCTTTGCATCTCATTGTACTCACGCAGAATTGCTGGGAATGCATGGGTGCAGAGATAAATCTGCCAAAAAGCAGGATATATTACTTCAAGTTGAATTTGCTCTATCAGACAGTAGCTCTGAAGACTCTTAGCTAAATTCATATCCTGTGCTGGAAACCCATGCATGCTATAACTGGATGAGGAAACGTGCTCTTCTGTCACAAAGAACAGATCCCTCGGCGCAGGGTAGTAGAGAAGAGGGCGTCCAACGTTTATTTCGGTATGATCTCGCAGTGCTCGACTGTTTCCTTGACGACGTCCTCTGCACTTTTGTCGCCCTTGATGTGGCTCTCGGCCAACTCGTCCGTCTTGTGGCGTCGTCGATACAATCCCGTGATGATGGTAGGGCCCTCGAAGACCTCGGAGATTTCCTCCAGCGAGAGGCCTTTAGTTTCCGCAAAGAACAAATATACGATGGTGGTGATGAAGATCAGGAAAACGAGGTAGACGAGATAATACTTCCAAGCAATAGCCTCAATCGCGATAGGGTTCACAAAAGTGTTGAATGTGAGCGCGATGGTATTGCACATGTTAGTGACGGCGATACCTTTTTGGCGAGTGTGGAAAGGAAGGATTTCCGTTGGGTAGGCTGTTAAGGGTTAATCCTGTATTCGGCCACGGCTCTCTCTGCAAGGAGGACTCACCAAATGTAAGCGGGGTGACACCGATGTCGTAGAAGAAAAAGTAAAGGAAGACGAAGGCAATGACAGTCCGGCCAATCGAGTCATAGTTTTTGCCCTCTAAGTAGACTCCCGAGAGCGCTGTGAAGATTGTGAATGTGACCAGCATGCCGGAGCAGGAGATCAAGAACAACGTCCTGCGGCCTAGCCTATCAATGAAGAAAGACCCGACGATGGCAGCAAAAAAGTTGAAGATCTGCAGGATGCCGTTGATAAGGGTTTTGGTAAAGCTATCCTTGATGCCAACAGAGTCAAGCACAAGTGCCAGATAGTATGTGACGATACCATTGCCCGACCATTGTGATATAATCGCAGTAAACCCCGCAATGGCAAGACGTTTCTTATCAGCCCGTGTCTTCCACAGCTACAGTAATTGGCAGTATTGTGAGCGGGATTGATGGAAGAGCGGGGTGTGATGAGCACGACTTACAACGGACCATCCCATACCCATAATCTCAACTTCCGCCTCGATATGGGCCATGATCGATTGCATCTCGTACTCAACCAGTGGGTGGGAGCTATCTCCCCCGGCGTGGTATTTAACGAGAAAAGAGCGGGCTTGTTCCAGCTTGCCTTTGGAGACTAACCATCGGGGTGATTCAGGAACAAAGAAAAGCCCTAACAGTTGCACGAGCGGGAAGAATGCTTGCATGATCGAGGGGATGCGCCAGCTCCACGTCGATCCCGCCAGAGAGAAGGTGCCAAATGTGATCCAACTCGAAGCAATTGAACCGAGATAGAAGCATGTCTGAAAAAGACCGGTTACCTTGGCCCGATGCGTGGGGTAGGCTATTTCCGTGATGAGCACTGGTGAGGGGACGATGATGATTTCGACTCCCAAGCCTACTACAAAACGAGAGACTATGAAGGTGGCAATGTTCTGTGCCGCGCCTTGGATTGCTGCTCCTACTAGCAGGATGATTATACCAATCATGATGGTATAGCGTCGGCCAATGGTGTCAGACATCCACGCAGCAGGGAACGCGAATATTATCTATGGGCGCTATCACTGTCAGCAGCCGTACAACGCATGTTTGAGAAAACGGTTTCTACTGACACCTCCCAAAAACAAGACAGCATTCATGAGTCCAAGCCATGTGCCACTCGGATTACCGAAATAGCCCATCCAGCTATCCAAGCCTTGAAGACCATTCATCATGGAAGCGTCGAATCCCATTGTGGTGGCAGATAGTAAGATAACGCCAACACAAAGGTTCAGTTGTAAAAGATGAGGTGTGAGATACCATGGCCTAGGGTTGCGAGGCAAAACATCGGCCAGCTGGTCTTTCATGTTGGTGGGTTCATCCGTCTTGAGGCAAGTTGGGGCATTCTCCATGATAGCTGTTCGCCGATGGGATGATGAGTCTTGAGACAGAGAACGGCTGGCGTGTTGGGCAACAGCTGCTCATCCAATCTTCCACCTTCTTGCAGATGCCCTATATACGAAATTCCGCAAGGGCAACTCAAACTTCAGACAACAAGGCAGGCCAATGAGATGAGCCCTTCAACGTCCGACAGGAGAGTCCGGCTCTTCCCCACAGATCCCTATTCCGCGTCGCAAGCGTACCTTTACGCTCAGTTTACACGTGTAATGCCCCGCAGAACCGAGTCCCGCTTGGACGATTAGACTCTGGGTAAAGTCCGTGCCAGTGGGACAGTGCGACACGGTCACAAGACATGGCCTTGATAGTCGGATAGGTAGAACGGAGGTTGAATGTGCCGGAAAAATTAGCGAGTTGGGGGTTACAGCCGAGTGGGGGAGAGCCGAGCCGACTAATGGCGCAATTCAGGTGCTTGGAACTCGCGCAGGTTCGCGCGAGTGTGTACCCCACACTAGTGATTGTGGCGAGGAAGACAATAACTTACCCTAAAGCAAGCACGGGAGGCGAAAAAAAAAAAGAAAAGTATAGCAAAGCACTGGGCTCCCCCGGCGATATCGGGGATACCACCCCCAGCCCAGCCCATGCTTTTCTCTAATGACGCTAGAGCACATGTCTGTTAAATCTACTCTTGATCTGAGCTGGTGACAGACAGGTCCTTGCTCGTGGGGAGGGCATATAGCTTAGAACCTAGGATTGGTTGTTAGGTTAAGGGGGTCCTTAATCAAGCCAAGCCATAACCAATAATTTCTAGCCAATCATCATCTAATTAATTCTTTCTCAAGGTCTCGGGCCAATTAAGCCGACGGAACCCTGTCAGGTATGAGTAAAGTGCGTGCAGGCCCAAAGAAGCCTCCAAGTCCAATCCTACACACGCCCACACACACACAATCGATCCCACCTTCCTCTGCCCTGGAACATGCGGTGCAGGCTTTAGTTGCGCGACCGGATTTGAACTCGAGCAAGTCACCGAGAAAGCCATTTGGTTGTACTGAAGAACCACCCCCATGGCTGAGCTACGCGCCAGCCAGCGTGTGCCATTACGCTGTACAGAATGTGCCCGGCGTCGAGTCAAGTGTGATAAGAAGGTCCCCTGCGGCAGATGCACCGCGAACCGCTGCGCCCACCTCTGCGTCCGCGAAATTGTTCGGGTGCGAGGGAAACCGACAGTGTGAGCAGTATAATCCCTGCCAATACCGGCCCGCCGACTAATCCCGATAATCCAGCGCTACGCCGATAGAGGATGCCAATGCATCGCTGGCCCGGCAGAACTCGAGGTTGCAGGAGCGGGTGGCCGAGCTCGAGCTGGCCCTGACGAAGAGCTTCCGGGGCCGAGTTGGAGCGCGACCGTTACAAATACGTGACGCTACCGCCAGCAAAGATAAGCGGGCAGCGACTGAGGCTCATCAGGTCAGTCCCTTTGGGGAGGTCGGAGCCATCCTGGACGAGTGGAATCTCGGTCTGTTCAAGGATTCGGAATTGGGAGATCCAACTTCGGAAAAAGACATGCACTTCCTTGTCGAGACGCTGAAGTCCGTCCCTGGTAAGCTGACAAGCACCCGGATAGTCGAGTTCTCCTTGCAGATGTTGGGATGGATCCACTGTGCGCTCCGTGCAGATCAGTTTCTCGCCGAGCACGAGGCTTTCCAAAATGCACTAATAGCCGGCACGTTTGAGGTTCTTCAGGATCACAAGTGGATGGCTATCTACTTCAGCGTCCTGGCAGTACGTCCAGCCCGTTTTGCGATGTAGTCGGCAGGTTCCTTACTGACATTTTTCCTAGTCGGGACTGTTCTTCATGGGTCACGAGGATACGTTGTCTCTGGATCTACCGTTGGTCGAGCAGAGCCCGTATCCTTTCTCAGTATGCCACCACTGGTATCGTGCGGCTCTCCAGCACCTCGAATATTCGGATGCCATGGGCAAACCGCGGCTGCATGTGGTGCAGGTTGCTGCCATTCTGACGCTGTGTCATTCTCATTTTGGGCAAAGATACCGGGACATTAACCTATCGAGTCTTGCTCACAATACCGCCCGTGCCTTACAGATGCATCGCCTCGGTTCCGAATCCTCATATCCTAAAAGCTTGGAGCGTATCCCAGAGTGGTCGGAACAGACGGGTAGGGAGCTTGGGCGTCGGCTGTGGTGGACATTGGTCATATGCGACTGGTAAGTCCGTACTCACGAGTCTCCAGAGAGCGGCACATGAATGTTGCCTGACGTATCCCCAGGTTAGCAGGTCCTCGTTTTCCGTCCTCTATTCCGGCGGATTCCTTTGACTGCATTCTCGAGATAGGACGTTTTGACTACAACGTCATCCTGGGAGGATCTCCACTATCCGATGGTGTGGTGGTATTCTCTCCTCTTCTTCATCACATACAGCTAGCGAGGCTTTCGCAGGTACTTCATGAGTACATGCAAATTTCAAAGGAGTCTCCCGCAGGGCTATGTGTATTGCTTAACAGGCTAGATGAGCTAGAAGATGACTTCGTGTTTAAGGCCGACCGCCTGTCGGCAAGTTTCAGTGAAGGTATAAACCAGGGCCAGCAAGTGCCGGTGTGGCTTTTGGGGCAGCGGTCTCATTATCTGTGCACTATAAATTTCCTTCGATTGATACTTTGTCGGGCTTTGTTGCAGCGAAGCTTCTCCCAGCTTCCAGCTTGGTCCGAGATTCGTGCTCACGGGATGCGAGCGGCCCTAGCGATTGTCAATATGCAGAACGTACCTCCGACGTACCAACTGCTATGGTAAGCTACTCCATCCTCCACTATCAACGATGTCAGCCCCTATATTAACAATGCCCCATTCCCAGGGTTTTTGGGTCTTCCACGATTGCCGCCGGAGTCTTTCTCTGCCTAGATCTCCTTACCTCCGATCAGGACAGAACGGAAGCCCAGATACAGGAACAGAGAGCCTCTGTGGAAGATTGTATCGTTGCTCTTCAGAAATACAGTTACAAGACAAATATTTGTCGAGAGGGCTCCAAAACGCTTCGCCGACTCTTGGACTTGGAAGTGGCTCAACAAAACAGACCTGTCGACCAAGACGGGTTGACACAGCTCATCGAGAGTATGGTCCGTCTATCTGAGAAAGGATCGCCAGAACCTACGGTCAATGAACATGGCCACTCGTTGTGGCCAGCTCTAACGGTAGGCCAGGTCGGCAGCCCCATCGGTGACGAAGAACCTTCCTTACCAACAGTTGCATCGTCTACTGTCCCGGGAATTGTCAGCGGACATGGCCAGCCAGATGCGTATTGGCTCATGGATAGCATTATTTTCCCGGGGTATTAGAGTCCTATGTGTAGCTACAGGAGTAATTATTGGACACAAGGCCAATTGGAAAGGAAAAATGGCGCATTTCTGTTCGACCGAATTTCTATTCCTACCTGCTAGGATGCTATATATGGCTTAGTGGAGAGGGTGGCTCGACTTTGGCTCAAATCACAGGAAGGATGACACGACTTGGGTACTGCCCACCAATGTGGAGAATATGGTTTCCGACATTGTCCTCTCCAGAAATCGGTTTAGGCTTCTCCGCAGCCGCATAATCCTTGAAGAGGGGATACTGTCCTTGGATTTCCACACTAAGACTTTCTCCCGCCTCATATTCAATACCCATGGCCCACAAGCCGATCTGAAGCTCGATGACCTCTCCCTTGCTGAGCTTCTCCTCCCGGTCGTGAGTATGGAATGGGTACTGGGAATGAATGCTCATAGTTGGGTCAATATGGCGACGGGACGCTCTGAGGATGCCAAGCGGGCCAAAATAGAACAAGAGGTTGTGGTGATCCTTGGGATCTATCCCGTCAAACGACTTGGTCGGTGCGTGGCTCCAGGGGATGTTTAAATTGAGCAATGCCTTTCCGTTGCGATCCAGTTTCCGTATGAGAACGTAGATATTCATGTCATCCGAGTCGTTGGTAGACATGTAGAGAACAGCCTTCGGCATGCCTGCTAGTCTCGTTTTTTCGGAGAATGTGTATGTAAAGGAGACTTTCTCAAAGCTGTTGTTTCTGATCTCCGAGAAGTACGACACGGTTTGCGTTTTCTTCGGCGCTTCCAGAGAAAGTGTCATGTCAGGGCTTAGGAAGAAGTCGGTGTACTTCGTCCGCGGAATCGGGTAGTCCTCCTCCACGATGGGATAAATAGGGTCTTTATCCCCGAATCTGAGCAGAGCCAGTCGAACACGAGGGACCTTTTCAAATCCATTGTCCTTGCCCTTGAGGAATTTGTCGAAGAAAGCTGCAAGCTCATCCCGAGATTCCTTGACTGTCCACAAGTCGAACCATTCCTGATAGGGGTCCCATCTGAGCCACTTGTCCTTGGTGTCAACATCCAGCCAGCCACGTATAGAGCCCATTGTGTGTACAAAAGTTGAATAAGACGCCACAATATAGGTTGGTATGTTAATGTTCTTGATGTTCACACGCTTGTCCTTCCAATAGGCATTTTGAAGGGGGCTGCGTCGGTACATTTCGGCGAAATGTTCGAGACCACCATGCCCCTGAATGACATTTTCAGTGATGCTGTCGAATAAAGCACTGTCCCAGACACCACCTCTAGCGAATTGTTCTCGGTAGAGATCTCCTGCAGCTTCCCAGGGAGCAATCGCCTTCAGAGAAGGCGGCCTCAAGGCGGCAATGAACCACTGAACAATGCCGAGGTGGGAGTTACCAGCGAGACCAATGTTTCCGGAACACCAGGGAAGCTTTGCAATTCCCTCAATCACATCATACCCGTCTTCCCCTTCCTGGGTGCCCATAATAACGACGGACCCTTCGGAATCCCCAGCTCCACGAGCGTCAACATTGACAATAGCGTAGCCCTGAGGGACATACTCAGCCGGGTCGGGACCCTCAAAACGTTCAAGACCGCTTGTCGTGCCCTGTGGAATGCCCATTCCCCAGGGAAGCGTCTTCATCACGGTAATGCCGCTGAGTTTCTTCCCAAATGGGCTCCATGCTATAATTGCCGGTACTTTCTCATTAGAGCAGGAAGTCGGGGGCCGGTAGACATCGCAATAGAGGGTGCAGCCGTCACGAACTTTGATGCCGACATCGTGGTCGACAAGGATGTCGGACGGCAAAGGGCGGGCTTTGTGGCCATTCCAGCCTTTGGGAAGGACCTCAGAGTGAGGGTTGAACCCTTGGTAGCCGTTTCTGCCTATGGTAGGCTTGCTGATAGTCGTCAAGCCCAACTGGACTGGAGGAGGCATGATGTGATTGTAGCCTGAGCAATGATTGGAAGAAATATAGCGGGTGGCAAATGGACTGCTGGGTAGGGCACGTAGAGAAGCTTTGCGGAATCGCTTGCTCGAAATGTCCCAGCGACGACTTCTTAAGTCCCTACCAGTCCTCGACGGGGCCTTACCATAAGTGAATATGACTGCCACTCGGCAGTCTATCGACGGTAGTTGTGTCGATGTGGTCTCATGGGTGGCTCTGTTGTGAGCCGAATACGTCCGGAACAGTGGGTCGGCGAACGATGCGGAGTAGACGCTCGCGCGAGACTCGCACGAGGACGCGCGAGCCTCTCAGGACTGCAGCCCACAGGCCCTTTACTAGATGCTGCTCTGGCTCGCCCAGACATATAAGTGGGGAAATTATGCTCTCGATAAGCCGCATGGTGGGGGAGGATCCTTGACGCCGTTTCTCCGGAATCAAGTGACTTGTCTGCTGCGGGCTCCGGGAAAGATGTTCTTCCTTGTAGGCACATCTTCCTGATACACGTGAGGTCCTGGGCTCGGGCGAACTTGCGCGAGCCTCTTCGTAATGCTTGTCCAGTTGATGTACTGTGGCAAACTTCCGATAGCATTTAAACCTGGTCAAGCGACGCCAACAGCAGGCGGTTGACATCCACATCCATCCTTTCTTTTTAGAACCCATCCTATTGACTACAGTCGAAGAAACGAAGAATACTAGGGCTACTTCCGACTTTCGTTTATTGACTTCCATTCTTCCTCCCGGCTTTCACCGCAAACATGTCGACTACTCAGACGACTGCAGCCGCTCCAGCGCCTTCTGTATCTCCAGTGGCTCCCCAGGCTGCCCCTTCCTTGGCCTTCAATTCTCAAAACGAGTACGGCGACTGGCGGGATGACTTCTTCAAGAATGGCTACTACGTCTTCAAGGGCGCCGTCCCTAAGGAGAAAGCTACTGAGTACTACTACAAGAAGGCCCTCGACTGGTTGCAGTCATTTGACAACGGTTTCGACCTCAACAACAAGGAAACATGGACAAAGGAACATCTTCCCCAGAGCTTCAAGAACATGTACCTACACTACTGTGCAGCCCAGGAGAAGTTTATGTGGGATGCTCGAACTGAACCTAATGTCATCAAGCCTTTCGCCGAGTTGTGGGGTACTGACGAACTGGTCGTCTCTTTCGATGCCTTCAATGTCACTCTTCCTGGTCGCAAGGACGATGATTTTCGTCCTTGGCCCCACACTGATCAGGCCCCTGAGCGCAAGGGTCTGTCGTGTGTCCAGGGTCTGCTGAACCTGACTCCCGCCGGCCCTAAGGACGGTGGTCTTTTGCTCACAGTCGGCTCCTCGGCCCTCTTCGAGGAGTACTTCAAAACCCACCCCATTCGTCCACGCATCAGCAGCGATGCCAAGCACTATGACCTTTACCTCTTCCAACCAGATGAACTTGAGTGGTTCAAGTCCAAGGGCTGCCGAGAGATCAAAGTCGAGGCAGAACCCGGTGACTTGGTCCTTTGGGATTCCCGTACTATCCACCACGTGGCCAAGGTTGAGTCTGAGCAGATCCGAAGCGTTATGTACGTCTGCATGACGCCGAGAGCCCTGGCCACGCCAGAGGACTTGGCCCTGAAGAAAGATATTTTTGAGAGATACGAGGCCACGACCCATTGGCCTCACTGCAATATCTGGCGCCAGGGCAAAGCAATGATTGATGGGAAACTGGATCCTCTCGAGCGGGATGAGCCTCTAGAGAAGCCGGTCTTGACAGACCAGATCCTTCGCCTTGCTGGTGTCAAGCCTTACAATGAGTAGTTTAGAACTTGGCGTGGACTGCATCTAGTAAACGACAGCCTGAACATACTTCAGGCTAAACAATAAGAGTCACTCGTTTATATGATATTTCCTGCGCTCAATCACTTTAATATTAATGAGCTTGTAGACTATTAAAAGTAGAAGCCAGCGTTACCGATCGGGTGCCTGTCTATCGGCCGAATAAACCTATGCCTTGCACGACACCACGTACACAAATCACAACCATCTTCGATAGCGCGGATTAAATCGTAAAGGGCAGTATGGCTACTGTAGTTGTACAACACCGGCTATTTCTGGGTAAGTAGAATAGGTAAGCACTTACCCATAGAACCTGCTGCGGGTAATGCTTTCTTAAGACAAACACTCCAATAAGCAAGTTTGTCCTCTTCGGATAGGCCTTACAAAGCGGCACGACGCACCTCATTTTCCCCTTCTTTTCCTGGTTACTTTTACCTCCTTCCTTCCAAAGGTTGGGTTCAAGGGTCGCACGTGTGGACTCTTCCAACCTTAATGTACAGAAGAGCATATCGTGATATCCAAATAAACATAAGACGCATTTTGAGGGCTATACTTCTATTCTCTGAACTATGTGTGCATGATTAACCTTCCCACATCATAGAAAAGGGGAACAGCCACATCAACACGCTCAGCACGTAAAAATCGATACTTACATATTCGTGGGCTACAACCATAACCATCCGGCATTCAATAATAACACTCAAAGGGGATAATTACGACTCAATTGCGGCGTAGGAGCCTTATCATCTCCAGTTCACCACATCTCTCAGGTACTACACATAGCCAGAGCTCGCCCCAGTCGGCATATCTTCCTTGTCCGTGGATTAGGGGTAGGCATCGTGACGTACTCTGACAGAAATAACACAATAGTCGGATTGTGCGGGGTCTTACTTTATGTAAACTGCTACAATAGTACAGACGAATAAGGTGTATAGAACATTGTCAGCTTAGGCTTCTAGGCCTGACCTTCAAGCAGACGCTTGGCATCCTGATCTGGACACGATGGCCAGGTGAAAGAAAACATATCTGGAGGTACCTCCGCGTTAGGAACATACTTCCGCAACTCGTCTAGCATCTCAGCCCGTCGTTCATCGTGCGTCTTAGACATCATCATGACCGTCACTGCTCGATCATAGCGGACTTTGTTGTATAGAGACAACCGGTGGGGCACCTGATCCGGCCTCGTGTCTGCTGGAAACACACCGCCCAATGCGGCTCCATCCTCAAACGCCTGCGCACTACCTTGCCCTTGGTCTATTTATAGTTAGTGATAAGGAGAAATAGTGGAGAAGATTAATGATAGGCCTACGAGGAAGTGTTGGATGCGCTGCGTCGCCCACCAAAGCAAGCCTGCCCTTGATAAACGTGGTTGGCGGGGAGCGCGACGCCAAGCTCCAGAGCTTGAGGTCCTCGGCCATGCGGCAGAGTTCTTGGAGCTCTGGACCGAATGAGGAATAGGTCTCGAGGAGCTGTTCAAGATTGCCCGACTCGAGCCAGGAAGCCTCTTGGACCTCAACTGAACCCGCTGGGTGAATCGCAACAATGTTCAGGAGATGTCCTTCGCGGCAAGGATAGATTACGAGGCGGCGATCAGGACCGGTGAAAGCGTGGACCCCATCCAACCCGGTCCTGGTCAGCAACTCTGCAGTCGAAGGATTCGCCTGCGCCTTTGATATGGGAACGAGGAACCGGAAACAGTTTTGGCCGGTGCTCTCTCTTCCTCGGTCCTCCCCGACGATAGCGCGCAAAGATCGGGACTACCCAACACCTTATCAGTACCAGGTTTCCTGTTGGGGCAACGAGTATTTGTACATGCACCCCATCTGCTCCCACAATTAAATCGCCGTTGTAGGTGGTTCCGTCCTCTAGTGTGACAACTCCGGCCTCAGCGTCCTGGACGAGAAGAGGAAAGGAATTAATAGACAATCAACCTAGCCGAAAAGGACAGGGCTGACTTACCACAGAGACCACACGCGACGAAAGGTGAATGTCAATCTTTCGACCGTCCACTTCCTGAGCTGCCACAGAGCGCAGAGCATTGTGGAGATCCACACGATGGGTCAGAACCCAGTCATCTGTAGTGTTCAACTTCTGTTGGAGGTCTTTCGTCACCTACAGATAAAGTGTCAATTAGGATATCGCTCGCTGTTACCCATTATGTGCTGGAGGATTATAGAGCATACAACGGGCGTCCACAGAAGCTTTCCATCTCGATCCCAGACCTGCAGGCGTTTGCACTGCACGGGTTGCAGGTCCTTGAAATTACAACCCCAGTCCTTCAAGACCCGCGTAGCGTTGGGTGCGACGTGAATCGCCGCGCCCACTTCATTGTGGAAACCGGATTGTTCAATAACCTGTTATCACAAAGCTAAGCCTCGTCAAGTCATGGCCCAAGTCGGCGAGGAAGCGTAATCTATACCTGAACATTGTGGCCCGCACGATGAAGGGCAATGGCGGCACCCAGGCCACCTAGACCCGCGCCAACAACGATCACTTGCAAAGGCATGGAAATAGAAGAATGGACGAAGCTATTCTACCACACGTGGTTTAATATTGCCGTTTATAGTATTCTCGGCAGGAATCAATGCGGTCCCTGGTACAAAGAGAAATCCATCGGCTCTGCCCACATCAGCCGAACCCGCCGGGCCGACACGAATGCCCTCTCCACCCTCTCCACTCACTACTACGGCAAGTGCTGAGTCTATGGTTTTCCACATTGTTACTATAGATTCCCTACCCACTCCACCCCCCAAGGTCATCCGTTTATTTAATCTTCGCGACACCCGATTCACTGAGGAGTGGAACCCTCTGTTATTCAAGATGCCTACCACTGAGCAAGTAAGAGATATTTTTGCCCCTTTGGGAGAAGGAAAAGGCCCCCTTTTCTTCGAGCATATCGCCGACGATGTGGATTGGCAGGTAAAAGGTGAGCAATGACCATGAGTGTGTCTTTCCCTTCGCTTACGTGGCTCATGGCAGGGACTTTTTGCCCTATTTCTGGGCATTACCATTCCAAGGCCGCCTTCCACGAAGGGACCAAGCCTCTCAGCTCAACCTGGGCGACTCCATTGAAGTTGGAAGTTCAAAACATCATCTGCGACGGTCATCAGGCTGCGGTCGAGCTTAAGGCTGTAGACACCAAGTGCAAGAATGGTCTGCCGTTCACCAATGAGTATACGTGGGTATGCGAGTTCAACGAACAGAATAAAATCGTCAAGATGCGTGCCTACATGGATACGTAAGTTCTCTTAGTCGTCATGGGTACATTATACTATGTGTTTTATTGACTCGCTCTAATATCAGTGATCTGGTCGTCAGAGCCATTCGGGAGAATCAGTGATCGTGTGCCAGAGGCCAGGCTGTGTTGTATTCTAATGCTAGATGGACATCTTTCTCAAGTCACCGCAGCGCTGGACGGAACTAGTCTCGAGGTAGCGACTAGGCCGCTTGAAGAATTAGGACAGTATCTTACAGGATTACAATGCGAGCATGCAAGTGACAACAGCGAAGCTTGGCCATGATGTATGCGCAGAGGTACGCAAATGAGTTACATTATATATATTATTGGATCAAGGCAGGAAGTGAAGACAGCTCATTGAATTATTAAATCAGTCTTTTCATGACTCAGAACACAGATGTTGTTACTAATAAGTCCAGTAACCAACTAGTTACAGTAGTTAGGTCGTAACTCTAAAAGCCTCTGGGATTCCCTTGTCGCGAAGAGCTTCTCCCACAACAAACGGTTCTGAAGGGAGTAGGACAAAAATAACACGGGACACTTTATCTGTCGGATTGTTCCACTGGTGCATAGTCTGTTCCTGTATTAGCTCTCGAGTCTCTGATGTATACGTGGGAGGGCCGGAGGCCAACTGACTGCCTGTTGTACGACAACGTCACCAGCCCGGACCGTAGTTTTGGACCCGTCATCTAGGAGCATCTCCATTTCGCCCTTTAGGATGATCGCGTAGTCAACGGATTGTGTGCGATGGTTGTGGCCGGTAGAGTTCGGTGGAAAATCCACGACACGAATAAGAGAACCCCTGCTGTACATCTGCTTGCTGCGGCTATCGATACTGGGATCGTTTGTCGTTAGTTCCGCCGGATATCGACTGGTCATCCAGATGGTTGCAGCGTGGGCGGCAAAGCCCTCGTTGGGTTCTAGGTAGCCGTCAAACAGAATCGCAGATTGAGAACCATGGTGCGTAGTCACAACGCGGCGAAGAGGACCGCCTGTTGATGCCATGTTGAACAGGGGAAAGAGAGAAGATTAACGCCAGGAATGGGAAATTATCGAGAGGATCATTCTCTACGCTATTCATTCACGGGCCTGCCATTTATATGGCAGTCCTCACCGTATCGCATCCTAGAAGGGAACCAATGCCGATGCCTGGTTCCGCGTCGCCTTCTCCCTTGGCCCCAGATTCTAATTTACGGAAGAGCTCCGCACCCCAGGCGGTTATGATGATGACAACGTCCCGGGATTTACCCCAAGTTTGACCCCTTTATCGTAGATTTCGGCCCCGCTCGGATACCCCACACGCGATCTCGGGCGAGGGGTGGGATGCAGAATACTCCGCGAAGAATGGAATTTTTATAAAGGCAGGCCGAGGTACTGGCCGTTAGAAGCCAGAGTACAATAATCCTCAGGTTGTTTTCAAATCAAGCTCATACTCATCATGGCTTTGACGATCTCTGGTTTCGACGTTGCCCAGGCCCCAACTATTGCGCCGGAGGATAAAGCTGCCTGCCAATCGGCCCCATTCCATCCTTCCATGGAAGAGCTTCCAAAGGGCTTCCGAAAAAGTGAGAAGAATGCCGCATTTCCTGTAGACACCATTTTCGAACGGGATGTGGCGGTCCCCATGAGAGATGGAGCTAAGATCTATTGCGATATCTTCCGGCCCAAGGGGAAGTCTAACATTCCGGCAATTCTCATATGGAGTCCATATGGCAAAGGTGGCAATGGTTAGTGAGAGCCTTGGTATTTTTGCGCAGTGTACGGCAAAGGATTCAACGCTTATTCAAAACGTTGTCTAGGGCCTCATGGGCTTCATATGATTGAAGGTAGATTTGGGGTCCCGGAAGAACGATTGAGTGGATATGAGAAATTTGAAGGACTCGATCCTGCCGACTGGGTTGGTCATGGATACGCAATTCTTAACTTTGATCTGCGCGGCTGTTGGAACTCTGAGGGCACCATCCCGTACGTCTATTGCAAAGCGACTAAGGCCATATACTAATCCATGTTGGTTTAGATGGCTAGGATCTCAAGATGGCCGAGACGGCTATGACGCGATCGAGCATGTAGCTCAATTGGATTGGTGTAACGGAAATGTGGCGCTCGCTGGCAACAGCTGGCTGGCCATGTCTCAATGGTTCATTGCGGCAGAGCAGCCTCCTCATCTGGCCGCGTTTGCACCATGGGAGGGAGCCAGCGACTTCTACCGAGACACTCTTTGTCGCGGTGGCACACCCCATCCTTATCAGCGATTCTGGAAGATCCTCGAATCATCTATGGTTGGTCGGGGCCAGGTAGAGGCAATTACCGAGATGCTTACTCGGTATCCGCTATACAATGAGTACTGGGAGGACAAAAGGGCCAAACTAGGTCGGGTTAAAGCTCCGTGCTACGTTCTTGCCAGTTACTCGACCTCGCTTCACACGAGCGGCTCTATTGGGGGATATAATGCCTTGGGAAGCCCTGATAAATGGTCAGAAACCCCGACTCTTGCTCCTGGTGACTTGCCGTCTATTTGTCATACTAACATATTTGTTAGGTTGCGGGTGCACCCCAAACAAGAATGGTCTGATCTATATTCAGATGAAAGCACAGAGGACCTTCGCAAATTTTTTGACTACTACACCAAAAACATTCAGAACGATTGGCCTGCCACGGCCCGGGTCCGGGTGTCCTTATTGCCTTTCAATGATGTAGGTTTGTGATCCTCAATCGACTATTACAACCGGCTGACCCCGATATGGAAAATAGGCGCCGATTGAAAATAAACCATTTTCAACCTATCCCGTGCCGCAATCTCAATATACCAAATTGTTTCTGACCGAGAGCGGTGATCTATCCCCTCAACCGCCTTCCTCGTCGTCTCAGCTGTCCTACCTATCGGACTTTGTTCCCACAAAGCCAGATCACAATTCCGAGGAGCTTCTCTTTACCTACAAATTCCAAAAGCCAACCTGGCTAATCGGATACAGCAAGGCTATTCTACACCTCTCAGCAGATGTACCGCAAGAGCTGGACGTGTTCGTCCAGTTACGGAAAATGGACAAGTCGGGAGCAATTTTGCAATATATGAACGTACCACTAGGTCGGCTAGTGCCACCAAAGAGCAGCCCCGACGAAGTACCCAATACTTGCTTCCTCAAGTATCTAGGTCCTACAGGTGTTATCCGAGCCACTCACGCGGTATCCAAAATTCCCTCCTCGGACTCCAACACGTGGCCAGAGTATCGCCATGACCAAAAGGAACCCGTGGCAAAGACGGGCCAAATATATCGTCTGGAAGTGCCCATTTGGCCATCTGGTATTACCTTCAATCCCGGGGAATCTTTGGTGCTGAAGGTGTCAGGTCACTATATGAGCATGATGGAGTTTGAATTCTTGAATAACCACCCTGACACCGAGAACAAGGGCCTTCACACCCTTCACTTGGGGGAAGGGGATGGAAGCTACTTGGTTGTTCCATTTGTTGAACCCTTTTAAACTTCGCATATCAAATTTTCTAGGTAGAGTGACTTAAATCCAAAAAAAATAAATAAAAATAAAATAAAAAAAAAGAAATGCCACGTTGCCGCGAGTGTGCTGTTGACATCTTACAGCGGGTATTGTTTTCAAGCCATAACTGCTAAGTAGATTTGTATCGCCATCATCTGTTCCATGACAGATTAATAGTATGCTAGCAACTTAAACACGTACAAAATTTACTTCTCTGTTTTCTAAACAAACAAGATCATGCCTATAGAGGTGCCCAGGCGCAATGCGGCTTATTCCTCGAAGACGTTCAATAATAGATCCGTTTCACACCTTTAAAGACAGCAAATACGAATCCTGATGCAGCAATAGCAGTAACGCTCAGGCCCACGATTAGGCCTTGCTCAAAATACGAGAGACGACCGCCAGTGGGCTGTGCGATTTTCTTCGGATTCAGCCAACCATTACGGGACACCACGTGGTTCTGATTGGGCTCTTGTAGGATAGCCCTATTGCGGGAAAACTCGTCTGGGCGGAACGGTAGTGCAAAAGTATCGTGTGTCGAACTTGGAGCAATCATGACTAAAAGGAATAAAGTCAATGCTAGCTTCGCATACGTGTATCGGGGACTACATACCAAATGACCGCGGGGGAATGTGATTGACAAAGCAATGCTCTGAGTTAAGAAACTGGGACAGGTACCAGGTTTCTTTCCCTTCCCCGAATACATAGGTCGCCGAGGCTGGCGTGCCGCCGTTGCTAACGGAGTCAACTTGGGTTTCTTGGCCCTATTTTGACAATCTGATTGGACCTACACCTTGTTCCACAAATCAATTCCGTAGTCGAGACTGCTGGTCGGGATCAACAAGATACCCTGGTATAACTTTGTGACCAGGTTTGCGACCTGGCCGACGGTCTCAGAATTGATCGAGCTGGAACCGTGGCGATCGTCAGCCGGGTCAATACACCAATCCTCGATGGGCTCAACCTTACTCGGTGGATTGCAGCACAATTAGGCTAGACAATTTGTTTGCAGCGACTAGCGGTTCCTTCTTTTTGAGAGAGGGGAAAGAGGACACCAAAAGATCGACAAGTTCTGTTGCAGTAGACTGATTAGGCATGGGAGCCTGAACATTCTCTGTCGTGTCAAGGCGTCGCTGCATGAGCGACATCAGCTGCTCGATCACGAATTCGTCCACAAAGCAGAGCCGAGGCATCCGTCCAGGGTGCTGGCGAGGGGCATTCAATATCGACTGCTCTAGCCAGGTTGCAACTTTCTCCAGCTTCGGGGTGCTGCGGTCAACAAACACGGCAGGGAGGCCGGTCGCAGGAGTGTGGATTCGTATAGCTGAGTTGGTTTGCCGCAGCGCAGTTGCAAAGTCATGGCTGCTCGCCGGGTCTTGTAAGACTGCCAATTCGAAGCGCAGCTTGCTTAACCATTCTAGGCGGATGGGAAAGTCCGCAATGCCAATTGCCTCCTGGTCCATACCAATCTGGATGATGTTGTAGAGGACTTGGCTGATCGACGGCGATGCGGTGCACAAGAGAACCAGGCAACAGCTTCCCGCGGCGACAGCGGCTGCCAAGGGAATGATAGTAGACGACAGAGGGCATGGCAGTGCCGCTTGAATCAGGACCGGGCCCAGCGCCACAGGGTTCAAGGGAGCTTCTTGGCCGGCTTGGACAGATCTTTCTCTCGCGAGGGCGGAAGGGAAGTCCAATTGTTCATACAGTCGCTTAACTGCATCCAGACTGAGCTCAATCTCCTCTGATGTACCGGCTTCGCTAGCACAAAGATCTTTAATATAATATAAAACGAGTTAATTAAGATCGCACAGGTCGCAGTCATCTCTCTGGGGTGGTCATATTCCCTCAATGATTGCGTACCCTTGGAAAACGCAGCGATCAAGCCAGACCGATGGTTCTTTAATGCGGCATGCAAGCCTGCGAGTTCTTTCTGCCTCTGGAGAACATTTTCCAACCGGCCCTCAATCCAGGCAGACTGCACAACGTCGTATACCTCTGCCAACGACATGTTCAACTTGGTGCAAGTTAATCAGAGAAAGGCCGCTGGGGGTCAAGCACGAAAGATAATCGGAGTTGAATATGCATTTGGATGGGCCCTGTGGATGTCCAAGGTTTCTATTTCCATGTTCCTTCGAGAATTGCGGAACCGAGAATGAGCCGGGGGAGCTGCGTTAAGGCCGGTCGGTTCGGCTCCACAGGCGGCAAAAGTGGGCGCGCGAAGCTCACACCAGCTTAGTAGCATTCAAAACACTGACCCTAAAGTGAAAAAATAACTGTTGCTGAACTGGGGGGTGTACACGAGAAACGTGGTAGCCTTAACTCTTCGATCTTCCAGTGTCCAGAGATACTCGCCACTTATTGTCTAGTACATCGTTCACAATCTGAGGGTGCAAAAATGGCGAGCCAAAAAAGTACGGCAATGATGTAGACTTCCGCGAATATTAGGAATGGGGTATGCTGACAGCGACGTGTGTCGCCTTTAGAACCAACTCCGGTATTTCTCTTTGCACATGGTTCGACCATGATGCTAGGCGAGGAGTCGGAGCCTGCGAGAATCTGGGAGGAGGTAGGAAACGAAGCCTTGAGACGAGGAATCAAGCGGATCGTTATGATGGTGAGCTTCCCTCTCTGTGCGCTTCAGAGAAAAGTGGCTGTTGAGGGACTTCGAGCATTGACAGGGCGTCTTCGATGCACAGGGTGCCCACTGGGAGACACTTGGAGATGCCGTAGAAGTCAGCATGAACCCCGACCCAAAGAAGTTGCCTATGGGCGGTGTCCGTGACGATCGTTACTTGCCCTACAGGCTGGCACCCGATATCGAAGGAGGCCAAGAGGTGCTGCAAAGGCTCCGCGCTGCTGGGATAAACGCTCGGGCAGCGCCCAAGTTCGACTGGATCCATGACACCTTCCTGGTAATCATCCGCATGTTTCCGCACTCTGTGCCCATTCCGACGACCGTGATCTCCATGAATGCTCGATACGATCCGCACTTCCACATCAAACTGGGTACCACCCTGCGTCCGATGCGGTACGACGGTACCTTGATCATTGGCAGCGGAGGCTCTGTCCACAACCTCTACCGGAACCACTGGGAGCACATGTTTAGGTTTGGCGACAACTTCGCGCAGCCTGTGCCCCCGGATCCCTGGGCATTACAGTTTCGCCAGGCGGTGGAAGACGCGATCCTGGGCAATAAGGGCCCAGAGGTGCGTCGTGCATTATCTCGGTTGATGAAGCACCCGCGCTTTCGGGACGCTCATGGAACCGATGACCATTGGATGGCTTCTTTATTCGTTGCTGGTGCGGCTGGAGGGGTGGAGGACCAGGGTCCTAACACCATGATGGGAGAATGCTGGGAGCTGGTCAATATGTGCAACACTCAATATCAGCTGGGTCCGTGGAACTAGTGTGGAAAGTAGATATTTGGTTGCAACTTGTTCTTTGACTGGTTTACTTGCATATATAGTAAGTTTTCAGTAAATGTAGTCCTCGGTCATGCGAAAGGAACACATCGGAAGGGAAGGGAAATTCTGGTATGCACTGGTGATGAATGCAGCCAATGATTCCAAATCGGAGGATACGAAATGTTTTGATTCTAAACTATCTACATTATCCTTATTTATTGTTATGGTTTCGGGCGTTTTAATTATTCAATCATTCCGTCCAGGACCGGGTGGGAATTGAAGAACCTTTGGCTTCAAGCTAGAGGAGAGAATGTATTCATGCAGAGTGGGAACGACTTTTAAACCCAGACAACATACAGTTGCGATACGGAGATACTTGTTCCCTGCAACATACCCATCAAAATTCACCACCTATTCTTCCAACCCCGAGGTTGGTGACCTTTCCAGCTGTGCTTCTCCACAGCGACGACCAGTTCTGCTCAGGAAGCGGTTAGTGGCTTACAAGACAGCCAAGATACACAGCATGCGTACTCACTGCAATCATGGAACATCCCGCGATCATAAACGTGCCCACGGCCTGGAAAAGCGGCCTCTGCCGCCTCTGCTCGCGGTCGAGCTCTCTATTCACGGGGCGATAGTCGGGAACTCGACGATATACCCGGGGCCACCATGCTGGGTTGGACACCGGGTAGGCAACTGGAGGGTGCGGTGCAAGAGTGGGATTGAACTCTGGCGGTTGTGCTTCGCGCTGAGGGCGGCCAGCAACGGTGACTAGCCGAGCAGTATGCTGCTGCGCGTCCGGTCGTTCACTCGGACAATGATAGATGTCGTAATCGCTAGTAAGGCGAAGGGTGGCAGCATCGAGATTCCCGGTCGCATGTCCTGCTCCTGTCCGTGTTGTCACTGCTGCCATGGCGGACTGGGGTTTGAACGAGATCAACGAGGCATGACAGAAGTCAAGTCCAGCCTCCGAAGGTATAGACAGGCTAGTTGGAATGGCAGATACAGTGATAGATCATTGGAAGATCGGCACCGGGTGGTGTGTGCTTCGTTCGGGGTTAAAAGGAGTTAAAAGAAGAGGTGTGGAGCCGAACCGATGAGCATACACACACAGCACATGCACCACGTAATGCCGATGCGTCGGCAAATCCAGTCCGAGTGTACCAAGAAACTATAGATCTGAGTTCATGCTTTGATTTTGAGATCTGGTCTTCTTTTCGTAAATTGAATTCCTCCCTGATCCTCTCTCTTTCCGCAGAATATCGCGTCTACAGACCAGGATGGCCGAAAACAAGTTTGCCGAGATTGACAGCGATAGCTTTCCTTACGTCTTTATGAAAAATGTGGAAATTCCACTGAAGACATATGAGAAGGGGCTCCTCCGGTGCAACGTTTATCTTCCTAAGGATTCCGCTCCTTTTGGACCTAAGACCTACCCGGTTATTGCCACTTACGGCCCTTGTAAGTACGATCCATGAGTAGGTCGGCGGAGAGTGCATTGGCTAACGCCATAGGATTACCCTACTAGATGGCAAGGATGTTCCGTACGAGAGCTTTTTCAAGAAGAGCTGGGACCAGGTCAACCCAGAAATGAAATCGGCCCATTCATCCTGGGAAACCCCTGACCCAGGCTTTTGGACTGGCAAGGGATACATTGTCGTCCGCACCGACGAGCGAGGCTCCGGTCAAAGCCCCGGGGAGCTCGACACCATGTCGCGCGGTACAAGTGATGCTTTCTTTGATGTCATCGAGTGGGCCGCTGAACAGGAATGGTCGTCCGGCAGGGTGGGTTTGCTGGGGATCAGTTACTACGCTGGCACCCAGTGGCGAGTGGCCGCTCGCCAGCCAAAGGGTCTGTCAGCTATTATTCCTTGGGAGGGCATGAGTGACTACTACCGCGACCGAGTTCGCCACGGCGGTATTTTGTCTGATCGGTTCATTGGTGAGAAGACACTTGTTTAAGTATAACCCACATAGCGCTAATGGCAGTCCTTGCCCTGGTAGACTTCTGGTGGAATAACGGTGTTCAACCGAATCAGTACGGAATACCGGGTCGCGCCGCTCGGAAATGGGGTGATGACACCCTCGAGGGTGACCTAGATTCCGAGACGTTGGTTCGTAACCGTCGCGACCAGACCCTGGACACTGCCATCCATAAGTATATGGATGAGGAGTACTATAAAACAAGGAACTTTGACCTTTCTAGCATCCAAGTTCCTCTGTTGAGCGTTGCCAACTGGGTAATCACCCCTTCCTTTCAATGGCTCCCTACCGGAAATGTTTTGACAGGTTCATATTTAGGGTGGCATCCTGCTTCATTTGCGTGGAAATGTCATTGGGTGGATGCGCGCATCGTCGCCTTACAAGTTCTTGCGTTTTATCGTCGGGCGTCACGATTTGCCTTTTTACTACCCTCATTCGGCCAAGCTGCAACTCTCGTTCCTGGACGCCTTCCTAAAAGACAACGACTACGACGGCTGGAAGTCGGGCCAGCAGCCTCGCGTTCATGTCTGTTTGCGCAAAGGTAACTGTGGAGTGGATGATCCCGAGCGTGAATTGAACTTCCCTAGTCGTGCCGAGCCCGACTGGCCGATCCCAGACACGCAGTACACCAAGTTCTTTCTCACGGCAGAACAGACTCTGTCTCAAAAGCCGACTCCGGCCAATGCCGCCTGCACATATGACGCGCTCAATGGGTGTGTACTTGATATTACCCCACGTCCTAAGCAGTGGGTGGACACTGGTCTAACATGTCTCTTCCTCCTCACATAGAAGCCCTGTCACTTTCGAGTACAAATCCCCAAGAAGCCTCGAAATTACCGGCCATACATTGGTCCACTTGACGGTTTCGTGCTCTCGGTCCAGTCCTGATGCTTTACCCCCAACTGAAATTGACTTGTTCGTCACACTGCGCAAGCTGAATGCCGACGGCGAAGAAGTATTTTACACCGGGACCATGGGTGATCCCGTGCCAATTGTCAAAGGCTGGCTACGTACTTCGCTACGGAAAGTTAATTACAGCCATCCCTTCAATCGAGATATCTTGCCGTATCGAGACTACTTCCGCAGTGATGTACAGCCCGTGAAGGAAGACGAAAAGTATGAGGTTGACGTGGAGGTGTGGCCGACCAACACTATTCTGGAGCCTAAGGAAACGCTGGTGCTTGAAATTGCGGGCCATGATACTCAGGGCGTGGGTAAATTCTCCCACGAGCACCCTGAAGATCGTGACCCCAAAGCGCTGGGCGGACTCAACCACATCGAGGTGGGCCAGGAGAACAGCTGGGTTGTGCTTCCTGTCATCCCACCCAGATAGACTGAAAGGACTACCTTCTTGCTAGCGAAAACTGTTTTGCGGTATAGTTTCTTTAACTTTCACCCTTTTTTTATTTATATATACCGAATTAGATGAGTGTATACCGTTCCTATATGGGAATCGATTATATTCACTGAAATAGATCATATAGTTATACACCTGGCCCAAAAGACACATAGTACCGTTTGCTCAGCCTCCAATACAACGAGGGTGGATTTAACCGAATACCAGGATTTGCCAAGATTATGGTTGACTACCCTCTCAAGATAATTGGCTTCAGAGACCATACACACATCCTTGGCGTGTAAAGGATGGCTGCCTTTGTGCTATCAAGAATTGTTCGCTGTTGAAACTATGTTGGAACTACTCTTTCTATGTTAACGTACCTCTCAAGCGAGCACGTCACCCAAGAGCAAACAACCTAGATTCCGAGCCGAGAACACCACTCGGGTATTTGTGGGGAACCGAAAAATCATTTGTGGCTGGAATCCCTTCCACTTCTTGGCCCTCGGCAATATCTCCTGCGAATTTCCATTGCCAACAGAGATAAAAATATACACTAGATTTTCTTTATATAGGTAATTGAATATGGGAAGCTAACTGACATTAGAAATTGACAATGAAGTATCTGGCTCGATCTTTATATTCGTACACTCAAAAACAAATCAATCACTGTGGTAAGAGAGACCTCAACTATTATCTCTGAAAACAATATTTGCGGAAGGCTTCCGCTACTTGTATTTAACTCCGAGATAAACAGCGGAACTTAAAGCATGTACAAAATGAGGTTCAGTCTCTTATTGGCCCTAAATGGAGGTATCTGATGTGTTTAAATTGGTTCTCCGCACTTTACCCCAGATTTGGGAGCACCAGGCCGGGGTGTGGGGCCGAAGCATGTAAGCATTAAATACTGAAACAGTCCGAGCGCAAACCCATCTACAATATCATACACGCTCTACGCAGAATTCAAGGAAATTTGGCATATGTGACTTGTTAACTTTTCACTCAACACTACTCAACCGTTTGGTTTCCTTGTAGTGCGTTACCATCAACTCTTTTCTCGCGCATGCGGTATGAGCTCAAATATGTCAAACACGATGAAAGAAAGCTGCGAGAATCTAGAGTCAATTCATGACTTACGGGATCACCCCAAGGTAGGTATCGGATTTTGAGATAGACTTGGCCAATATTAACCTGTTACTGTGCCAGAAATGGCCACTTGGCCTCAGACTTGCGATTCTAGCCAACGTATGCTTGATGGTCTTTCTGGGAAACCTCAACTCGGTACGATCCATGGACAAAGTTGAAGGAATACGAATTTATATTTTGTTTTAGGCTGGACTTCCTCCCGGATTTAATCAGCTTGTAGCTGAGTTTCAAATCAGCTACGAGGAAGCGTCATCTGCGGTCTCGTATCCTGTACTACTTCTCGGCATCAGTACTTTTTTCTGGGTGCCAACTGCCTCATTATGTGGCAAGCGCCCTGTTCTTATTACCTCTCTAGTCGTGTTTGTGCTGGGATGTGTATGGGGTCATCAGGCAACGTCATTCCATAGCTTCCTAGGGTCTCGGATCTTGACCAGCTTTGGGGCAGGGGCTGTACAAGCTATTGGGCCTGCTCTGATTGGGGGTATGAAAGCCCCAAGAACGATTTGGACGATATTGACTCCCAATAGAAATATACTTCGAGCGCAATTACTCGAAAGCCATGGGTGCATACACAGCAAGTCTGTGTCTTGGATCTCAAGGCGGTCCACTGATAGGTGGACATTTGATGCAACCGTTGGGCTGGAGGTGGTTCCAAATCCTCTGCTCCATTATTGGAGCAACTAGCTGCGTGGGAGCTATCATATTTTGCCCCGAGACGACGTTCTATCAGAAAACGGTCGCTGGGGCTACTGCAGCCGATCTGGACGCTCAAATTCAAAGCATTGAAGAAGTAGACCTAACCAGACGCAGCTTGATGAAAACGTGGAAAAGGAACATATTTTACGTCCGTCATCCACATGTGCAGTACGGGGGTCCTATAAAGTGGTTGATGTCTTTCATTCTTCAGTTCGAATTTCTCCTAGACCCGGTGGTGTTATGCTCCGCTGCGCTCTGGGGAATCACGGTGGCATGGTAAGCAGAGAGCGAAGACAATATTACTTCTTTTCCAGATACTAATATTGAAAAGGTCGGTGGCTATCTCAGTTCTGTCTCCACAACTGTTTGCCCTGCCTCCATTCCACTTCGGCCCGGCTGCGGTGGGTAATTGGGCTGCGACCAGTGTCATTGGCATTGTCGCGGGCTATCTTTTGAGCGGCCTTACAGACATATTTTCGCAATTTATTAGCCACTCAGGGGAACATCGACCTGAGTACCGCCTGGTTAGCTTGATTATACCATTCCTCGTGTGCTCACCCGGACTCATACTGTTTGGATATACGTACGAGGCCCAATCGTTTTATGGCCCAGCGGTGGGATCTGCTATGCAAACGTGCGGACTACAGCTTGTGCCGGCCACTGTGTTGTCGTACGCTGTGGATAGTTACCCATATGATGCATCCGAGGTCGCCGCCTTAATCAATGCTATCACCCACATACTGCCATTCGCCCTGTCTTTGAAGGTATCTTCGTGGCTTGCTCGGGTTGGAGTCATTCGATTATTTTTGGATATGGCAATCATTCAGTGGGGCGTTCTTGCTGGCTTGACTTTGCTGCTCTATTTCGCTGGTCCACTGTTGCGTCGGCGAAGTGCAATTGCACACAGCAAATATGGAATCCGAAAATGGCTTCCTGTCTGATTATGGTCCAATCCAAAGCAACTGACTGAAAGACGGGGGAATTGATCGCGATGCGCTAGGTGTGGGACATGCCATCTTTGCAACTCGTTCAACAGATGAAGAGGTCATGGCGGTGTTTTGCCGGAATCCTCAGCGGAGAACAGTGTTGATTCCTCAACATCGAAATGAGCCTCAAAATTCTGATTAATGCTTCTGCAATAAACGCACCGGAATTTATGCTTAGCATTCCAGCGGATGCACAGAATTGAAATGTAGTGAGACCTAACGAATACTGGCCGATTTGTTTATAATCGACTTTAGGGCTTAGCTTGTGGGTAGCGCTTAAGCGTCGCGCGACCCCGTTTGAAAGGGTGAGTTCGCAATAGACAGGGACAGAAGCCGTCCTCTGCTGAATAAGTTAGAACGTTATTAGGGTTATTAGGTCGGCTTCGTCCACCCAAAACACTCGCTTGTTCTAGGCATCTGTTTTCCCGACCTTCTTTATCTAATGCCCTATTTTTGATGAATTGAGAGCGACGCAGTGTCAAATATAACTTCATTGCGTGTTGTTAGGATAAATGGTTTCAAATATAAATCTCTCTTATCTCACAGACGCACTCCATCTCTATGCCTCTTTCTTTTTCTCCATTTAGAGAAGGAGAGGCGTAGAGGGAATAACAAGAGACCAGAAAGCCCCCCCAAAAAATATCTCATGATAAAACTGTTGGATTTTTGACCACAGGCTTCCTACATCGTACCTACAGCTTAGCCTTTCTCAATTCCACATTGACCCCATCGTCCACAAATTGCGTGAAGAAATCCAAGCTGCCCTCCTCAGCTAAAGTGCTTTTGGTGCGGGCATCAACCACTCCACCGGATAGGACGTGTTTGACAAGCACTTCCAACTTTTTCCCGTTCACATTGTACGGAATACTCGGAACAGAAATTATGCGGTGGGGAACATGCCGGGGGCTCAGTGTCTCAGCTATGTGTCCACGGATTCTTTCTTTAATATTTTCAGTGAGTGCAACCATAGGACACATCTGAAGAAAGAGTAGAACACGCTCGTCTTGGCCATCAATTTTTTGACCAACGCAGAGACTGTCTTCAATGATCTCGCTGAATGAGGATATGGCGGAATAAATCTCAGAAGAGCCGAACCTCACCCCCGAAGGGTTAAGGACTCCGTCACTGCACGATTGTCAGCTAGGTATTAATCCTTGATCTAGGGCAATGAACAACCTTCTTCCCAACATGATAATTCCATGGGTAGCATGGTTCACCTTGGCAAAATCACCGTGCGTCCAAACGCCAGGGTGAGTTTCGAAGTATGACGAGTGGTATCGTGAGCCGTCTTGGTCATTCCAAAAGAACACAGCAGCATTTGGAAATGGCTTCTTAATGACTAATTCACCTGCTATGCCGGGTCTGCAGCTTTCTCCCTGTTCATCATATATATCTACGTCTATTCCGAGGGCTTTGACAGTGATTTCGCCTGGATATTGCGGATGCACCAAAGTGCCATGAAGAACTAAAAATATCAGTAGGCATTCGAATGGCTTCAATTCCCCGGGATCTGGGCCTTAGTGCGTCATCAATTTTGGCAATGTGAGTACTTACACGAGCCGCAGATTTCCGTGCCTCCTGAAAACGAAATAATGGGTGCTCCGTTGAATGCATCGGCCATCCATGCCCAAATATCCGCACTCAGGACTGCTCCAGTACTGTGCACTAATCGGACTTTACTCATGTCGGCAAATTTCCCTAGCATTGTTAGAACCAATAATGCCATAGGAACACGACAAAAGCTCACTTGGGATCACATTTAATTTCATGAGTTCTGCAAAGTAACGGGGACTTCCACCAAAAACCGTGGCCCTATCACTATATATCAGAATGATTAAACGATATGAAACAGTGTATCTTACCCAAGTGATATAATAGACTTAATATGTCTCTCTGGGCTTGGGTAGAACGGTGATCCGTCATAAAGAATGAGCGTTGCGCCGGCTAGCATCCCTCCCAAGAAGATATTCCACATAGCCCAACCGATCTGGCAGTCAAAACTCAGTCAGTTCAACACTCTGTTTATTCAGGTGTACGGGAGGAATTTACGTTTGAATAATGATAATACCTGTCTTCTGTGCCCAAGTTGTTATGAAGAACGTGCTCTTTCTTGAGGTTGACAAGAACTCCCTATTATTGCGGTCAGAATTGACACTTTGTGTACAGATCCTGGATATTCACCCCATGTGAATGTACCATTCCCTTGGGTGCTCCCGTTGTTCCGGAACTGAACAGGATGAGCATAGGGTGCTGGAATGGCACTTGCTCAAAAACTAGTGGACTATCGGTCCCACTTGACAGGAAACTTTTGAATGAGCGCCTAGCATGACCTTGGTCAACAAGCCACTTTGTTAAAGGGTTATAGCTATGTTCTTACCACTCCCCATTCACTCTGGTAGCGTCTGACTCGATTCCTCTGACATTGACCATCATGACTGCATGCTGCAAACTGGCCTCTTGTCGCAACTTGCGGACCACATTCGAAAGTTTGGTCATGCATGTGTATAACTTACCTTTGTATTGGTATGCATTATCAGCAAAAAGCATTTTCGGTCGCACTTGAATGAGTCGATCAATGATTGCCTTGGATAGTCAGTAAATTGACATCCGAATCAGGCCTGCCAAATATGTACCTTCTCTCCCATGTCTGGAGCCAAAGAGGTAAAAATTGCTCCGATTGAGGCTGCTGCTAGGAAGACAAATATAGGATATGGCGTGTTGGCTCCAATATCTTAGGTATGTTAATGACGATGGTTGGGCGAAGTAACACTGCGAGCTGGTCGACTTACAAGCCACAATGTCACCTTTTCCGACATGGGATGCCCGGAGAGCATTGGCAACCTTAGATACATGACATTTGAGTTGATCCCATGTCGTGATCGCTTCGTTGTCGCCACTAGTCTCTGAAGAACTGATAAGAGCCGCACCCGTCCAGCCTTGGACGAAGACATTTTCTGCGTAGTTCAGTCGACTGCCTTCATAGAATTCCGGCCGACTAGCTATTGGAATACGCTCATCAACGCCGTAAAAGAGGTGTTAGCCGCATTGCTGCGCAGAGATGCCCGTCAGGCCAAAGGAAATAACTCATCTTTGCGGGATTCGCAGAACATTTTATACCAAGATAATCCCACAACAAAAGCCAGAAAATGTTCGGCTGCTGGACAGAGAAGGAGTGTAAACTGTCATAATTGCCTGTAACTCTTGCCGTATCAGCAAAATACCGGTCTCCGAACATAAATGTGCAGTCATGTTTCATCTCACCAAGGCTCAGTCCACAGTGAGAGTTAACAAACTCTCGAAATAGTTCAATTGCCAGACTTGAGGTGTCTTCGAACGGCCTCCACGTTGGCTGAAGCTGTTTGAGAGTGTCCATTTGTGCGGACCACAACAACGGTAAACAAGAAAATCTTTTATATGGATGGATCAAGTATTTCGGAAGCCGAGACAAAAAAAAGCTCTGTGTACTTCCACTTAACTATCCAGACACCTAGGACCACACGGTAAGTTTATAGCAGCTATCTTTGTGGTGATCACTATAACAGTATACTATGCGGGGTCATCGAATACCCGACGGTCGGAAGCTACGCGACCCGAAGTGTAATTTGAAATGTTACAGAGATACGGTGGTCTGAGTGGAAATGGTTGTTGAGCAGCTGTACTTCATGTATACTCCGTACAGTATAGGAAAAGCCGTTGCTTGGGTCAATCTTGCGTTTGCGCTGCTCGCTTTCCGGATTCCTTCATCTCCACGCTCGCACGAATTAATGCCTCGTTCTTGCTAGCCACCCTAGGTGGACCGATTTAAGACGTGTCTCTTAAGTACCCCAACGGTTGCCTGGATAGTTTTTACTTTGAAATTCAAGAACCTGGACTTTCTACTGTTTAGGCTAAGCCGGTGATATGTTCATTCCACCTAATGAGACGAGGGGAACCAGTTACCCGAACTTTCACAATCGAGTTATGAAGTATGCTAAGAACATCATAATTGCAAAACCAAGAGCCCGTCGCTAGATACAGAACCGAGCTTCCATCGCCCCGCGCTGTATGCTCATTTACGAGGTCGAGGTCGTTAGTTTCCCTAGCAGTCGAGAAGGTGCGTACGCCGCGTTTATTGCTGCCGGCTAACACGAGCATTGAACCACCGGATTCCCGAGTTTCGCGACCTGTCGCTCTGATTGGCCCTTTAAATTATGGTGGCGGCGATCTACGCGCTTGGGGCCCTGACGCGGTGGCCATGCGGAAGTCACACCAAGAATGAAACAGCTCGGGTATCGCAGATCCGATCGTAAAAGACTGATCGGACCAAAGAACCGCTTGCGAGTGAAATGCCTCGAGTGGGACACGGCTATTCAGATCGGAAAGTTCTGCTGGGACTTGGTCGGCCGCGATAGTGTGAGTATACCTACATCGAGGTTGTATCCGGATTTGGAAGACTGATTGAATCAATAAGTACGGCGATCGCTGCACTTTTTGTCCACATACGTCGCGCTTGTTAAGCTTCCTAATGCAACTATTTCACTGGAGTGGTGACGAGTAACGTCGGGACGCGCGCAGTTTCACGTCTACGCCGAATTGAAATCCTGGAATGTCTCGATCGTGCCAGTGTTGTGCTTTTCTTCCTCTTCCGCACAGAGATCAGCGTGGAATCCAACATTTTCCATATGGATATACGAGTAAATTGCTCGTTGCCGCTGACACCAGCACCCGATTCTACGGACAATTTCAGCAAGAAAAGAACAGCTCCGAGCGACGAGGATCCAAATGCGCTACAAAAATTTAAGAGACGCCGTGCGCCCCATGCGTGTCTATCCTGTCGTGCACGCAAGGTGCGCTGTAATGCGGTTGATGGTGCTCCTTGTTTAAACTGCCGGTCTGATAATATCGACGTGCGTCCGGCTATATGGAAAGCCAAACCTGTTTTTGTCGTCTCCTATGGTCTCCGTTCTGTTTTATGATCGCAGCTGATTATTTCATTTCTTATACAGTGTATTGTTAATCAGGTTCGCCCAAAGAAGTGAGTTACTTATTTGCCTCTGTGCTCGATGTCACCGGTAGCTCTGGTTGTCATTGAATTCTCGATCGCCCGTTCGTTTGCTTGTGAACGCTGGGTTATTTGGGACTCGCTGTTTACACGCGGAAAACATATTGAAAATACGAGGATTGATTAAGGTAGTGAAAGCCGTTGTAGACCATTACACTGACCCGAACTCTTTTCAGAATAAATGCGGCGAGATCAACAGCTACAGATGTTGGGTCAGACAGGGCTCAACTTCGCCACGGAACCATCCCTATGGATCGACACCGAACCCCTACAAGGTACGAAGGCACTGCACGCATTATGGACACAGGCTTTCCATTGCTATCTGATAGCTTGGATGGCAATGACACCTCGGATACCAGTGTTGACAGACATGCTGCACACTTGTTCAGTGAGTATCCTTGCCCTATACCATTTCAGCTACCGTTATGCAACTCTGGTGCTTTGCATAATTCCCATCATCATCCTTATCTTCATGGGCGCCTTATCGAATTCAAAGCCGCGCCTCAGTGGAGCTAGGCATGTGAATGGAGAGGGTGATCCCCAAGAGAAACGGGATTGGTGGCATGTACTGACATGTAACTGTTTAGATCAATGCGATACGGGATACTTCCGTGACGCAGAGCCCCTCCAACATATCTGGTCCTGCGATACCAGTTCGGGCTCTCCATGGAAAGATTTCCTTGGTGATGATGCGACCCATTCTGCGGATAGACCCATAACGCTGTTCCTCAAAAATCTGGAGATTCAAGATACAATTGCCCATTTGCCGCTCTTCGTGCGGCCTCTTCCGGCCAGTATTTCGCCAGAAGCCGTTCAGTATCTTCACAGAATGGGAGCATTCGCCCTGCCCGGGATCCCGCTGCAGGAAGCTTTGTTGCGGGCTTACGTGGAATATATTAATCCGTCCATGCCGCTCATGGACCTGCACAGATTTTTCAGTATAGTCCATTGTCGCGATGGGCATAACGGGCAAATTAGTTTGCTCTTATTCCAGTCTGTTATGTTTGCAGCCGCGGCATTTGTGGATATGAAGTTCCTGCATGAGGAAGGGTACAAAACTCGCAAGGAGGCGAGGAAGGAATTCTTCAAGAAGACAAGGGTATGTCAAATCCTGTTGCGGTGTTACAATATACTCGCATCCATGAGATATTTATCTGTCAACAGTTGCTGTACGATTTCGACTACGAGCAAGATAGCCTAGTGGTTGTGCAAACACTTATACACATGACATACTGGGATGAGTCTCCTGGCGACAAAAAGCACTCATGGCACTGGATGAGCCTGGCGATATCTTTATCCCAGAGTATTGGACTGCATCGCCAGTCAAAGTGTGCTACTATGACTCCATTGGACAAGCGACTGCGAAAGCGAGTATGGTGGTCATGCTTCATGAGGGATCGCATCTTAGCACTCGGCATGAGACGGCCGCCGATGATTGAGGATGGAGGTTTTGACGTGTTGATGCTCTCTGAGAGCGATTTCGAATTCCAGAAGCTGCCTGAGGGCAATACTCCCAACCAGCTCGACTCCGTGCTGATAAAGAATGCGGAGTTGCAGCAAAAGATGGCCATTATGTGCATTGCCGCGGCAAACCTCTGCATTACCATGGGCCGTATGCTCCAGGCGCAGTACTCGGTCATAAATAGCTGTACGACAGTGGCCGAAAACATCACGGATAACAACTTGCCGTCGATCACCAGTCAACTAAGAAATGCTGGAAGCGTTCACGCTGTCATTTTGGAACTCAACATATGGGCCGACTCGCTGCCGGTCTGCTGTCAATACAGACCGTTAAACGTGTCAGATATCCGGGATGGCAACTCTCCGATAGCCGTGCAGCGGACACTGCTGCATTTACTTTATCAAACCACTATTTGGGTGCTCTATAGTCCCCGGCTTGTGTCTCCACTGGCGACACAACAACGAACCAGGTTCTTCCAGGCTCATGAGATGTCGTGGCGCAGAGCCCGTGATGCGGCAACGAAAATCACTAATATGGTGACCGAGCTGCACCAACTTCGACTTGACAGATTCCTGCCAACTACTGGAGTTACCGTGATTCTACCCGCTGTAATCATGCACTTGGTCGAAATGCAAAACACTTCGCCTCAGGCTCGTATAGAGCTGAATCAGTGCGTATGTGTAATTGAGCAGCTTCAGGAGACCTACACTGTGGCGGATTCAGCCGCCTGGTTCATAAGTGCTGCTCTCGGGAAGTCAGTCATTGATATGGATTTGAGTGCTGGACAGTCCACTCTTTCACTCATGAAGAATGAGTTGTTGGCTGGAGTAATCTCTCGAGCAACTCCACCGGAGAATCTACCTTGTATGGGGACGTCCAAGCCGCCAGTTGAGAAAGCTATGGATCAAATTGTGAAACCGTCTGTACTACTTTCGGACACGATCAACGTCTCAACCCTGGACTTATCAACGAGTTCTCTGCCCCAGCATGACTTCAAATCACCGGAACAGCAAAAATCTGCCAGCGGTGAGTCAGACGAAAAGCCAGGAGATATTGACAAGTTAAGTTTGAACTTGTTGCAAAGCTATGACGATGATGGCTGGCAGGCAGGTGCAGAAATCAATTTCGACGTTGAGCAATGGCTTGAATCGCATGAAGATAATGGTTTGAATGCAGATGTGGTCCGCGATGAATGTGTGAACGATTAAAAGTCGATGGACTGAATCGAATTCTGGACCGGATTATTGATGTCAACAAGAAACCGAATAATTGTTCAACCTAAATGTAGTGGGAGATTCTATTATCTGATCACCTTATGTTGGTACCTAAGCCATGAAATTTCTGTTTCTTTTGTTGCGTACTCAGAATTACGCTTACGGAAAGATCTCTTGATATAGCTTTGTTCCCATCTTCTCTGTCGGTTTGCCGTCCGATCCAGTACTGTCGAGTGGTAGATTTCTCTGTATCGACCTATCTCTACCAGCATATTGCCTCCGAACACCCCCACATAACTAGGTAGAGACGACTGTCACCGGAGAATAGGGAGCACCGCGAACGCTAGTTTTTTCGTTAATTCTTGGCGGATTCGGCATTTTTGTACGCTCTACATCGAGGTTTAGTTCCGAGCAACTCTATCAAATGTTCGACTCAATTTCAAGCCCTCCAGAGACAGGCTTGAGAGATTTGTCCACTCGACGCATGGCAGAGCGGTTTGTCACCTTCTTTGTCCAAATACATTTAGTCGCCATCCCTCCCCCGGGGAGGTTAATTTGCTGGTCCGTTCTTGGTCGGGATCAAGCTCAATGATTAATATGATATTTGGTGCGATTTTAGATAGGATCAAGTAAACGTCGATCAATTGGCCTCGGTCCAACTGATTGGAGACACGCTTTTTCAATAATCAAATCAGTTGACTAACTGGCTAATCCGTTAGACCCGGCCAGAGGTCGCTTCTTGGACTTCGCGCAGTGCGGAAATAAACCGCCCTCGCAGCCTCAACGTGACGGGAATGGCGGAGGCTCCGTTTTCCGACCACTCTATTAACATGCCCAGTCGAGCGCGGCGCTAGGTTTCATTACTAGCGAACCACGTCAATTGTTAACTTCCATCCCCACGTTTGCACACGCCAGCCAGGTGTAGATGGAGATCGAGACTTATATGGAATTTCGGTTACACGTCAACGTCAACACCCAAGAGAAAAGTCTTGTCCATGCCGCTGCAGAAGACAATCCGCCGATCGGAACGACATAAAACGTATCGACTGCCATGCGCCCAGTCCGTCACCTGCGAGGAAGGAATGCCCCACGATCGCGGTTCGGATGTACGACATGTAAACAACGACATGTGCGATGCGACGAGGTCCATCCCGTGTGTGGTCATTGTACCCGACTGAAGTTGAAGTGCCATTACCTGCCAAAATCCGAGCGGAAAGGCGGGCGCCGGAGTGAGAGCACGCAGACTGTCGCACCGGGCCAGAGTTTAGGGCCCAGTTCAGGGGAAACATTTTCCATCATGTCCCCACAGGATTATGATGCTATTTCAGAATCGGACCTTGCGTTGGTCTTTGGTCACCAACAATGGTACCCGCCTGGGCAGATGTGCTTCGAGAACCCGCAGCCGGCGCTTGGAGATTTAGATCTGCCAGGGGTGACGTCTCTGGTGGCAGATTACCCCCACGGTCTGGGTTTCTCATGGAATGAACAATCCTTCCCCAGCCCAGATGCAGCGGCAGCCGACCTTTCCTCGTCGTTACAGTCCATGGGTGCAGACCCACCAGAAGGTGTACCTGAACCAGGGGCAGGCTACTCAGTGCGGGCTGGATGTACCACATTGCCCCCTTCAGCGTCTAGTCAGTCTCCAAAGATGTTTTCCACTGAAGAAACGAGGGGCTCGGTGAGACCAATTAGCAACGTCCTTTGCAGCGAGAGCCTGGCCAATACCATTGGCGAACATGAAAAGTGGCTGCTTAAGCATTTTGAGAAAATTGTGCAGCCTCCCGCGGCTATCTTAATTGGAGGAATGCGCAAGTGGCGTTGCCTTCAACGCTATCTCATTGATCTCGGGCTGCAGAATCAATTGTTCTTGGACTCCTTGCTTTGCGTGACCGAGCTCTTAGCGGCGGATGAAGATCGGGGGGCAGCCATCCAGCGGAGTATCCAAAGGCATCAATCAGCCCAAGGGGAATTGGAAGCAATTATGACTACGGGATATAGGATAGACCAACAAGAAAGAGACAAACTCCTTGCTGCACTCTTTCTGCTTGCCTGGTTTGAGGTAATCCACGACCACACTGCCAGCAACAACGACGGACTTTTCCCACGGCATCTGGCGACTTGGATAATTGTCAACAATTGTGATTGGAACAAATTCTCGCTGCAGCTTCTATCATGGTTCAATACCCTGGATAGCAAAGCCACGCATCTTGGAGGCCACCCCTTGCTACCTCCCGAAACATTGAGGATTGTGATGCATTATCCACTACAGACCACAACTACCTCCAACGAGGACGAAGAAAATATCGCCCGTTGCTGCTCCGTGCAAACTGTTTCAACCCTATCTTTGTCCGGTGCTCGATCTTGTGATTATCTTCAGCAAGGCAGAAAAGCCCCCAACCCTGTCCGCCAACTTAATACGGGTTATATCAAACATATCGTCTTACAGACAATGGTTCAGCCGGCAATCAAATGGTACCTGGAGTCACAACTGTATTGCCGCCGAATCAGTGCATATGAAAAGCATAATTGCGTTCGTTCCGCAGGAGACGCTGAATACGAAGTAATCATAGGCTCTCAACGTCTAGAACAAGAACTGTGGGAACTTTGGAGGCGGAGGCCTACAACCATGTCCTTGTCAGCCGATGAGCTTAACCGGGCACTTCCGCCCGATGTTGCTATGCGACTCTGTGAGATCTACTGTGTTCATCTCGCTAGTTTCTGGATTCTCTTCGTTTATTTGCACCGAGTAATATGGGTTACACGTCCTCATTCTCCGATGGTACAGATTGCTCTGGAAGAAACGTGGCACAATCTGCAGAGCGCATACGGAGAAGTAGTGGATAACGGAAGAGAAAGAATCTGCCATCCGGCACTCATGTGGCCTCTCTTCCTATTTGGCAGTGAGTGCCCGGATGAAGGCCGGCGCGCCTGGGCCATCGAGCAGCTCGAAGCTCTCGGTGAATCTAAACCAGTGATGGCTGGCGAAGAGAGCCACGATGATGAGGCGCTCCCACCTTTCAAGCTCAGTGCAGGCGCAACCTTGAATGCCCGACGAGCAGCGCTTCTTTTAAAGGAATTGACGAAGAGACAAGTTCACTCCACTTCACGGATAGATTATCATGATTTGTCCGTAGAGTTGTTTGGATGCTATTTTTCAATTGTATAGCTATGTGACTGCTTTTGTACGAATCCAGATATACTTAATTGAGAGAAAAATACTGTGGGAGTGAAGTCTAGAAAATAAGGCAATCAATACTGCAGACCAAGACCAGTCCAGTGAGATCAAATTTGCTCAATTTCTGAGATGTTTCAACATCTTGCTACGCGAAAATAGGCTTCTCCGAATAGGACATGATCAAGTCCAGGTGAAATGTACCGTCTCGGTCTACAAGAGTAGGGGAATATAAACAGAAAATTTCAAATAATTCTCCTATGACAACCTGACCACATCTATAAACTGGTTCAACCATTGACAGAGCGGACTACGCTTTGGGTGGTTGAAAGTGTCGTTTCAACTTATGCCAGGTACTCTCGTTATAGTTTGACTGGACCTTTTCGCATGTCTGGAGCCCCCACTGAGTTACACCCAGCATAAACGAACTACAAGGTTTCAGTATGGATAGCTACACCGGATAGTTGTGGGACTGGAATAGGAGAGAGTTTTAGATCACGTACCTTTCAAACATAAACGCCATACTTCCCTCCCCGACCTTCATCGGTTTAAGCTCCATGTTGCTTGCCTTTTCAAACGCATCGGCATCGGGGCCATGGCCGCTCATGATGTTGTGAAGACTGGCTCCAGCAGGCTTGAAACCACCATCAGTCTTGGCATCGTAAGCCCCATAGATCAAACCCATGAATTCGGACATGATATTGCGGTGATACCAAGGTGGGCGAAAGGTATCTTCCGCCACCAACCAGCGCGGGGGGAAGATAGCAAAATCCACGATGGCAGTGCCTACATGGTCCGACGGGGCCGTCAACACCGTGTAAATGGATGGATCTGGATGGTCGAACGATATCGATCCCATCGGATTGAATCGGCCCAAATCATACTTGTAGGGGTAGTAGCTACCTTGCCAAGCGACGATATCAAAAGGTGTATGGTCCTGCACCGCGGTATACATTCTGTGATGGAATTTGGACCGTATGTAGAATACCGTTTCTTGTTCCTCAGTGGCATCGTAGAAAGCCACAGGTGCCTGGAAGTCTCGTGCATTTGCAAGGCAGTTGGACCCAATAGGACCAAGCTCAGGAAGCTTGAAATTCCCTTGATATAATTCGCAGACGTATCCCCGCACAGGCCCTGCCGGAAGCTCTACGCGGTACCTAAGATCGCATACACAAGTTAGAAAGATCATATAAAATGAAAAGAATTGAAGGATACACAATAGACTAACCTGATACCCCGAGGGATGACACAAATCTCATTTGGTTGAACAAAGAGTCGGCCCAGCTCTGTCTGAATATCGAGTACCCCTTGCTGTGGAACAATAAGAAAGTCACCGTCTGCGGAATAGAAGGTTTCCTCCCTCGTCATGCTCTTCCCCGCTGCATACACTAGGATTCCTAGTCCTTGTTTCAAGGTGGAGTCGCCAGCTCCGGCAATCAGGTGCAGCCCATGAACCCAGTCCACAGACTCATCAACGTCAAACGGATCCCATCGAAGCTGAGTCGGTAGGTAGTGCTTGCGACCCTCAACGTCTACCCCTGTAGGATACGCATTGACGGGCTCGGCAGCGAAAGCCTGATGAGCCGCAGCAGGGATTATCCTATAGACCCACGTCTGTTTGTTTTCAGAACGGGGTGCAGTGAAGGAAGTTCCGGAAAGCTTTTCTGTGTATAGTCCAAATGGTGCTTTTTGTGGGGAATTTTGCCCCACTGGTAGAGCTCCTGTGATTGCTTCACTCCTGTCGCCGTGTCAGAACTTTTATTACCCTTTTCGTACCGAGAGAGTAGTACTACGTACTCATGGTGTGAGTCGAAGCCGATCTGGTAGCTGTAAGGGTCTTTGTGTGCGAACTTTGTGACGGGCATGGCGATGGGTATTGTAGAAAAGGGTACTATAGTGCTTAGGTGGGGAGCCCTCAATGAAGTGCTTATTGTCAAATTACTGGTGTTCCTACGACTCCTTTTATGATCCAGACGCAGGAAGTACCATGATTAATACCGCGTAGGGACTTCCGTACATCTTGCCATGTACTCTTGTCCTAGCAGGCGGGCTGGCCTGTCGTCGATAGCGAAAGCCGCGGAAGCCGGATGGAAGTACCGCCCGGCCTCCAAGCCGACCGGAACCTCCGCAAGTTCTTACCTGGGGATCGGCGAGCGGAAGCCCAGACGGCATTGGCCCGGTTCTCCCCCGCGTGGTAGTCCTTTTATGCACTATAATAAACTTGACTGCATCTTGCTTGTTTCCTTGTACTTTTACCTTCCCAGCACCGCAACAACAATTCAATTTTCTAAACTCTTTTCATGCAAAATAAAATGTCGTCCTGGCTTCCGATCTCGAAGACGTCACCTTTCTCCTTACAGAATATCCCCTTTGGTATTATATCAATTGGCCATCATGAAGTGAAAGTACCTGCTGTCGCAGTGGGTGATCATGTCCTGGACTTGAATGCATTTGCTGCGGCAGGAGGCTTTGATCAATTGTCAACTATTCAGCCTCATCTACACGTCTTTCGCCAAACAACCTTGAACGAATTTGCAGCGCTCGGCCGGCCACATCACCGGGAAGTGCGCCTTTACTTGCAATCAATCTTCCATACAGACACACCCTTCCCAGGTCTTCTCAAGGACAACCAGGCTGTCCGGGAGAAGGCACTTCATCCTCTCTCTGAGGTCACCAATCATATGCCACTCCGAATTGGGGACTATACCGATTTCTATGGCTGTATGAACCATGCAGTCAATGTAGGAACTTTGATGCGAGGCCCAGAAAATGCTCTTCAACCTAACTACAAACATCTCACCGTTGCCTATCACGGCCGAGCGTCGTCTATTGTGGTTTCCGGTACCCCTATCCAGCGCCCCAACGGACAAGTCCTACCGGAGGCCGAGCCAAAGAAACCTCAACTGTTACCCTGTGGAAAATTAGATATTGAGTTAGAGCTTGCCGCATTCATTTCGACTTCAAACGAGCTGGGCAAACCTGTGCCTCTTGGCCAGGCTGAGGATCATATTTTCGGAGTGGTACTAATGAATGACTGGTCGGCCCGGGATATTCAGGCTTGGGAATACGTGCCCCTTGGCCCATTCAATGCCAAAAATTTTGCGACCACGATATCACCTTGGGTTGTTCTCATTGATGCTCTGGAGTCGTTCCGTACCCCGCTCTCAAAGCCTGACGATCGCAACTCGCTCCTTCCATACCTGCGCGAGGAAGGGCACAATGGATTTGATATACATCTGGAAGTTGAACTTACAAACCGGGAGGGAGTGTCAACAATTGTATCCCGAACGAACTCGAAGAACCTTTTTTACTCGTTCAACCAGATGCTGGCTCACCATACTATCGGCGGATGCAACATGAAACCCGGTGATCTCCTCGGTAGTGGCACGATCTCTGGCACCACACCTCGGTCAGAGGGTAGCCTGCTCGAGCAAACAGGTGGTAAAATACCAATCCGGCTTCGAGATGGAAGCAAGAGGTTTTTTCTCGAGGACGGAGACACCGTTACTTTTCGTGGAATTGCCGGAACAGAAGGCAGCTATGTTGGCTTTGGGGAGTGTACGGGAACAATCATGCCAGCTATACCGATGGAGATTTGACCTTGTCCCTTATTCGAGTGAAGCGTCCATAGGTTATTAAATAAATTCAAATGCACCACTATATTGCTACTGTTCTTGTTGACTCGTTTCACTTGATTATGCTTCTATCATGCAAGTGCTGGGGTGACCGTGGGCTTTTCAAAATCTTTCGTACCGGAGTTGTAGATAAGTGTTTACGTCTAAGTACATGACTTGGCAGAATAGTGAAGAAATGGTCCAAACATATACCGGGTACATGAAATACATCCTTCATTTCCGGTACAACTTAGAGCCCAGGCCAGCTGTACGCAATGGAAATCTGCATATCAATGCTAAGTATTCAATTAGTTTCGATACTTCGCATTTGGTTTGATTAAAGGCAATACTAGCAGTTGGAAAGTCTCCCTTTAATACCCTATATTTTCGTGAGCTATGACACTTGATTGATAATGGCATTCGTGTGTGATCGCTCTATAGCGTTTTTCTGCGTGAGCGGTGATCGACATGCTTGATAAAGCCTTATTTGGCATTGGCCCAAGGAGCCTGTCCTATAGAGTTACAGAATGCATAATCAGCCCGCAAGGCTTCAAAACTGAGAACGAGAACTCACCAACTTCTGTTCTCGACTCTCAAACAACCGCGCAATATCCTTTGCTCGAGATTAAAACGTCTCATAGGCAGATCCTGACTTTTACTGACAGCTTACTTGACTGTCATCAGAGCTAGGTTACTGTTACTGACGCCCCTTCGTATTATTGGTCTCCCTGATAAGCTCTTCCGATGCACCCTCTACTCTCATGGTGGCTATTTCCACTCGCCCGGTTCGTTACTGCTGAAACTCTTCCCAGTCAGAGGCATTTCCACCGCGCAGCTCTTTTGGATTTTGAGTCAGTTGCCCTGAGCCAGCTACTATAGTTCAAGGATGAACACCAAGTTCAATATCCAGCTTGCTGAATCTAGTGCCATGCAATAGGCCATGTCAAACGACAAGTCAGCTCGCAGCCTCCGGCCTATGTGTAGCCGATACTGCAGCGACGAAATGGATTCCGAGATTTCATTTTCAGATATGAGAACGAAGTCAAAATCTATCTTTGTAAGAAGTAGCAAAGCCCATACATGCCCTGTCCTTGGTATCTGCAGCTGCTAAAAAGTGGGGAGGAAGTCCATTAGATTAGGTTCCTGATGAAAGCTTTAATGAGTGCTACAAGCGAAAGAAATGACACCTGCTCTCAGTAGGATGACACCGATATATCTGTCTGGCTTCGTAGTTGGCTAAGGCTTCCTATAGTTTGTTCACTGGATGTCCGGTCAGAATATCAACGATGTAGTGGGCACGAGCTGGACTTCCGTACGGGAGCCAGTGCTCGGAGGAGGTGCTTGATTATCTATCTCAACCCATTGTTGAGGTATTGAGCTAATGGTATCCATTGAGTCTTACCTAGAACGGAGGTTTCAAGTTTCGCTGTTAAACATTGTTGATCCACTCTGAGATGCGGAGATTCCTATTGGATCTGTCGTCCGGTGCCGACCCGTATATTCGGCGACAGCCTGACTCCTACGGCGCTGGGGGATTGACTTACAGTGTTTTACTTTTTTAGCTTCCCACCAAATGTATGTACATGACAATATGGCCTATTATGCATAATTTAAGAAAAAGGAACACACGGTAACTGAAGCCAGCAGGCTGTCCTGATACTAGCGCTATACCAGAGTCGAATAGTCGTCCTCACTCCATCCCGTCGAACATTCCAGGGAAGCCGTCATATCCGTAATAATCTAAGATAGCCCGTTCGATATCTCCTCCAAGATCCACGCCTATATCTCCCACCATTGAAGTCATGTTGGGTGTGTCTAGCCGCGTGTTGGGCTCCGTCTGCTGATGGCCCAAATCTTCCCGAAGTGCCACTTGACGCGTGCCACATGAAATAGCTGCTTCGAATAGAGTGTATAACTCCTCAGCCAGTGAGGTAGGATTGATAGTATCGTCCCTCGTGTCGCTTCTGACACTATCTGTCCCAGCCCCACTGGACGGCCTCGCATCTTGAGGACTGCGACTAGGTAGAGGACTACGTCCAGAATGATTGACAAAGTCCCTGACATCCTGAAGAAACCGTTGGAGATGGGCGCATGCGTACGTTTTTGAAAAGGCTCTGATGAGCTCCATTGCTTTGATAACTTCAGACCAACACAGAGAAATGATGTCTGAGGGGCCATTTACCGCTGCTGGGAAGAAGACGGCCAATGCAGAGATCAAAAAATACGACAAGACTGCAGGTTGCGCATTGAATGTGGATGAGAACTTTCCAATGTAAACTAGAGTCTCGATCGTCTCCGTGGCGAGGCGGACGGCGGTCTTTGCCTGCTCAGTATTCTGCTGCACAGCTGACACTGACTGCAGGGAAGGTTTATGGAGCAACATCCGCATCTGATTTCGTCGAAGGTAGAGAGATACCCGAAGTTGTAACGGAAAGAGGCCAGTTAGCACTTCATGAGTATTGTCGGATGTGGGCATTTCGAATTGGATCTGGGGGGGCAGCTGAGAGTACCACATCACTATTTGGAAATCCAGAAACCCGTTCTCTGTTGGGAGGCTTTTTCCTCTCTGAAAGCGTGGCTTGCATGTCCAACGCTTTATTTTCGAGGCGATACGGCTGTAAGTGACCATGGCGTTTAAATATGGATATTCAAGACCCTAGACAATAGAATGTTCATTGATTGACACACCAATTATGACATATGTCTCAGCTTTAGACTCACTGGCTCAGGAATCGACGAGTTGATGTCTGTGTCTTCTAACGTCGCTGGGAGATTGTTTCCGAAACTATATCGAAGATCAAGAACGTAGACAGACCAGAAGACTCGAAGTGCCCAGGTGCGGTTGGATAGTTGGCCGTATCTAGCCAGCCCTTCTTGAGTGTGGAGTTGGAGCTCTAAAGCTTGCTCGACGGCGAACCGGATCATTCTCCAGGCACGCAGGTCCTGTCGCTTGTGGAGATAGTAAAGACTCTAGGATGCCCTCTTTAGTTTCAAGTCCCACTTTACCATATTAACCAAAAGGGAATGGAAGGGTAACAAACACTAATGACCAGAACGACGATAATCTTTAGCTGCGCCTCAGCTTGAGACAGCATTTCTCCTATGGATTGCTCCACTCGCTCGAAGAGAAGTGCACTGACGACGGGGTTCTGCTGGTCGCCAAGGTACAGTGCATGTGCTAGGACCGCGTAGAGAATGGTTGAATCAATATCTCCACCATTCTTCGTGGGTGGTCCTTCGGCATTCCCTGAATGAGCCGAAGCTGGTCTTCGGATCGAACGCAATGACTTTGCTTTAGACACCAGCAACTCCTTCTCAACGACAGGATACATATGGCAAATTTCCTTGTGATATAGGTCAATCAGTCGGGTGGTACCTTCCGCGTTTAGCAAGAACATTGGGTCTCTTTGAACATGGTTCAAGTATCCGAACGGGTCTCCATCTAGTCGCTTCTGGATCGACCGGACTTGGGTTTCGAGGGAGGATATGAGGCCGTGCACGCCGTGAGAGTGACTGTGAGCTTCGTCAGTTCAGTGCGAGGATGGGAAACAAAAAAGGGGCAGTCTGAAGTGAAAAAGAATCCCATACGTAGACGCTTGATTGAAAATTTCATTATTGCGAAGGCCTTCATCATAGGCGCATGTCAATTTTAGACTTGTGCAACGCCCACATGGACAGCCTCCACTACACCGCGTTTTTCTTCTGCGACAGCTATCACTGTCAAATCGGCAGAACGCCAGCATCAGCAAGCGGAAGGGCCGGCAGAAGGAGTAGGGAGTTTTAGTTAACATACCAGGCTATGCGGATATATCTGTCACGCCGGCGGCTCTGGCCCTGTACTGTACCACTGCTCATGGTGACTAAATCTGGGGCAGACTTACTCGCAAGTAGAGTTTGTTTGGGGGATTGGATGTGGCTAATATACGTCCGCGTAGACATTGCTCGCCCCACACTGTCATCATTTTTGCGGAGAAGCCCGGACACCATTCCGCTTTGCGGGGATCCGCGTAGCATCTATGCATAGCGATAGCTTCCTGACTGACCAGGGCACAAATACGTATGCATTACTTCTCTACCGTAATATTATGTCGGAGGAGTCGAAACTCTGGGGGCAGTGCCGAGTTGGGAGAAAAAGGAAGCTGGTTGATTCCTACGGAAAAGAGAGAGCTGTGGCTACAAAAGGGAACGGGGTCACATGACTTCGACATATTTCCATATCAGTTTTATACGCCACATAAGACGCAATTGCCAATTTTACAATTGTATTGACGAGATCTTACCTCGTTCTATTTGCTTCACAACTAACTCCTGCGGTGAAATAATATGTTCAGACACCATTTTAAATGACAGTGCATGATTGGCCATCAAGAATGAGGGCAGTTGCCAGTTGAGTATCTCTCTGTGTAAGATACTAAATCGAACCTCGAAGACCTACTCAAACCAGAGCCTTCTCCAGCGCCTGCACATTCCTGGGAATGAATTTGATCTTATACTGTTTGGGAATGGCAACCAAGCTAGTGGGATCAGAATTTGCTTGCACTGGATCCCATTCCACTGGCTCTGCCGACTCAAGGCGGAAGCTGTTTAGAGTGCGCATAAAGAGCAGATACATCTCCCTATTAGCAAGAAGGGACCCTCCACACATGCGATAACCCATTCCGTAGGTGAACATGGGGGCTTCGGGCTGTTCGGTCCATCGTTCCGGTCGAAACTCCTCAGGATCGTTCCAAACCTCGGGGTCTTTTTAGGACAAACAAAGTCAGCATCTCTTACGAGGGAATTATAGTTGCATCATGAAAGGAGAGTGTGACGAAAGCAATTCAGCGTACCCATATTACACGCCCAGGCATTCAGGAAAAAGGTTGTGCCTTTGGGGATGACGACCCCGTCGTAGTTTATTTCTTTTGTCGACGCTCGAGGTAGACCCAGCCGGAGGACGGTAAAATATCTATATGGAGCGGGTTAACGGCAAGCTAGGGTTAGATCAGCAGACGAAAGCCCTTCCGGAACACTGACCGGAGGCACTCCTTCACGAGACAAGCCACGTATGTGCATTTTTGATCATCGGCAGCATGGCAAAGTGGTTCATCCAGGTTGTAGAACTCTGCGATTGCGGCTGCTGCCCTGTCTTGAATATCGGGTCTTTGGGAGAGACATGCAAAGCTCCACGTAACGAGGGTGGTGATGGTGTCTAGACCACCCGATAACATGCTGAGACTGATGGATGTAAGTTCTTCGGCATTGATCTTAGTTTCCTTATTCAATATCACGTTCGCTTGTATGCAAGGTGAGTAGGTCCCTTCGCGAATTCGTTGGTCTAAATCCTCGTTCAAAGACCGCAAGTACTTATCCCGTCGGTTCCTCATCTCATTCGCCTTTTTAGAGTTCGAGTTGAAAGGCATCAGGCGTAAAGCTGGGATATAATCTTGTAGATTCCCTGTGGTGCTTCTGAACTTGCTGATTTCCTCTTCAACATGAGTGATCTCGTGAAATAGCTCGTTCTGAGATTCTACTCGCATCCCCCAGTTTAGGGTCAGGGACATACTGAGACTGAGCCGCTGAATCATAGGTGTAGGGTCCACAGACAACTGTCCCTTACCACCGTGACTGAGCAGCTCAGAAACAAATGTTTTCGTTTCTATGTCTAGATGCGGTATGTATGTTTCCACCGACGGGCGATTTAAGGCAGACGCCGCACCTTTTCTGCGTCTCTTCAACGATTCGCTGTATGGAGACGTCCCAATTGTAGTGCCCGACGTACTAGAGACAATCTTGGATATTTCAGTGGCATTCATTGCTCTTCGTAAGGATGTCACTGACCTTGTGGAAGGTGTAGAATTCTGGTCTGGAGCTGAGAGCCTGGGAGTTTTGTCCCCAGAGAATCTTGGCCGCTGCGGCAGAGTTGACGACCACAATCGGCACATTGCCTAATTGGATTTGATATACAGGACCATATTTCTTAGACCACTTGCGATACTGCTCCGCCGCGTTCTTGCGGATCTGGGCGAGATTTCCGATGATGGGCAGACCCTGCGGACCTTTCAAACCAGGGATACGTGCGGAGGCGCGAATGAATTCGTTGATGATGGCGTATACAAGAGGGAAAACCACCGCCACTAAGGTGAATAATCCGATGGATCCTCCTGGAACACGTCCGTGAAGAAGGGAGAGTGTTGCTAACATAGCCATGTCGCTTTGGAAAAATACAGTGAAGACAAAATGTTGATCAGACGTGGCGGGCTATCGAAAAGTTCACATCCATGTCTTGGCCATTTTATTTAATATTTATAGCCAATTCTTCCTAATCTTGGCCTTTACCTGCACTATACAATCTTTCCGTATTCACCTGCGGGGAACTTGTTCCGGAACTTTGGCGCATGTGTAGGAATGATCGTACCCCGTTGTATGTGGCGGCGGGTCGGAGATTCCGTTATGTCATGCGGATTTGGGTGTCTATTGCAAGGCAAGGGCGGGAGCAGCGCCCGTCGATCCCAGCCCAGTTCCGCACAGGGAAGCAAACTTTCATCGACACTCGCAGCGGCGGGCGTCAAGGCGCATTTACTTCAAGCGTACTACAAGAGGTCAGACCCGGATCTCGCACTTCGCATTGTATGATTTTTTGCTAGTTAGGACCTCGTATGATTTGTTCTCATTCCTTGAGCGGGGTCCAACATGGCATCAAATGTCAAACACGGCACCGTCCAACACTTTCAACAGTGCGTTGGAATCGGCTTCCATTGAAATGTATGACCTACAGCTACACCCAGCCTCCTGATTCGACTCCGGGGATAATCCTTATCCCTCGCGCCCCGTGCCCCAAAACCGAGCCTCCGTTCGCGCCCTCGTCGCCAACAGCTAATCGAATGCCGCCGTCCCCAGCATCTCATTATACATCCCATCTACTCATCTCTTCCATGCATATCACGATTACGGCGCGTGGCGAGTAGTGATATTCCAAGCAAGGCGTCCGACAAGGTATTCATACTTGTTGGCTGAAGCCTGATGAGACGGCTCGCCAATGCCAGCCTTGCTCCCCCCGTTCTTATTTTGGCCATAATTCTCTCATTTCTTTTGTTTTCTTTTCCATGATGTTTATTTTGTTTTTTCTTTGTCGAAATATGTGTTAGCAATAGATTGCAGTTCGGCCAGCTTAGTACTCACCATCTATCATTGAGGTATCAATAAATTAGCAAACCTACTAGTACTATATTACTACTAACTGAACCAACTTATTAGAGAAGGTATAATGTCAGTAAGCTACACTACTAAACAACCGATAAAATACATGATATTTCCCAGTATATATGGTTGTTTACTATAGGGATATCAAAACAAATGTAGTTAGTCAAATAATAACTGCATAATCGGAAATTTATCCACTCAAAGGCAGGTTCATTTTATGGATATTGACACTTGACGGAAACACATGAACATATATGGACGAAGTCACGGCGCTTCCGACTCCCGTTCACGGGAGTTGTGTAGATCTAGTCCAACCGACGTCTCTCGAATCCCGCCTAAACTGCCACCTGTCTTCCTGTAAAGGTTTCATTCCGCTATGGCTCATATGAATATCAGGGATTAAGTAGGTAGAGATGGATGCGTTCCGCCCTGAGTCAACCGCTTATAAATATCCTGTTTCCGCCCTCGTATATGCTTCAGCGGCGACTATGTTCATGAAATCTCTTGTTCTCTTCACGATTAGGCATCCTTGGAGTTAATCTACAGCTGCTGAACGGACATCGCTGCCAGTAAATTTTATCTTTATGCATCAAGTTTCCAGCAGAATGGACTTCGAAGCCAAGAAAGACGATGCTCAGCATATTGAGCTATCTTCAGCCTCGGGCCAACCAAACGAGGACCTGCCTATGGTAAACTGTTCATTTGTCCAAGATTTGAGCCCGCGACCTCGACTAATCATCATGATCAGAATTGGTCATGGCTTCGCAAACACATCATCTTAATGCAATGTGGATTGCACGCCCTCGGTCCGGGCTTTACCTGTGCCATCCTGATCCCAAGTACAGGCCAAATCGCCACCCAGTTCGGGGTCACTCCTCAAACGGCGACCTACCTAGTGGCAGTCCAAGTCCTCTTCTTAGGCTTGGGCCCGTTCCTGTGGATCCCGCTGATGAACTCGTACGGGCGCCGACCAGCGCTGATTGGGAGTATGCTATTGTCTAGCATTGCCGCATTAGGAGGCGGCTTCGCAAAGACATACGGCACTCTTATGACAGCACGCGTATTTCAAATCATCGGCATCTCATCCGGGTTGGTTGTCCCCGGCGTCATCGTCGTAGACCTGTTCCGGCCCGAAGAGCGAGGTAGCAAGAATGGCATCTGGACGCAAATGGTGGCAATTGGTCCCCCGCTGGGTGGACTTATCGGAGGGCCTGTGGCCGAATACGTAGGTTGGCAATGGGCTATGTGGATCGTCGCTATTGCCAACTTCGTCGAGGCCCTAGCCTATGTCCTTTCCTGTCCAGAGACATCATACGAGCACCGACGATACAATGGGATGGGTGCGTATCATCCTGCAGAGTACCTCATCACACCCAAACCTCTTCCTGAGCAACTCAAGCTCCGATCCTTCATCGAACCGGTCCTCTTCCTCCAATCCCCGCATGTGACACTCATCGCCTTCGCTTATGGCGTCACCTTCGCAATCACCTCCCCTGGCCTCTCAGCTATTGTCCCGCTCGCTTTGAAAGCAGTTTACAATTTTGACGCCGTCCAGCAAGGCCTCTTCTTCATCGGCCCGCTACTCGGCGTCGTGTTCGGTGAGCTTCTCGCTGGCACTGGCAGCGACTGGGCCATGAACCGCGAGCGTCGATTAGCTGTCAGCACCAACCGGCCCGCACGGCTGGAATCCCGCCTCTGGGTCGGGATTCCGGGGCATGTGCTGTCTGTGGTTGGCATTCTAATTTTCGGGATCACGTTGCAGAATCGCACGCACTGGATCGGACCTTGTCTTGGGTATGCTATCTCGAACTTTGGGTTGCAATTGGTCACCACTCCGCTTAAGACATATTGCGTTGATTGCTACACCGCGCACTCAGGGTCGGTGTTACAGTTCATGAATGTCGTGCGTCAGGTTATCTCGTTTACTGTGCCGTTTTGGAGTCCAAATCTCAATGAAAACCTAGGGTACGATCTGGGGTTTGGGATTGAGGCGATTATTCTTGTCATCTTCTATCTGGCTAGCTTGTTGATCTTCTGGAAGGGTGCTGTCTGGAGACAATCGGTGGAGATGGGGATGCTGGTGAGTGGTGACGGAGTAATCCAAGATTCCTAGGAAGATATAGTAGTAAACCATCATGACAGGAAGGAGAACTAAATGTCCGAACAAGATTTAGCCTAGGTCTATTGACGTTCGATCGCGAATACATTCAGAATCTAAGGACACTCGAGACAATTTTGTCGAATCCAGGTGGAGCCTTTGTCGGCCACCTATTAACCAAATGGTAATTACAGACTGTGTGAATACTCTAAAATTTCCTGATTCAATCACATGCGTATTGTTGGAATGTGAAATAGGCGTATTTACTAGTTGCCAGTTTCCATGATGGGAGATCAGGTGATCAGGATGCGGCAGATGGACCAACTAATAGAATACTAGTGGACATTTTACCCGACACCTGTATACGCATAGGCGTTCATGCCTGTGAGGAATCAGGTGTGGACAATCAGGAGAAGGGGGTTTTGGTTTGACTGTTTGAGAGCTTGTATGTTGGTTCTTGATCTAGTTAAGTGCGGAGAAATTGATCTACTATTGTCCTCTTTCCCCTTTGAAGGATCGACGTAGAGCTGTTAGTTGCTATAGTGGATGGATTAATCAAGTGAAGCGCCTGAAGGCCTGAAGGGAAAGGGCGCTAAACCCGAGGGGTCCCAAAAAAAGAAAAGGATACATGCAACAGTCAGGATTCGCTGGTGGTCACCCACCCAACTACTAACTGACCGGCGTGTGGCTTAAGTACGGCTGAGCGGACGGGAAGCCCTGTTCTCCACACCCTGTGGTCGCATGTACATGTTTTAGAGTTAATTATAACCATATGTTATCTTTAAAACTAGCCTACATACATTGGTGAGAAAGGTCCTCGTCATAGTATGTGGCTTAGCATTCGATCTTGTTTTATCATTTCTCCCGAAGCCTTGGCGAGAATGGGATAAGCTCTTTAACTGGACCACTTTTGGTCAATCATCATTAAGAGCGTTCATGTTTTCGCTGCAGTCAAGATATGTATAATTACAATCGAAATATTCTGTCTATCTAAGTGCTCTGCCAGACATCAGTCAAGAAATCCTGTTTCATATCTATAACAATATTTGATACATGCGTCAACTGTCTCGATAATAAATGTGCATAGAAAAAGAAGCAAAAAAGGAGACCGAAAAGAAACCATTTTCGTTTCCAAATTTCAGTCCTAGACGCGCATAGCGAACTGCTTCAGATACAAGTAGTGGGGCATGTTCTGGTCAACCGTCTTGCGAATCATAGCCGCCGCTTCTTCGCCATATTTTGCACGCCACTCGGCGTCAAAGTCCTCCTCTGATTTCGGAGCACGCTTCTGTAGTCCACTTATTAGCGTTTTCTGGCATTTTCCTGTCTCACAGGCGGTTTGTTACGACTTACGTGAGCCCTCGCTTGAAGTCCATCGGAATCGAGCGCATCATCGTGGAAGCCGCGCCATTTCTCAAATTTGTCTTTTGCCACAGCATGATCGATTTCCCTATCCCATTGCAGCATTCGAGGGTCATACTGCAGTCCGACACTCTCGCAAAATGCCTCGATCATGGCTGCTGGTGCATCGAGTAGATCATCTGCATCGACAACACATATTTCGTGGCCATTGCATTTCTTCAAGCCCGAATCAGCCTTGGTCTCTGGACTGCTTAATTCGGGTCGTGTGGCTACATGCGGTCCGACAAGGCCAGTCTCCTTCAGGTAATCAAAATGCCGGCGAAGCTCGTCATATCCGGCTTCGAGGGGATCATAATAGAAGTTTGTGATCTCACGCAGCGGCGGGATCGTGCACCGGTAGTAGGATGGCACGCTGTAGTGCGGATCGCGGATGAGAAACGTAAAATGAAACATTTCTTGTATCTCACGCGGCATCACGGTTGGGTTTTCTGGCTCAGCTAAGGTTGGATGTGGGCTCGACTTTTTCTGAATACAGCCGTTGGTTCTTGCAGCTTCGCTGGAAAGATGACCACCTGTGACTTTTTGAAAAGATGGTGCGATGCTGGTAGGCTCCCGGTCAAGCGCAAATAGATAATAGTCGATGTCCTTGATGAACACACGCTTTCCCTATCGATAGGGTAAGCATGGCCTCGATTACACAGATCACGTTCTACATGACGGGTGCGAAAATGTAGTTATAAGTCTATCATTGTAATATGCGATGGCCTTTTCATGGTTGTGCCGTGTGTGCTTGAAGGAAAATGGGGCAGACGGCGAATTGTAGCAGAGGGGCACCTAAGGCAGGGGGCTCGTAAGGGGAAAATGTCGAACCTGAGAAGCTTCTTGCTTAATACCTTCCAGCACCGAGCCATAGGTGGCCTTGCTGAATCCACTGTTCAGACGGGTTTGTTCATCATCCGCAAATCGGGTCGAGAGTCGCTCTGGGCCGTAGTAGAAAGCGTCACCAAATGGCTCATGAACACATTGAATAGTGTCATGTTGAGTCATAAATACGCGCTCGAATGCCGTGGAACATGCTCGGGGATGAGCAGCCACAAAAATTGGCTTGTCTGACATGTCCGTCAAGCTCGAGAACCCTGCAAGGTGTGTTTTCGCTAGTGTGCTGTTGCTGCAATGGCTACACAGGTTGACGGGATGGCGTGATAGGTGGATGAAGCGCGTTGTGAAAGAATAATAGCCGCTCGGACTGTGGAAAGAGGGGGGAGGGGCAACCGGGGAGGGCCTATGTCCGATGTATGATCGACGACCTCGGTTAAGCCCACCAAATGGAATGGTGGGGGTCCCTTAGAGCCCTGTTAATGTTCTTAGGTTACTAGCAAACCAAGGGGTAATAATGCATTATAGACTACGATGAATTATTTAAGAAGCAAGAGTACCAAATAGAGAAGTTGAAAAAGAAGTATGGACTAGCGCCCGGCGGGAGGCTCGCTGTGTCAGGTTAGTGACGGTCCAATTGATAATTGGATAATTAATACATACAGCTCCTGGCATCTAGGAGTAAGATAACTTAAATTCTGGCGCTCTCTGGGATATTTTAACAAAAATCTTCCAACAGAGTCCTATGGGGAGACCAACAACCAACTTGGAGCCAAAAAAAGCCACGGGTCGGATGCTCCGATAGAAGGTCCCCATGTTTCCGGGGGCCCCGATATTCGACATGCTTTACAGCTGTCTAGCTGCCGTATTAATTATCCTACGCCACACAGAGCTTCTATCTTGAGGTATCGTAAATCGAATATCACCTTAAGCATACCAGGCGCTTATACAACAATCATGGGGGACAACACCCGGAACAGCACCGCCACGGAGCAGTACATGAAGCCTGCAACACGGCTACGAAAGCTCCTCTCTCAACCAGGTGTCTGTATTCAGGCCCCGGGAGTGTACGATGGCATCTGCGCGCGCCTTGCCATTGAGCAAGGGTTTCAAGTCATGGTATGTCTCGATGATTGAGCTGTCGCCTCGTTACCGGAACGGACAAAACTATCGTGCGGGCTAATCGATCCGCAGTATCAAGGCGGCTCTATGACTACAGCGGCGCGTCTTGGAAGAGCAGACCTCGCATTCGCATCATTGAACGACTTTGCACAGAACGCACAGATGATCGCCAATATCGACCCTCGGATCCCGCTCATCGCCGACGCGGACGTCGGTTTCGGGTCGCCGCCGAATATCGCTCGCATGGTGCAGACGTATGACTCGTGCGGAGTTGCAGGGTTCCACATTGAGGATCAAGTGTCAAATAAGCGATGTGGTCACTTGAAGGGCAAGGAAGTCGTGGACATTGAGTAAGTGGCTTGGACTTTGTCGCGCGAGCCTTGGTACTAACGCACCCTTTTTGCGCTAAAAGAACCTGGAAGTCGAGAATCCGCGCGTGTGTTATTGGGCGGGATTCAATCTATGGCGGCAGTGACATCCTCATTATTGCGCGAACGGACTCGCTGGCGGTTGAAGGATACGATGCTGCCCTTGAAAGAGTATGTTTGATGCTGAACAGGCCCTGACAGTTTGCAGCATAACTGACAATCTATTGCAGCTTGTCACAGCACGAGATTGCGGCGCTGACATGGGCTTTTTGGAGGCCATTGAGACGGAAGAGCAGATCAAGAATGCTGTGAAGGTTCTCTCACCAATGCCGGTAAGTTCAATACCTATTCATTTTGTCTAAGGACTCTATGATGCTGACCTGGCCGAGCTCATGGTGAATTTGGTCTCCAACGGTAAGACCCCATGGTTCCCGCCCGAGCAACTGGGTGAGTGGGGAGTAAAGGTTAGTTTTGCAACAATCTACCGCGCATAAGTTTAGTCTAACACAGAAGTAGCTCGCCATATACCCCGGTGCTGCTGGGAAATCGGTTTTGCACACCATTCGGCGTGCGTACAAGTATCTCATGGAAACTGGCAAAGATGATGCAGCGGCACAAGGCTTGGATCCCAAGGGATTCTTCGATGTTATGGGATTGCAGAGAGAGATGGAAATTGATCGTCTTGCGGGAGGCGTATCATTCGCGAACGGGGCATAAAGCCACAAAACGTAACACGAATTCTGCATAGGTACAGTAGATAAATAATCCAACTATCATCTATTGGTGCTATTACTGGTTCCGGTCTTTATATTTGACGTGTCTTGTACTCCTCAAAATAAAATGACCTGACCCAGTAAGCTTTGCCTTGGCGCGTCCCGTGCGTAATAGTGTATATGAACGACTATCTGGTTTCGATTGTTACAAGTTCAAAAGGTGTTGCCGCAGACCGACCTGTTCTGATTAAACATTCCCCTAGGCACGCGAGGTTGATATTTGGGTTCAAATCTAGTAAAAAACAACAATCCTTAAAGGGTTGGCTCCCGGTAGAAGCAGAGGTTTAACCCCACGATGAATAATAAAAGCCAAGAACATGAGAAATAAAGGTAAAATTCGCCCTTGATCGATATACATGAACAACAGCGACATTGATCTTTTAGTTGGCCGCCACAATCTTGCTCATCTCCTCTTGTGTTACGCTTGGCTTGAACCCAGTTAGAGGCATATTCATGGCCTCGGCCTGACGCTTCTCATACTTCAGAAAGTCCTCAGTGATGGCACTACCTCGGACACCACCACGAACTGCGCCAGCCCGGACGTCACCCCAGTACTCGGCCCACTGTGGAGGCAGGGGTTGAGAGGTGGGAATGGAGAGCCACAGACGCATGAGGTGACGCTTCTCATCTGGAAACTCATAATCTTCAAAGGGCGTGCGCGAGTGCAGCGTCACAAAGCTGTTTAGCAGTTGCATATCCCCGACCTCCAGTTCCATGCTGTAGCAATACTCGTCCGTCGGCATGATAGTATCGAGAAGATCGAGGGCTTCCTCCTGCTGTGCAGTAAGCCGCGGCACCTCGGGGAAGTCGCGCTGCGCGGCAACAGTATTCTTACGGTTTGCACGGGCGCAAAAGTAAGAGCCACTCTTCCCGATGATGGGGCAACGGTAGTAGGGGGGCTGTGTAGGATCTTGGGCGTTCTGGAAGCTGTGGAACCAGTTGTTGGACTCGAGAACGGGGAGTAGGTCGGGGCGTAGCTCAGCGACGCGGTCGCGCAGCGCAATGCTGCTCATGACCTTAGAAGTTCCGCCTTCCTTGGCAGTGCGGCGGCACAAAAGGGCCACCACGTCGGCCGAGTCCTGGTGGAAGTCAAGACCGGCGTTGGTGTTGTATCCACGACCGCCCTTGACTTTGTAGCTGCCACCGGCATCCCGCACATCGTTGATCACCTCACTGGCGCGATTTTGAGTGCGACCAACGCCCATGTAAAGACCCATGCCCCAATAGGCAACACGCATGTCTGCTTCGGACCATTCGTTGGTAGGAAAACCCTTCACGAGGCACATGCCCCAGCGGTCTTGGGTGGTAGCGATTGCGCGCTGCAGGGCCTTTGCAGATGCATCTGGTAGCGGGTAATCGGCTTGCGTCATGTCGAGGAGAGCCTTAGGGTGTGTCTTTGCGTGGGCAAGCGCGGTACGGAAGCCCTCGACTTCCTCGGGGGTCAGGCGCAGAATCCATGAGTTGTCGCGCTTGACATCCTCCGTCTTCCACGCTTGGGGTCCAGTTCCGATTGACATGTTTGTTGAAAGTGAACGAATCAAAGATATGATAATGTGTTGAAAGCACGAAACTGCTCCAATGAGTGTACCAGGAAGACGAAGGCTGTAATATGGATCTGCTAGTTGCTCTGTTCTTTCCAGTGTCTTATTCCAACCACCGGTTGCGATCTGGGATATATTTATTAGTGACGCTTCGGCAAAACGTCCCGAACACCAGCTCTCATCAAGTGTCGGACTTCAGAGAATTCTGAGATTGTTTGCCAGGGTTCAGCTACTTCATCGGAGGTCCGGGTCTCCGCCCACATCGGAGGGTCCGCGCAGAGCAGCCCTCAAGGGCGGCTGCATGTCAAAGACGCCACCCCCATGGTTTCACCCGCGTGGTACATGATTGTGGGGAAATGCCGATCGCTTGTACATACCCGGCGTTCAGGGTCTCCAAGGACAAACGTGCAAGTATACCAGTAATCTCCGGCCGTGATAGTCCTTCTTAGTTATCATTCCGCATCCTATCTGTCTTCAGCGCGCTTAACTAAAAGGTTGAATGTCAGGCCGGACGAGCTAGTCAGCTCTACGGAACCGTCGGGTTTCCCAAGTTCTCAATCCATTCGAATGATATAGATAGAGAGTTAGCGGAATACGGAGTTAGTCCGAAGGGAATAAGATTATTCTCGTTATCTTGTCGTGTAGTGTTTTCGGTCATTCCGCATATCCTCGGAGCCTCCGCTAGGGCTTGGGGCAAGGAACAGGCCCCCACTTGGATACCAACTCCACCGTTATCGTGGAGTACCCCAGCCCCTTAATAGGGCATCCCGGTCGGCAATTATGCCTTCGCGTAACTCTACAATATTACTATTGAAGCGTTGTGACTGGCAGAAAATGACAGATTGGTAATTATTCCCAAAACCGGAGTTCAGATCATAGATGTTCTGTAGCTATCTCTTATCCACGAATAAGGTTTCACTACGGAATCCTCGGTACGAGCTAAAGTGTCTCTTTATCTGGGGTCCTCCCCGGGGAAATAAGATAGACTTTTTTCTAGCATAACTTGGAGTGGCCGCCGCGTCTGTCCACTCGTCGTGCTGTTTTTCGATTCATTTCGACACAATGACCTGGGCTATACGGACCAAGGAAGCCTTTTCTTCTCGGAAAGCTTTTTTGAAGGCCATCGAGGCCAGAGAAGTTGATGGGGAGGAGGCCGCCTACAATGAGGATTTGCTGCCAACAGAACCTGGTAGGTCCCTCTGTTTGAGAACCTCTCTCCCTAAACTAGGCGACAGGCATGCTGATAATACATGACAGAACGTCGGTCATGGGGATGGATTCACTTTTTCACATATTACCTGACAACGTCCTTCTCACCTACGAGCTACAACCTTGGAGCTTCTCTGGCCACCATTGGTCTGGTGAGTAATAAATAACTCCTCATAAGCAGAAGTTATGCAAGCATGCTAATGGAATTTTGTTTTTAGCAATGGTGGCACACCCTCATTGCTGCGACAATCGCCTCCATTTTCCTGTCCATCGTGGTTGCTCTGAACTCTCGAGGTGCGACACGATATCATGTCGGATACCCCGTCATGGGCCGCGCAGCTGGTGGCCCGCGGGGTGCTAAGTTCTTCATCTTCATCCGCGGTGCTGTGGCAACCATCTTTTTTTCGACCAACCTCTACTATGGCGGAATGCTGATGGCCGTCCTGCTGCGATGCATCTTTGGCTCAGCGTGGGACAATATTCCAAACCATCTTCCCGCCAATGCTGGTATCACCAGCGCGAATCTGTTGGCTTTCTTCATCTACTGGTTCTTCCAGATGGGTCTGATGTTTGTGCACCCTATTGTGCTGAGGCATATCTTCGTGGTCAAGGCATTTTACAGCACCGTCGCTCTGTTCGCCGTGCTTGGTTGGGCTATCCACCAGAATAACGGCTCGCTGGGTAACTTTCACTTTGACGGGCAAGTCATTCTTTCAGGCTCGAGCCTCGTTTGGCCCATGATTTCAGCCATTAACTCCGTCTGCGCTGCTCTTTGTCCTATTTTGATCAACCAGCCTGATATTGCGCGGTACGCGCAAAAGCCGTCTCAGGCCACCTGGTCGCAAACTCTCGGTATCTTCATCAGCAAGATTCTGATCATGTTCCTCAGCGCAGGAACTACTAGCGCTGCTCAGGGGTTTTTGGGTACTTCCTATTGGAACGTGTGGGATCTCTACGACGCGATACTGACTACCTACTGGGGTTCGGGTGCCCGTGCTGGTATTTTCTTTGCCTGCTTCGTAAGTCACCCTGCTACCCATCCTTTCTAATATCCAAGACGCTAACTCCATCCAGGGGATGATTCTTGCTATCATGGCTACCAACGCGGGTACTAACTCGCTCCCGGCGGGTGCCGATATGAGCGGTCTCCTGCCCCGGTATATCAACATTGTTCGTGGACAGATCATCTGTGGTCTTCTGGGTCCCTTGTTCTTCCCCTGGAAGATCATTGCCAACGCAACTAGCTTCCTAACTTTCCTGTCGTCTTACACCGTCTTTCTGATGCCTGTTTGTGGTATCATGGTGGTCGACTACTGGCTTATTCGGCGCGGTAATATTCATGTCCCCTCACTTTACAGCCGCGAGCCGGGTTCTCCCTACACATACTGGAAGGGCTGGAACCTCCGTGCCATTACTGCCTGGCTTGCAGGCACGGCGTTCGTCATTCACGGCGTTGCTGGTGCCTTGGAACCTGGCCTGACGAACCAGGCCAGCAAGAATATGTACAAGATTGGATTCTTCCTGAGTTTCCTCATGAGCTCGGCAGTCTACTATGCTGGTAACATGCTCTTCCCTACATATATCTACCCCGAGAGCAAGCAGGATACTCCTAAATCTTGGGAATATATGGCGGACTCCGAGGGCTTCTTTGAAGGAGAAAGCGTGCTCACTATCAGGCTGGGCAATGGTGCTGTGATGTCGGAGAAAGACGCTGTTTGAACTCCTCATAGATGGCATATAGCATTTAAATTCACATTTATTTATCGTGTAACTATGTCCAGGGCTTTTGAATAATGTGTTCATCTTCCCGAGGCAATTGCCACTGGTTCGGAACCGATTGCAGTACCGTAAGGGCCATTCTCGGTCGGAGGGTGCCGTAGATTAGCATTACATATTGCACCAATCTTGGCTCAATTCTTACGAGTCAGATAGTAATTATTATATTAGTGATCATTTCTAGAAGTGCTTTTGTTCTATCTGTGATAACGCCCAAGTGGAGTGGTGGGAAGTCCGGACCGCCCATTGGTTGATCGGTTGTTGCGCCTATGCATGCCTATCTTCCGGATCCTCCGCTTCCCCTCCACCCTCTCGACCATCAGCGCATTTTATCCACTAGGCATGAGCTTCTACGGTGTCGTTCCACCTGGCAATGGACCGGGCTCTCCATCGACTCCGGGCGGGCAGCTTTCCAGTCATAGCCGTAAACGTGGGATGGGGAGGACAGCCTGTTCGCGTTGCAAGACCAGGAAGCAGAGGGTATGTGCTAGAATTTCCTTTGATGACGATGCACAAACCCTTGATATTGATGGTTATTTCAATAGTGTGACGGTAGGCTGCCCGTATGTTCCAGCTGTACAAAATCAGGGGCATCATGCGACCTGCAAAATATTCGCGGCGAAGACCTGGTCGTGGCAAAGTGCGTTCATTCATAGGTTGCCTTGTTGGGAGAGAGACTAAAACTGATCTAGGTATGTTCAAAGCCTGGAAAACAAGGTCGCCGACCTAGAGATGCAACTCCAGCGGCACCAGCCCACGCGGGCTGAACAGCCGGATGCTAGGTTTCCTCCAGGCGGATTGCCGGGGCGTATCAGCATTGGCGATGTCCAAGTCAACTCTCTCTGTTTCGACCTACCCAATACATCTTCGTTCGCCAACTCCTCGCAGTTTGGGCTTCATCTTGCCCTCAATCTCAGTGATGTCGCGCAAGCTTCAACTGTGAGCAAGGCTGGAACGACCAGCCCCCAGTCAACCGGGGATTTCCATTCTCAGGATGACCGTTCGGATACCTCGCCCAGTTCGGGGAACTATCCATTCACCGCCGTTATGGACAATCATGCAGAGGGTGCTGGACCGCCTCCAGAGGAGCTGGGTACGAAGCTAATCGAGACCTACTCGGAGAGACTAGATTGGAGGTATCCTTTCTTGGATCTGGACCAGATTGTGGAACTTCACCAAGAGAGAGAAATTCTCTCGCGTGTGGAACCGCAGTCCCTAACAGCGAACCAGCGATTTGGATTATTTAAATTGTACCTCGTGTATGCTGTAGGGTCTGGGCTGCTGGCTTTGACAGAAAAACAGACGTCCTCACCAACACCGGAGGTCAGTCTCATAAAAATACCGTTTTCCGATCGTGAAGCAGTTTGCTAACTATCCAAACAGGCTTTTTATGCAACAGCCATACAGCATATTTCAGCAGCACGAGAACCTCAATCCCTCGAGAGCATCGAGGCCATGGTTCTTCTGGTGATTTTCCACCTTCGGTGCTCCCTTAGCCAAGAGCTATGGTACTTAATTGGGTTCGCCATGCGTACCTGCGTTCACCAGGGGATGTACCTTTCCCGGCGCGAGGTTGATCTACCCCCCACGACCATACAAAAGCGACGAAAGCTCTTTTGGACTGTTTACTCTCTCGAGCGCAACATTTCCATCGCACTCGGCTACCCCGTCAGTCTCCCTGATCGGTTGATTGACGTGGATATGCCCACTGTGATGCGAGACGATGACCACAAATTACGGCAGGCCATCCATATTTTCCAACTCAGAAGAATTGAGTCTCGCATTCATCATTCTATATACCGCAATGACCGCACCCTGCAAGTTTTACTACCTAAGACGAGAGGGCACTTCCAGAAATTACAAGAGTGGAAGGACAGTATAGTGGCGTCTGTGGATCTATACAGCAGCCGTCGCCTGGATTACTTCCTTCTTCATTATCACCGAGCCACGCGCCTCCTCATCCAGCCTTTCCTCTCTATTTTGCCGAGTTCTGATCCTTACTACAACGCCTGTCTAGAGTCGGCGGGTCAGATCTGTCAAATTCACAAAAGACTGCATCAGAACTCCGATTATGGACACAGCTTCATCGCCGTGCAAACGGTCTTTGTGTCTGGCATAGTGTTGCTCTACTGCCTGTGGACGCATGGGAGTGACGTGTGGAGTGTACGGTTAAGCAATAATATTCGAGCATGCTCGAGCGTGCTGTTCGTCATGGGAGAACGAACCCCATGGGTACGACGATACCGGGACGCATTTGAGGCGCTTGTGAGCGTTACCATGGAGAGACTGGAGACACAACAAACAGGCACTGGAGTAGGTGGTGCGGGCACCACAGAAGATATTCCTATGAACGATACTGCAGTCCCGGAGGTCCGGGATACTCAAATTCGCGGCAATTCGGTCATTTCGAACGGCGAGTTTATGAATGGATCCGGATCTGTCCCAGGAGAGCATATGCCGCCGCCGCTGCAGGTATTACAGGACCGATGGATGGAATTCGATACCATGGCAGTTGTCAATGAGCTTGCAACCTGGGCAGATCCCGACACGCCCTCAGCGCAAATACCTTGGACACTCGGCTATGGCGACTTTGGAGATTGCAGTTGGGAGGAATGGCAGTTGCCGTAGTTAATCAGGCCGTGTAACTGCATAATGCGATAGCAATAATACTCGAATATACGACCACGAAGGTTCTTCTTGGAAGCTACTTATTGGATCAACAGGTACTTGAAATCATCGCTTTAGATAGTCATCGAACACAAAGGTCCAGCCCTTATTCCTCGGCTTCATCCACCTCACGTGAACTAGATGTACAGATTCAGTGCCCTTATTCCTGTTTCCTGGCATCGTCAACCCACTTTCGGTCAGGCTGGTAAGGAAACTTAGACCGGAAGTGCTTGGCGATATCTCGCCTGTTCGTCACCCAAACATCAGGCTTGTCGGCGACGTACTTCATAAAGTTACGAAGCGCTTCACATCGGCCGGGCTTGCCGATGATACGTGTGTGAAGGGGAATGTTCATCATCTTGCCGCCTTCGCGATACAGCATGTCGAAGGTGTTCTTGAGATACTTCTCATAGCTCTCGCCTGAGCTGGAGCCAAATCCGGGCGCCATGTGGAATTTGCCGTCATTGCAGTCGTACTAGTCCGATGTGTCAGTACCGGAACGAATTGAATCTGATCGACGAAGATGGACTTACATTGTATGGGATCAAGAGCATACCCTCCCGCTCCTTCTCGGGCAGGTCGTTTTCCCATGGCAAGTCAAGCCAGTAAGGTACATCATCATTGTAGCACTCCGATGACCAGAGGAACTCTGCACCCAGCTCCTTCCAGACCTCAGGAAATAGATGGTGTGTCTGTGGGGTCCCACGGCCAAAGTAGGCGCCAGCGGGCATCTCACCAGTTACCTCCTTCAGCAGCAACAGACTCTCCTTAATGTACGCCTTATCCTCCTCCAGATTATAGTCCCAGAAATCCTTCCACCGCACACCGTGGGTAGCTATTTCGTGACCGTCACGCACCAAGGCTTTGGCAAATGTTGGATTCTTCTTCAGGGCCATCGCAACTGCGTAGGTCGTGAAGGTCCAGCCAAACTCCTTGAACAGGCGGATCAACCGCCACGAGGCAACTCGACTACCGTACTCAAAGTCGTGTTCAGCATTGAGATACCGGGCGTTGTCACGATGTCCACCCGACGAACCCTTCTCCCACAGGTACGGCTCCGACATATTGTCGCCGTCCAGAATACAGCGCTCACCACCCTCCCTGGCACGAGTTAGTCTCCATGGATCTGAAACGGGTTTGAGTCGCGCAAGCTCACTCATAATTCAGCACAAATGACACCGCAATACGGGCACCGTTGGGCCATTTGGCGTCAAACCCTTCCTCGCCGTAACCTTCAAAGTCGCGGGGGACTTGGTACTTTGGCTCGATGTGGACCATTTTGGGAGCGCGGAAATTGGGTTGGACTAAGGATGAATCGGTACCTACCCTCTGCAGTCTATTTGAGGTTTTGAATGGATAAATAATTTGTGGCCATTGGTTGTCGTTATCAACTCGGGAATACCTAACCGATATCTGGCGGGGTCGGTCCCTCCGTCGGAGTCTCCGGCGCGCATTGCGGAAATTGGCTCTCGCGGGGCATTCAAAGCGCGACACGGAATTGAGCCGAGCGGGGCGGGACTGACTCGCAGCGGTACATACGAAAATTGGTCACGTCAATCAACATGATTATTTTCGGGCAGCTGATTGTACCTTAGCGCGGTGGATTGCGGTGCCGAGGTTTTAGCTTCGGTCATGATAAGGGCTTGACACAGACAGGAAGGCATCCAGAGTGGGAGCACGACCTTCTCACTACGCTGTCAGCAGATTAAGAACGGCATTTTTTGACAGAGGCCACCATGGCTCCAACCCGGGAAGAGTTGCTCTCTCTAGCAAGAGGGCTGTCTTTCGAGATCCCGGAGCATGAGATCGAGGACTATGAGATGCTTCTTGCGCGCATGGAAAAGACATTAGAAACCGTGGCCGCGATGGACGGCAAGTGCTGCACATTTTGTTCGGAACCTCAATTCGCTAACTATCATGCAGACTACCAGCCCGAACCCGACCAGACTACCAGCCCTAGGCAAAACATCCATTTCCCACAAGCAGCGGACAATCCTCTTGGAGCATGGGCCTGGCGCTTCGAGCTATCGTCTAACTCGCCAAGCTCGGACATCTTGCAAGGCAAGACCTTCTGTCTGAAAGACAACATCTGCGTCGCAGGCGTGCCATGTCTACTCGGCACTGACACGTTCCGTGACTGGATCCCGCGCACCGATGCCACCGTGGCGACGCGCATCATCGAAGCTGGCGGCATCATCACCGGCAAGGCCGTATGCGAGAACCTATCGCGTGGGGCTGTCAGCTCGAGTGCAGCAACAGGCCCGGTGCACAACCCGTACGCGCGGGGGTATTCGGTTGGGGGCAGCAGCTCGGGCACGGCGGCGGTGGTTGCGAGCGGCGGTGCGGACATGGGCATCGGGTGCGATCAAGGAGGCAGTATTCGCATCCCGGCCGCCCTGGCGGGGCTGTATGGGCTCAAGCCAACCGCGGGGTTGGTGCCATATACGGGAATCGCGAGCAATGATGCGAGCTTGGACTATGTTGGGCCTATAACCACCACATGTCTCGACAATGCCTTGCTGCTAGAGGCGATTGCCGGCGCGGACGGTCTAGATGATCGCTCAGGGCCAGGGATCCCTTTCCCCAAGGATGTGCCACGTTACTCGCGCTTGATTAAGCAAAATGCAGCGGCCGGAATTGAAGGGCTGAAGATAGGTGTATTGAAAGAAGGCGTGCCGGCCGATATCGACCCGAACGTGGAGAAAAGGTTCAGAGATGCGGTCATAGTCTTCGAGAAGCTGGGAGCTAGCGTGCAGGAGGTCAGCGTCCCGCTTCACGCTCATGGCAGAGGGGTATACTCGGTACTCAGCAAAATGGGGAATCATATGGGAATGATGGGACGGGCAACGGGTCGGCGACAAGCGATGCTGACAGATCTATACGAGAAGAAGGGCCTTCCCTACACACCCGAAGTGGTGAGCAAGGTAAGTTCAGCACAGAAATATTTCATTGAAACCCGCTGAGTTTTCCCGACATAGATGAGCGTCATGAGCAAAGAAGGCCTCCTCAGTGGCGAGTTTGCCTGGCAACGCTATGCAACCGTATATCCGAAGGCTGCGAACATCATGCGTAAGCTGAAAGATCTATATGATGACGTTCTCTCCTCGGTGGACGTGATAGTGATGCCCACGACGCTGTCGCCCGCGAACCGCCTCCCAGTGGTAGACGCAAAGCCAGTGGTCCAAATGGAAGCGGCGAAAGGGAAGACGGAGAATACATGTTCTTTCAATGCTACAGGGCATCCAGCGCTGGCAATGCCAATTGGCTTTGTGCCTGCAAAGGAGGATGTGAACACCAAACTACCTGCTAGTATGCAGATTGTGGGCAGGTGGCACGATGAGTTGACAATTCTACGAGCTGCGTATGCGTGGGAGCAAAGTATCAACTGGAAAGAGTTTTGAAGATAGCGAGAACAGGATAAAGAAATTATGGTGAAAATTGATGCTATTTAAATTCAGTAAATTAGTATAGGTTCCATCATGCGACATAACTAGTCTCTCGATGACGGAAAATGACCTGGTTTGGACGTGACGTCTTTCAGACCTATAGTAGGAACCACCGAAATCGGCATTGAAACATTGACTAAATTGAGATATGCGCCGACGCTAATGCAGAAAAGGCACACGAGACTAGGCATATTCCTGATCCTTGACACGATCATGCTCTTCGCGAAGGACCTCCGGATCATTCATCTCAAACTGGAAATTCCAAAGCCTTGCCACGGAATCCGTTCTGCTCGTCTTGGAGCTAGTCCGCCCGACGTGCTGCACAATGCTTGGTGTCACAGCCCAGCGGATCTCATTATACTTGTCCGCAAATTCCTCCGTAAGACTATCCGCTTCTCCACGGCCTTTCTCGGTGTACCAACCCACAATATCGGGAACTCGTGCTCGGGGAAAGACAAACGCCTGCGAGCAGCAGGCGTAGCGTGGCATCTGGTGCACACCTTCTGGAATAGGGCGCGTCGTCACTTGTCCAGCGGCGAAGAAGAGCCCAATTAAAAGAGGTGTACAGATTCCACATGCGATAAGGATCATTTCCTTCGGGATGATAGTGCGCAAACGTGTATTGTATTGTCGCAAGCCGGTAAGTGAACATGCGACGAAGGCGACAGTCAGGACAGAGTAGGAGAGGAAGACGGGCCAGTCTTCGGCGTTCCAGCTAAGGAATTTTTCGGTATAGAAGAGACGAAGGTATAACCCTAAATTCGGCCGACCAGTCGGTCAGCGTGGTTCTCGATTCTCGGCTCCGAGTGTGATGAGAGGGCTTTTCTTACATTTTGAGGCCTCAATCTCCTGGGTCTGCTCCTCAGCCGACTCTATGGCAGCTCGAGTTCGGTGGTACCATCCGTCCTGCGCGACGATATCGTCTTCCATCATGACCACATAAGGAGCACCGACCGCCTCACACGCCTTCAACAAGAATCTATAGTCGAAAAGGGCCTTTTCTTTCGCATCCTTCTTTGCCTCTTCGGTCTCCAGGCTTCGAATATGGTCGATGTCAACCTCCATATCCACGCCCGTAGAATTGTAGAGCAGCACTCGATCCGACACTTTGTGCAGCCACGTCTCATTGTACGCCGGGTGCTCCGAGGGGTTTGTGTGCGCGATGAATGTAATCAGGTATATATCTGCGCGCTCAGCTTCGCTCAAACCCTCGAGGACCGTACCGACGGCGCTCCTGAAATAGCGCCGTCCAGAACGCGCGATGGTCGCGAAGCCGACACATAGCTGTGGGTTGCTTGATGCTTTCGATATCTCTATGTCTGGATTTTGGTCCACTGTGTCGATGAATGCGTCGGCTTCCTCGAGCCTCGTGGCGGAATAGGAGAGGTCGTAGGAAGAGGGTTGGAAGAAAATCGACCCCGGGTCGCGGGCTGACCGGGCTCGCACATATAGGGCAAGGAAAGTATAAAACAATAGAAAGCAGAGGAGAAAACGAAGGGTAGGAGAGTTATACTTGGTCGTTTGTCTTAAGCCGTGTGGAATGCTCCTTTCCAGCCTCATTATGAGCAACAACAATAGTGAGAAAAAGCTCCTGTCACCCCTTAAAATCCACGGCTGAGTGCTTAGCCTCGACAAAGCTACATAATTCTGTATTTAATATACGGACCATTTTCTCAGCGGGCAGATTCAGCCGCGACCCACCGTCTGTTACAATGTAGTGGTTTAGCCAATGGCTACTCGTTCTATACGGCTCTTGAAAAACTATCCAATCCGGGTCCAGACAGACCATGAGAGCTCGTGGCAGTGAACGGTAATAATACGTTGCCAATGTCTCAATTCTCAACCGCGGTTTACATACACAGTCGGGACTAATTATTGCGTGGCAAGTGTCCCGCAACTCCTTGGCCTTCCAATCAAGCGGAAGAGGCTTTTCTCTTGGCTCTGACCAGCGTTGGAATTTTTTTGGATTCCTTTTTAATGAGAAGTGCTCATTTATTAATCCTATAGAAGCCCTTTCCAGTTTTCCAACACCAAAATCTTACCCAGCCGCAGATATTATAAGGTGAAAATTTGAAAGCCACATACATATTACCCGCCCCCTCTCTCCGTTGGTGAGGGCCCGACTAATTAGGGGGCGGGTACATATTATTTCGGCATCCTAGATCTGATGTCTCAATTTCACTGCTCTATTAAAGTTCGACACAGTAAGCACTAACAGAATTTGATCTAGTGCACCAAAAATTTCTCCACACGTAAAGAGAAATAAGGGCTATCCTTGCCATTTGTGGCTAGTTTTTTTTCGACTTGGACGGCCAAGGTCTATATATTCCGCAAGAGGCATAAGGCCACCGGGGTGCTCTACCAAATTACCCCTAAATGTCTAAATTTGTGACAATTGTGCCCTTAATTATGCAGCCATACAAACCGGAGGGCTAGATCATTAACAGAGAAGGAACATAGATAGTGCGGACTCAAAAGTCTGCTTTCGGGGGTTCAGAGTTAGCTTTCCATGTAGGTGTCAAAATCTGTATGTAGCAACCAGGCTTAACAATCTACTTGGCTGTATGAAGACGCAGTACTTGTTAGAGAGAAGAAAAAGGACCAATAATGAAGCAATGCAAATCTCAAGAACCCCGCTTGTGATTCATCCTCTAATACTCAAATCTATATTAGTGCAACTCAGTTGACTCACTATGGAACCAAAAGCGAAAAGAAGGTAAAACAAGATATTACAAAGTAATATGCCAAAGAAGATGAGATAATTGTCTCCGGCCAATGGAAGAAACACAAGAAACGCCGGGTTTCATGATACCAAATCGCCAAGCAAGCATGATGTAATGTAGCAAGAGGTCGAAGGCTAAGGTAAACTATACAGTCGGAAATGGAGGACATCTGCACATGCAGGTAGATATCCAATCCGGGTTGATGATATCGATGTCGTGACAGTCATGAAGGAGGAAGGTGGTGGGATGGACGGTTTACGTCCCGTCATACGGTTGTATGCGCTCGAGCTGAGCACTGCGGCGCTCTTCCTTGACCTTCCGCTTCTCCATCTTCTTCATGGCTTCCTCGGTCAGTTGCTGGCGGAAGAGGCGCTCGACGACATCCTTTTTCCGAGACCGTCGGTCACCGAGCATGATTAGCACGCCGCCTGTGATGTTGCAGGTGATGGAGCAGCAGAGAATAACAGTGGTCAGGGCGAAGGGTCGATATCTGGGCGGTTCCATGCTCCAGGTGCACACGCCGAGCGCAATCTGCAGGATCGAATGGAAGTCAAGGATGACGACAATAGCGACGAGCATCCGCAGTGGGAATGCGTGGTGAGTCACTGTCTCGTGGGGCTTGTAGAAGGTGTGCGATTTGGAGAACTTGTTTTGGTGGTGGATCAGTCGCAGCTGTTGGCGCTGGTCGAGCACCGAGAACTCATATTCGTCTTCCTTGGGGGTGTCGCCGAATTCGATATCGATATCCATCTCCCGCTGCGCTGGGAGGTCGTTTTTGTTCTTCAGGTCGGGGAGGCTTCGCTTGCGACGGATTTTCCATGTCAGGTGCGTGTAATGGGCGATGAAAATCATATGGTATGTATCCACGGCTCGGAAAGGAGCTAGTCCGTCACCCATGATGGCAAACAAGCCGACCAAGATGTTATCGATAATGTTGATAACATAGTCCTCTTTGCCGCCAACGTTGATCCAGCCTGTATGAAATTAGTGGTCCATCTATACGTCATAGGTAGAGATGAGGAGTCGGTACCGATCAAGAAAAGTACCCACGCAAGACCGAAGAGGGTAATGAGGGTCGCGTAGAGAGTCACAAGAAATCCCAGTGCTGTTGGAAGACAGTCAGCTTGTCTTCCTTAAGACACCGCGAAAAAGACTTACGTTTGCGCACATATTGACTGAACCCCTTCATGGCTCGTCTGAATTTGGATCGGCGAGAGTGAAGCATGTGCCGGACGTGATCGTTCAGTTCGGCGAAATCTTCCTTCGTCCACCCCTCCAGATCGTGTCCCTCAGGGAGCACAGCAAACCGGGGACCCGACACGACGGAGGACATACTCGTGAATGGACGCAACTGCTCAATGCGCGGCCGTTCTTTCTTGGCATCTTCCGAGAGCTCAGCTTCATCAGTGGTAGTCCCCTGCTCTTCATCGGAGGAGGGCGGAGGTCGCGAAATAGTATAGGTGGGCATGCGGTTGACAAAACTACCCAAGTTCGGCACGAATAGCGAATTCTGAACATTGGTGAGGGTGGACAGAGCCGACACCTCCGGGTCTATCATGCGTTAGTCTATAACCCCTTAGCATGTATAGGAATCGAACTTACCAATCACGTCCAGTACATCAACAACATGAGGTCCATATTCGCCCGTACGTCGAGAAGCCTCTCGGGATAGTGTTGGCATCGCCCCTGTCACAGTTGACGCGCGGTTCCGTGAGAACCGATTCAAAGCCGCTTGACTGGTGCGGCGCAGAATACCTCGATGGTTCTCTGGCCGTGGGACAACGGCCGGAGGCAGTTGCAGAGTAGCATTTTCCTGCTCCTCGAGGGGTAATCCTGGAGGAGTATTTGCAACCGGACTCTGGAGCGACGATTCTTCGGTCAGGGGCATCATCCGCATAGGGGTCGTCACCCGCGTGAGAACATCCGGGGGAGGCGACGACCATCGTCCCGGCCGTGGCTCCGAGTTGCTGCGCCGACGGCCCTGCCATCCATCATCAGCGTCCTCTGTGGGCACATTGGACTGGTCAGATGGTTGCCGGCTGACTACCGCCACTGGCGCTTGCTCGGGTTGGGCCTGAGATTGGGTGTTGACGGTATCCAAGGACGAATAGGACGATAGGCGGGAGAGGCGAATACTCGGGCGACGCGTTCGGTTTGAAGGGGCTCGCGGGCGTAGAGTGCCGAGCGGTGGACGTGATGCAGAGGATTCAGGAGGCGCCGGTGCTGCTCCGGGTTGGCCCTCCTGGGAAGCCGAGTCATCGACAGTCTCAATGCGATCCATGTTGGGCTTCGGCGGAGGACCCCGGGGAAGGGAAAGATTTGAGAAAGGGCGGAAGATGTGCGCAGTCGGGGCTAGGAGGGAGAACACTGGCAACACAAAAAAAGGCACGCGCACAGGTGACTTCCTTCAGTCCATTGATGATTCGGGCCGGAAGGAAAAACCCTGTGAAGGAGAGAAGTTGAAGTGAAGCCAAACAAATCGGGGATGACGGCTCGGCAAGCCTGACTCAGCAAATCTTGTTTTCGCGCGAGTGACGGAGTGACGGGGGCCAAGACTTCGTTCACTAGTGTGGATTTAGGCTGTCGATCCCGAATTGCATAGTACGGATGTCGTGGGTGTGCATGCAGTGGGGGGTGGATTATTAGATGGCGTGTGGCAAAATATAATAGGAGGAGGGACAGAATTCATCTATCTGGTGGCAAATATTGAAGACGAGCCTGATTACAAAGAGGAACTATACACTCACGAGAATGTATAGATCAAACGGTGCTGTTGGCTCTTTCATCAGGACCACTATAATAACTATGATGCCCAGAGCCTACAGACGCTTTCTCTCGTCCATCTCTCTCAAACTAGTCAATCCAGATGCAGACCACCACGGATGATTCCGTCATTGGTGGCACAGTGATCGACAACCCACCTGCGCCCAAGACACCGGGCTCACCGACCAGGCGCAAACGCTCTATATCGGTGGAATTCGTGTCGGACAGACCTAGTAAACAGAGGGCAGTGTTGCAAGAGGTTCCCTCAATGCCAGATGCCATCGAAAAGCCATCGACTGACTTCCAACCATGCCCCTTCACGAACGAGTTTTTCGGAGATGTCGCGCACACGATTGCCAACACCTTTCCCTTTGAGAGCTTTGCTCGCGCGCAGAATTGCAGTCTCCAAGATGTCGCCCATGCGATTAGCGCAGTGGTTCTAGCGCCGCTCCGATGGCCACATCTCCTGCTGGAAGGGAGCCTGTTAGTGTCGGAGTACGGCCAGATTTTGATTGCTGAGTGGAGGGCACGCCAGGAAGGAAATCGGGCGAGTTGCTCCAGATCAATGCTTGGTGCAAGCGCTGACACAACAGGCAGTCTTGCGTTACCGTGGACACGCCCGGCAGAACCCAGGCCTCAGATGGCACCCGAGAATGGGCGAACGAGCCGAACCTCAAGCCGTTGGGAAGTGGCACGCCCAGATCACCCGTCATCCGAACCGAAGTCAAGATTGATATCTGGGGGGATTACATTCCGGTGGAGAAGTGCAGTGATGACAGTAGATAGTGAGTCGTCCACGACTTCTACCAGCCACCGGCAATACACACACCGCCTTTCTCCTTTCCCTCTCATCCCCCCGTCGACCATCTCTCCTTCCCTTCTTCTTCTTCTTCTCCCAAAGGTCAACTCTGCTTGCAACTTCAATCCCATCCCAACTTCCCCTTTTCAACCGGTATCTAGGGCACCAAGCTACCCTGCTCCTTCCCCTCCATCCCTCCCCTCGTCAAGTTCTTTCCATCCTGCCACCCAGCGAAGGCAAAAATCAACAAACAAACACAAATCCATCATCAATCCCTTTTGTGTCACCGCCCATTCAAGATGTCTGCTGCCGTCGATACTATCACTGATGGTGTGGCTGCCACCAACATCAACGACGCCCCCGCCGCGAACGGCGCGGCTGCGGCGGCGGCTGATGCTGCGGCTGCCAGCGCGGATGAGGGCCGTCGTCTGTACATCGGAAACCTCGCCTACGCGACCACCGAGGAGGAGCTTAAGGAGTTCTTCAAGGACTATACCATGTAAGCTTCACCACCGCACATGGACCCTCCACTCGGTACTTGAGCTTGAAGACCAAAATGCTGACTCACTTTGGTTCCAGCGAGACCACCTCGATCCCGGTGAACCCCCGCACCAACCGCCCCGTTGGCTACGCATTTGTGGACCTCGCCACTGCGGCGGAGGCTACTGCTGCCATCGAAGGACTCTCCGGTAAGGAGATCCTCCAGCGCAAGGTGTCGGTTCAGCTGGCCCGCAAACCCGAGCCGGCCGAGGCCAAGGAGGGGGCTACCAGCGGCGGTGAGGGCGCCAGCGGTAATGAGGGTCGCAAGCGCACCGGTGGACGTGGCCGCGGTCGTGGCCGTGCTCGTGGCCGTGGCGGCCGTGGCGCTCGTGGTCAAGCTGTATGTTTCTTCCCCCTCATACACCTGGCATGACACTAACATCGACGCAGGATCAGGAAGGCCAGGAAGGCACTGACGGTGCTGCCGACGTCCCTGCTGAGACCGCCGAGGGCGAAGCTGCTGGCACGGAGGGAGCCAAGAAGGAGGGCAAGCCCCGCGTGGCGCGTCCCCAGAAGCAGCGTGGTCCTCCTGAGGATGGTATCCCGTCCAAGACCAAGGTCATGGTTGCTAACCTACCCTACGACCTGACTGAGGACAAGGTGCGTAATCTGTTCCACGGTGAAAGATGTATTTACTGACCCCCGCCCAGCTCAAGGAGATCTTCGCCGAGTACTCGCCCGTGTCGGCCAAGGTTGCCCTGCGCCCCATCCCGCGCTTCATGATCAAGAAGCTGCAGGCACGCAACGAGCGCCGTAAGACTCGTGGCTTCGGTTTTGTCAACCTTTCCTCCGAGGCGCTGCAGGAGAAGTGCGTGGCCGAGATGAACGGCAAGGATATCGACGGTCGTGTGATTGCCGTCAAGGTGGCCATTGACAGCCCCGGCAAGGAGGACGATGTCAACGAGGCGGCTGACAAGTACGAGGAAGCCAACGCGCCGGCTGACGAGAAAACTACTCCCGCCGCCGCTCCCGCTGAGGCTTAAATTCCTTTCAACCAACACACTCATTTGCTGATTGCTATGGGGATGGATACGGAAGAACCGTATTGATACGCCAAGATCCGCTGTGAATATTCTAGCTATTCGACAGATGTGGTCCGAGAGCAAATTCGCTGGGCACTGGAGACTGTGATGAAGGATGATGACTCTTTTAACGGATGCCATGGCCTGAGCCCTTTAGAGGCCAGGCCTTTCATCCCTAACGACTTTTTTTTAACTTCTGTACTGTATCTTAGCCCCAATTTAACACCACGGATTGATGATATTTTCGTGTGTTGTTGTAAATAGTCAAGGCGGGATGACGCTACTGGCCCTTGCGGATCACCGCCGAAGCGGAACTTGCCCTTGCCCAGAACAACAATTCTCCCTCTCCACTACTCACTGTCCTCCATTCACCACTCCCTCCCCATCTCCAGTCGGAAAATCTATCTAGGTTTCCGCTGATCCCCTGCGCATCGAGGGCAGGGAAACCCAAGAAAACTCAAGAGGCAACAAAAGGGGGACCGAGCACAGCCAACCAGATCCCGCAACAACGCCAACAACGGGTGCTGCATCGAGCCACACTCTCTTTCCCTCGTGATCGGGGTTTCTTCGTCAATCGCTTTACGACTGTCGCTTTATTTCTTTGAACACAATGTCTCGCATGTGGGAGGTTGATCCGGAGACGAAGACGAAGGTGCGCAACTCCTGCGGTTGAAAGTGGCAAGAACACTGACCAGGCAACGACACGCAGCTCCTTCGAATCTCCAAGACAAATGGAAATGACAGATGTTGCGATTGCGGTGCTCCATCGCCTCAATGGGTTGGTTTCCCTCACTTCTCGCATTTACCTAGGGTCTTTTTGCCCGAATTCATCCTTAACGACCCACGCTGCGCACAACCAATACAGCCATAGCATTTGCTCACTCGTGTCAATTATTAGGCCTCCCCCAAATTCGGAACATTTATCTGCCTCAACTGCGCGGGCACCCACCGCGGGCTGGGTGTGCACATCTCATTCGTTCGCTCAATTACCATGGACGCTTTCAAGCACGCCGAGATCCAACGCATGGAACTCGGGGGCAATGAGCCCTGGAAGTCCTTCTACGATAACCATCCCGTCACCGTATCCGAGGGCCGCACATTCGAGGACTCGACGATCAAGGAACGATACGATGGTGATGCCGGAGAGGAGTGGAAAGAGCGGTTATCTTGCAAAGTAGAGGGCCGAGAGTACGTGCCCGGCCAGGAGAAGAAGAATGCTGCCGCCTCGCGGTCTAGCACGCCATTGAGCACTGCGGGCTCAGGCGCTGGTATGGCCGCCCGCTCGGGGTCGCCTGCTACTTCCTTGGGGCGATCTGATAGCCAGCGCGGTGGACCGGCGAGTAAGAAAGAGCAGAACGAGTCATACTTTGCGAAGCTGGGGTCTGAGAACGCTACCCGGTCTGATGCACTTCCGCCGTCACAAGGAGGGAAATTCACTGGGTTCGGGGGCGGGTTGCCTCCACCTTCTGCGAGTGAACGTCGGCCATCGCCTTTTGGAGGATTTGGCGGGAATCAAGCCTTTGATGATCTCCAAAAAGACCCCATGGGCACACTGACCAAGGGCTTTGGATGGTTTGCCTCGACAATCGGCAAGGGCGCGAAGACGGTGAATGATTCATACTTGCAGCCCACGGCGAAACAGGTACGTCCCTATATGTTTTTGCTTGATATCAGAAAGCTGACTTAACCTTTTCCCCATTCCAGCTCGCAGAGTCCGACTTTGCTGCTCAGGCCCGCACGCAAGCCGCCAGCTGGGGTCAAAACCTACAGGCCGGTGCTAAAGGAGCCGCAGACCAGTTCAATCGTTTCGTCGAAGGAGAGGAGGATGGCCGTGCCGCCAATCGCCGTTCTCGCATCGAGCCCGAGCGCAGGGATTTCTGGGACGATTTCTCGTCATTGGCCTCGGAACAACACCAAGCCTCAGGGCATCAGCGCAGCGGCTCGCGGTCTGGTACCATCGGCACCGCGGCCATGCGAAAAGGGCCCGTGCCAACATCGTCGCTGTCCAACACTTCCTCTACAGGCGATGCCACGGCCTCTTCTGGAACCGGCGGGGTAGAGGGCGCGGAGGGAGCTACTGCTGCGTCCACGGGTAAAGGGAAGGAGGACTGGGATGAGAACTGGTAGTAAATATTTATACCTGTAACCGGTGTGTCGGCCGGTGTTGGAACAGACAAGACTCAATATATCTAGCGTGACATTTTATACAAAGTATATAATCAGGTCAAATATCTTGTCCACCACCCCTCCTTCCTCTTCAACGACTCACAAATGGCCTTCTGCCCAATCCATCCATGTCCCTCTCCCTCAAACTCAACCACCTCCGCCACTCTCCCCTGCTCAAGCATCGCACTAGCCATCATCCTGGCCTGCGCAACAGGAACAACAACATCCTCGGTCCCCTGCAACAATAGCAACGGCGCCTTCATCCTCTCAGCATAGTAACATGGGCTCCTCTTCTCAAGTTCCGCTCCTCTCTCCTCAACCGGCGTCCCACTCAGAAGCAAGCGGTCCACGTCCTGACTCTCGAATTTATACGAATCCGCTTGCAGCGCGCGCACATCGCTGATCCCGTACGAACTCACCCCCGCCGCCCAGACTCCGGGGTACAGGTGCAGCGCTTGCAAAGTGAGATATCCGCCTGCGCTGCCGCCGTAGATCCCGACGCGCGATTTATCGACTAGCCCTTTCTCAATCAAGTAGTCTACTGCGCTGACTGCGTCGCCTACATCGACCAGTCCCCAGTATCCAGATAGTCGCTCGCGGTATTCGCGGCCGAACCCCGTCGAGCCGGTGTAGTTCACCGCGCAGACGGCGAAGCCACGCGTCGTGTAGTATTGGATCTCGAGGTTGAGTGCCGGGGTGACACACCCGTTTGGTCCGCCGTGGACGTGGACTAGGACCGGGGGAGGGGGAAGAGCGTTGCTGTCATGCGGCGAGCAGTCCGGGTTGCGAGGCGGGAAGAAGAAAAAGTGCACATTGCCGTCGGTGCGCGGACCGTGTTTTTGGGGTGCTGTTAGATGAGTTGCGCGGGAGACGTATTCTGCTGGTATGGTGAATGAGGCCGTCGATGCGAGGATGGTCTTATGGACTTCGTTGTTGGTGCTGATTGATACTAGGGCTAGTTCCTGGGGTGCGGTCGTTGATGCGCCCACGATTGCGACGCTGTTGGATGATACGCGGAAGATTCCGCTGCCTGGGTTTGCAAAGTCCACGTAGGGAAGGTCGAGGTTGTGGACGGATAGGGTGGATGTATTGAGGCGGACGATTTTGCTGGTGGCGTTGGTGATAACTGCTGCCATGATGGTGGTTGTGTCGAGGGATATATAGGTTGAACTAGATAGACGTGCGTTAAACTTGATTCAGTATTCAAAGCAAACAGGACGTACCTTCCAAGCAACCATTCCGCAATGGCAAAGTCCGACTGCTCCAAGCCCTGAAACTCCAGATACCGCACAGACTGATGATCCACGTCAAACGAGTACAACTGCCAATATCCAGTGCGATCACTAGCAAAGTACAACACCCCATCAAGCCCCCATTTCGGCTGCGCGATACTCTCCTCCTTGGCTTTGCCCGCTACACGGGTGATATTCTTCAGGTACCCATCATCCCACTCAGCAACGTAAAGCACAGTGCCCGTCCAGGGCATATCGGGATGCGACCATTGAATCCAGGAGACGTATTTGCCGGAGGGATCGAACTTGGGATGCGAGTAGAAGTCATCGCCTTGCGCAATTATCATTTCTTTGCTAGATGCAATGTCTATGGCGATCAATGTATTGTGCACATGCGTTGCTTGGGTTTCAGGCGTTGCATCACGGTGGTCTTCCTTGATCGCGATGATCCATTGGCTGGTTGTGGGGTGAACGCTGAAATCGGCGTAGCGAAGACCCTTGACCGCTGCGTGGACGCAGGTGGTTTGCGATGAAACTGGGTTTAGAAGATAAATGCCGCACGATTTCCGGTCTGAGAATACAATCTGGCCATCCGGTCTGATTGCAATGGAGCCCCCGCCTAGCTCTTGCACGCTGGCCTGCGCACTGAATTCTTTGGGCAGGATGTCTTGGCTGTGCCCATTTAGATGCTGCATGATGGCAAAGCGCCCATTTTCGGTTGGACGGCACTCGACTGAGTAGATGGCACCGCTTGGTTCCTACATATACTCGTTTAATTCGCGTTCTTGGGTAGTGGATGCGGGGTGTGTAAAGTGGACTCACGTCGACAACTACTTCGTGGAGCGATATGCTGTCTGTTGATAATTGCTCTGCGGTTAGTGGACTAGTCCAGCGGCCATATGGCGCAAGCTGGGAGGGAGCCATTTTGACTGTTTCCCGGGTGCGGTGCGTTCGACGGCGGAATGCTTGGGAGAATAATTTCGGAAATAATATCTGGGTTTCTCGTTGGCTGACTCACCGCGATCTAGATTGGCAAACCTGAGACATTTTAAGGGCAAGACACGACCTGATCCAATTGTCAGTTGAATAGTACACATAAAGTGCCATTTTCAGCGCTCAATGTATAGCCATTTGTTTACCGCACTTAGCGTTGTGGTACAAATTAACAAGACATAATTGTAGCATGATAATGCATAATGTATCTTAAACACGGAACTCCTCTAGATATCTAATCGGACATGTCGAACTCCCCTTTGAACCGTACCCAGAACCTCCTTCTCCACGTCAATTAACAAACACCCAAAATCAACCTAGCAAGCGGCATGCTCCTCCCCATTAGAAGCCGACTCTTTCTTATCATGATCCGGACGAAGGAAAATCGAGCCCACAAGATTAAACACATTGTTCACCCGTAGCCACATGCAATAGAACAAAGTGACACCAGTGACAACAATCTCATCCCGCACAGCAGAGTCATTAGCCTTGGGACCAAGGAACTCGATCTGTCCCACTTTCTTAACACCCCACATATTAGCCGCAAACTTCGCCACGGCGATCTGGTTCTCGTCCATGCAGACAAAGTCCCACGTTTTGAATCCGCTGTGGCTGGTCCATGCCATGGTAACGGGTGATCCTGTTTCCGAGTATGCGCGGGATTGGTGCGTGTACGACGTTTTGAGCCGCTTCTGGGCCTTGATCGTGCCCTTGAACCCGTGTAATTCGTAGTCGGGGCTTATGTCGATTGCGTGCAGGGTGCCTGTTCCGACGGTTGTGTCGCTTTCCCCAGACTTAAAGGTTAGATGAGGCGGGCGAAGCATTTGGAACCCGACGATGTAGAGAGGTTTTGACTCAGGGTCGCTGACATCGCTGATGAGAGCCTTGAATTTGGACCAGGCGAAGTCTACCTTCAAGGCGGAGGACTGGTGGGCCGCTGAGAGAGAAGAGTCCATAGTTGATTGCAATTGATGATAATAGTTTGGTATGGTGATCATGATGATAATGGAACTCTCAGTCGACCGGGCTGCTCTTATATCTTCGAGGGCTGTATACTTCGCCATGGCTGAGCCCCTAGCCACACTAACCGCATTCGGTCCGATGAAGCGCCCGTCCAATGAAGATGCGCCGACCCCATGATGTTTCCTTTTGAGGATGATCGGCATCGTCCTACAAAGGAACGCTGCAGTCTCACTGACCTGGGGCTATGCTTTACACGTGGTGCTCGCGTACCGTCTCAGACAACCTCGAACTAGGCTGGGCGAAGCGTTTGGGTCGCGGATCCCCAAGGGGCGGAAACCGCGCCATATTAAACGATTCTGGGACAATTGCGCTCAGCCTTGAATGCACAGTTTCGTCGGTGGCTCTGGGCGGAAGAACGGGCTGTTTTTAGAGACCCCCTTTGAGGACTTGAAATCGGGACCTGCACAGTGGACAGACCATTTCGTTTTATACCAAAACGTGATTTGATATGTGCTCGACGCAACCAGAATTCAAGGCGAATGCAATCAATTAAATACCTATTATTCATACATGGCCATCAGTATCTCTGCGACGGAGTATACAATTATGCATTAGCACTTCGACGCATTTGGATACGCTCCGCGATGTTCAAAGGTTCTTCATCTCCTTCAAAGCACTGATACCTCCTCAATTTCTGCAACGGCTTCCCTCCCCCAAGACCAATACTCGCAACGGAGATTATTTCGGTCCCTGAAGAATGACCAATGTCGCGAACAACACCGGGGATCTCATCAAGCTCCTTGATAGCGTTTTTGTCGTACGCAACGAGCATCGGGAAGACTTCTTTGCCCATCGACGCGCCGAGCCGCAGCATGGCGAACGAATCCAGTCGGCGTGTCCAACGCGGATATCGACTCGCGTATAACGCTAACGCCAGTAGTGGGAGGAGGTACAGGCCCATGAGCACTGAGACGACGACGACGCCTCCGAGGCTGATGCCGGGGATTTCCATCTCGGACCCGAGATCCTGGCTGATAGTCCACGAGGCTTCCATGGACTCAATGAGATGTTTGTTGGAGAGGAAGGCAGCGGATGTGAATGCATTGGGTATTTGCCCAGGGTTCGTGTATATAGCGACAAGCCAGTCTCCAATAAATTGTTGGGCATTGTCACGGGAGTCGCTAAGTTCGACGAAGTTGATGGAAATGCAGTTGTCGAATTTATCGCCGAAGACATCCGAGGAACTGCTGAAAAGGTTCATGGCAGGTGCGAGCGCGACGCAAGCGTCGACGTCGGAAGTGGTAAGGTCGCCCACCTCGCTGCCTGGGAAGTTGTCCCCGATGACGCTGAAATCTGCAGGAAGAGTCTCGATAAAAGAGCCTGGGCCGAACATGGCATACGCTGTCGTCAGCAGCGGGCCTTTGTTTATCGTCGTGAGCCCATTGTTTGAAGGGATGGTAGTGTTGTCAGTGCCAGTGCGGGAGCGGCGCACGCGCTTTTTCGCAGTCATATACGTGTATTGTTGAATGCAATCCGCGTCGCAGAGACTAATTGTGGGATCACTCTCGAGCAATGGGCCTGGAATTTCGTCGTTCATGTAATTAGGCAACTCAAAATACCCTGCTGTCGTAGTGACATTGATTTCGAACAGCGCACCTCCAGTGGGCGTACCTTCGTATTGGATCGCTTGAGGGACCGATATATTGAGATACAAGGTCTCAGTGAACTCTTGACGGTCTCGGGTTGAGCTCCAGGGGGACTGGGTGACATCCGCCGGCATACAGGCGGTGACTACCCAGCTATAATCTCCGTCAAAAACCCCTGAGTAGCTAGCGAAGAACGCGTTGTCGATAAGGTCACAATTGGCCGGCCACTGGGCCGCTTCGATACTGCTGGATGTGGTGCTAGAGTTGACTCGTGGGGCAAACTGGCGTAGTACTCCCGTGTTGAACCCTGTGGGCACCTCGGCATAGAAAGGGTCGGTCATATCTGCAAAGCTGCTGAAGGTGTTGAACTGCTGTCCGCCTTTCCTCTGCCACAGCTGGGGAAAGAATGTATTGAAATCTGCCGTTTGGAGAGCACTGCGGACCATCACCACATCCATGCCGCGGACCGCCGAGTCGCCGTTTGACGATGTAGAAGAAAGAGCGCCAATATCGCCCCCTGTGTACGGCTGGCTGCAGAAGGTAGGGACGTAAATAGGTTTGCTTGTCAGGAAAATGGACTGGATGGGGTAGACAATTGCGCCGATGAAGTGGAGGAAGACGCCCAGGATTAGCAAGGCGCTGCCACATCGCTTCCAGCCAACCTGTAATACATCATTGACCAGAGAAAGATCCATCCACCGATTATCGGCCAGGGCCATAACATGGCGCATGCTCATGCTCATCCCATCCTTTTGGTTCTGCACAAAAACAACCGCGGCACTAGCACACACGGCCGCAATCAACGGAAGTGTAAGCACGCTAACGATGCTCTGGATAATCTGCGCAGAGCGATAGAACTGCGCATCCCCCGCGTAGCTCATCGGATCCAGCAAAGAGTCGCAAAAAGAGTATTCAGTGTCAATCGTGTATGCTTGCCATGAGCGGTTGTAGATCGGACGGAACGAGAGGTGAGCCAGTATAACCCAGGAGTATAGTGCCAGCGCTGCGTAGATAATGGTGAGAAACAGCGCAAGGACTGAGTGACGAAGTGTCGTGCCATCTCCACCTCTTATTCCCGCATGTTGATTTGGGGGAGCGCGCGAGTACGGCGGAAGTTCCTCCTGCTCTTCGTGATGTACACCAGCAGAATCCGTGGGCAGATGGGAACCGGAATGTCCTAACGTTTCATCTTCAGAGCTGACATCGGACTCTAGGTGTGAACTCACCGCACTCCGAGGAGTAAGCGGCGATAGAGAAATGGCACTGCTGTGGTCTTCCATTTCTGATGGCATCTACGCCTCAGATGCTGGTGTGGAGAGGAATCCACAACCCGCACGGGCGATGGTCCCCATATTTAAACCCTATGAGCCTGTAGCAAGACTGAGACTCTGGGCATTAAAGACCGGGTTAATTAGCGCTTACATTCCCCTGAAATGCTGCAGAGCGCAAGCGAGCAGGCTTAAGCAATGCCTGCATCTTCGAGCGAATCATCATGAAATCAATTGAGGCTGAGCGGAGCTAACTAGCCGAGTAGGCAAATGTTCGCGGCAGGAACCTGGCCAGTCAACGCACCCCACGAAGATCGCCTAGTGGCCGCGCAGCGGGTCTGTCCGTTGAAGGGTCTCGCTCATGGACCCCTGGCTTAGGGCTACGCAATTCCATCATGCTTACGCTAACAGGGGCTGAGATCTGGGTGATGATGAGAATATACAATGTCGTATTATATGCAGGATATGCCCGAATGATGTCGTTCTATGTGTGTGCCCGATTTACCCAAAATCAAAAGCCACCCCTCAGCTCCGCAAGCACAGCCTTCTGCCTCGGGGCGGTCATATTCTCGAACCGATCCACGCTCATGACGAACGTACCACGGCCAGCAGTCAGACTGCGAAGGTGCTTCAAGTACCCAACCATTTCCTTAAGAGGCACTTTGGCGGTAATGGTGCGCGGACGTGAAGTTGCCACGGGAATATCGCCGGCGACAGACGGCGACTCGAATGGATCCGGGGGCGCGTAGACGCGGCGAGGGTCAATAGCAGGCAGCTGGTCTTCGGACACAGCAGTGTCGGAGATTGGAGAGGCATCTGTCGCGGGAAGAGGTACTTCCTCGTCCAATGAGACAATGTGGCCACCACGGGAGGATGAGATGTCATGGACAACAGAGCCAAGACTGGCCTCATCGACGCTGATAATGACGTTCATGACGGGTTCCATCATTGCCGTGCCGGCTCCAGAGATAAGATCCTGGAACGCCGCGGCGGTGGCCTGGCGTGCGGCAGCAGAAAGCGCAGCGGCGGTGGTTTCATTGCCAAATAGATGTGCGCTGGGATCCAGAGTGAGAGTGACTCGCACGTTGTGCATCGGGTATGTAAATTGCGGGCCGCGAGCCAGCGCAGCAAGAGCGCCATTTTGTAACGATGCTCGCACCGTGGCGGGATCCAATCCTGGAGGCAGGAATGGGCTTGTCTCCTCGTCGCCCTTGGCTGCACGGTCGACTTGCAGCCCAGGTGCAAGGATGACGATCTGGTTGCCATCGTGTGAGCCGATGTGGAGGATGGCCTCGTCTGAAACAGCCTGTCCAGATTCCGCATCTTTACTGTCAAACGGCTCTACCGTAGCAGTACACCCGGCTTTGCCTCGGCGGCCGGCAATTTCTTTGTCGAAGATTTTTGTGACAGGGCCAGCCGTTCCGAGCGCAGCTTCTCGGTAGCCGATCTCGATTTGACCAATCGATGCCTTAGCTTTGAGGTCGTTAATGAGCCTGTCACGCGCGATCTCAAGATGCAACTCTCCCATGCCACTCAGGAGAGTCTGGCCCGACTCTTCGTCCACATTAACATGGAGGCTGGGATCTTCACGCAACAGCAGAGAGAGGCACTCATGGATTCGTTTTTCCTCGCTCAAACTGTGTGGTTCAACACTGGTAAAAAAGACAGGCGGTGGCACATCAATCGGTCGTAGTTGGAGAGTGGTCAGAGGCTCCGGTGGGCTGGCCTTGTTCCCTGCGTAGGATACGAGAGTATCACCAGTCCGAGCATGTTTCAGCCCAACCACGACACCGATATGGCCCGCAGGGATGGAGTCAACCTCCACCGCGTCGTTGGCGTACATCTTCAACAGTCGTGGTGCGCGTTCAGAGACATGAAGGTTGGTATTGAAAAGGAGGCTGTTGCGGTCCAAGGACCCAGAGTAGACGCGCACGTAAACCAACACACCACGTTTGGCGTCATTGACAACCTTGAAGGCGAGTGCGCAGCTCTGAAGCTTGCCAATCGCCTCTTTCGGGTCGGTTTGTTGCACATGTTTCTTTTTCGCTTTGCCTTTTGAAGGGCCAGCAGCCTTTTCGTTCTGCTCAACGATTAACTCGCCCGAGAGCAGTCGCCGCAGACCCCCTTTCACTCCGCCTATGCTCACCTCCGGGTCTGGTGTCTCAGGTGGGCTGGGCAGGAGGTTGACGATGGCATCCAACAACGGCTGCACGCCCATATTTCGGAAACTTGCACCAGCCAAGAGCGGGACAATTCTGCTTGCTGGATCCAGTGTGCACCGCCGCAGGCTGTCGATGATATCACTTGGTGGGACAGCAAGATGGTCTTCCTCACACTCGAAGAATTTCTCGACGATATGGTCGTCATATTCGCTCAGTAACTCCACCAGCGCTATTCGTGCCCGCCGAAGCTCCTGGGCCAGCGGCTGTTCTTCTGCATCCAATTGCTGCAGATCGGCCATTTTCACCGTCCGTCCATCTTCTCCTTCCTTCCAGCGTAGGCCCTGGAGATGAATTGCGTCCGCCACGCCAACAAAGGGTCCATTGCCTCTGTCAAACCAAGGTATTTGACACACTGCTGGGTACACGCTGAGACGCGAGCTCACTTCTCGCACCGTCCGGCCAAAAGCCGCGCCGTCGCGGTCAAGCTTGTTGACGTAGATCAACCGGGGAATCCGATATGTACTCGCCTGGTGCCAGACCTGCTCGGTTTGTGCTTCAACCCCGGCCACGCCGTCCAGAATGCAGACTGCGCCGTCAAGAATTCGTAGAGACCGCATCACCTCGAACGTAAAGTCTGCATGGCCGGGGGTATCGATGAGATTGATAGTGTGGGGTTTTGCGGCGCGCGGAAGCGATTGATCTGGGATGCTTGCATTGACCTCGCCCGGTGGCCAGTGGAAGGTAATGGCCGCCGACTGGATTGTGATTCCGCGAGCTCGTTCGGCGGGAAGGAAATCGGTAACGGTCGAGCCCTCGTCCACATCGCCAATGCGCCGGGTGAAGCCGCTGTAAAACAGCATGCGCTCCGTGGTAGTGGTCTTGCCCGCGTCAATGTGGGCGATAATGCCGATGTTTCGCGTCCGTTCCAGGGCGGCGTCGTTCAATAACGTGGCCGTCGTGGAGAAGCATTGTCGCGGTGGATGGCATCGAGGGATGGTATAGTAATTGAGCCTTGAAGATAATTGGAAAACCATCGAGCGCATCCCCTGGGGGAAGCGCAACAATGGAGTGACGACCATCAGCAAGAGTTGGGTGTTGATACGGTGTATGTACAGTTGAGAAATTATGGCCGGAGCTAAGTCAGTAACCGTCCAGGCTTGGCATCCATTCCTCTACTCTCTCTCCCGTCTCTCCCGTCTCTCCCATCTCTCTCTCTCTCTCTCTCTCTCTCTGAATTAACAAACATCTCCACGATTGAACTCATCTGGAATTGCAATACATTGTCCATCCCCAGTGTCATGCCCTTCTAGCCCTCTTCCATCCGTCTCCAAAGGTACCTTCCTTCGGCCGTTGCGGTGGGGTCAGCCCGAATACGTAGTAACCAGGACGCCTGGCAGCTCCCCCTTCTTCTTCCTCCTCCCTCCAGCCCCAGAGACAACCGACCCTTGCATCCAAAATGGACTACTCTGCCATCTCCCACGACCCCGATCATTCCACCGGTTCCTCTCCCTGGGGTTCTCCACGTGCCGACCGCACAACATTCGCCGGCAATGACGTCCCGTCATCACCGTTACCAGGCCAGGAACAATCGGCGGACGAAGCGGAGCAATCCCAACAGCAATCCCCAAACCTCTCGGCCCAGCTGCAACGTGCCCAGCTAGCAGACTCGGAAGAGCAGGCCCAATTTGCCACACAGCAGCCCCAGCATGCGTCTCAGCAGCAGCAATCGTCTCACCCCGCACGATATCATCCCGGACCAAGGTCGAACGCCCGGCCACCGGCGCCAGCCTACAAGATTCAAGGCAAAATTACCAGTCTGGAGCGAACGGGGAAGAAGGACCCCATTCTTCGTTTCGATATCCATGTAAGTCAAGAGAGCTAGCGCGCACGCAGACCCGGGGCTCATTCTCCGCTATTCAGACCAATATCCCCAAGTTCCGCACCACTCAGTACCGCGACGTCCGCCGCACCCATTCCGAATTCGTCAAGCTCGCCGACCACTTGATTTCTGCCAACCCGGAAGCGCTAGTCCCCGCCGTGCCACCCCCCGTAACTCCCGCAGGTGCAGGCACCGATGAGGATGAGATCCGGGTGAAGTCGTCAATGCAGCGGTGGCTCAATTATGTGCTGAGCAACGATGTCCTCACCCAGGATGACGAAATGGTCCTGTTCGTGGAGAGCGACTTTGGATATAGTCCTGTGGTGCGCATGAAGCAGCCGGCAACCGGAGTGCGTCGCAAGATGTTGAAGCAGTTTGCGCCGCCCCCAGATGACACCCCCGAGCTGCAGGCGGCCCGTCCGACGGTTAAGATGTTTTATTTGGGGACGATGGACGCGAACCACAAGGTTGACCGTGTGGTCAAGGCTCGCCGAGGTATGTGGTGCATTGCGTTACACTGTGATCCGATGCTGATTTTCTGTAGGGTTGGGTCTCGCTGAATCCGATTTCGGTGTGAAGCTCGGTCAGATGCACGTCCAGGAGACACATCCTGGCTTAGCCGCGGCTTATCGCAAGCTCGGGAAGATCATTCAGACCGTGGGAGACTACCATGCCGTCCAGGCCACGGCAGAGGCTACTACTATGGGCGATCCTCTGGGCTATCATTCGTCTGATGCTTTCATCGTCAAGGAAACCTTGACTAACCGGCACATTCTGTTGCGAGATCTCCTTCAAGCTCAACAGAGCACCCGCAGCAAACGCGCCGCGGCTGACCGATTGAAAGTCAGCTCATCTGTCCGTTCAGACAAGGTGGACGAGGCGATCAACGCTCTTGAGGAAGCACAAAGCCACGAGGAGTACCTCACCAAGCGCACACAGCGCGTCACAACGAATCTCTTGCAAGAGAAACGCCGCTGGTTCGACCGGACGACCAATGACCTCCTGTTCAGCCTGCGTGAATACACCCTTCGCCAGATCGAGGCCGAGCGGCGCACCTTGGCTACTCTGGAGAGCGTCCGGCCCGATATCCGCGCCATTGATGCCTCCGGTGGCCTGAGCCGACTGGGCCGTGAGTCGCACCCGTCGGCGCGACGGCCGAATCTTGCATCGAGCCAAGGCCCCAAGGGTGACGCGTGGAGTGGCGTGCCCCGTCGGAATGACAGTCTCGGCCGCAGTATCAGCGGCAGCATGAGCGGGAGCCTCACGGCACCTCCGGCTGGCGAAGAAGAAGATGAGGCGAACGGCCAGGGCGCTGACAAGGGTCGTGTGCGGTCGACTAGCCAGGTCGGGTCAATTGCGGAGGAGGACGACGACCGGCTGGATGCGCGCAATGCGGCCAGTCGGCTCGCTACGAGCACGTTCTAGTTCGAAGTCCAGCATGCACACGCTGATGTATATCCAAAGTCGGGCACGAGATATTTTTGAGATTCCCCTCTGTTGTGTATTGCGTGTTTTCCTGCGTGTCTATTATTGAGCTATCAATTCGTAGTCTGATCCAATTCTTCTATTCTTGTGACCTATACTTGTAGTTCTGTGGCAAATGCTTATATTCCGGCAGCATACTTCCGTACCTATCCGCTGACATCATGTGGGGTGCATCTACTGGATTTCAAAGCAATGGGTTCCTTTCGTTTCCTTTTCTGCTCTTCTTTTTCTCTTTCTCTCCTTCAATTCTCCCACTATGGCTTCCCCCAAGGTCTTCCTGTAAGTATTCCTAATTGACCAAATTTACAATCATCTGACCGTCCCAGTACTGGCGCCACTGGTTACATCGGCGGTGACGGCCTCTACGCCGTCGCCAATGCCCACCCCGACTGGCAAATTTCGGCCCTGATTCGTAGCAAGGATAAGGCGGCCCAGGTCACGGCCCAGTACCCTAAGATCCGCGTGTTGCACGGCGACCTGGACTCGACCGACCTCATTGAGGAAGAGGTCAAGAATGCCGATATCGTCTTCCGTAAGTGCGTCTTGCGTCATAAAATCACCCACACTCACCCACACTTTCCGCAGACTTCGCCGACTGCGACCATGTCGCTTCGGCCACCGCAATTGCCAAAGGCGCTCAGCACCACACCGCCGAGCGGCCGGTCTGGATCATTCACACCTCGGGCACCGGCATCCTAACAATTGAAGACCAGCGCGCTCACTCATATGGCATCGAGCGGCCCAAGGAGTACAATGATTGGGAGGGTGTAAGCGAGCTGCTCAACCTACCCGCGGATGCCTTGCACCGCAACGTCGACGAGATCATCATCGGCGCCAACAAGCAGAAGCCCACCGCCGTGAAGACGGCCATCGTCTGCCCGCCCACCATATATGGCCCCGGCCGCGGACCAGCCAACCAGAAGAGCTTTCAAGCGTACCACCTCGCCGCTGCAGTGCTGAAGCGCAAGAAGGGCTTTCTCGTTGGCGCGGGACAGAACGTCTGGCACCAGGTCCACGTCCAGGACCTGAGCAACGTCTACCTGGCACTGGGTGAAGCAGCCGCTGCCGGCGGTGGGAAGGCCACCTGGAACGACGAGGGCTACTATCTTGCTGAGAATGGGTCTTTCGTTTGGGGCGATATCGAGCGCGCTGTTGCACAGGCGGCTTTTGAGAAGAAGCTGATTCCATCGCCGGAGGTGGAGCAGCTGAATGATGCCCAGGTGACGGAGCTTCTTTCAGTGGGCGTTTATGCTTGGGGCACCAACTCTCGTGGTCACGCTATTCGGGCGAGGAAGCTGTTTGGTTGGGAGCCGAAGCAGCCGAAGTTGATTGATCTCGTTCCGAGCATTGTTGAGCTCGAGGCGAAGGGGTTGGGCTTGCTGTAAATCAGCCTGGCATCTTTCGCGTATCTGATGGATACTGGTACAAATGCTTTACAAAATAGCCGTGAGGGTTTGATGATTCCTACAGTCTAAGGCATCCCACGCTTCCTGTGCTATATCGATCAAAAATACGTGTGTAGTGTCATTGTTTGGCATATTTTGAGCTGTGGATGAAGCTTATAGGTCTTATCCTCAAGCAGCATCCATAATTTCTCAATAGGATTAAGATCAGAAGATCTCGCTGGCCACACCGTAACCTGCATCCCATCTCCTATAAAGCCTCACGTACAATGTATGCAGAATGGGTAGACGCATTATCTTATTGAAAGATGCCGTCTTGGTTTTGAAGCAAAGTAGGTAGAATTCGGCGCTACAAATCTCGAATAACAAGTCGATCAATGCCTCCACTGGCTAATTCAAGATTTCCGAAGAGAGGAATAAGGTTTATATGTTATGTAGAGCCAGAAAATGCAACCCAAAACATCTACTTCGTCTGTTGCTCCTTCGTCGGCAAACAAACCACGCATATCACGCGTCAGAAGTTGATCATTTCGAGGTAATTATATATTTATGCGTCCAAGGTGGCCAATTTCGGTGCGCGATTTGTGGTGTAATCATGGGGTTCGGAGACTTTTGACGTGCCACTGTAGAAACTTAAGGGTTAGGAGACTGTCCATCCTATGGAATAAATCTACCGTGGACGTCGACACAGATTATCGTCCGCCGTACCCGGAGGTTATGAAGTAGAATAGTCGATGACAGGTAATGATATAATGATATCAATACTTGCTTTTTTTAAAACTTACTTCCCTCTTTTATTTACGCAATTGTCTCTTTGTTTTTCAACACGATCTGCTTCGATCCGCATCACAACCTCCATCATGCCCTACCTATTCATCAAGATGTGCAAGGTTCTCAAGCCACTTCTCGTCCATTTTGAAAGGAGATACCAAGTAAAAGCTTTACAATCATCAGACAAAAAATGGTCGCGCTCGTATCGTTTCGCCCAATTTCTCCGCATCGTACAGTTTTGCGGTACGGTGACTTCCGATAAAAATTGGCCACAGAATGTTCGTATCTGGATACACAACATAATCGAGCTCGATTTTCGCCTACGTGAGGTTGTGCAGCGGGAGACTTTTCTGAAAGAGCAATGCCAGCAGGCGTCGGATCTTCTTGCAGGTGGAGAACCTAAGCAACAGCAACAGCAATTGGATGAATGGCACGCAGAGTTACAAACACTAAATCAAGATTACTGGTGCATTGAAAGAAAGCTCTACGCTAATGATATACTTTGCCCCGATAGCGGCCCCTATTCGGTTTTACATCGGGCGTATATCTCGACCCGGAATATGTCACAGTGGTATCTGTTCGAATGGCTATGCAAGGATTGTGCGAGACGAGGCGGTTGCTGTGGCCGGGCTTGTCGATGCTGTGAGGAACCACGGAGTGCTGTACGGTCTAACGGCCATGGCCATTGTACTAAGACGTGCGGTTGTTGTCTCAAGTTTCGCGGCTTTGAGTTGGATGAAGAGCAGCAGAAGCTGTGTCAACCTGCCTTCAATTTAAATTGCGATTTCGCAGTGCTTGATAATTATAGTTGGGACCTATTCCTCGCTAATATTTTTACATTTTGAGATTATGTTGCGGCAGAAGATATTGTCAAAAATCGACGGCACGATTACCCATTATGGAATTGCAATACACGAATGAATAAATCTCTGATTAAGATAAATCTGGGAATGCCCAACAATTTAGGGGGCGAGATAACTAATAAAGACTAGTGCAAACTAGGAAATAATGAGGGGAAAATAGAGGGGTAGACGATGTATCCAATTCTTGACAGATATAATAATCTGTGAGACTACGCGCGTACGGGGTCCGTTAGGTAACCGTGCGGTTTTCGTACGGGGGTTGTCAACTCTGATTAATCGTCTAATGTTTACGATGCCATTTAATTAATTAACGTTAAAGGGGCCAGCTTGAGCCAGGCTGATTCACAGCAAGCCCAATCCCTTCGCCTCGAGCTCAACAATGCTCGGAGTGAGTTCAATCAGCTCCGACGGCTTAGGCTCCACAACCAATCATCTTCCGTTTCAGACAGAAATTCGGTGTCCGAGACACACCTCACCCGCGGTATTTTCGGAACATCGGGAGCCAACGCGAGGGGTATCCACTTCATCAGACCGGGTCTCGAGAGGACATCCCTCTACGACCAACGCTCCGAGGTCGCCATCACCAGCCATGTCCCGAACGGGTCCCAACTCAGGGCCTACGGCGGTAGGGCCGTCCGCATCTAAGCCGTCCCTGCTAACAACTATAGCTGATGATTTGCCGGTCACGATGGGAATGATGAGACTCATAATGCGAGAGATGATGACGGAGATACGCGAATGAATGACAACCGAGGCAGGGCAGCACAGGGTCCTCTAAGTCCCCTTGGGCCTATGTCCTCGAGGCGAACCCGGGATGTTATGCCAAGACGGGATCGAAGGCACTTCAAGTTCCTCTACGGGATGGAAGATCCACAATGTTATTAGTCTCGATCATCTGGAACCGGCGCCGAGAAAATTGGACGCGTTTTATTTTGACTACCAGACGTGTTTCACGTGTTGATATAGTTTTGTCTGCAGGATTCTTTGACATACGATGCGTGTTTCAGCGCTGATATGGCTTTGTTGTCTTTGTTGTTCTTTAGACTCGCAGTTTCTTGCTTTGTTGTTTTGATGCTGGCTTCGATGCGATGCTTGATCCCCTTTTTCATAAGGATCGTCCTCGAGCCTTAAATTGATGCGCTAACGTGTGTGTTTATAGATCATCTACCACATCAACAATAACACCTAGAATATAGGGACCTGTGAAAACGACGCCGAAAATGGCTCCCCTCTGCATCCAAAGCTAGGCCCCCCTCCTTTTCGCCCACTCTGGTCGAGCGCCTCTAAGAAGCTCCGTCTGCCCTCTCTTCCGGGTCTTTCAACGCTCCTCTCTTCATCCCAACTCCGCTACCTCAATCGACCTCGACATACTTGATTCCCAGGCCTCCTATGACAGAATCCAAACCTTAGCCTCTATCTCCGAGTTCTTCTCATAGCGCCTATATCTATACCTCTAGCTCAAGTTGATGAGTAGTAATACTAGACCGATCCTATCCTTTGCAAGGAAACTCGAGCCAGACTAAAATATTTCCGTAGTCTTAGATAGTGTCAGGGTGGACTCACGATACCCTGCGCTGATTGTATTACAGATTCGGGCAATCGAGGCTCGCGGGATAACTTTGGGTGCGACACAATATGGTTCCAAGACTGATCGCTGGCCCCTGGAACTCAGGTGCCAGCGAGGTATTTATATACAGGCATTTTACCCCGCTCAACTATGCGTTCACGCGTGCGATCAGTGCGCAGTTGTGAGGCAGTAATAGGCTTAAGGATCAGGCATATCATCGCAGCATAACGTTACAGTACAACTGCCCTCACAATAACTAAGCACTATCACAGGGGATGAAACATTTGTCTAGAGCCCCAGTTCGCTTAGCATCACAACAAGCTTCTAGGCCTGCTTTCCAATTTCGAGCCTCCTCCTGGAGAGGTAGATCGTTCCTCACTTGAACTAGCATCCCATCAAAACATTCCTGGTTGAAATAGTAGATGTTTGGGGTAGGCGATCTGTCGAAATCGGCAAAAAACACCTCATGGTATTCTTTTGTCAACTGGACGACGCCTTTCCCTTCTTCATTGACTACCCAGCAGTGCCCGAGAGTATCTGGATTATAAGAGCAGATATACTCTATAGCGATCATTTCAGACTCTGTTGCACCGCTAATGTCGTTCACGTATTTTTTGAAACAGGTTCCGTTTTTTGTATCAAGAAAACTTGGATTGGCTGCATTTTGAGAGTCTGGTGCACGTACAATGTTTTCGAGACTCATAGAGGTGAAGGTAGCAAGTATGAGACAGTCTTTGCATCTGTAACGTAGCAGTTTTGGATTTTTTTTTATCTCGGGGAAATTAGGGACGAATATAGAGAGTGTTATTCGACCGAAAAAATCTGGAGGGCAGTAAGTATTTTATATAGCCGCACGTCACAACTAGAAGTCATATGTATTCAGATGACTGATTACGTGGTTACATCCATGCCCCTGCCATTGTGGGGCTTCCAACAGGGGCAACGTGTGCTCATTTGTATCATAGAAAGATACCGTTACGAAGCCAAAACAACCAGTTGTCTCCGGGCCGCAGCTGACCAATAAGCCACCAAAGCTTATCGATCCTTCAAAATAACCAACACTAGGACGAGTCACATATGGCACCTAAAGCTAAGAGCTCCCCCAATTATAGTGTAAGTGGGTTCTGAAACCAGCTACAGATTTATGTAGTAATATGTTCTTTTCTTCAGTTGCACACAAGCTTTCTGATTGACTTGTGATATACTCATAAGTTAAACTGGTATGTAGGTCTGGCCAGGACGTTGTCGTGGCCAAACCTACTGAAAAGGTCAGTGCTACAGTACTCAACACCCTTGGTAGGGCTATCGTTTCCCCTTTGGTTGGATGATTTTGTAGTGGCACCTGGGCTGAGGTGACAACATAGAAATCATAGCAAGGCTGCGATCGAACCGAGGGCGCTAATGCATGCAACTGCGCCGCACTAGGGGCATTGCAGCTACGGTCGACACTCAATATAGATGGCGGCAAACTTCAGGGCATTGAGCACCTCGGCGTTACTGTATAGTCCTACCTGTCACGATTATCAAATTGCTATAGATGCGAATACTATGTTCATTGGACGGCGAATGCCCTAGTATAATTGGAATGAATTCGCAATTTCACATTAAATGCGGTCATAATTAGAATACAAGGGGCTTGGTTTTTCGTGACTGTTCCGCAGGACTGACATAGATGTGTTCAACGGAACAACCCCTGCTGCAGTTGGCACTCTGAGCAGCCACTAATGACGCAACCCCTTCCGTTCTCCAGACTAAATGCGAAGCGGCGCAGCCGCTGATTGTATAATCAAAAATTAGCGCCCAACTGACCCACGTTTTGTTGGATGTCATCACATCTAGCCCCTAGAGATGCCAAAGGATCACGCCGTAAATCCCTCAAGGCAATCGGATGAATGTAACCACAGTGAAACATATGACGAGTATGGCATTTCCATACAGTATACCTTGTGATAGATTGAAATTAGTTTATAAACATCGCCTGTTCTTCTTGAATTACCCTATATTGTTTCCAAAGCTCTTCATTCTTATCATCTGTTCATATACTTACGCGAATCATCCAAGATAATTGCTGAATAGGTGAAATCATGCCTTATCTTCTATCTTCTCTCTCTCTCTTGATTGCTCTTTTCATCCATATGAGCAGTATCAGAGCATACGATATTTGCCATGGCACAGAAGATATCGCGCTCGCTCCTGTCCTTCAAAATGCTGCCAATCCAACCTTTCTCAATATCAAAAACGGGACCCAGTTCAGAAAATATGTTAGCGATATTGGCAATGCAACAGAGTCTGAAATGGTCACCATCGAGTATCTCTGCTCCTATAACCCAGATACTCTTGGGGACTTATGGCTAGTCAATGAAGAGGGAAACGGGGTCGCCCAGTTGACAAAAGATTATTACGAAGCGTTTGGTGGTCCTGCCATTGACAGATCGCGGGGTGTGAACGTCTACAACTTCAGCCAAGGGCTTTTTGACAGTATGCTAGCTCAAGTGAAGAGTGATCTACCTCTTCAAGAAGAAGCGCAAACTTGGGTAAGGAACATTAAGGATCGTGCTCATGCAGAGAAGAGCAACGTGTTAGACAAACGATTTGTTCGTTGTGGTTCACACCGTTGCTATTCTCAGCGGACCTGTATAAGCACAGGGGGGAATCCTTGTCGTGTTTGTCACGCCTTCCAATGTTACTTCACACTCCTCCCTGATGGATGTTGAGGTTGTAGATAGTCAGTGATGTGTGCAGGTTTCAACAACCGCACAAGTGGATTTGTCAATTTAGTGATCAAGAAAGCTACATACCAAATACTTGTTGTTTATATTCCAACCATTGGTACACTGGCACAAATTGAGATGAATGACATATTTGGCCCGCATAGAGTGCTTGCGGTCTGAACTCTGGCGATGTAGGCCTCGTTGTGACAAGAGCGCAGGGTTCGCGTTCTCGGAGGGATACAGCGCCATGAAGGCCGCAGGTGGGTTCAAATGACCTGGCCAGCTAGAGAAAAGGATAGTAGAGGGGCTAGTGGTATGAAAGATGAGACTGGTGTTGGAGAGGAAGAACGGAGAAGTGATTGGAAAGAGGAGGTAGAGCTGGGGAGGTAGGGTCTTTTATGTTGGGGGGCCAAGGCAGCGATTACATGACGGCGTATTGGGGCGCTAAACTGGAAACGGCAAAACTAACCATAACAGGCAAATCGCAGGTCCCTATATTACACCAACAACAAAGAAACCCCCACCACCAACATCGCCATGGAACAACGTCAACGTTCTGGCTGCGAACCTTGTTCGCCGGGTCCCGCGGGAACCTGAGCTCCCATGCTAGGTAAGTGTTTCGCATGCGTTTGGCAATGTTATATTGACTGTTATATAGATATGTTTCCTGGCCCTAGAGAACGACCCCAGCGTGACCTCCTGACACGTTCGCAAGCACCGTCTGCCATTGAGATTGACGGCGAGCCGGAATACTCACCAGCGAGAGCGGGGACGGCCGGAACTACTAGGGGCGGGTACTTCATTGAACGCACCTTGGATCACAAGAAGCGCGCACGATCGACGATTTCTCGTGTCAAATGGCTTAGCTACAATGACAGCAAGTCTACGTGGGAACGCTTCGAGCACGTCCAAGATACAGGAGCGCTAGAAAACTACGAGCAATTTCTACAGGAACGCGCGCAAAAGCCAAAGCAGAATCGCAGGCGACAGAAGAAGTGAATTCCCCCCCGAAGGGGCCCGTGATCGCCCCGAAGGGCCCAGACACCGAATATAAAAAGATCGCCCCGCGGGGCCCACGCACGCAAACAAAATCCTGCCCCGAAGGGCGCACCACCACGGAAAACACAACCACGGAAAATATAAATACAAACAGGCCACCGCCGACTACCCCCTCGCCGTCAGGACGGGCGTCTTTAAGCCACGTCCTTTGGACGACTGAGGGCGCAGCCGACGGTGCCTTACCCCTGCAAGAACACGTGCCCTTTAGTTGGGCTGGCGGCGGCGGAAGAGCCTGTTGAACTTGCCCAAGGTCGACTCGGCGGCGGGGACCTGCCGGAGGGCGACGGCGGCCTGCTGGAGGGCGGCCTGGGCCTGCTGGAGGGCGGCGGCGGCGGCGGGCAGCACTTCTGCGGCGGCGGCGGCGGCCTGGGCCTGCTCTTCGGCGGCGGCGGCGGCGGCGGCATGCTGGCTGGTGGCGGCGGGCTGGCTGGCGGCGGCGGGCTGAACAATCGGAAGTTCAATCACTTCCGATTCTTGGCCGCCGTAGCGGCGGAAGACTCGCCCCGGCCACGCTACAAGTACGCAATACCGGTCAGCACATCTCCCAATAACACATCCACTAAGGGAGCTTACACGGCCGGCTCTCCCGGAGGACGGCGCGGGCGTAGTCCCTGGCCTCGGGCGAGGCGTCGGCGGGGACCGGGGCGACCTTGACATATCTATAACAGGTGATCAGAATACATCTTCCCGCTGCCAGTACCCTTGGTGGCTTCATACCGGTTGCCGAGCCAAGCTCGGCAGCAAAGGACTGCGCCGTACACCAGGGCGAGGGCGATGACGATGCCGAGGCCGGCCAGGACAACGTGCCACATTTTGGCCCCCGGCCCAAACGTGTTCTCGAGGGAGGTGAGGGCGGTCGTGGCGGCGGCAAGGGGAGCAGGGGAAGTCATTCTGTCTGGTAGTGAGGACGAGAGGGTTGGTGATGAGGTGAACGAGAACGAAGTGAAGAAGAACGAAGTGAAGAAGAACGAAGTGAAGAAGAACGAAGTGAAGAAGAACGAAGTGAAGAAGAACGAAGTGAAGAAGAACGAAGTGAAGAAGAACGAAGTGAAGAAGAACGAAGTGAAGGAAACAGCGGGAATGAACAAGTAAACATTCCCTGTGGCTCCCTACGAGGAAGGTACGACTCTACTCGAATAGTCATGGTGCTTTCCTCCAACCTTGATCATGTTTCTTCAAACTCTCACGGCTATGTAAGTCTCACATATCTTTTATCATAACGCAATCTCAAAGAGTGAATATATAAGCGAGTAATAGGTCAAAACTAATAATTATCATTCAATGCGTCCACGGGCTAATTCAGGATTCCCGAAGAGAGGAATAAGGCCTATACCACGTGTGGAGCCAGAAAATGCAGCCCAAAACATCTACTTCGTCTGTTTCTCCTTTGTTGCTAAAACACGTACATCACGCATCGAAATTTGACTATTTCGAGGCGTAAATGTATATGAATGGCGTCCACCTAGCGTGGTGGTGTAAATCAAACAAATCTCTATTCATGATGCGCTGTTATATATCTCGGGAAGTGTGTTATAGATCTACCTAGTACCTGAACTGTGTATACAAAAGTAGAGCAAAGTAACGTAAATCTCTAAATGTTATTAAACACGCTTTGAATTGCTTCCAGAGTGTGAACAAAAACAAATATTTTGATCAATTGCAACAATTGATCAATACCGTTCATTCTTATTTTCTCTTGAGCCGCGCCCTCGACACCTCAGGCAGCACTCCGCGACCCTTCAAGCTCGCCTTACCGTCCTGGGTCTTTCATCCTTCCACCCTCCGCCCGTGCCTCTCGCCCATCACCACCTCCGCCCCCCTTCTTCTTCTTCTCCATGCTGTCCTCTCGTTGGTATGTCTCCATCCTGCGCCCACTTTCCGACTACCGCACTCCTATCCTGTCCGCAATCGCTAATCGTCCCGCCTCCGTACTTACAGATTCAACAACCCCATGAGCTGCACCCTGCCGGCATCGCAATCCACCGTCTCCGCGTCGCGCGTCTAACCCGGCTGCTCACCATCCGCCATGACGCCCGGGCACGGTGGCAAGAGAAAGCGCGGCGAGCGCTCATGGTCCAATGATTCCACAGGCAACGATAGCCCGAGACCCTCGCCCCATCGTCCTGGCTCGCTCAACATGGCCCACCACCTTGCCAATCCCGGCGGTGCACGATCTAGCCCGTCGAGAGATGATTCCGAACCCCGCGACAACTCCCATGGCCGTTCGTCCCGCGGAGGCGGTCGGCCAGGCTCGCGTCGTGGCTCTCACGATAGTCAGAGTTTTTCTAGCTCGCAGTATATCGAGCCCGGCCCCATGTTTCACCCCGCTGTGACTGCGTCGAAAGAAACTACCCAGACATCGCGATTGAATGGCGATTCGGCTGCGGCGCAGCCGTCTCCGTCTCCTGCTCCGGTCACTCTTGCCACGCGCCCACCCTCCGCTCCGCCTCCTCCCTACGCTTACGAATTTGTGATGGATAATATTGTGGAGGAATGGACATCGACAGGCAAACAGAAGGTCGTGGATGAAGGCATCGCGGCCCGCGAACAGCAGGACCTGGCGCGGCTGGCATCGGTTTACCAAGAGCTTCTCCGGTCCGCGATATACGGCCGTCTATCTCCGTCGGATGCGGGAACAGCCGTGAAGGAAATCATAGGTGAGGAGGAGGCATCTCAAGATGTTGACATGGAAAGTGATAAGACTGGTCTGGACCCGCGCTCGTTATTCCTCGATACCCTTTCCATCATGACAGATGCCGACACGTCAAATCCGGCCCTCAAGCCTCTCGTGTTTGCGACTGGAATCTCTCCATCTCTAATGCGTCTTCAGCTGGATACGCCCTTGCTACAGTCGCTGGGATTGGTCCGCGAAACCTTCGCGCGCATGGGAATCCGAAAGCAAACCAATTTGCTTTACCGACAGTCCAACTACAACTTGCTGCGCGAGGAATCTGAAGGATACTCTAAGCTCCTGACGGAGCTCTTCACCACCAGCAACAACGAGCCTCCAGCAAGCGATGTGGTCGAAGATACATTCGAACGTGTCAAGGCTATGATCGGTGCATTTGATATGGATGTTGGGCGTGTTCTCGACGTGACTTTGGACGTTTTCGCTGCGGTCCTTGTCAAACAGTATCGTTTCTTTGTCAAGCTGCTGCGGGCCAGCTCCTGGTGGCCGACGGAGGAGACAAACCGTAGTGTCGAAAGCCGTCGTGGCACAGGTCTGCCGAATTGGGCTCTCCCCGGGTCTGGCGGCTGGGTAACGACAGAGGAAGACCGAACAGCAATCGTGCGATCCAACGAACAACGAGACCGAGAATTCTGGGACCGAGTGCGTGAGGTCGGGATTCGGGCGTTCTTCGAAATCGGCCGCAAACCACTTTCAGAAGATGAGTTGAAGAAGGCGCTCCCTGAAACCACCGTCCTGCCTGAGGGGGAAGACGCGACAAGAGCATGGATTGAGGAGACGGGGACGCTGCCACCCAAGGGCAACCGAGTCGCGGCGCAACTTCTCGGATTCAAGCTTCGATTCTATTCCTCTTCTGCTCGTTCCAAATCTGACGTTCTTCCGGACAACCTCATCTATCTGGCAGCCTTGCTCATCAAAGTGGGCTTCATTTCTCTTCGTGATCTCTACGCCCATCTCTGGAGACCGGATGATTCGATGGACACCTTGAAAACCGAGAAGATGCAGGAGAAGGCAGAGAGAGAACGAGCGGCTCGGCCAGGAGGTGGTATTAACGCCTTGATGACGGCTGGTGCCCTATCGGACGACACTCTACCCACGCCTCGCATGCGCGAATCAGACTCGCGGGCAACTCCATCGAAAGATCAGGAACCTGATAAAGCGGCTGCGACCAAAGCGGAGGATGATCTTCCAGACCCCAAGGATCAGAAAGTGTTGCTGCTCAAAAGCCTTCTCGTCATCGGTGCCATCCCCGAATCCTTGTTCGTCATGAGCAAGTTTCCCTGGCTCTTGGACCTTTACCCTGAAATGCCTGATTTCATTCATCGCATCCTCCATCACTCCCTCAGCAAAGTTTACACTCCACTACGGCCCTTGTCATCTTCAGATGACTTCTCCCATCAGCGACAGATCCTGAATCCGGACCAAAGTGGCGTGGCCAAAGGACAACTCCGCCTTACGTCTCCACCAGCAAGAAGAACTCTGCGCTGGGCCCAACTGGACAAAGAAGACGCAAACGATGCCACCGATTACCGCTTCTACTGGGACGATTGGGCGGACAATATCCCCATCTGCCAGTCTGTCGATGATGTCTTCGCTCTTTGCTCCTCTTTCCTCAATTTGTCCGGCCACAAAATCGGACAGGACGCAAGCCTGCTGACGAAACTTGCGCGAATTGGCAAGCACAGCTTGGCCAAGGATGGATCGGACAAGAACAGGACCCGGTGGCGAGATCTCTTGAAGCGTCTCCTGTTACCCGCTGTCAGCTTAACCAACGCAAACCCTGGTGTGGTCAACGAGGTGTTTGACCTGCTCAGCTTCTACCCTCGCGAGGTTCGGTACAATATGTACGCCGAGTGGTATCAGGGACAAACTTCGCGGCTCCCGGACATCAAATCGGCTTTTGACCTGGCCAGAGCGGAGACAAAGGACGTCCTCAAGCGACTCAGCAAGACCAACATCAAACCAATGGCCCGCGCACTGGCCAAGATCGCCTATGCCAACCCGGGAATCGTCATCAATGTCGCCATCAGCCAGATCGAGTCCTATGAGAACCTGATTGAAGTTGTTGTTGAGTGTGCCCGCTACTTCACCAACCTTGGCTACGATATCCTGACCTGGTCGCTCATCAATTCACTCGGCCAAAAGGGACGGAGTCGTGTGCAGGAAGGTGGCTTGTTGGCTAGTCGATGGCTGAATGCCCTGTCTACCTTTGCGGGTCGAACCTTCAAGCGGTACTCGGTGATGGATCCCGCGCCTGTTCTGCAGTACGTTGTGGAACAGCTGCGACAAAATAATTCTACCGACCTCATTATTTTGGAACAGATGATCAGCTCTATGGCCGGTATTATCACCGACACCAACTTTAACGATGCCCAGATCCAGGCCATGGCCGGTGGAGACATTCTTCAATCACAGACCATTTTGCAGCTGCTGGACAAGCGCCACGAGTCCAAGATTACCTCTCGGCGTCTGTTAAAGTCCCTGACCCATACTCGGCTTGCAGGCCAGGTATTGGTTGCAATCGCGCAGGAGCGGTTGACCTGTGTTTACAACGAGTCAACCTCGGAACTTAAGTTGTTGGGCAACATCTTCGACGAAATCCATCGTATCCTCACCCAATACTTGGACCTTCTTCGCAGCAACCTGTCGGTTGAGGAATTCGATTCCTTCGTGCCGGATTTCTCTGCTCTCATCAAAGACTTCGGTATTCAGCCCGAAATCGCCTTCTGGATTCGACGAGTCAGTGTGTCCAAAAAAATTACCGACATTGAACGTTCAAAGCAGGAAGCAGAATCTGCCAATAAACAAGCTGTTGGTGATGCAACCGCCGCTTCGAAGCCTGCCGATGAGAATAAAATGGACACCGCCGAGGATGGCGAAGGGCTTGCCAAGGCAGAAGAAGCAACTACGGAAAACGCCATGGATGTCGACAAGGAAGAAAAGGACACTACTGATGCCACTGAGGGCAATGATTTCGCCCCCACTCCTCTGGTGAACGTCGAGCCACTGGCTGCAAATCCTGTGATGCAAGAATTGATGGATAACGTCAAGTCTGTCCTACCCTCGGAGATGTGGGACGTAGTAGGCGTGCAATTCTACGCGACCTTCTGGCAGCTTTCTCTCTACGATGTGCATGTTCCTCAAAAATCCTATGAAGACGAGATCGATCGACAAAAACGCCGAGTCGTTTTGATAAACAACGACCGGTCTGACCTCAGCTTGGCCGGCACGCAGCGGAAGGATAGAGAAAAGCGGCAGATCACCCAGCTGCAAGATCGGATCCTCGAGGAGAACAAGAGCCATTTGAAGGCATATGGACAGACTCGAAACAGATTGCAGAAGGAGAAAGACCGTTGGTTCGCTGGCATGCGTCTGAAGCACGATGCGCTCAATGTCGCCTTACTGGAGCAGTGCTTCCTCCCCCGACTGCTTCTGTCTCCTCTTGATGCGTTCTTCTGCTTCAAGATGCTGAAGTTTCTGCATAGTTCGGGGACTCCCAACTTCCGAACCGTCGGCTTGCTGGACCAGCTTTTCCGCGACCAGAGACTCACGGCTCTTATCTTCTTGTGCACCTCAAAAGAAGCAGACAACCTGGGCCGATTCCTGAACGAAATCTTGCGTGATCTTAGCCGATGGCACGCCGACAAAGCCGTTTACGAAAAAGAAGCATTCGGCGCCAAGAGGGACCTCCCCGGATTTGCAAAGAACGTTGACCCCGAAGGAACGCCTGTCAAGTTCTTGGAGTTTGAAGATTTCCGCCGCCTCCTCTACAAGTGGCATCGTCTGCTCGCCAACGCACTCAAGACCTGTCTTAACGGGGGCGAGTACATGCACATCCGCAACGCCATCAGCGTTCTCAAGGCCGTTGTGCAGCATTTCCCCGCCGTCAACTGGATCGGTCGTGACATGCTGACCGCCGTCAATACCCTGAGCAAGACTGATGAACGCGACGACGTCAAGATTCCCGCTGCTTCGCTGATCGGTGATCTCAACCGGCGGGAGAAGAAGTGGATGCTTCCACAGGAGTTCAATCTTGTCCAGGCTCTGGCCGGCGCTGGCCAAGGCAAGGCAGGTTTCGCTGCCGATAAGCCTGGGACTTCGCGTCCACAATCGGCCACGCCAACTCCGCTCAATGCTGCGGCAACTGAATTCAAGCCTCCTTCTGGAGCTCATGGGTAAGCTTTTCTTGGTGGACCTCTCGGAACTATTAACGGACGCAACCCGCTAACTCTACGACTTTCAGCTTCGAGGGTGCCGCACCAAAGGATAGGATGGAGGTGGAGGATGGTGAGATCGAGGATGCGAAGATGGCCGATGTGCCAGCGAAGGAGACAGAGAAGGCTACGTCTACATCTCAAATTGAGGCTACGGTGGACTCTAGTCCCGCCGCCATGGATACGAGCGCCGATGCTACTACCAGCGAACGCCCGACAAGTGCTACGGATGAACCTCCTGTGCGACCACGTCCAGGCTCTCGCGCTGACTCCGGCCGCCAAGACTCAAAGCGCCCGGATCTCGAGCGTTCTGCATCCAATGCCAACCCCCGACAACAGAACTATCCTCCTGGTCGACCTCCGCGGCACAGCGATGGCAGACTGCCTCCGCGTCCTGAGCTGATGGATGACCGCCGCGACAGACATCCTGATTTCGGACCTGGTCCTCGTGGTCGTCACGGCGGTGGGCCTGATCACGGCCGCCCGTTTGATGGCCCTATGGGCGACCCTCGAGGCCCTATGCGCCACAATGACCGTGACCGCGATTTCCTAATGCGACCACCGCTCGATGAGCCTATGCATGGGCCTGGCTATCGCGATGGGCGACTGCCGCGCGATCCTGACTGGCCTGCTGGCCGCTCTGGACGTCTGCGTCCCGATACATTCCATGAACCCGACCTTCCTCCTCGCGGCGATCTGATGCCTGAACGCCTTGATCGAATGGGTGACGGGCCCCGTCGTGGCCCTGGTCCTGGTCCGTCTCCACAAAGGTCCAATCTGCCTAACCGGCCAGACCGACTTCCTCGCCATGAGGATTTCCCGAGAGGTCCTCGCGGTGACCGGCCTCCGCCTGAATCAAGAGCTGTGGCGTTGGGTCTAGAAGCTCCCCGCCAGATCCCGGAATCTCAGCCCGATATCCCATCTGGACCGCGGGGTCAAAATGCGCGTGGAAATGCGCGTGGGCGTAATGTCTCTGGCCAGCAACCTCCTCCCTCCACTCCAAGCAATGGCCCTGGGGCGCATTCTGAACGGCCTGGTAGACAACAAGATACTGGGAGACAGGGCGGGCGAGGTGGTTCTGAGCAATCCTCAGCTGCACCGCCCTCTCCGACTACTGCTACCTCAGGTATTCATCCCGATCGATTAAAACATATTGTCCAAGAACCACCATCGGCTCCTCCTATGGCACCTCCTTCTGGACCTCGTGGCGGGTCTGGACCGTCAAACCAATCCATACCGCGTGGGCCACAGGGATCTGGTGGTGACCGTCGTGGTGACAAGAGGTTTGCTGGAATCAACAATATGCTTCAGCAGCAATCTGGCGGACCTGTTGATCGCACTCCCTCTGGCCCATCGCCCCGCGGACGGGGCTCAAGGCGCGAATCCGGAAGTATGCACGTTCCTTCTCCGCAGTCCTCGAATCGTCCGCCCATGGGCGCAGGACCACCTGAAGACGACGGATCCTCGCGTAGTCGACCAAGTGGTGGTAGCCGAGGCGGAGGTGACCTGATCGATGATGCTGGCTCCGACACACGACGATCCGGACGAAACGGTGACCGTGAACGAGACCGCAAGCGCGATGGCGGCGACAATACCAACACCAACGGCGGCAGCAATCGGCGCGACGACAACCGCGAACGGCCTCGAGACCATGAGCGTGAACGCAGCCGTCGCAGCGACGCAGGCGGTGGTGGTGCCGGCCGTGAAGACAAAGAGCGCGACCAAGACCGTCCACCCACCGAGCCACGCGAGTCTCTCCGCCGAGTTCCGAGCTCGCGCGAGGAATTGCGCCGTCGAGACCGGCGCGATCGCGACACTGGGTCCGCCGATGCTGGTAATTCACCTGCGCCCAGCGCCCACAATCCGCATGAACAAGAAGGCCGCCTTCGTCCTCCCTCGTCAATGGGCGCGCCGCGTCCCCCGCCACCACCGCCGCCTCCAGGCGGCCCCCTCCGCCTGACGAAAATGACCGTCGCCGAAACGCAGGAGGGGACCGGGGTGGCCGATCCGACAACCGCGATCGTGAGCGCGAGCGCCGAAGCGATCGCCGGGAGCGGGATCATCGCGATGGTGCCAACGGGCCCGGACATCGCAAGCGTGGGCGCCCTGGCGCTGAAGAAGGCGGTCTTGGCGCTGGTGATGGTGGTCGGGGTATGAGGACCGGAAGTGAAAATAAACGCCCTCGGCGTGGAGCGTGATGATGATTGATTTGATCTCTACTTCACTGTTTAAGTTCATTCCCCCCCAGGCCACGTTGGCGCTTCTTGTTGAGCTGCCTTGACTATTTCGTCGTGTTTTATCTCGTGCATCGTGGCTGGTGTTTGGCGACCACTTCCTCAACTGTATTATCTTTATTATGCTACCACCATGGAACCCAATTTCAGTACTATTAGAACCGTCTTCTGCTTTCCATACTTTAGGATCACCGGCCCGATACTCCCCGGGCCCCCACCATCCGGCAAAACCTCGGGCTGCCCTCCGTGTTGCTTTTTAACCGCTGCCCTTGGCGTTATTATTCTCCACTCTGTAAGGCCCATTGGGTATTCTCATCACTCGGGGCAATTATTGTTTCTCCTCGACACAGTATTTCCCCGACTGACAGCCAAGTTCTGGTTCTATAAGTACAATCAACCCCGCTGTCCCCGCCGGATTTAGTTTTTGGACTATTACTCCAGCTAGCTCACAGCTCGGTTCGAGAGCTTCGTACAACTTTTATTTTTGGTCACCTGGTACAAGAACGGTTTCTGATAGAAATCCGTGGACAAGAGATCTTATTACCTGAATTACTCTTTCCCTCGATCGCGGGGCAATAAGACATCATCACATCATACGTCACATCAAGCATCATGGGCAAGATCGATGTCGAGAAGGCCATTGAGGAGCTGACACTGGGGGAGAAGGTCGCTCTGACAGCCGGTATGTATTTCCGGTATCTTCTACTCCGATCCATGCTCACGCCTCACACCAGGAACCGACTTCTGGCACACAGTCTCCGTCCCGCGCATGAACATCCCGCGCCTGCGCATGTCCGATGGACCCAACGGTGTGCGCGGAACCCGCTTCTTCAACGGCATTCCAGCAGCATGTTTCCCCTGCGCCACAGCCCTGGGCGCAACCTGGGACACAGAGCTACTAGGCCAAGTCGGCCACCTGCTCGGCGAGGAAGCCATCGCGAAGGGGACGCACGTCCTGCTCGGCCCAACGATCAACATCCAACGCTCACCGCTGGGCGGACGCGGATTTGAGTCCTTCTCCGAGGATGGCGTGCTCTCCGGTACGCTGGCGGGCCATTACACCAAGGGTGTCCAGGAGAAGGGCGTCGCTGCGACGCTGAAGCATTTTGTCTGCAATGACCAGGAGCATGAGCGCATGGCTGTTAACAGTATTGTTACTGCACGTGCGCTGCGGGAGATTTATCTCATGCCGTTTCAGTTGGCGATGCGCATTTCGAAGAGTGCGTGTATTATGACCGCTTATAATAAGGTCAATGGAACACATGTTAGTGAGAATAAGGCGATCATTGATGATATCCTACGGAAAGAGTGGGGCTGGGATGGTCTGGTTATGAGTGATTGGTACGCTATTTAATGTTTCTGCATTCGAAGAAGAGAAGAAGTGATTGATGCTAATACCGTTTGGCTTCAGGTTCGGTACCTATAGCACTTCCGATGCCATCAATGCCGGACTTGACGTGGAGATGCCCGGCAAGACTCGCTGGCGCGGGGAGGCCCTGGCTCACGCAGTTTCATCGAACAAGGTCGCCCAGTTCAAGTTGGATGAGCGTGTGCGCAACGTCCTCAATTTGGCCAACTGGGTTGAGCCCCTGGGTATCCCCGAAGATGCGCCTGAAAAGGCACTGAACCGGCCAGAAGATCAGGCTCTGCTGCGACGGGCCGCGGCCGAGTCAGTTGTGCTCATGAAGAACGAAGGCGGGATTCTGCCACTGAAGAAGGATAGGTCATTGCTCGTCATCGGGCCCAATGCCCAGATTGCCGCGTACTGCGGCGGCGGATCCGCATCGTTGGCTCCGTACTATACCGTGACTCCGTTGGAAGGTGTCAAGGCTAAGAGCCAGGGTGAAGTCACATTCACCCAGGGCGTGTACTCGCACAAGGACCTGCCAGATTTGGGCCCTTGGATGAAAACTGCTGATGGCAAGACCGGGCTCGCCTTCAGGGTGTACAACGAACCGTCTAGTGCTGGTCAGGAGCGAAACCTCGTCGATGAGCTGCACTTGGTTTCGTCTTCTGGATTCCTCATGGACTATGTTAACCCCAAGATCAAGTCGATGACCTTTTACGTCGACATGGAGGGGTTTTTCACTCCCGAGCACGATGGACTGTACGACTTCGGCGTGACTGTTGTGGGCACCGGCCGTCTTCTCATCGATGGCGAGGTGGTTGTCGACAATACCAAGGACCAGAAGCAGGGGTCTGCCTTCTTTGGAACAGCCACTGTCGAGGAACGCGGAAGCAAGGAGCTCAAAGCCGGACAGACATATAAGATTCTGTTTGAATTCGGCAGCGCCCCAACATCTGATATGGACACACGCGGCATTGTAGCCTTTGGACCTGGCGGGTTCCGGTTCGGCGGCAGCCGTCGTGTGGGCCAGGAGGAACTGATTTTGACGGCGGTCGAGCAGGCCAAACAAGCAGAGCAGGTCGTCATCTTCGCGGGACTCACTCTCGAGTGGGAGACCGAGGGCCATGACCGTGAGCACATGGACCTGCCACCAGGCAGCGACGAGCTGATCAGCCGGGTGCTGGCGGCGAATCCAAGCGCCGTGGTGGTGCTCCAATCCGGCACACCGGTGACAATGCCGTGGCTAGATTCAGCCCGGACACTTGTGCAAGCCTGGTTCGGCGGCAACGAGTGCGGCAACGGCATCGCCGACGTGCTGTACGGCGACGTCAACCCATCCGGCAAGCTGCCTCTGACTTTCCCACGCCGACTGCAAGACAATCCCTCGTACGTGAACTTCCGCTCCGAGCGAGGCCGCGTCCTGTACGGTGAGGATATCTACGTGGGCTACCGTTACTTCGAGAAGAGCGACCTGGCGCCAGCGTTCCCCTTCGGCCACGGTCTTTCATACACAACCTTCACGCGCTCCGATCTCAGCATCGCCACCGTGCCCGAGCAAGCTGTTCTAGCCGAGTCTGGAGAGCCCATCACCGCCACCGTCAAGGTGACCAACACCGGCTCTCTTGCCGGCGCGGAGGTCGTCCAGCTCTGGATCGTTCCGCCCCCAACGGCTGTCGGCCGCCCTGTGCGCGAGCTGAAGGCTTTCACCAAGGTGTTCTTGCAGCCTGGCGAGTCGAAGTCTGTTCAGCTTATTGTTGAGAAGAAACTCGCTACTTCCTGGTGGGATGAGGAGCGTGACCAGTGGATCTCTGAGAAGGGTAAATACCAAGTTCAGGTTACTGGTACTGGCTCTGAGGAGCTGCGTGGCGAGTTTGAAGTTGGCAAGACGCGGTTCTGGCTTGGGCTGTAGTTTGGACTGGGTTATGGCTGTTACGGATGCTTGGCTGCTGAAATAGGTTTCGGTTGATGATTTGCATGAATGAATAGATTGATTACGTATGATGTAGGTGGGTGAACATTTGGTTAAGGTTCGGAAATTGTGATTTAACGGTTAGAATAGGTTGAAAGTAGCAATCTAAAGTACGTACATTGGCTTGCAGATTTTTTATGTCTGAGACATCCTGTCGAGGAGTTCGGGTACCTGAATCGCATTGTTCAATAAAGTTGAGGTAGTCCACATCCCTTGAAGAATAACTTCCGAAATAAAGTGAAACACCAATGTCTTAAAAAGCTCTCGAATATCATTTGAAGATGGTCTGTTAGAAGACGCAAAGGGTATATACAACTAAAAATTAGGTATCTACATTAAGACAGAAGAAAGAAGTGTGACTCGCACAGCTAACAAGACAAGAAGCCCGTATCAAAAGGCAAGGAGAGGACATAATAAAAGAAGGAGAGAAAAGAAGAGAAAAAGCCTTGCGGATCATATCATCATCAGTTCAGCAATCATTACGCACAAGTCTGCATAGCCCGCTGAGGAGTTCTTCCCCTTTCAATCGGATCTGACGCCTTCCTCCGCCCAAGACCAGTCAATTTTTTCAGTAAATTCGAAGCTCTTCTGCGCCGGTTACGCGGTTGATCGTCTGTAGGGATAGCCGAATAGACTGTCTCATGGTGCTTAAGAAGGTCTGTGTGGTAGGTACCAGAGAATTTCCGGTCAGGCCAGCCCTGGTCGGGAGGAACGTAGCGAGGAGACCAATCTTGTTTTCCTTGCGCGTTTGCGGGGGAGAAGCTTCGTGCGGATGATGGACTTCGGGATATACTCGAATCGCGGCTGTACCAAGTGTCTCGTCCTGAGGTTTCGGGCACCCCCATTGCGCTTGAATGGGACCAGCGAGCGCTGTAGAAACGATTGCGGGCAGGTCCGAATCCAGTGCGGGAAATGGGTTCCAGCTTGTCTGCGCTGGTTCGTGGCGTATACTCCGTTTCGACGGCTGGGAAAGGGATGCTGCTCTCGTCGTCCTCGGTCTCGATATTTGCGCATAACCAGGTCATTCCTGCTGCGCCGAGGTTTGCTTCGAGGTCCTCGAAAAACGGAGTTGTTTCTTTAAACTCACGGGCAGCCTCGGGTTCCCTAGCATTGAATCCAACGGAGATCGGTCCTGGCACAGTCCATTGGCAGCCTAGCTGGGGAGGACTATACGGGAACAACGACGGACTGGAAGACCGAGAGCGCGACACTTTTTCCGCATCGACACTTTGTCCTCTCGAGCGTCCTCTATCGGAAGATGGAACCTGGTACGATCCACTAGAGGCACGGTTCCCATAGAATCTCATGTTGGCGCTTGTGCCAGCGGTTCCCGAAAAGCTAGCCCGATAGGCTTTTCCGGACTTCCCTGAGGACTGAAAGCTGAGACCAACTCCTGAGTCCTTGCGTGCTTCTGTACTGAGATCCATTCCTTTGCTTGGAAATAAATTATCGAATTGAGTGTGCGACTCTCCCAATAACGGCTCAACGCGGGAATTCTCAATATCCGTAGGCCCTGCTGGTGGTTTTGGAAATTGTTGTGATTCATAGGAGGGTCCTGATGGGATGCCTCGTTCGATGCTGTGCGAGAGTAGAGTGCATGCGTATTTGATGTTCATCTCCAAATCTTCTTCGATGAACTGTCGGTCGATCAACGGGGATGCGGGTCGAAAGTATCCTGGTTCGTCGGTGAAATTATAACATCGGCTTCGGTCGATCCCTGTCGACGGCATGCTGGCATGACTTGAAGAGACGGGGCTTGTAGCTGAGCGGGGACGACTATCGTTGGTGTTGTTCTCTTGCGAAGTAGACATTGTGGAAGCCCGATCTCGTCCTTGTGTCGTACGAGAAAAGGGAAATCGATGTCGTCTTCTGTCGGCCTTTTGGGAAAGCTTGCGCTCCATCACCGAATGATAATTTGGAGATATGTAGGTTGTCACGATAGAATATGGATGTGCGGTGTATCGTAGACGATTATAGGGAAGCAAGCGGCGATCAGAGATGACTCCTATGCATTTAAAAGAAAAGTTGCTAAAGTCAATCTCAGCCAAACAATGGAAACCACCCCCCCAACCCGGGTTATGCGGGCACAACCGTCACAGATGCAGGGCAAAGGCGAGTGTGGCGAAGGGGGCGAACCGGCCAGACTCCAGGAATCGCAAAACGACAGGTTCTCCGGCTCAGGGAGATTTCAGGCTACAGTTCCGAGTTATGTGCAGAACAAATGTACTGTCAAGAGGTAGGTAGCACTGGGGCCCGCCGTTGGCTGTGCGACGACTGGAATGCAACAAAAAAAACAACCAGGTAGTACTATGAAAGAATGCAGCAGAAGATCGATAGCAAAGGTAAACCCTGGAAGCGCCAGCTGGGGACGAAAAAGCCGATTAAAGAATGATTATTATTGACCTTTCAGCTCGGGCTCCTCGCGTGGGGGCGTTCGCCGGGTTTGCCTCGGGGGTGTTCAGCCGACAGGCTTGTGGAGAGACATGGAAGAGGCCCGTGTCAAGTAGGCACAAGGCTGTGTACTAGCGACCCATTCCCGACAATAGGGAATCAGCGATAAAGGATGGCCATAGCTGGGGGAGTTAGGGCTGACGGGGGGCCCTGGATTCGCTCTCCACAGGCGGTCCTCGTTGGCAGCTACTGGCCCTAATCCGGATGTGATCAACTAGCCGAAGACAAAGCAGGAGGCGGAAGCGAAGGCGAGTCTAGACTCGAGATACGGAGGCCCTAGCTGGCCGGCACCGCACCCCTTTTGGCAATGCCGAGTATTGAGGCTGACCACTATGACTCCCACCTCCGAAGTGTCTGTGTAATCAATCGAGGCCTACAGGCGCAAAGAACCTGTTTTTCCTTCGGCGTGTCGATAACATCGTGCTGGTTCATTCTATGTATTGGCATGCTGCTTCAAACCCCCTCCCCCTGGTTCAAGGGTCCAAGCACACCCTAAATGACTATCCTTACTCGTCTTATGAGTCCTACCCGCCCCAGGGTCCCACTTGGTTTACCCCGGCTGAATGCAGTTTCCGACTAGCCATCTATAGCAGACCGACTTCGAATAATAAGAGACTAGCAATATTATCTTACTTAAGCTATCGATCTCAGTAGATCGATTTGAAATTGTTTGTCAAGGATATAAAGAGCAGGCTCGTTGAAGAGAAAAAAAAAGAAAGAAAAGCACAAACTATTAACCTTTTAGCTAACTATAGCCAACGCGACTGTAACGTGTCAATCATCAAGCCCATCCATAAACGCCACCGCATCAATAATCAGTCAATCAGCGCGCCACAAAAGCACTCTCCGTCTCAAGCCACGTCGCGAAATCTTTCAATCCGGGGTGCTGCTTGCGCAGCGCGGTAATATCAGCCCCATACCCTTCATCATGAAACCAACGAAACATAGCCCCAATGTCACCCATAACAGACAGGAGTGCGCGGCACGCCAACTCAAAGGTCGTAGGCACATCGCGGCCAGTCTTCGCCTTGAAGATGTCGTTGAGTTGGTCGAACGTCAAATTATCGCCCGCTAGTGAGATAGACCGGCCGGCGAACTGATCAGGGTGCTGAAATGCCTCCGCAGCAAAGACACCAATGTCGCGGGTAGCAATAATCTGAAGCGGCTTCCCTTTGAGCGCTACCCGCCACGCCGTAGCGAACATCTTCCCCATGAAATTCGGGGTGAGCCCGTCCATGAACGCAACAGGACGCAGCACGGTCCAGTCCATCTCGCCATTCTTCGTGCTGTCAAAGAGATGCTGCTCGATCCGGTGCTTTGAAATAAAGTGCGGGATATCAGTCGGGTTGGATGCTGATTTGTCGTCGCCGCCGCGGTCGACGGAACTATACACGAAGTACTTCACGCCCTGCTTGAGCGACTCGTCAATCAGCGCCTTGCCTTGTCGCTCTTCGGCGCCGACTCCGTTGCCAATCACCACTTGTACGCTGTAGACACCCCAGATCTCCGATGAGGTGAGCTGCCGCGCGCGCGTGAAGATTGCCGCGGGGTCGTCCATGTTGCCTTCGACGAGCTTGACCTTGGATGACTTTTTGGCGAGCCGTTGGGCTGAGCCTGAGCGTGGGTCTCGGGTGACTGCGAGGATCTCGAATGGAGCATCATGCTCAAGGAGAGCATTGATCAAGGCACCGCCTTGTTTGCCCGTGGCTCCAGTGACTAGTATGGCCTTGGTCATGGTGAAAAGGGAGTTGGTACTGTCAAACAACTAGAAATGATGGAGTGGATGAAAAGCAAGCCCTTTGATGGGTATTATGGCCTCTATTTAAACCACACTCCCAGACAAGTTCTTGAAAATGTTTGTGTTTTGAGGTTAATAATTTCGGCGCAAAGCCAAGGCCGAGCATACCACGCCCATTAATCAGCCGGATGAGGTCATCGTCCGACTCCCGTGGCTGAATAATAACTGGACCATATTTAGAGAACTTCTATTTTCATTGTTATAGTTTATATTAATCATCGAAAAGCGACCGTGTCGCATAATTGAATGGACTGTACACAGTCCCAATGACCCATCACCCCCGGAGCGAGTCTCCTCGGAGAAAAGGACCCAGAGGGCGGGTCTGATGGAGAGCAGTTGGATGCTTCTTTGACAGTCTTCTCAGGCATGGAACAAGGCCAAGCGAGACACGAGAGAGGCAGTTGGATGCTCATCTCCCTGACTGGCGAAACGGATAAAAAGAACAGCAACCTTTACTTCTCTGTGACGCCGCGGCGTCCTTCTAGACGTGAACTTGAATCCACGCCCAGGAATGGCGGCAGGGAGTTCCTGCGCGCAAGTGGCTTTTAACCTCTGGAAGCACTTATTTACCACGCGGTAATGTCTTCCACCTCTGCTTCCCCAAAGGTGCTGCTCTTGGTCAACTTGTTGACACTGGCCACGGCCGCAGCACCATCCGCGCTAACCTGCGCCATGATATCCGGCAACACTTCATGGAAGAACTCCACAATGTGGTGGTTTACCTGCTCAAATTGCAGAAGGAAAGCGTCATGGCCCTCTGCACTGTCGATGCGCTTGAGCCGTGAATCAGGGATTCCCGCAGCAATCTCTTGCTGCTCCGCAAAGGTAAACAGACCGTCTGATTCAATTCCTAGAACCAGCGCCGGCTGCTGAATGCGTGAGAGGGCCTCGTGAACGGGGTCGTCGGCCGTCGGACTAGCACGGTGCCGAGACACGTCGTGGGTGTCAAGCTTGCGCGTCATGGCAATGTAGCAATTGGCGTCGAATCGCTTGACAAATTTGTCGCCTTGGTAGCGAAGATAAGACTGGGCCGAGAAATAGGTGGGTGGTCGTGGGCGACCGACAGAATCGGTTCGAGGCTTGGTCTCGGTCGACACGGAGAAGGTCTTTGTACCGGAAAACTGTGGGTCCATATATTGGACCTCGGTCTGAGGCGCAGGCGAATTCTGCCTGCTTTCAGATCGGGAGGACAGACCACCTTTATGCCCGTCATTGTGAATTGCCCAGTGTTCATTGGGGGGCGTGGGCAGTTTCTCGGTCCCGTTGATATTCTGCCGCTTCGACGGGTCTGGCACGTTTCTACCGAATCGCGATTCAAACGAGTTGCGGCTTCGATAGGTGAGGAGGGCGGACATGCGAGCCGCCCCGAGACCGGTAGCCGGCGGATCATCAAACGCATAGTACCCGTCGTCGTACTTCGGGTCACTGTAAATGCTCTGCCGCTGTGCCTCGCCCCAGCTGATGCACCATGCGGAATGGCGTGCAGAGGTGGCAATGGGTACGATAGCTCGCACGTAGTCTTTGCCGAAGAAGGCATACTCCAAAGTGAGCATTCCGCCCATGGATCCACCGACAACCGCGGCAATCTGCTTCACGCCCAGGTCGTCCAGCACCAATTTGTGGATACTTTGAGGGGATTAGCAATGTGGGTGGTAGAATCAAGAACAGAAATACCTACTTTACATCATCGCGGACAGTCGTCAGCGGGAATTCGGGCCCGTAGTAACCGTTGTCGGGTTTGCCATCCTTGTACGTCACTGCACTGGCGCTCCCGTACGGGCTCCCCAGACTGTTCAAGCAGACGACGAAGAAGCGCGAGACATCAAAGGCTTGGCCCGGGCCACCCAGTAGGGGGCCCCACCAGTCTGCGACATCGGCACTCCCACTCAATGCATGGCAGATCACTAGAACATTGTCACCTTTCGGCGAGAGTGTTCCCAGGGTAGTGTACGCCACGGGGACATTGTAGAGAGTGACACCCGACTCGAGCGTAAAGGATGGGACGACAGCAATGGATTGATCTTGGATCAACCCCGCGTACGGGTTTTCAGGCTGCGCAGCGACTCTCTCTACGGGATTTAGTAGCCGTTCACGGAGTGAGGGGAGCAGGTATGGACTGACGGAGTGACGCATGAGATGCGCTATTCGACTCGACAACCATGGCGAGTCAATGTCAAGAAGGAGCAATGGGATATACACAAGAAGAGAAAAGAAGCAGAAACAGAATCGACGGAAAATTATTAATTGCTTTCGCTTGACTCATCCATGGCCACCTCGGGCGGAACAGCCAATCAGGATGGGTCACGGGGTTCACCGCCTTGGATGACCAACCCGTCCCTCATTTCCTAATCTGGAAGGTGCAACAGTACAGAGTCTGGTCTATAGGGAAATATCTACAAATCAAAGGTATCCCCGCCCTCCGGTCCCGTCTGAGCAGCCTCCAGTCTTGCCGGGGTCGTCTTGTAAATCCGCGGTAGACCAACCTCCTCGAATTGCTTGCCATCTCTGATCATCTCCGCAATTCCTTTGCCGGAGAGAAAGACCACTGGCATACCATGTCCG